AGGTCATGACTTCAGATGTTGCATTATTATTGTGCCGCAAGCGATGCTGAGTCATCATTTTCAGTTGTCGATTCCTCTTAGGCGGCGGAATTGTCCCTTCAATAGTTGGATGTTTCTGCCTATTAAAGCCCCAGGAGGAGAAGCCCGGGAATAATCGGTTGATACAAAGCTATCTTCTTCTGCGTCATGGAGGCTTGCCGCCAACAATGATCATCTCGACGACTACGCATCAAGGTCTGCCACGCGTCAAACACTCGGATCATGGCTGCCAGTGCCGGGGATGATGCGTTTTGACCATTTGTTCTACTAACCATGGATGAAATGAATTCAGCAAATACTGAGCGGCCTGCTAAGCGGGTCCGTCAAGCCTGCGAGCCCTGCAGGTATGGCGCTCCACTTAAACAAATACTACGGATCATTACGCTGACTGAATCTACAGGCGCAAGAAAGCTAAATGCCCAGGAGAGCAGCCGGTCTGCTCTCTGTGTGCGCGACTGCGCCAGCCATGTCTGTATGCGGACGAAAGGCGTCGCTCTACGGCCCCGGAGGAAATCTCGAGATCTAATGCCCCAGACGCACGTGGTTCTTATGCATTGGTACTTTGAAATTCACTAGCTTCATCCTCTACCATAACTGACTCAGTTGTAGGATGACAGATTGCGAAATATGGAAGGCAAATTAGGGCAAGTTCTTGATATGTTAGGGTGCGAACGTTTGCCTTGCATCTTGATATTGGCGTTTACTTATTTAATTTCACATGTTATAGTGACAAGGGCGCCCAGATAACTGCACAAGAGCCGTATCTGGCAGGGCCAGAGCCATCTCGTTCAAGCCCATCTATCGTCTTACCACCTTTGGAGGAGATCCTCCCAGTAGCGGAACTGTATCTGCTCTATTGTGATTCCCAGCCTCTTCCACTATTCCATCGAGGCAACTTTCTTGCGAGTCTGCAAACTCGCGAAGTCGAGATTATCTATACCGTGTTGGCACTAAGTCTTCGGTTCTCGGATCGTTCTCGTCAAAGGACTGATGATTTAAATAATCTGGTCAATGGCTATGCCGAAGTGGCTCGGGGTCTGGTTATGAAAAGAGTTTCCGAGGGCCCAGTGGAGTTGTCGACCCTTCAGTGTCTCTGTCTCCTGAGCTTGGTGGACTTTACGAGCAAGTCTTTCTCTCTTGTCATTCCTTGAGCACAGCTAATGAGACCCCATTCAGATGGCAATACGCACCGTTCCAGCATCCACAGTAGCCTTGCAATGAACCTTGCCCAGTGTGCCAATCTCGGCGCTGATGCGCGTTCTACAACAAGTCATATAGTTCGCGAAGAGCGAAGACGCTGTTACTGGAGTATCTGTCTTCTCAAGCGACTACATGGTGGTGATTTTTCCATTCTAGACCCTCCAGAAGTTGGAGGTCTTCCTTACCCGGAAAGCCCAAGCCGACCTGCACGGCTTCTTTCGCCCGGACCATCGGCGCTGGAGATACGCAGGAGCGACATGCAAGATCAAGGCATCATTGCCTATGTGATCATGCTCAGCGAAGTATTCGCAAGAACTGCACGATACGTGCGACTACACGGACGGCCGAGCAACGTCCCGCCGTGGTCTCCCCATTCCGAATATTCAAAGATTATCGCCTTGCAAATGGACCTCGAGACACGGATGCCCTACACCCACCGCTTCAAGCCAGCCAACCTTGGCGACAGATCTCCGGAGGAACTACAAGCCCACCGAGAATACTGGGGCCCATGGTTTCTAAACCAGTTCATGTACCACACCAGTTTATGCCTGCTGAACCATCCGCTTCTGCTCTCGTTAAGTCTTCGAAATTTTCGGAGCAGTATCCCCGAGATCTTCCTCCAGCATACTTCCGATTTGATATCCTCGCACACAACATGGATTATCCATTTCATCAACTTCTTCGAGGAGAAGAGGTTCCTGGTGTCGGATCCCCTGCTGGGATACAGCGCTGCCGTGGTGGCAACCATCGAACTGCAGCTGAGTTTTACCGAGAATCCAGCCATCCGGGAACAAAAACGGGACAGATTTACGAAATGCGTCAAGTTCGTGCAACAGATCGGTCAGAGGTGGCCACATATGGCGCGATTGGTATGTACCCCGAGAAAATAACATTGTGATTTCTAGCTAACGACAAATGTGTGAGATACAGGCCCATAGATTGCAGCGACTAGAAGACGCCGTCTCAGCCACCTACCAATCCGACCCAGGCGCCCAGAACCAAAGTCTTCTCATTGACCTTTCCCGCTTCTGGGAGATCCTGGAATACTCCTCCAACAGCGATGCGGATTCTGCTCGCCGTTTGTTCGGCGATTCGCTGTATGCAGGACGCCCACCGGTAGCAGCAGAGGTGTCACAGACTTCGCCGTTGCCGGAACCAACCCGTTTGATCACTCATGAAGAGGAGCGTCCCAGTCCTCGAGCTGGAGGGCTTGGTGCCAACGCCACTTTTTCTGGCGTGCAGGACTATGCGGTGGGCTCGGTGATTTCACCGCAGCATTTGAGTCTCTCGAATGATGAGTTTTCTATTCTTGCTACGAATTTTTTCTCCCAAGGACAGGAGTTTCTGCGCAGTGGGGAGAACTGGGATAGTATAGGAAATTTTTAGAAGAGAAAATACGTATTTTCATCTAAATGCTATGCTTGTTATTGCTAGAGCTTTGGATCTGTGCAATGTATTTGTATTCCTTTCATAACGACATACAACACCATGCTCCAGCTATGCTATGTTCATGCCGCTTTAGAAGTAATAGATGCAGACGCCATGCTATCAGCCAATTTAGAAGCAGCTCCCTCTCCCAACGCACCCTTGAGCACCTCCACAAACTTCCAGACTTCACTAAAAGTGTTATATAAAGGCACAGGAGCAACACGGACGACATCCGGCTCTCGCTTGTCGCAGATGATTCCTGCATCCTGAAGGCGCTGGGCCACGGTGTGCAGAAGTCCAGGTTTGAGCAGGAGACTCAGCTGAGCACCCCGAGCATGGGGATCTGATGGAGTGATGATGGTGAACTGGCGAGTCTCTTCCGTGGTGTCTTTTAGGAGCAGGTGTTCCAGATACGCAGTCAGCCTCAGAGACTTCTCGCGCAGAGCGGCTGTCGATGTCTGATCGAAGACAGACAGGGAAGCGCAGAGCGTGGTGAGGTCGATAACTGAGGGATTGGAGACCTGGAAGCCTCCAGCACCGGGGATTGGCTTGAATTCTGGGACTTGTCAATGCTTTGTTGGTCCTGAACGGAAAAGAGGCGAACTTACTGTTGTCCATCTTGAAGCGCACCGACCGATTACCACCATACCAGCCCGTCAATCGATGCCGGAATTTCGGAGCGTCCTCTCCAGCGCTGTAGTCTACTTGCCCGTGCCTCTCGTGCACATAGATTCCACCCATCGCACCGGGCCCTGCATTGCCGTACTTGTACGTACACCAGGCGGCGAAATCGACATTCCACTCGTGCATCTTCAGCTCGACATTGCCGTACGCATGGGCCAGATCCCAGCCGACCGTCAAGCCGCGTTCTTGGGCGTACTTGGTGATTCGGGGTATGTCAAACAGCTGCCCCGTGTAGTACTGGATGCCAGGCAAGAGAATGAGCGCTGCGTCACTGGCGTGCTTGTCGATATAGGCCAAGATCTTTTCCGTCGAGATCTCATACTCGCCCTCGTCGGGGCCAATGAGAACCATGTTCTCCTTTGAGCTGAGGCCATGCCAGTCAATGTGCGACTCGATTGCGTACTGAAAAGGATGTTAGTAGTTTTCTATCGGCCAGGTGAGAAACATACATGATCACTAGGGAAGGCCTTCCAATCCATTAAAATCTTGCGCTTCGTCTCAGTCGGCTTGTAGAAGCTGGCAAGCAAACAGTGAAGGTTCATGGTCAATGTGCCCATGGCGGCAACCTCCTCTGGCGCCGCACCGACTATCTTAGCCATGGACGCCGCAGCCTGCTCGGACAGGAGTTGCCACTCTTTCAGCGGCGAATCTTCAAGGGCATTGAAATGACCACGGACGCCGATGGACGCCCATGTGTCCAGCTGTGCTTCCATATACTTGGCCACAGCCTTGGGCTGCAGGCCAAGAGAGTTGCCGCAGAAATAAATGCTCAAGTCCTCCGATAATCCTGGGACAAACAACGGTCAGTCAGACCGATATTCCAATACAAGGCGGGCGGCAGGCGTTACCTGGCTTGGCGAGCTTCTTCGTTGCCAGATTCGCCTTGGACGGGATGATGAACTGGTCGCGCAAGTCCCGCAGAGGGTCTGCAGCATCAAGGGAGGCTGCATACTCCTTCGACGCTGCCTCAGCAGGGAAGACAGGCTTGGGCGCCTTTACACCGTTGACACCGTTCATCATGAACAAATTTGACGGGATTCAGGTGATACTGGTAAGAAGAAGCGTAGAGGAATGCACAGGCGACACACTCCCCCGCCCGTAGCTTTTTATAGCGCATTCCATTCGACCTTCGAGCCCAACCCGGAATACGCATCCGCTTCCGTGTACGATCCGTCCCCACAGGGACTGAACGACGTCACTGGCCACGTCTGCCGACCATTTATTTGTCTTGAAGATCGAATGTGATATTGTGATATTGGGTGATATTGAAGGAATGACCAAACAATAATTGAAACCCTAACTCTATCTCCCAACTACCAGGTCCAGGTATCACACCCACCCGCCTCAAGCCCGGTTCGATCAATACTGGACCCGAAGGCGGAACCCGGAATTGTGATCCGGCCCTGTATAGATGGATATTTTGGCAAATCAACGGGGCCGATGCCAGCCGCCGTTGCAATACGGTCCTGGATTCTAAACAGCCGTTGTGATTCAAATAGGGCAAGCGTACGCATATCTCGCAAACTTAACTTATATAAACGTATCGTTTCCTCGACTTTTCACTCTGTCGTTCTTTATATCTCATTATCACCACCGACGAAGGTTTCAGTTATCTTTGATCCTGGCAAATTATCACTCTGCCCTTCACAATGCTGTTGTCTCCTAGCATCAATCTCGATGACTTTGCCATCTCAACAGAGCATGGTTTCCTCCCGGACGGTCTTCCTCTGCCGCAACTCACCCAGCCCTACTTTGCCCCATGGGAAGACCTCGCCAGCCAGCTCCCGCATCTCATCCAGACCGGACAGATCCGCAGTCTCATACACAGTCTCCCCATCCTCTCCCCATCACACCTCCGAACAGAACCAGAGTGGCGACGAGCATACGTCGTCCTCGGTTTCCTCACGCACGCCTATATCTGGGGCGGCGAGAAACCCAAAGATGTGAGCCAGCCCTTACCTTCAACCCTGTCTCTATATTAACGATGTAACGCAGGTCTTACCACCATGCATTTCAAAACCCTTCCTTGAAATCTCCTCCCACCTCGAACTGCCCGCCTGTGCAACATACGCAGCCCTAACGCTCTGGAACTACAAAAGCTCCGATCCAAAGTCCGAGCTCACAAACCCAGACACCATCTCCCTCCTCACCTCCTTCACAGGAACAAGAGACGAAGAATGGTTCATTGTTATCTCTGTCGCCATCGAAGCCCGGGGAGCGAAGCTGGTACCCCTGATGCTCGATGCCATCGCCGCGGCGAACGCGCACGACGCTCCGCGGCTTGCCGCTCTGCTGTGCAGATTCACAGACGGCCTGCGCGAACTCAATGCGATCCTAAAACGCATGTACGAGCACTGCGCCCCCGCAGTGTTTTTCCATCAGCTCCGCCCGTTCCTTGCCGGCAGCAAGAATATGAGTACTGCCGGCCTGCCGGATGGCGTGTTCTATGATGTTGGTGCTGGCCATGGCGAGTGGCATCAATATAGTGGAGGCAGTAATGCACAGAGCTCGTTAATCCAGACATTTGATATCTTTCTGGGTGTGAATCACTCTGCTACGGCGGAGATGCGGCCCTCGGGAACGGGGTATATCCAGGTAAGTTATACTTCCTTTTCACTTGGGACTATGCGCTAACTAACTCGCCTAGGAAATGCGTAAATACATGCCCGCGCCACACAGACGCTTCCTCGAAACTCTATCTGCGCTCTCCACCGTCCGATCCTTCATCATGAGCTCACATGCAGACTCCCCGGCAAAAGAGGCATACAATGCTGCGGTCCTGACGCTGAGCGCTTTCCGAGACACGCACATCCAGATCGTGTCCAGGTATATCATTACTCCTGCTAGGAGTCGCGCGCCGGTTGAGCAAGCGAGAAGTAATCGAGTAAATCTCGCGTCGCCCAGTGCCGGGGCGCAGAATGAGACGAATCCGACGGGGTTGTATGGGACTGGGGGAACTAGTTTGATTCCTTTCCTGAAGCAGACGAGGGATACTACTAAAGCGGCGACGTGTTAGAGTTGGTTTGATTTGTTGGACGGAGGTAGAGTCTTGCTGGCGGGATGGATGTTTATGATTTGGCCTTTTGGTTTGCATATATGTGCGATTTTCTTATTGACACCGTCTGATTGAAAGTATGAAATACTCGAGAATTTAGTCTAGCACATAACTCATCGCTTTGATTTGTGTGCTGCTTAGTATGGCACCCCTAGCTACAACGAAAATGGATGCTCTATGAAGAGGAAAAGGCCACATAGCACATGAAATTCAGGATGTCTCAGTCCCAGACACAATAGATCACGGTCATATTTTGGTAGGGGTTGAACGAGGGTAGCAAATCCTCCATCCCGTACCTAGCGGAGTGCACATGGCCTCAGGGCATGCTCGTACTGGATGTGGTTGAACAACTGAGCGGCTGAGAGAAGGGATTCATATCCATGAGCCAACTCGCGGCGTTAGTCGTCGCGCGGTTGGTGCACGCCGCGAACAAGCTGAGGGGCGTCACCTCGTCAGCCTTGTGGCTTCCAATTGTACCTGCCATGAAAGGATCATGATTAACAGACAGATGGAAGATCCTCTCTCAGGTGGCACCATTCACGTTCTGTCCTCTTCGGTGCTCAGAATATGATTTGGAATCTCCGCACAAACCAAGTCGGACCATGTTGCCCGTGATTCGTGCTCTTTCCAGACTCCGCATGATGCATGACTGAACCCAGCACGATAGATCATCTCTTCTTCGTAATTGCAGGAACACCTTCGGTTTCACGCAACTCCGCCAATCTCTTCTCCCGCTCCACAAGCCGCTCCTTCTCCTCCGTGGTCATCTGCTCAACCGTCTTAATGGCCTCGCCCAACCGATCAATCTCTCTATTCTCCGTCGTCCGAGCATATGGATTCTTCGGGCTCTCAGTCAACGGAATCTCCGCAGTCCGACTCTGCGCCATCTGCTTGGCATTCTTCCCTTTGCCCCGTGGCAGTTGTGCCCCCGAAGGACCTCCGGTGAGAATCTCGTAAAAAGGCTCAACAGGCTCGTTGAACACAATCTCCTCGTAGTTCTGGCTCACGACCACTTCGCGGCGCTCGCGCATCCCCTCTGCATCGGGTCCGTACGGGTGCAGTTTCAAGCTGTGCCACAGGGTCTGGGGTTTCTCGTTCGATTCCGGGACGAAGTACAGCTTGACCTGGATCTCGAATTCACCCCAGCCTGTCTCGACGACTTCAAAGGGCGGTTGCTCGATCGTGCGCACGCTCTGTGCGTAGGTCTCGTGGAGTTTGAATTGTACCTTCTTCAACCAGTAGGAGATGTCTTCGTCGTTGACGCCCTTGACGAAGATGCGCCATTGGTGTGTGTGGTCCACTGGCGCGTTGGCGGGTTTTTTCTCTGGATCGAAGGGTTGCGCTTCGGTTCCAAATACTGTGATCGATCGTTAGGTTTTGGTTGGCTAAAGTCACGATGAGGACATACTGAATGGTCGGTACACTGAGACGCCCTACGACACTGACGGTAAGCTTGTTTGTCTCGGCTTTCGAGGGGTGGAACACGAACCCTGACGCGCTTGTTTCCCGGAGCAGACGGCATACTGCACAGTTGGATAGCAGAGTTGATCTGTTGTTTGTTGAGTTGGAGGGAAGAGGTGTTTGGAGAGAAAGAGTGGAATTTATGCGCGACAAGCATTCCCGCACACGTGACATGATGGCATGAAATCACCAGAGCTTCGCTGCGCGTTTTCTCTTCTTGACTTTTTTTCTCCATTTCTACACTACACCATGGCTGCCAAACGATTGGTCGTTGCAGGAGGGAGTGGCTTCTTGGGTTTGTCGAAACTCCCATGCCCGTCAGGCCACGCTGCTAACCAGCCCACCAGGCTCTAGGATCTGTAAATCGGCAGCAGCAAGAGGCTGGTCGGTAACCTCATTAAGGTGTGTTTTCCTTTCCAACAGGAGCTCCGGATTCCCAATGCTCAGATCTGCAGTCGATCCGGCGAACCACGATGGGAGACTGTTACAGATTCGCGCGAACGTCCGAGCTGGGCTAGCTCAGTCGAGTGGGCAAGGGCCGATATGTTGAAACCCGAAAGCTATAAGTCATTCTTGAACGGCGCTTCTGCTGTCGTTCATACAATGGGAATCCTTTTGGAGGCAGATTACAAGGGTGTGGTGCAAGGGAGGGAACCAGTCGTGAGCGGCCTGCAGCGAGCCTTCAGCTCATCGAAGCTGGGGAGCCAAAACCCGCTATCAAGGACCGAGGGCGAGGAGCTACATCCAAAAGAAAAGGACGGGCAATTGACCTATGAATTGATGAACAGAGATTCCGGTACGTGTCAATCCGAGTTTGTGATTCTCAGACAAAAGCTAAGTTGTTGGATAGCTATTGCGCTGGCCCAGGAATCGTCGAACGAACATGTCCCCGCCTTCGTCTACATCTCTGCCGCCGCCGGGGCACCGATACTGCCCGCCAGGTATATCACGACCAAACGAGAAGCGGAACAAACCATCGCTTCCAACCTTCCCGAACTCCGAAGCATCTTCATCCGTCCCAGTTTCATGTATGACTCTAGTCGCAAATTCACACTGCCAATCGCACTGGGCGGCTTTGTTGCTTCTGAGGTCAATGCCTTGCTCGGGAACAAGCTTGGATTCCTGGGGGCCATGGCCGAGAAACCTCTCAAAGTCGATGTAGTGGGTGATGCGGTGGTCGAGGCATTGGAGGATGAGTCCATAAAGGGAGCAGTGGGAACAAAACAGATCGAGGCGCTGGCAACAAAGGCCTGGAGGAAGTCGATGCTTTAGGTCAACTGCATTGGGGTAATCCTCGTTTAAAGTCTGCTTGACATCGGCACATGTATTATATCTTCGTTTTCGTGATCGCATTAAATCATGGTTCCACGCTCGAAACTGTCTCGAATTTCGGTAGTATACTATGGAAACGTTAGTGCGCGCATATCTCAGCGACGGGGCCAAGCATACCTTGTTGTAGAACCGAGCCAGTTTCTGGTTGAACTGCTTGTTCTTGTCGTTGATGTACGTGACATCCGCCTCCTCGTCGCCACGGCGCTCCTTGCGCTTCTTCAGACGCACCTCCTCGGCCTTCTGCAGATCACTGACGAGTCTGTCCACAGCGGCGCGGTCTGGCTTGCTGTCGGTGAAACCAACCGAGTCCGCAGTAGAATAGAAGCTGCCGTTTTTGTCGACGGCAATCATCTCTCCATCGCTTGTCTCCACGATCTCCAGATCACCGTTGGCGGCAGCCTTTTCAATAGCGGCCATCTTTTCCTTTTCATAGGCTTCCAGGTTCGGCGCTAGCTCCCTCATCTGTCTCTTGTAGACTTTCTGCGCATCTTGGGTGTAGTCTTGGAATGCCACATTGTCGCGGTGGCGCTGCTTTTTCTCCATGCGCCTGTCCCATTTTTCCGACTCGTCCACTGTCCAGTCCCAGGCACGTTTGCGCTCAAAATCCTCCCCTGCAGCTTCGGTATCGGCTTTTAAAAGGTTATGTGAGGCAAACGCATGCTTGCGAGATAGCGAATGCAGCAAGGCTGGGTCGGTGGCTAGACGCTGGGTCTCCGCCGCGGTCTCCTTGAGGTTTCGCTCTGCTGCGGATTTCTATCGTTTGAGTCAGTTCCCGAAACACGCGCCGGATGATACTCCACGTTCGATGGATGACTTACCGCGCGGGACTGTAGAGCTTTGAATCTTTCCTGTCGTTCACGCGCCTTGGATGCCGCGTCATCTTCTGACTTCTCGGGCTTCGATTCTGAGGCGTCTTCGACGGGTGTCTCCTCGGAGGGAGCCTCCGGTTGCTCGTCAGGACGTGGTGCAGCTGCGTCTTCCTCTACTGAAGGCTTCGAACGTCGTGTCTTCGGCATGTCTAAGGTGGTGAAAGGGGTGGTGCTGTGTAGTGTGGATGTTGAACAGACTAGACGTAATCAGAGTCTGAAGTGACCATGGACTCACCGCTCCTTCCACCGCCCTTCCTCTGCCCGTCCAAACTACCCCAGCTTCTGTTGGTCCCCTTATCGCGCGTTTATCTCTCTCCACCCTCCTGGATTGGGCCACCGTGACCTGAATGGGGGTTATCTGCCGTCACCCCTAGCAAATATGAGAGGGTCTTCCTCTTGGGCTGCGCTACATCAGTCAAGGCGACAACTTTGCGCCCGTCGCCTTCTTCCGCAATCAGCGATTCGCTATCACCATGACTTGTCCACCACCGTCAGCGAGGACGCGAATGCCAGACCTTCGCCTTCCGAATTGCTTCGGTTCTCTGTAACTGGCGCAATTGAACCAAGATACGAGCCACAACCAAACCTGTACTTACAGGAGAGTCTTCGTGGCCTGTTCGACCAAGAATGGTATGCCGGCATTCCTCCTGGGCCTTTATGGAATTCCCTCAGAGGACTACCACTACCCCCGCAAAAGAACCAAAGGTTCATCTTGAACAACACTTCTCGCCTTTCCACGCTAAGGAGCATTGTTGAAAGATATGTGAATGATAGGCAAGGAGCTCAATTCCTGCAGAGCGAGGACTGCCGTCTTCTTTCTCATGCTCTCCGACGTTGTGCGCGCCATTACTCGGAGGCCGATATCGTGTTGGTATTACGTGACACTATTGCAAGGCTTCAAAGGATTGAGGCGCCTGTTTTGCCTCAACTCTACGCGTTGGGGATGCGTTATGCAATGCTTTCCCTGGATGCTTCAGCCCTCGCACACTTTGTGAAGGACTTCAGTCGTCAGGGACATCGAAAATTAAGTGACAAAATGAGCACCATGGTAGCCGAACCCGGCTCCAAAGTCCTCTCTGCTGCCTATCTTGAAGATTCACGCTACGATTCAAGTCCTATGCTTGCCATGATCACGGGAGAAGGAGAAGCTGGGTCGCAGAACCAACCCAGACTCCACGATTTCATGGAATGGAATGTCTGTTATATTCAGATACTCGCGAGATTAGGGAGTCGGGCACCGCTACAGGACGCATGGAACTACTTAATGGACCATGGACCTGGAAAAGCCCCAAGTGATCAAATTCGCGATTTCTGGTTCTCCTGCTATTCCGTCGTTTCTAACTTGATTTATGCTGGACGTTCCAGAACGGCTCTGGACTTTCTTGAGGACATAGCTCAACGCAACAGTAACAAGCTGCCTTTTATCCGCAGATTCAACTCACTGCGGATTCTGCTCGATGACCCGATTGTGGGCGAAGGGTTACCCCTTCTGATCACGGAATCTGAGTACATTCGGATATTGGAGAAAGAGGTCTCCAACATGGAGCATAGGATGGGCATTGAGTGGGATGGCGAGCGTCAGACACATACTGCCCCCAGCTTCACCGAGTCTACGAGACCGCCGCCATTTGGCGACGAACCACTCATCACGATCGATGGCGACTGTCAGGGATACGACAATCACAGACGTTTGTTTCATGAACTCGAAGCGTCTATGTTTTCCAAATCCCCAGAACCCTGGGGTAGAGCTGCGGACATACTAAACGATTGCGACGAGCACCCTTGCCACTTCGCCGACCCCACTGTCAAGAATGCCCCTTGGCGGGTTCGTTTCTTACCGCAACACTCGCCAATCGAGTTTTCGGATTCCCGGCTTCCCGTCTCACACGACTCGTCTAGACCCTGGACTCCGTCTACTTTGGGGTTAATGCGCGCTCACCGGATTCTGAATGGTGTCCCTCAGACGGGACATCACTGTTTACATCTGATGCAACTGGGGACAATGGAGGTTCAGCATTTTGAAAACAGCCCATGGGAGCGTACCGGATATATCGTGACCTGGGATCGCATAAACGGCAATTTTCTCGCTCTGAATGTCGGGCAGAGCACGGGAGTGATTGATCCCGGACCGGCAACGAAATCCGGTCCGTTTGGATCGGTCATGCCTCTCATGTTCGAGGACAGGCCGTACAAGGGAAGACTGCAAGTCGGATGGTTTACATCTGATCTTTACCTGGACATAGATCCAAGCCCCGATCTTGGCTTTTGATTGTCCGATGTATGTACAAAAAAGACAGGCATAGAGACTCCTTAGTGTAGATATGATCAAACACATTACCTTTGTTCACTCGAACCTGCCATCTACGACCGACTCAAGGGGATTCTCCGGATTTGCACCCTTCCAATCAGCCAGCCCAGCGGTGGAGATCGACGCTGATCTCGATCAATGCCTACCTTGCGTTCGCCGAATTCGAATACCGGTCACCTCTAAGCCTCTCTGGGTCGCACCACATGCATCGTATTTTGTGTCGTATGCACGGACATTGATCTTTCATATCTGCCCACGTCACTTGGGAACGACGATCAACGGGCTGGCAGCGCAGGCCCATCCCTTTGGGAACGGCTGTTTTCAAGGTTAATCCTGTCTTTAGGCCTTAGAGCCTTTTTGTTCACCAATCTGCCTTCCTAGCACAGAAACCGGATTCATCTGCTAATGCGACCCGAGATCCGCAAATCGCGGCTAATTTATTCTTTTCAATCTATCCTTCGAAATGCTATATCCCTACAGTGACTTGCTGACACGCCGGCTGGTTGCTCCGCAAGGCTCCAGCGAGGCAAGCATTCCTTTGTCTGCCGATCACTAACTCTTGGCGCTTCCTTCTGGGGTCTATCAGCGGGACCTCGGGTTCTGTACTGGTCGTTCCATGGATATAGTTCCCAGCCAGCCCAGCCGTTTTTTAGCGGGGCGGATTCAGGCACGACCCGTCATGGGGGTCATTTCCAGTATGATTTCCAACTATACAGTTTTCTGTCGCAATTGCGGGCCTCAAGGAGCATCGGCGGAATGAAAGTTCAAGCGTTGCCGTTAGGGGGCAGAGCTCAAACTCTGCTTTGCAGAATTTGCAGAGTCGGTGGACTGCGCTCCGTGTCTACCCTTGACCAGCCAACGCGGATTGGCCAACTGCGATGCATTATACGACTACTTTGCAACTGTTCTCTTTTCAAGATTCCGACAGCGGTAGTTCTCAACCGCCCTGTCCCTTGCAAACCATCCCGGCGTGGCGGACTCCAGAACCTTGCACGGCTGACAACTCAAATGCCACTTCGGGTGATCAGGCCAGCTCATGTGAAAAGAAGTCTGCATGAAAAATAATCCAAAAATTGTGATTCCGGAGGCCTGTAATGTCAGTTGGTGACATGCTGCGAATTCCTCGGTTCGTAGAGGCTATTGCATTGCAGATCTGATCAGATACATACATTAACCACGTATCTGAGTCCTAAAGGACAGTTGGCGCACACCCAACTAGAGAGAGGCTTGGTGGCCAGACCGCGCTGCCATGAAAGCTAATACTCTCACTGATTCCTGGAAAACAGAACCGTGAACTTCCCGAAACTGACAGCGTCCGAGTCTCCACGAGGGGCCGTCGAGAGGTTTAACCAGCCCCCTCGCATGCGGGACCCCCGACATTGACCATCAGCACTCAGGATCAGAGAACATCATTAATACATAGAAGCCACCGAGGTAGTTTTGAGACCTCCGCTGTGGACTCTGGGTGGAATGGAACCGGGATGTAACGAATGGAGATGCACGATTGCCGACGGACAATCACGCCACGGATGTAGTTCGTCTCCAAGTGCCGACTGTTTCGAGGAGCAGCTATGAGTTGAACTACACAGTGGAGAGCTGGCGACTAGTTCAGCCTAGAGGTTAGTCGGTCAGCTTTCCGACAGAGATCGCCGGTAGCAAACCGCTGCTCCGGCAATCCGGCGGAAATCTCTCTCCTTTGTGTCTATGAAGCGGAGATCTGAGTTTTTTTTCCTGCATGCTTCAGCTAGGGCCCGTTCTGCTCAACCTAGTTCGTTACCAGCCAACCGGCCAAACACCATCCATCACAAAGCCCGTCGTTGGGCTGCCTTGCCCAGAACCCCTTTTTTTTTTTTTTTTTTTTTTTTTTTTCTTGTATCTCAAACGATATCCATCACCATTGATGGTGTTACACAGCCAGGGAGCCTCGAGTTTTGGGAAAGACAGGTGTGATTGAATCCTGACCGTCTTTTTTGGTCTTTTTGGGTTTTTCTTGCACCCGGCTCGGAGCTCCTCGGGCGTTAGTTGCTAGCAGGTTCCGGAGCCCTCAAATAGGCTAGTTATTCCCCACGCACATCTACGCTCGAGACACCCGCGGCTTTTACTGGTTCTCCTTGCCCCCTGGTCTCGTGGCGAAACCCGCGCCCGGCCCGTTCCCCACGGGTCTTCCTTTCTTTGGGGGCTGTGATAGTGGACCAGGTGCGCCACCAGTAGTAGTATGTACTGTAGAGCTGATGGTGCTTGGTGCAAACTAGTGCTAGAATAAATAGGGAGCCTAACAAATAATAATAAATCGGATGTCGCTCAACACAAGCGTCCGCCGGTTTATCTCTCTACCATTCCCAGCCGAAGTGACTAGGGTGAATACGTCCAAGGGACACACACCCAAGGAAACAAAAAGGGTGGAGGGGAGGAATGTGGCAGGGGTGGGATTTCTTTTTCTATTTCTCCTCCCGCCAGGCAACTGAGCCAGGGTCGCACACCGTTCCCTATCATGCCTTCTTTGTGAGTACATACTACATACATGAATACATACGAATGTGGCGGAGTTATCAGATCCCTACTCTTTGTTTTCCCTGCAGAATCCCAGAACATGCATTACATCATATCTTCATTTGTTAATTGCGGTCCCGGCTCCGAGGCAGACATATATAGACATCAGTTTTCCGAGGTATTCCCTCGTGGCTGATCTGACCGCTTCTATTTCGCGCGAATGCCTGCCTTGCAGCGAGCTGAAACACGCTGGCGGGCACATCTACAAATAGCAAGAATCCCAACCCGCTCCGTCGGGGTTCCGTGACCGGATAGATGTCGAGGCCGCCATCGCAACAATGGGGGCATCCCACACCCGAACGGACGGCCTACTTCGATTCGGGCCGTTCACAACAGCCCCGAATGCCCTATCCGCCATACCCCAGGCATGAGCCTCGACAAATCCTGCCGCAGAACCCGGTCTACGATCGTCCCGTCCTAACTACGCCGCCAGGGCCCCGATTGCCCGCGCCCAGTGGCCATCTTCCGGACCGGGGTCCCGACGCCAGGTATGTGGTCTCTTCTGAAAGTTCACGGCATCTTTACCGTCAGTCTATGCAACAAACTCTGCCGCTACGGGCTCTTAACCGCGGCACTGCGAATACCGATATACTCGGTTGCCCCAGCCCGTACGAGGAGGTGTCAAGTCCTATGAGCCATGGCCGCGACTATGATGGCTGTCGGGGGTACGACCTGGAGTCACTGTACAGTCCCTTTCTTTTCTTTTCTTTTTTCTTTTTCCTTCTTTTGTTTTCTTCTTTTGCCATTCTTGCATTGCAGCAGAAAAGTCTCGACAGCGATGGGCCAAGGCGAAACTAAAAAGGTCGTTTTCACGAAACCCCAACACCAGAAGAGACCGCGCAATGGCCGCTAGACACATGTACTCTGACATTGAATCTCAGGCACAGCAACAGCTCGACAACAATGCCCAGTCCCGTCCACTCGGAAAAGAGCGCCGCCGCACCATGCACAAGCAGTGCAGCTCCGTCCACCAGGGCGAGCAGCAGCAGCCACAACGAACCACCGTCAAGACAAAGATCACGGCCAACAAGCTATAGCATGCCGTTAGGGTTTGATAGGCTTCTTCATCACCTTCCAGCATCATCACCGCCTCCTCCCCCTCCACTACCACGGCAACCACGCCGCCCATCCACACAGTCCCGCTACCACCTCCATGTCCGCCAGCAGCCCGAAGCCGCGCGAGCATGCGGCGCCGGCGACAGAGACCGCCGCCCCGTCGACCCGCCTCCGATAGTGCAGATCCTCCTAACAGACTTCGATCCAGTCTCGCAAGACGATCGCGATATCCTGCAAGACCCGCGATTCACCGTAGGCTGTCTGCTCTTTCCCGTGTCGTCGTCTTCCCCATGGGCGGAGCCCACCGACGCAGACCCAACACGCTCCAAGCGCAGTAGTATCAGCGAAGGAGGCGACGGCGTCGCCCGTTCCGACGATACCTTCTCCACGCCCTTGCTTTCCGGCAAAGCTTTCATGTCCCCCTTCTACGTGGACGAAGACCCAGACCCGACATCCGCACCAATACACCCATCATATTCCCCGTCCGGGGACATCATCTCCAGAAACACAAGCAGAAGAAGCACGCCATCCTCCTTGTCACGGCCTCACATCCACCCACCAGCAACATTCTTCATCTTCGCAGACCTCTCCATCCGCTCGGCAGGCCTGTACCGGCTTCAATTTCGGCTCATGAACTGGGGCTCCGTCGAGGATACGGGCCAGTCCATGCCTATTCTTGCGGAGGCGTGGTCGGAGCCGTTCCGCGTGTATCCCGCAAAGGATTTCCCGGGGATGCAGGACTCGTCGAATCTAGCAGAGGGGTTGAAAGCTCTTGGATTTGTGGAGCTAAAGACGAGGGGGAAGGGGAAAGGGAAGGGGAGGAGGAAACCTTATTGATCTCTTGCTCTGGTCTGTTATTTTTTTCATTCTGTTTCTCGATTTTCTGTGGGCATGGTCCTGAGAATGGGGTGGCGTTTACTCCACTTTCTTTCTTTCTTATTATGGCTTGAGAACTCGTGGGTATTGCAGCGCCGGGAAAGAAATGTGTCTCGGCCGCTCTCTCTATCTGGTTGGTTAGTTTATTGGCCTGCATTTTCTTACGGACGGGAACATAAGGACGGAGCTCAGATGGGCGGTTTTGTTTTTCGGTGCCTTCAAAGGCTAGAAGGGGGCAAAAGGAAAAAAGAAACGGACATATATTATAGAAGGAATGCTTGCACCATCGTAGAAATGGGAATAACACACACAAACACAGAAAGTAGGTTTTGGTATAATACATACTATACAAGCATTAAAATGACAGGTGCTTCTGCGACGACATACTAACGTCCAGTCCTGCTTTGATCATGGTACAGGCAACATTGAGCTTTTGATATCAGGCTCATAGGTCGGGTCTTCCCACCCGTCACGCAACGTCGTTAAACCCATTTTCCTGGCCAGCATAGGATCATCGCTTTGTAGATCAATGAAATATTGCGCGGCGCGCCAGTTGTGTACCCGTCGATGCAGGATCGCCGCCATCAAGGCCGGGATGCGATTGCTGCTGTTGAGTTCCGTAGCCACCTCGTACCATTCAGTAGCCAATTTGGCGTAGGTCTCGCGATGTATGAAAGGATCGATCTTCTGACGTATCCGTTCCTGCAATGGCCTGAACAGCTTTTGGAGAAACCGTTCAACGGGATTGGTGGCGGGGCTTTCCCAGGTTCTCTCGCTGCGCGGATCATAAACATGCTCCGAGATCTTGTAGTAGTAGTTGGCTAGTCGGAAACAGGCATCCGGGTTGCCGGCCATGGCAGCCTTGTTCATGCACTCTTCATACTTGTCCTGCTCGCCCCGTTGCCACAAAACGGCAGCGTACTTGACCAAAGCATCGGAGTCCTGGTACTTGATCGCAGCTGTTTCAAGGATCTGATCGGTCATCTCGTGGAGCTGTAAATGCGCGGTGATAGTGGCAAGCAGAGTCCAGGGTGACTGAATATTTCTGCCCAGCGTGATATCTTCCCAAAGCGGAGGCTGGACAGCCGTTGGTTGCAGATACGGAAAGATTTCCTTGTCTAGCAGATCACGAGCCTCTTGGTTCTTCCCAAGTCTTTGGAGAAAATGCGCTTCAAGTAGCATAGCGGGCGGGTAGCGGTCTTGCCGGGCGAAGTTGGTAACCATGTCGGTGTATGGGGTCCGTTGGACTACTTTTTGATTTCTGGCTTGCTGAGCCGCGAGAATAACAACGGCAGCCTTGGCCTCTGCATTGGCGGATGCCCGAAGAAGCCATGCCTGCCAAAGCTTGCTCGAGTTGGAGTGGACGTGTCCGATTTTGTGGACGGTGTCAACATCTACCGCCGGGTAGCAGGGTCGGATCAGTGACTTGGACCAAAGCAAGAAAGATAGGGATAGAATTTACCTTGAGATATAGATCGGATCACCTGTTTGGTGGGCCCAGCTGACTTAGTCGACGCTTCAAGCAACTTGACTCCTATATCGGTAAAATCTTTCAACTTGAGAGACTTGGGCAGCATACCCGCCTCCGTGGCGGACTTGTGGAGTGACTCTGCTTCGTACCGAACCTCTGCCAGTTTTTTATCGTAGTCTTTCCATACGATCCAACGGTTGTTGTCCAAGAATTCCGCTGATCGCTCCCGCTTCTGTTTCCATTGCGCGTCATCCACTCTGGGCGATGGTTTAGGGCCTTTCCGGAGAGCTGGACGTGTGTGATGAAAGGGTCGCTTTGTCGTGCGGGAGCTGATGAGTTTACTGTGCTGGTTGGAGAGAGCGAGAAGTCGCTCGGCTGGGGAGAGGGGGTTGCTCGCGTGCGCTGGACAGAGCACATGGGTGGTTGAGCCGAGGCCTCGACGAAACTGGAGCCATTGTTGCAAAGGCGTTATTCGTCGGACGGGCATGGGAGGCGAATTCGCCGTGGGTGTGAGAAGGGGTGTGTGTGGTAGCAACTGGCGGGTTGAGGTGGGAAGGGACGAGAGAAAGTTCGCGGGATCCGGACGGAGTTTTGATCTCAATTGATCCTCAATGCGAAAATGTATCCAATGCATCCATCCAATTGAGCCCTCTACAAAAAAACACTCAGAATAAAATGGAAAATAAATAAAGAAGCCATAACGCAATGCGTATAATGTACATTTGCCCTCACGCATCTACCAAAAAAAAAGAGTAAATAAAAGAGGAGAGCCGGTACCCCCATCTCCAATCTCCAATCGTCCAAACATTTTACTCCATAGTAACCTTAGCACCCAGCCCCTTGAGCGTCTCAACAATCTTCTCCGCCTCCTCCTTCGGCACAGACTCCTTCATGACCTTGGGCACGGACTCGACGAACTTTTTGCTGTCCACCAGCGACAGGCCGAGCATGGTCTTGATCTCCTTGATGACCTTGGGCTTAGACGCGGCCTCGAACGACTCAAGCTTCAGGTTAAACAGCGTCTTCTCCGCTGCGGCGGGCGCAGCTTCCTCTTCCTCGGCAGCCGCAGCAGCGCCTGGAGCGGCCGCGCCGGGGGCCATGGCGAAGCCGCCCACGGGGAGGTCGGGGATGTTCAGGCGGGTCTATTGCATTGAAGGGCCAGTTAGTCTTCTAGATTTCGCAGTTTATAACATTTAAAAGAACCCAATCATGGTGAGTCAATAAAGGTTGGGAAATGGTGCACCCACCTTCAAAGAAGACACCAGGTCGGCGGTCTCCAGAAGCGTCAATTGGCTGATCTGGTCGACGATCTGCGTAATCTTAGGGTTGCTGGGAGCCGCAGCAGCGGCCTCGGTCGTCTCCCATCGCCGGCTGCTGGGTGTGCTGCGGGCTGTGTATGCGGAGGTCGCGATGCGCAGGGAGGACGGACGGACGGCGCCGGAGAGGTGTCTGCAGCAGCGGGCTGCTGTGTGGATAGGGAGGGACATGGCGGAGGTGGGGACAGGAGAGAAACGCAGATGATGGAGAATGAAAGACGCAATTGGGAAGGAAAGGGAAGAGACAGCTCAATCGGCGCGGCAAGACAAAAAGCGAGACTCGGGGAAAATCTAAAGAGGTCACGTGAATCGCTTATGTCATCTCTCTATGGACCAGATCTATACATTTGTAGTGCAAGAATCATTTTCTATAGTTGTTCATTTTTATTCACACCAGGAAACTTTCTTTTTTCGTGATATCGTGGGAAGATCTATCACCATTCAAAACATACAATTAATCCTCATCCCAGTTGGCGTTCGGGCCGGGCGGTTTTGGGCCCCCAGCCTGCCGAGCAACAATAATCTGATCCACGCTGAGCACAGTCCGGGCAGACTCGCTAGCCAGACGGATTGCCCAGCTCTTGGAGGCCATGAGATCCAGGATTCCCTCCTCAACTGCATCCAGAGTACCGGAAGAGGAGCCAATCTCGAGGTCGACGCCGGTGGTCCAGTAGGGCTCCTCGTCCGAGGAGCTGCCATCGTCCTCCTCTTCTGAAGAGGACTGACCGGCCGGTTCAGAACGGTGGTGTGCGGTGTACAGGCGGGAGAGAACCTCCGTGGCGTCAAGGCCGGCGGATTCGGCAAGCGTGCGCGGGATAACCTCGAAGGCCTCGGCATACTTGCGGATGGCGTACTGCGGCAGACCGGGAGTCTTGTCGGCAAAGTTGGAGATCCGGTCCACCAGCTGGATTTCCGTGGCGCCGGCTCCGGGGACCAGGCGCGGGTCCTTGGTGATGGCCTTGACGACGTTCACGCCGTCGTCAATGGCACGCTCAACGTCGTCCAGGTGGTTCTGGGTGGCACCGCGCAGCACAATGGTGGCTGTGCGCGTCACGGTGTTGGCCTCCTCTTGGCGGAAGACGGTGACTCGGTCACCACCAATCTCGGTCGTCTCAACAACATCAACGGTGCCCATCTCGTCGGGCATGGGTGCACCAAGACGGGCGAGCGGGGTAGCACCCACCACCCGGCACAAGCGGCGGAGCTCAAACTTGGACAGAATCTTGATCACCAGGATGTTAAACTTGTTGAGGTAGTGCAGGGCCAGGTCGCCGACTGAAGAACCAGCCACGACAACCCGAAGGCCGGAATCGTAGAGCTCCTTGATGGCCGTCTCCAGGCGCTCCTCCTCGCCCTTGGTGTAGTCCACCATCTCCTGTGCGTTCTTCAAGAGCACCGTGCCCTTGGTCTCGGTCTGGCCGATGTCGATCGGGCAGCTGAAAACGCCGACCTTGGCCTTGCGGGCCGACTTGACGATTCCATCTGGCTCCCGTCCAAACACCATACCTCTCACCACCCGGGACTGTTCCAAGCTGCCGCCCATAATCTTGACGACCCGCACATTATCCACGTTGAAGTTGAGGGGGTTCTTGGGCAGCACCGCGAGCACCGCCTCGGCCACTAATCCAGCCAGAATATCCTCGGTGCCGGATTGCTTGCTAGCCACAACTGTCCGCAGCGCCTTGCTGAGTTCCGTCAGCGACCGCAGCTCCTTGAGCCGATCGACCTCGAGATCTGCCAGAAACCATCGAGTTAGAGCCATCGCCATAGTGGCCAATTTCGGGCAGAAACAACATACCTTCCAGAACCTTCAATGCGTAGTTTTGAGCCTTCTCATAGCCCGAGACAATATCACTCGTCTTCAGACCCATGCGGATCAATTCCTCCGCCTTCTTCAACAGCTCACCAGCCAAGACGATGACCAAGTTCGTCCCGTCACCCATCTCGGCATCCTGCTGCTGACTAGCCATGACCAAGAGCTTCGCGGCTGGGTGCACGACATCGAGTTCGCGCAGGATCGTGGCCGCATCGGAGGTCAGGATCATCTTCTGCAGGTGGTTGATGACGATCTTGTTGCGGCCATAGGGCCCCAGGGAGGTCTGGACGGTCTGCGAGATAGCCTGGCAGGCCTCGATGTTGCGGATGACGGCTCCATCTTCGGCATCGTGGCTGAAATGCGAGGAGAATGGTCAGTTGGTGGTTCAGGGGAGTTGCAGATACGCGGCGCACAACGGGGGAGTGCGGGCGCACAAAACCACTTACCTCTGGTATCCGGCCTTGAATAGGCCGGCCTGGGACGGCCCAGGGAGAGATAACGACATATTAACCGGTCGTTTTCTGTGGATGAGACAGAAGTGATGGTAATGGAGGGGAGACAACAAGTTGGGGTTTTTTGAGCTCGGGAAGGTGTGGGTTTGCTCTGTTTGCACGAGGGGCCAGTTGACCATGGTACCCGAACTACTTTGGGAGGTAACAAGGTACTACATATTATCTAGGTACTATTGATCTAATTGTACAATTACATTGCATTTCCGTTGTGTCTACCATCCGCGAGACCCTTGTGAGCCATACGCGTCTCGGAAACCCGGCACTGCTAAGGATTAGAACTGATACTCCGACACAACAACCGACCAACACTTACTGAAGCGCCCAACAGCATTGCATCCACTGTCGTCGTAGATTGCCTCGGCCTTGAGAAGCCTGTATCGCATTAGTAGCGGCTTGAGAATTAAAGGTGGAGATGCATACCATCCTTGGATAGCTTCCATCCGGTTGTAGCTCTAAACAACATGTTAGCACGACACATTTTTATCCACCCGCGGCACCTACCGATGGATGAGTCGACATAAATTGCGGTGGAGCCCCTTTTTCCATCTTCTGCATTCGGGACCAGCTGATTTGGTTCCTGGCTTAGCAGGCGGTTTCCAACTCGCTCAAGCGATAGACTTACAGTGTCACGGCAGCTTGGGGATTAAAACAAGCCTTCGACATCATCACTGCGAACCAGGATCAGTATTCCAATCACATTCTGTCATTTAGGGGGCATACTGAGTCCCATGTTGTCTGCTTCAGCCTCCTGCGTACGCGAGTTCGGGAGGCTATACATGAGATTCAGCAGCATCGAAGGCAGCTGTCCCGAAACGTCAAACAGAAATGAGACGAGAAAAACAGCCCCGATAGTGAGGAAGCTATTGCTCATCCGTTCGGCCGGGTGGTGGGCCACAACATGGGCAATCTCGTGGCCCAACACAGCAGCCAGGCCGTCCTCATCCTCGCAGATGGGCAAAATTCCTGTGTATACAAAAACCTTTCCCCTGAAATCGATATTAGTGATGTAGATAGTCAAACGGGCTCAACCTACCCCGGCAGCACAAATGCGTTGACCATTCCATCATCCTTAATGACGTGGACTTTCCAATCCGCACCCTCAAGGGGCGCCAATGGAATCAGTCGCTGCAGAACGCGATTCACCATGCGTGTGAGCGGGTGATTCTCAGGCAAGACCTTCCCTCGCTCGGCATTCAGAACCTCGCGATAGCTCTGGTCGCCCATTTGCAGTTCCCGCTGGTGGGAGACACAGTTGAAGCGTCGCCGACCCGTCATCTGATATATCCAGTGGTCAGCACACAGCTTCAGATCATCCAATCATGCGATTCTCATTCTCACCTCCACCTCCTCGGTATTGTACAGGTATAGCCCTGATAGCACTACACCGATTATCACAAAATGGTGCGGTTTCGCATCCTGCATAAGGCGAAACATCACCGTCTGCCGACGTCCCGAGCCACCGAATCGATTGTATTGGTCATTCTTCTGGTATTGGAATCGTGGGCCTGAGGAGAAAGGTCGTCGATTGCTGGGGAAGTTCTGGGTAAAGAGGGGCGTGGAGGAAGGGCGATAAGCTTGTTGTCGGATTATGGACGGTACTCTCCGAGAGGAGACATTAGATGCCCATCGTGGACTGGATCGGGAGAGTGGTGAAGAGGGAAAGGTGCTTGTGAACGGTGCGGCGGAGATGGTCAACGGAGTGGCGCGCGCAGGCGACGAAGCGCAGAGGGGAGAACCAGAGGCGCGGAGTGCGCGTAGGATCGGCTGGCCGAGCATGGTCAGTGGCGATGGGATAGGTTACCCCGAAGTGTGGTGGGAAAGAGAGTGTGTGGTTGTCGCAATCGGAGTTGGACGGACCATCCCCAGATCTGCCGATAAGCAGCGGACGCACAGGGCAAGTAGGAACGCAACCTTGGAAACACCTATGAGCATACAGGACCAAGGAATAATAAAAGACCAAGCAATTTTCTTGGAATACTATATATATACACGTGTTAAACAACTGCATGAATTGGTCAATTGTCTTCCAGTAGAGGTTATGACGTTATCGCCTAGCTAAGATTCTTGGACAGGAACACCAACCAAGCACCCGGGAGTTAATATATATAAACCCATGGGTTATTGTGACTCTTCGTGATGCGGATCGCGAAGGTGCCTAACTCACTTACCGGTTAGGTTAAGTTAGATCGTCACAATAACAGAGTAAGACACGATGTGAGTCTCTTCAACCGGACCTCATTAGGCCAATGCACAGCGTACGTAACCCTCCTACTGTACACATCCGCTAATTAAAGGTTGGTTTATTCGCTGCTACTCTTTCCTTCGTCTTCACTCGTTGAACGTTCATAGAATTTTGTATCTGGCGTGCAAGGTATTTATTCACGAGTAACTTACCGCACACGCCGGGCACTAGGCCACTGGAGCAAAAGTCAGGGCGTAATCCTAGTTTGGCTCATTGTCACATAGAATTTCCCTTAATCGTCATAGCTATAATACATTTCAACCTAAACACGCTGAGAACCAATAGTCTTCGATCCATCCAAATCAGAGTCTACACGGGGATCCACCTTATTCCCCAGGTCGCTCTGGTGAGGACCGGCAGTCTTCTTGCTGTTGTAGCTACTGCCTGCGACATTGTCGTGCTGCGCCTGCTCGAAGGTCTTGGTGGTAGTCTCGCCGCCGCTGCCACCCATGCCCTGTATCACACCCGCGCCGCCAATGCTGTCCTTGTGCACGTCCTGGTCGAAACGACCGGAGCCGACGGCGTTGCTGCTCTCCTTACTTCGGTCGCTATCGACGTGGGGGTCAGCCTTGTTGGCCATGTTGCTTGTGTGAGGACCGGTAGTGGTGGAAGAAGTAGGGCCAGTAGCAGTCGACTGAGTAGTAGGGTGAGGAGCACCGCTAACGGTGTTATTGGTGCCGGTCATGTGAGAATGGTCGCTGTCGATTCGGGGATCGGCGGCGTTGGTAATATTGTTATCGTGAGGGCCGTGGTTAGAGGACTTGGTAGAGTCGTAGGCGTTAGCGGAGCCAGTGCCAGTGTGGTGGTGTTCTTGGGTGGACGAGCCGTGGTGGGTAACGGCGTCCTTGACCTTGTGGACGATGCCAGACATGTTGATGTGCGATGTATGAAAGAGGTAAATAGAGTTAAAGAATGAGTCGTGGAAGGAAAATTGATTTAGAGTAAATTCATACTAGAGATCACCGTGAAGAAGACAGTATATATACCCAATTAGGCCCATGACGCCATTTATCGCCAAAACAGAAAGAAACAAACAAAATGACGTTGAACCCCGCTTCCCAAAAAATGATGAATGCTATCAAAGCTGGGATGGTTGACCAGTCATGGAAAAGCGGTGTTCAACAAGGAACGGGGGCCGATGACATCGGTTAACGTCATACCGAGACCGCCATTGGAGTATACGATCGCCCTCAGCCTTATGCACGGAACGAAAGTAGAAGGCCTCGGAAGGGCGATCGTTATGTCGATCGCAAGATGGATAATATCTCTCGCTGAAACAGGACTGCACGTGCCCTGTTTACCCGTCTTTTTGCGTCATTCCAGTTAGCAACGATCGGATTCGACCTTGATTGGCGAATCAAGGAAATGATAGGAGAGCCAAGAAGTTGAATTTTTGTAGGGAGATCTTATAAGGTACCAGGTCGTTTTTAACCCAGCTAGATCCGAATGTGTGATCTGCAGATGCTGTCTTTCACACGAGACGTCAGTATATTTGGAATATCATCGCCGCTGGCTCTGTTCTCGGATGTGCATGTCGATGGGCGATATCCGCTTACGTCGGATCCGACCCTCAAGGAAATGGAGAGCATATCCAAAGAAATGAATGTCATTGCGAGTTCATGATTTTTCTCGCCACTGGTCAAAGGTCACACATTATTGCACATTCTTGACCAACTGTTGTGGTAATATTCCCAGTCTTATTCTATATCTTGGTCCCTATGACAAACATGTTTCACTCGAAAGGATTTGCTAAGTCCTTGGGTACTACAAAATAATGATTCTCACGTTTTCGTTCTGGGAATATTGTGCTATAACCAAGCAGATCTCAACATCAGTTTTCGTACACGCTGAGCAGTATGATAACCTTTGACAATGTAAATAATGCACGCAATAGTATGGCTCCCAACTGCTTCTCAGTAGGATAAACCACAGAAGCAACAAGATGCTCCATAGTGAGCGGATAGTGCTCGGACACAACGTGGAGTAGATTGTCTTCCCGAAAAGCTCCTGAGCTTTCATAATATCCTCGTGGTCTAGTTCGCGAAAATTTTGCAGGATGCTCCATGCATACGAAGTAGGAAAATGTCGTAGTCTTTGCACTGCTGTAGCTCTAAGCACCGCTTAATCACCGAGAATTTACAAGCAAGGGTACCACAAACCAGAGTGCGCAGGAATAGACAGCGCAAAAGCAGAGGAGTGGGAATCAGAGAAAACAGAGGGTGGTAGCATCTGGCCGTTAACCACCGCCCTCTAAATTGTTATTGGGTACTTCAGCTAATTAATTACATTAATCATTTTATCTACGGCCAACGCTATAACGACATCTATTACAGCCTGTTTGATAGCATCAGTCTTTTATCGCATTTGCAGGTTTTACGAGTAGCCATTTGGGTCGTGGGGTAGGGTTTATGGGGTCACGTTAGGCATGCCCGAGGGCTGAGCGCGGGTGCGGCCATTTTTCGCCGCTTATCGATTATTTCTCTTCACAGTAACTCTCTGCTCTCGGCGCCACTTGAACCCAAGGCCTCCGGGCACCCACCAAATCCCTGGTTATTAGTTAGTAAGGGTTGGCAGCGGGAGCGCTAAGACCAATCGTTGCTGGATTGTCCTGCTTGATCCGGGGACTGTCGGCGATATGCCAACGTAAGTAACCCACAAGCGGGTGGGCCACCCCAACACACCACAGTAAATGCAATTAAATAAGCAACCATCGTCAATATATGACTTTTATATCAAGAAACAATGGCATACTAATCAATGGGCAAAATTGGTTACTGTTGTCGATCTAGTTTATCACATTTACGATGTGCTTTCAAGTGATGAACTCGCTTGTGAATTACTTTACCAGCGCAGAAAGGGGTTGAAGGAAGGCACCTGCTCGATATCGGCACTGTGCCCGGCAGCGCGATCGGCACTGAGGTCGGCGATTTATCGCCGGGGATGGCTTCAAATCCACACACCGGTGGGTAGGATGGTGCTGAGCTCCATAATATCCCCGGCCGCTCCTTATATCAGACCTACATCTCGTACCTTAGAGTGATCGTGGCTGGGGAAAAAGGCACGGCTTCTGCCTCATTTGACCCTTTATGTTTTCAAACTCCGTCTCTTTTCGTTAATCCCCCGGTTACATTTCAGCCTGAAAAGCAAACGAAAAAGCGGTTCCGTACATCAAAACGATCGTGACAGCAACTATGGAAGAAGACCGACGACCTAACAACCAGCACAGGCAGGAGGCCCACGCTCATCTTGAGCAGATGGGCATCAAGTCTGAACTGAATCGCAGTGCCTTCTCGAACCTTGGTATGCTCGGGATGGCATTTTCGGTCGTGAATACTTGGCCCGCTATTGGCACCACGGTTAGTGCTTCGCTACCGTCTGGCGGGTCTAGCTCGGCCACCTGGGGCCTCCTCGTCGCTGGTATCTTCAATATGTGCTGCGGTCTATCTCTCTGTGAATTCCTGTCTGCCTATCCAACCGCTGGCGGCCAGTATCATTGGGCAGCTGTCGCTAGCTGGCAGCCTACGAAACGAGGTATTAGCTATATCACAGGATGGATTAATCTCGCAGCTTGGGTGTGCACTGCAGCTGCCAACTGCCTACTTGTCAGCGGAATAGTAACGAGTTTTATCTCATTTATGCACCCTGGCTATGATCCGAAGCCGTGGCACCGGTTTCTGCTATACGTTGCCGTCAATCTTATTGGCTTGTGCTTTAACCTATTTGGCAACCGCTACTTGGCCCGGTTGAATAAGTACAATGTCTACTTCACTCTTACGGGCTTTATGATTAGCCTAGTCACAATACTAGCATGCGCGGCCCCAGACTATCAAAGTGGCGCGTTTGTATACGGCGGCTTTATCAACAACTCCGGCTGGCCAGATGGCTGGGCCTGGCAAATAGGCTTGCTGCAAGGGTAAGCTTCGGACCCAGGGGGAGGCTTAAGCCTGGCTATAAATGCTCCTGGTAAACGCTAACGCTTCCTATAGTGCATTCTCTATAACCGGCTTCGATGCTACTATGCATATGATGGAAGAAATGCCAAAGCCAGAGACTAATGGCCCGAAACTTATTATATCCGCCATCACGATGGCGATAGTCACCGGATTTTGCTATATTAGTGCCGTACTCTTCGTTATCAGTGACATCCCGGAAGCTGTGAAGTCCTCTGAGCCCTTACTCACAATATATTACCAGTCTACTGGAAGCAGGGCTGGAAGTATCTGCCTAATGATCTTCCCCATTCTCGGCTTTGTCTTGTGCACAATTGATGATATGGCTACGAGCTCCCGCCTATCATACGCCTTGGCTCGCGATGGCGGCATGCCCTTTAGCCGTCATTTTACCCAAATCCACCCCGTCCTAGGCGTGCCCGTGGTTGGACTTCTCTGGTGCTCCTTCTGGGACATCATTTTCGGGCTGATCTTCCTCGGTTCAAACGATGCCTTCAGCGCTATTATCTCCGCTGCCGTCGTCTGTGTTACTGTCACCTACGCCATCCCTCCCACTATCAACTTGTTCCGCGGCCGCCGTATGCTTCCCGAAAACCGCCCTTTTAAGCTGCCGAGCGCCCTGGGCTACATTTGCAACATCGCCGACCTGGCTTGGACTTTACTTGTTCTCGTTCTTTTCGTGTTTCCCACGAAGAATCCCACTGACCCGGTGGACATGAACTACACCATCGTCGCCTTGGGCGTTGTGCTCTTAGTCGCTGGATCCAATTGGCTTCTAAGCGCCCGTAAGACCTACCAGCCGCCCACCCTTGAACTCTCCAATGGGCCAGATAAGTCCAGCTTGGAGGTGGATCAGTCGCTTGTGGTGGAGCAGGAAACCAAGGGTTCAAAGGAAGATCTAAGAAAAGAAAAAATGGATTAGATAGCAATTGATGTACACGCAGAGGCCATAGAAGCACTTGTTGGAAGATACTTTCTCTGTAAAAAGCTGTTATGAAGCTCTATAAAACAACTTGTCAAACGCTAATGAGCCGGAAAAGCGGTAGAAAAGAGGCTAATTGGAACCAGAAGGGCCTACTATATCTTTTGTAAACTGCCAAGCAGTTTGGGATTAAATGATAGTGATTTCTTGGCTACGTAGTGCCAAGACCACAGCACAGCTCCCCTGTCATACAACCTATGCATTGTATATCCACCAACCAAACCAAACATCTTCGCAATGTTCTACGAGAGAGAAAAAAGGACTCGGAAAAAAAGGGTTCCATAATTCAATACCTTATGCAAAAGAAATGGCTATAAACAAGACAGAGTAAGACAGAGAGTAAGTAGATCATCACAGTATTTCCAGAGCACACATAATCAAAAAGGAAAGAAACAGGAGCGCGGTTCATTGTAAAATCAAGGTTATGTCCTACACCCGCACACCATACATCAGAAAATAGAAGAGCCCGTGAGATAGACTTGACACGCATTTACATTGACAGAAGGAAAAGTGGAAAAGAAAACGGGAGTGGTATACTGCAACAAGACAGACACGCACACAGAGATCATATGCCAGGGAAGTAAAACGGACCGGAAAGAACAGAACAGGAAACATATCATACCAGAGAAGGAACGGTAAGCTTCGCTGGAGTTAATTATGTTGCGCGTGCAGTTTCACGGTTGGGGACAGATAGACATTGGAACAAAAAGAAACTGGGAAATGGGAAAAGGTGGTATCATAAGGGAGTTTTCGAAACCGCAAAGCGAAGCACAGCACAGCACAGCAAATCAAGCCACACTTAACTGACTCCACAGGGTAAGGAAAAGGGAAACTAGGGGAGCGTTGTATGCGAGATAAAGACAAGTGGCACAGAGATAGAGAGCCCGAAAGAAAATAGAGATTAAAATCACAACGAAACGGGAAGGGGGATCAAAAAGCGAAGATTTACTCCTCGGTCAACGCATCATCTCCAGTTTCACGCCACTCCTTGGAGCGATCAGTCAATCTGCGCACGCCAGCGACGCGCTGGGCCCAATGCGCCTCTGACGGGGTGCGGTAGGTAAAAGCGCGCTGCGAGGAGATGACGCCGATGCTCTGCAGGACGGCTTTGCGAGAGTCCCGGCTGAACACGGCCGGGTGGTTGATCCACTCGAGGGCTGAGTCCAGGTCTGCGTTCAGCGCGGTCATGGTCTCGGCGTCCACGGAGGATGCTGGGGTGATGGTGTTTGCGTCGGATGACATTGACTGGCTCTCGGCGAAGGTGGAGGACTTGGGTGACGAGGCGGAGGAGTTGTCGACGCCCGTGCCGGGGTCACTGTTGCCTGAAGGCCGCGAGGCGCCTGGTGGTAGAGGTGGGAGGCCGCCCTTGCCCAGGCCCTTGAGGATGCTCCGGGTTTCATTGAGGAGGTGCTGAGCACGGTCGTGCTGCCCTCGCGAGACGAGGGTCAGAGAGCGGGTCAGCATATCGGAAGTGAGCATCTCCATGCGGCGCTGCACGATCGAAGGGTGAGGAGGGATTGGAGGAGTGGGCGGGCGCTGACTCTTGGCCTTCGGGTTGGCGGGGAGCATGGTGATGGCTAGGAGGGATGGCCGGGGGGAATGGGTGAGGTGGCCTTCGCGCAGAAGATCTCCATAAGTTAGGTCGGCTTGGATCAAGGGCACTTCCTCAACGCTCAGAACGCGCTGTTCGTCTCCATCGGGACCGCCACCGAGGGCTTCCAGTCCAGACACCAGGCTCTCCCACGGATCTTGGGGCATGTTATCCTGCGTGGCATTGTCGGGTTGAATGACCAGCTGAACCAGAACATCACGCTTGTCACCGAATCTGAGATCTCCCAGAGCGGCTTCGGCGTCCTTTCCGGTGGCGCGCTTGGTAGTGTGGAGAGCTCCACTGATCTTGACAAACTTGGCGGGTGAGCCCTCTGGTAAGCGCAGCTTCAGCTTGACGTTTTGGTGGGAGGTTGTTTGCATAGCACCCAAGCATCCAGCGACACATTCGCGAAGCATCATCCAGTCCTTGACATAGACGTAGGAACCCTTGGTGCGAGTGGAGAGCTCGATCATCGTATCGGGCTTGTGGGTAAGACCCAGACCGAACGAGTGGATGCTAACCTTGGCAGCTTCGGCGCGCGACACCACAAAGTCCACACTCTCTGGGTCCGAGGTGGACGAGTCGCTGATCAAGAGGATGGTCGAGACGGGGTTGTTAAACTTCCGCTGCATCAAAAGATCCATGGCCACGTTGGCACCCTCGACCACATCGGCGCGGAGGCTCTTCTGTCCCACCGGCCGGATCGAGTTCAGAATCTTGTTCCATCCGTTCCATGATTTTGTGGTCATGCCGACCAGAGGCACGCCTCCGCCGCTGGAGCCAAAGGTCACAAGGCCCATGCGGTCCCGGGGGCCCAAACTCTGTACCAGGAACCGGAGAGAATCGCGGAGTAAAGTAATCTTGAGCCCTTGCATGGATGATGACACGGGAATAACCACGACCAGATCAAGAGGAATGTGAATGGAATTGATTGGCGTGGCCTCCACACCAAGATTGGTGTAGTCAGTGATGCCAGTAGCGGTCGATTTGGCGGCACCATAGGACGAGTTAAGGGACGCCTGGCGCTGCACTTGGCCATTTCCACTTCGATAGTCGTCCTCCTCCCCATTTTCATAATCGTATTCGTTATTGCGCGGATAGTTGTCCACGGGGTTAAGGTCCATAAGGGCACGGCGCCATAGATCAAGTTGGGTGCGGTCCTTGAATCGAAGATAGAAGCAGGGCAGTTCCGTAACGGAAAGATTCAAGGAGAGAATCGGCTCCTCAGATGAGGTGTCGATAGATTTGAGGTGCTTTTTGATGAGAATCGAGCCTTTGAGGGTGCATCGCGTGGGCTTCCGTTTGGAGGAGCCTTGGTCTTCATACTGACTCTGGTCCACGACCTTCTTTTCCTTCACACAGATGAGCATCTCTGCGAACAGATAGCACTCCAGCTCCTGCCAAGACTCCCGGTCTTTGCCGACGCGCATTTGTCCGTGGAGGCGAAGCTTGCCAAACCGTCCGAACTCCAGGCCGTGCCAGTTGTCCACGCGATTCCGCAGTTCCTCCGCAATCTCATTCATGTTCTCTGCTGGCTCGAATGGTGGCGAGCGGATGTCCACACTAGGCGGAAATCGCGCCGACCACGGCTCGTCAAGCTGCGACGGGCCAGCCGAGCGCAAGTCTTCAGCGTCCGGGCGCCAATTGCCCGCAGGAACCTCCACCGTCACCAAGCAAGTGAGCGATTGCTGTTGGCGAGAGCGCGTCATGGTAGGGAATTCGCTCCGGATCGTCACCGTCGGCGCGGGAATCGGGTTCTTTGAGGTACCCGGGCGAGGACTCAAATGGGACTCCATCGCTTGCACGTCGTAGTCATGGCGTCGACCGCCGCCTGTGTGTGGCGCTTCGGGATAGTCCCCAGATCCGGTGGTGGTGCTGCCATTGCGCGAATGTGGGTTGCGGTGATGCGAGTTCGGTGCTGTCAAGCGTTCCACGCGCTCACGCTGGTTGTTGGTGTCGCGACTGTCACGTCGATTGTAGCTTTGAGGATATCGACTGGCAGCCTCGCTAGGTGCTAGCCGGTTGCTCTGCTGATCCCAGGCGGTTGGGGTGGTAAGGCCACTGCGCGTGGTAGCGGCATCGCTCATGGTCACCGAGCGAACAATGCTGCTGATTTTCTCTGCAAGGGGGTGTGGTCAGGGGCCTGCAATTTTTTTCTCCGGGGTGCGGGGAAAGGAATGTGAACATACCGATATCTAGAACATTTCCACCACGACTCGTGTCCAGGCCTAGGGGTGCACTGCATGTTGGGCAGAATTGCGATTCGAATTCGCGAATGTACTCATAGAAGCAGGCTTCGTGGGATACATGGCTGCAGGAGAATTGGAGCACGCGCTCGCCCCGCAGAGTGTGCTCTAGCGGTTCTTCGCAGACGGCGCACTCGCTGCCGATAAAAGTTCGTTCTCGCCGCGTGCGGCTGCGGTCAACCTCCATTGGGCCTGTCATGGGCCCACCGGTCCTGGAATTGAAGGAGACCCGGGATCGATTGGAGTGACTACTAGGGTTGGGTTGCCAGCTGGGTTCCCGGTAGGCAGTGCGAACGGAGCCCGCGAGCGTGGACGGCGCTCGGGAGTGTTGTGAGAGCGAGCTGTCAGGTCGGTCGGGGCCACGGGTGAACGAGCGAAAAGAACGAAGCGTTGAGCGAGAAGGGGACTGCTCTGGCTGCGATTGAAACCCTGTACGTCACCCACCTAATCAGCCTATGCGGGGGGATAGGGGAGGGGGAGGGCGCAGAAGATGCAGGAAAAAAGATGCAGGTTGGCGCCAGGATCACCCAGTGTGGGATGATTCAGGGGGCGTGGGTGGGAAAGCGGGCAGTTTTGGAGGCATCGAGACACTCTCGAACACGTCTCATCAAGTGCGAAAACTTACGACTGGGCGGAGCGGGCGACTTTTTCCGTGAACGCCCCAGAAAGCCGAATTCAGGGCGGCTTGAATCGCTCCCCGACTTGGAATCCCTGGGCGTGGATCGAGATTTCCACATGGACGGGAGGTGATGGTGCTCCCTTGGCCGAAATGGGAAGGGTGATGGAGAAGAGGGAAGGAGAGCAAGCGAGCGGGTGAGAGAGCGTAAGAGGGAAAGGAGACCAAGTTAGACTAACTCGTAGTGGAATTCGGAGGAAAACATGCGATCGGGTCCACACAGCAACAACCACGGCTCCCGTTTCTCCCCTGAATTCATTGACCAGCACCCAACCACTAGGCTAGGGACACTAACTACGGGGATGTATCGGTCGGGTCTCTCTATCATCAATCTGAGATATGGCCCCCTTCCAAGATGGGGCCAGAGTGGTTCAGGGCAATCCTGCTCGCTGAAGGATGCAACCCTACCGATACAGACTTCAGCACGAGGCCGCGCACATGGGAGCGATCGCTGGTTCCCTGCTTCCTGGCGCCCGGATTGGGACAGGAGTATTCGGCATCCATGGATTAGAGCGGTTCATGTACATGGTCCAAGATTTCTGCACTCTTCCCTTGTTCCGCCGGGCCCTGCTGGCCGTCATTGGCTGCATCCCGCTGGCTCAACCCTCCGATTGAACCGAACCGTTTTCTGTCAGGAGAGAAAGGCTCGGTAGACCTGAGATATGGTCCAGCTCCGGGGAAATAATCGGTGCCGCTCCATGGGCCCGTTGCCGAGCACCATCTGGGATATATCCCTGGTCCCGACGTCATCCCTCGTTGCCACTTTCTTTTCTGCTTACCCGCGAGAGGGATTCAGGGCGGTGGTGGCGGATGACAATGGCCATCAGAATGGCGCTCCTTTCGATGGCCGCATGGGCGACACTATTGATGTCAATCCTTCTCCACACGGGGCTAGGAGAAATTACCCTCCTTGCACATCACTTCTACGGATCTCGTGGAACGTGCAGTACGTAGTGGCAATACTCCTGACGACTAGTTAGTCATTTATTCCCCCCCCGGTGATGTGATTTGACCTGTCGTCGGAGAATTCAGGCTGTCACCGACATAACACCCCTGCAAGTGTATTCGACTGAGCAACATGATCGTCGCCGTTGAAAGCTAGAGTTGTCCAAAGCCGGTGTTTCAAGCACTCCAGCCCCACTAATCAGCAACTCCGTCCCTGTGGGATCGAAGGATTTTAAAGAGCCAGACATGTCCTAGTACTGGTACTAAGTGTGAGGAAGGATGCGTACACACAAGTTAAATCTGCCTAGGTTGCCGGTATCATTGTCGGTGCTAAACTTCCCGAGATGCTGGCACCCCTTGGCGTGTGGAGTGCGTTATCCGAGCGCGGTCTAGAGCTGCGGCTCAGTAGGTTTGTTTTGGTTCTTAGAGACTTTCGTAAAGGTTTCAGGTGCGTGGCCTAGAGCTCCGGGGTGTTTCAGGACAACGTCTCTGCTTTGGCTTAGACATTGGCGGACACAATCCGACAAACATGGCGGGATCCGGGCCTGGATGCTGGGATCGATCATCCACGAGCATGTGGTACTTAAACAGTCCAGACTCCCCGTGGCTGGCTGGATCTGCTCCGACGGGTTGGTCGGTATCTCGTCAACTCGCCGGTGTTTCAGGTCCGCTTGCAACAATGCTCAAATCGCAGATACGCGTGAATCGTGCGCGGCAGAGTCAAGCTTAGGATACTATGTATGCTCGTATGCCCCTTGCCAGGATGGACGGATCCAGTTGTTCATTGTGATCTATCACCTGTCAATTGCGGACCCCCTCCGGGTGAGGAGACACAAGTACAGTACTTTGGGTCTCCAATGGCAGTGTTTAGTGACTGAACACAAGATGAAGTCCATAGGCCACCTCCGTGTCTACACTGCGGTTTGCCCTGTTTGCATTGTCCTACACCGGCCGCCCCCGAACGGAAAACGATGACTAAGCCCCTGGGAAAGATTCGTTCCCAACGGAAAAAGCTCCATCCAGCCAACTTTTTGTTCTCATCCTCATAACACATCCACCATGCTCTTCCGCTCGGTCGCTCGTCAGGCAGCGCCTCTACGGCGTTCGGCCTTTGCTCCGCTTGCCCGCCGCTCCGTCACCACCGACGCCGCCTCGTCGCACGCCGAGAACATCCCCCAGGTTCGTTGGGAGAAATCCCCGTGTCGGAAAACTAGGGAACCCGCCGGACACCCTGCTAACATCAATTGCGCGACAGGAGGATGACAAGCCGTTCACCGTCCGTCTCTCCGACGAGAGCTTCGAGACCTACGAGCTCGACCCGCCTCCCTACACGCTGGAGACGACCAAGAAGGAGCTGAAGCAGATGTACTACGACATGGTGTCAATTAGGTAGGCAAAGAGATCATTCCGCGCGTCACAACGGACCCTAATCAATTGGCGCAGACGCATGGAAATGGCCGCCGATCGCCTGTACAAGGAGAAGAAGATCCGGGGTTTCTGCCACCTGTCGACCGGCCAGGAAGCCGTCGCCGTTGGCATTGAGCACGCGATCAACCGCGCCGACAAGGTCATCACCGCCTACCGTTGCCACGGCTTCGCCCTGATGCGCGGCGGTACCGTCCGCTCCATCATCGGCGAGCTGCTCGGCCGCCGTGAGGGTATCGCGTACGGCAAGGGTGGCTCCATGCACATGTTCGCCGAGGGCTTCTACGGCGGCAACGGTATTGTCGGCGCTCAGGTGCCCGTCGGTGCCGGTCTGGCTTTTGCTCAGCAGTACAATGAGCAGCCCAACACCAGCATCATCCTGTACGGTGACGGTGCCTCCAACCAGGGCCAGGTGTTCGAGGCCTTCAACATGGCTAAGCTGTGGAACCTGCCGGCTCTGTTCGGCTGCGAGAGTATGTTTACCCATCTAGTGCGGCAAACCGGTTTTGACTAACTTTTTTTTCTGCAGACAACAAGTACGGCATGGGTACCTCCGCGTCGCGCTCCTCCGCCCTGACCGAGTACTACAAGCGCGGCCAGTACATCCCGGGTCTGAAGGTGAACGGCATGGACGTGCTCGCCACCAAGGCCGCCGTGCAGTACGGCAAGGACTACGCCGTGTCCGGCAAGGGCCCCCTGGTCTTCGAGTACGTGACCTACCGCTACGGCGGCCACTCCATGTCCGACCCGGGCACCACCTACCGCAGCCGCGAGGAGATCCAGCGCATGCGCAGCACCAACGACCCGATCGCCGGCCTGAAGCAGAAGATGCTCGAGTGGGGCGTTACCTCCGAGGAGGAGCTCAAGTCCATCGACAAGTCGGCCCGCTCGCAGGTCGACGAGGAGGTCGCTGCCGCAGAGGCCATGGCCGTCCCCGACAACAACTCGCGCATCCTCTTTGAGGACATCTATGTTCGTGGCTCCGAGCCGCGCTGGATGCGTGGTCGTACCGTCGACGAGACCTTCTACTATTAAGGGGGATGTCTTTCTTTAGGGGGAGGAGAGAGTGTGAGACCCGGATGCTTGAGCCCTTGTCGTCCCGGTTGCGGTCCTGTTCCTATCTATCACTATTCTGTAATTTAGCCTCCGATGACTTGTTTCTTTTGTCCCTTTGGTTTCCCATTTCATTTTGGTTAGAGTAGATTGCAATTCTCATCGTCTTTGGAATTTGGATATTCTTCTACGGAGTTACCAATGTGTCAAATATAAATTAAGTATGAAATAATTACCTATGCATCCTGAATAACCCTAATAACCCCAAACGCCCGCTATAAATAGATAATGGGGGTATCAAGATCATAAAACGTGCAGCGACCCAGCTTGATCGCCATAAGCAAGAACAAAAAAAAAAAAACAGAAAGGAAAAAGAATCAAGCAGGATCCTGTCTCAGCATATTAAGAATAACCTCCTGGGTCCGCTGCAACGAATCCAGCTTCTCCTCTATGGCAGCATTCCGTTCCATTGCACTGCGCAACTCAGCGCGCATCTCCTGCCGCAGTTCCGCCTTAATGGCTTCGATGTCAACCGACGAGGCATGTTGCAGAGACGCGCGTTGAGCAGTAGAGGAGGAGTTCTGGACTGCAGCTTCGGAGGCGGATACTAGCGCTGAAATGACGGATGACGAGGAAGGACGGCGTCCTGCGCCGCCGGCGGTCATGGACGCGGCGTCGAGATGTTTGTTTAGCTTGTCTAGTGTTTGGAGGAGAGACCTGACCATGCGGTTATCGGGTTGCACGGGCGCGGTGGGCGTGAATGCAGCTGGGGACTGGGTCGATGGCATGTTGGAGAACATTGTTTCGAAGCCCGGGGGCAGTTTCACAGAAGAGACCTGGGTGGAAGATGGTGGTGGTAGGAGCGGGTGTGTAGCTGCAGCTGGAACAGGAACAGCGACATCAGCGGGGAGAATGGGAGCATCGCTCGCAGAAGAGGAAGCTGAGCCCGCAGCAACAGGAAGCGAGGTATCCGTCGTCGGCAACTCACTCGGCGACGACGTAGACGGGTTCCCGTCGATCTCCGCAGCACCAGCCGCAGCCCACGGATCCCAAGCCTGTTGCTGCTGGTGATGCTGGTGATGATGATGGTGCTGACTATGATGGTGAACATCCTTGCCCGTCCGCTTGCGACTACTCCTCGAATCGCGTTTCTCAATGCGCCGCGCCTCGGCCTCCTCCCAGCGCTGCCAGGTAGGAATCCACGCATCAACCGCAGCGCGCCACTGCGGATTCGAGAGGTCCTCAGTCACCGTCGCACCGCCCCCGCGAGCACGCTGATCATCCAGAAACTTCCGGCGCTGTTTCGAGACCAGCTCGACCTTGCGCCGCACAGAGTGCCACGAGTACGGATGCCCGTGGGCGCGCGTGAACTCCGCCGTAACGGTCTTCCACCAGTTGCACAGGTTGCTGCGGTGGCCGAAGTTTTCGGCGTGGCGGTTGCAGATCTCAAACAGGGAGACTTCTTCGCGTGTTGTTAGCCGCTTGCCGTGTTTGCGCGGCATCTCGTCGTTGCCGCCGTCGAGATCGGCGTCGCCTTCATCGGCGTCGCCGTGCATAGCCACGTTCATGCCCATGTCCATGTCGCTTCCGCGGGAGCGTTTCGTTCCGCGGGCTTTGGTGTTCCCCGGTCCGGACATGAAATACCCACTACTCCCCGGGGTCGAGGTGGAGTTCGAGTTACCACCCGCCATCGGCACGAAATACAGGTCTCTTTCGGAGACAACGCCTCCCACACCTCTTTGTGGGGTGGTATTGTTCCGGTTTGGTTCCTCTTCTGCTTGCCCGTCTCCGCTTTCCGAGGCGTTGGCCGGTGTGACCACTGGTCTGTTCGTTACTACCACTGACACAGATTGGTGCGAGCCTGGCGCGAGGGTTGATAGATTTTGCGAGGCAGAAGAAGTCTGGTAGCTGTGTGGTCTTGCCTGTGAGCGCGATATGGGTTGGCGCATCTGCCGCATTTGGTGGTAGGCGGTAGTGGTGGAGATTGGACCTGGACGGTGTTGGGTTGGCAAGGAGTCGCTGCCCCAGGGGAACATGGACATGCTACACCCGGTAACAGAGCAGAGCTCCTAGCTCTGAGGATTGGAGTTGTCCAGTTTGTTGGGCGGTGGTAAGATAAAGTTGATCCGTGACCGATTATTGATTGTAGTTGTTTGATTGATAGCGTGAAATGAAAATCTGGGAAGTTTGCAGTTCGCGGCAGTAATTTTCACCGGGCGGTCACGTTGATGTATACACCAGGTATTTAAGGTACTTCCCTAGGGCTTCATGAATGATAGATAATAGGAGATAAATATAAACACTCCGCTAGCAACAATCCAAAAAACGCATCGCTAAGTATTTGATCATCCAAGTTTTCGTCCCATCCCTGAAATATATCCTGTTCATGACAAACCACCAACAGCCCAAACTACTACCGTGGAGACCCATCCAACTCAGCCCTAACGGTCCCCTGCTCCATCTCTACTACATGATTCCGATCACCCTGGAGCTCATTTAGTCTCTGACCCGGCTCCAACCCATCCTTCTCCAGGGGTGCCTTCTCACTGGAACCCTGGAGTTCAGTCTTGCCCGAGGTGGCAGTCGTGGCAGACATCGGTGCTGGTGGCGGCGGCGATGATAATGATTCATATGCCGCGAGATCTTTTTCCGCCTTGGATTTGCTAGATTTGCGCGGATGCCAGTATAGGAAAAAGAAGAGGACGCCGGTCATGACTACGACTGCGAGCACGCCAACCACGATTCCCGCAATTGCGCCGCCGGAGAGAGACGAACTGTCGTTTTGCTTCTGATTCATCGGTGCGGATGAGCCCGTCCCACTATCACTGCTAGACGTTGGAGTGGGTGTCTGCTCATGTACGCCCGTGCTGGTCGCAGTGTGCATCGAACTGGTCGCAGTGTCCGTCGCAGTTGCATGTGCCGCAGCAACAGACGAAGAAGCATGCTCAGTGATATTGCTAATCACCTGGTACGAGTAGATCTGAGAGCCAGAGCCAGGGTCGGCCCATTCCCAGGGCTTGCACGTATACCCGACGGAGTTGTCGGTGTTGTTATGGGAGCAGCCTTTAACACCATACAAGTATATGCACCACTGGCCGCCCCGCGGATCCCAATCAAACGAGTTTCCCTTGGGATTGTCGATGTCTTTGCAGGCTAGTCCGTCTTCGCCGTGGTTCGTGAGGAGCTTGCCGTCCGGGGGGGTCCAGGAGAAGACCCATGCCGTTGTCGGGGAGGGTAGACAGGATAGGAAGAGCGGTAATAATAGAAAGAACGATGAGGGCGCCATTATTATTAATGTGACCGATTGACTGTCAGTCAGGAAATATTATTGTAGATTTGACTTTGGGGGGCGCGCCGTGCCTTATGAGCCAACGCCTTTCCGTCGGGATGCCACAGTGCATATTTAAACGAAACGGGGCTCCTTCTTCGTGCCCCCGGCCTAATTATTGGAACCCACAAATGGAGCAAGGCCATCCGCTGTGGCCAGCCGTCTAGAGTCTCTTGGCTTATGCGCCGAGTCCTCTACGGGCAACGAAGTCTCCAACCACGGCGGGCCGAATACGAGGGGATCGGCAGACTAAGGGACAATCGCAGTCGGAGACCCCGTCAGGAGCTGAGAACCGTTGGTTGAAGGATGCACGGAGATTGGCTTTAGTTTAAACTGTCTCTGCATGTCATGGGTCGATCAGGGATGGTCATCCTCGGTGGTCGATGCTGACAGGAGGGAGACTTTTAGAGCTCGGGGTATGAAGCCCAAAACAGAAAAGGGTCTTTCTCCGTGATTGGATGTGACTGATGCGGGCGAATGCAGGGACTGAACACGGGTACACGAGAAATATATAGCCATTTACAATAATAATTCCATCGGAGCTATGGTGATAGTACAATTAAAAAACAGAGGCAATCAACACCATGGTCAACATGATCCCGGAGCACACAGATGCAGAAAAAAGATCCAACAGGGAGTAATACACCCGGAGTGGGGGAAATGGTAGAAACAAACAGACAGGACAGGATCTACCACCGTCTCTTCAAGTACCAGCCGTAAGCAGGGGTGCTGACCGTCTCGCCGAAGGGAGTGGGCACTTCGGCAGCGCCGGGTCGGGCGACTGGGTGCCGTAGGTATACGGCAGCACAGATGTTCTGGTTGACTTCGAGGTAGCGCGGAATAAAGGCAAAGGCAGACATGTAGTCGCGCGGACGCCAGGGTGTGGCGTAGGGCTTGGAGTTGTCGATAGGGTTGTCGCGCATCTGGGTGAGAGCGCGCTTCAGTACGTCAAACTCATCGTCCGTCAGCTCCGAAGTGTCGACCTCTTCTCCCTTGGAGGCTTTCTCGAAGGCCTCCGACAGAGCCTCGCCAGGAGCCGCATCTGCCTCCGCGGCCTCAGTAGCAGCGGAGTCCTCATCCTTTGCGGGTCGCCGCTCCTTGCCGCCTTTCTTGGAGTCTTTCTTGTCGGCGCGCTTCGCCTTCAGGAGCAGCGTTAATTCTGAGAACTGGTTTTCCAAACTGTCCGTGAGCACGCTGCTAGACCCGGCGCGGGACATCACACGCCGCACGGCCTTTTGGAACCCTCGCAGCTCCTGCTTGCGTTTGGCGGGCAGTACCTCATGGGACATGACATTTTTGGCTTGCGCCATCAGCGCCTTGAGGGTTTCCCGGGTGTTCTCTTTTTCACTCTCCTTAGCCTCCGCCTCGGGCTTGACCTCTTTCGCCTCACCCTCCTCGGCTGGGGCTTTTTCTTCCTTTTCTTCCTTCTTCCTCTCCAATCGAGCTTCGCGCCGCTCGAACTTGTTCTTGGGGGCGCCAGTGGCATACATGACCCGTTCGGGATCGACCTGGAACAGGTCACCGGGGTTGAGGAGGTAGCTGGGCTGTCTCATCTGGTTTCTGTCAGTAAATCTCACCATTGGTTGGGATCATCAACTCATACCTTCTGCCCATTGACCGTCACCGCACCATGAATAACAAACTGCCTCGCCTGCCGGGCACTGCTGGCAAACAAAGCCCGAAAGATAGCAACATCCAACCTCCGCTCCAGCGGCGCGAACGCCATCTGCGTAAAGGGCATAGGCCGTACATTTGCCCTGGATTTTTTAGCTCCACTATCCAGACCCAATCCCCGACCAGAAGACACCAGTGACCCATCATCGGCCGCCAGGTCAGCGACGTTCATGGGGACGACGCTGCGGATGCGCTTGGAGAACATGCGCTTCCATTGGCCCTCGCGGACTTGTTCGCCGTGGTAGGCGCGGGAAATGGCCTTGGCGGACCATTTCTGCTGGAAGAATGTGCGGTTGGCGGTAGGTGGGCTGCGGAATCGCGAGAGGTTATACAAGTTGTATTTGCTCCATGACTGGCGGATTTTCTGGGACGAGGAGGACACGGGTTAGTTTTGGGGAAGGATTGGCAATCGGGGAGGAGGGGAACGTACCCCCCTGCTCAAGGAGGTGGTGGCCCTGTTTCTCATGCTGGCAGCTCCGGGGACACGAGCAATGGCAATGGGATCGAGGCTTTGGTGCCAGACGGAGCACCAAAACTTCCGCAGGATCATGCACGTGACATGGCCCTTGATGCCGGATAGATCAGGCCAAATGTTTGAATCACATGACCAATTGGCTCTCGCTTACGCTAGTGGCCCACCGCCTTCCCTCCCCCTATAAAAAGGCTTCCCGCCCAACTTCGTTTCCTCTTTTTTCTTTTCTTCTTCATACTTACCTTGTTTGGGTGGCTGCGATCATGAAGGCGGTCCACCACAGATTGGTCCCTGCATTGCACAGCGCGGTGGAACAGTTTGTTCAACGGCCTTCGGGTCATTGACAGGCGTATTCTTTGGCACTCTCTTCCACTCGTTGGACCTTTCTTTTCATCAATGCTCGGGCCAGTGGCTCGATATTGGAGAAGAGCAGTTGAAGATGGTTCTGTAGCCGGTATATTCAAACGGTGCTGTCCTCATAGTCGAATGCTCCTTTAAATGTACTCGTCGCTGGGTCCTGGTGTGTTCTGTTTACGTATCTTGAAGCGACTTAAGAGGCTATGTCACCAACAACTTCCATCACTTAAACGCTCTATATTGATCAATGTAATGGTATCTTGATATGGAGAATGCAGAAATCATGTAAAGAAAATGCAACGCTGCTCCTAAATGCAAATCCACAAACGCCAGCCTCTGGTTCTCACTCTCGCCGAGAGCTGGGAAACGCCTCCGCCAGTGACTCGGCCTCCTGAGGGTTCGCCCACTCCTCCAGCAGCTCATGCGCCATGTCAACAGTCTCATCGTCAATGCCAGCCTCGAGGACCGACCCGTCACAGAACGCCAGCCGGGTCAACACAACAAGATGTTTCTGCTTGCTGCCGGGCACACACGCCAGCTTCTCCTGCATGTTGATAAAGGGCCCGTGGCGCCGCGTCACCCCGAAGATCAGCCGCATCAGCCCGTTGACCAGCGCTACACGTAAATCCTGCTCCGGTGGGGACGAGTAGAGAGCGTCTAGCTCGTCGTGCATCGATCGGAACAAGCGGGCTAGCGCATTTGGGTGCGCGGCAATGATCGCGCTGCCGTGCTCCTGGGCGGGGAACGCTGGATTGAAGGCCAGCGTCTCGAGGAGCTGTAGTACCTCGAGTCGCATCGCGCAGATATCAAACGGAGTGTAGGGGTCGACTCCTTCATCTGGCTGCGTCGATTCGCTCAGCATGAATGTCAGACGGTCGACGATCCACTTCTGCACATCGGCCTGGCCTTCTTCGTCCGACATGATTGGGCCAAAGGATTCAGGGCGGATGCTGGTCGACAGCAGGTTCAGGATGAGAACAATATCCCTGAGAGGCTGCGACCCGTGTAGCATCACGAGAATGAATGTGTGGCGTATCTCTCGCCAGAAGCTTTCAAGAGCAGCTTTGACGTGCAAAATCTCACAGGCAATATGGTACAGAAGGCGCAGAGCCTCCGTCGAGTCAACTTGTGGTTGCAGGTCTGATTGAGGGGTCTGACGCAGTGTGCGCGCCCTTTCCCGCGCTGCAGCTGGGGAGTATCGAAATCGCGGCACGGCATTCACCTCGACGGAGTCTTGTAAGACTCCCACGAGGAAGGTGATCAACTCTTGAAGGGGCGTCTCATCCATCATGAGAATAAATCGGGCGATGGACACAAATCGGGGCACGGGCATGTAGAACCGCTCCTTGATCGCTTGCTGCCATAGGTTGGTAATCGACTGCACGTATTCTACCACGTAGTTGCCTGTATCTAAACGGGCCATTTCGTCCAAAAAAATGCTGGACATGGGTCGTGTCGGCTCAGTGGGGAAGGCCATTTTAGCCATTGCCTCGATGTCAGTCTCCTGGCCCGGGAGCATGCGGTGATTCAAGAGCCGTTTCGCGAGTCGATGGTTGTAACGTTCTGCTTCGGCAGACTCGCGTACTTCGGGTACTTTTTCAGGGTTATCGGCGGGGGCATCGACGATCATGGGCTCGTCCGCGGATATCAATTGGAGGGGCGCCGGACTGTCCTGACTGGCCTGTCGTTTACGCTTCCCAGGAACCGATGGCGTAGCTCGTTTAGACCGTGCGGACTTGCTCGGTGATACCATTGCTATCTCCTCATCATCGAATCCATCGCGGAATGGAAGCACCCGCGACTTCTTGGGGGTCACAGGCGGCGCCTTCTCATCGGTCTTGTGCTTTGCCTTGTGGTTCCTGATTTGGTAGGTCTCGTCGACAAGGTCATGTTGAAGGAACATGTTCTCTGTGGCCAGCATTTTCCCTTCTGTCATGGCCGCATCTACCTCTCGCTTGTGCTTGGCTGCCTCCTCAGTCATGGATTTCCTAAGCAACGCCAGCTGTCGGTCGTACTCCTGGACCATTTTCGCCTGCTTGGACCGGATAATCGATATCTCTCCCGCTTTTGTTTCTGCCTGTCTTTTGGCGTCTTCTAAATCGCGCTTCATCTGGTCTCGTTCCTGGGCCAGCTGCAGAGCAGTTTAGCACTCGTGTCTAAAAGTCGTTCAAGGGGGATTCCCACCTGTTTTAGACGCGCATTGAGCTCCCCGTAGGCAAGCATATCGCCTGATTTATCATCCAGCTCCATTGCGTCCTCCATGATACCCTCCATGGTACCACTGGTCGCCCATCCACTGACGTCTGCTGCGACGGCACCACCCGGAGGACGGGCTTGCGCAGCACCGACATTATCATACACCTCTGCCTCCAGCTCTCCCACTTCCAGCGTTCCATATTCGTTCGTTAACCCCGTGTGTAGGGGTGGAGGGGGCTTCAGGCTCGTCGATTGGTGTTGACGCTGGGCCTGGGTGGCTTGGTAGGCACTCTGCTCCAGCTGGTACAGGGTGCCCGGCGGCAGGGAGTCGAAGTCGTCGGAGAAGTAGTCATCGTCGTCATCCATGCCCTTGAGCCATGAGAGAATGAGAATCAATCGGGGTTGATTCAGTAGAGGAAGTGTGGAAGAGGTACGGATTATGGATTGTTTGGCGGCCTGACCGCTTTCGGGCCCGTAGTGAGTCCGTCCGCCAGTTCATTTCACATGAGCTCATATTCTCTCTTCTCTTTCTCTCTCCACTCTTTTCCCCCCAACCGAATTGGTTTTCTCCTTTTGCTTCCATCCCTCTTTTATCTTCCCCTTTCTTTTTCGGTTTTGCCATCATGTCCATGCGCCGCAATGTCCGGTTCCAACACCGAAACGGTGAGCGGCGCCTAAGCGTGTCGTCCGACATCAGCGACGCACCCTCGGAGCCCGCCAGCCCCGGCGGCAGAAATGGCAGCGTCTCTAAGCAATCCACCATCCTCGAAGAAGAGGTCAGTGAAACCTCTGTGTATACTGAATTTGAACTAACCTGCGCTTGGGTATCAGAAACCCGCGCTGTCCGAATACGAGAAGAAGAAGCAGACCTTCATCACCCGGACAATATGGACCTTCGTGATGATTGCGGGATTCTTCATCGCCCTGTTTTCCGGTCATATCTACATCATCGGCCTCATTACCGCCGTGCAAATCGTCTCGTTCAAGGAGGTTATTGCCATCGCCAACATCCCCAGCAAAGAAAAGAACCTCCGCTTCACCAAGTCCTTGAACTGGTACTTCCTCGCTACGACCATGTATTTCCTGTACGGAGAGAGCGTCATTTATTATTTCAAGCATATTTTGTTGGTGGATAAAGTGCTGCTGCCGCTGGCGACACATCATCGCTTCATCAGCTTCATTCTCTACGTCATGGGTGAGTGAGGTGGACGCCTGACGTTGTTGTCGTGCTAAACTTTGTTAGGCTTCGTGTTTTTCGTCGGATCTCTGCAGAAGGGACACTACCGATTCCAGTTCACTCAGTTTGCCTGGACGCATATGGCTCTGTACCTGATCGTCGTTCAAGCGCATTTTGTCATGAACAACATCTTCGAGGGCATGATCTGGTTCTTCCTTCCTGTGTCTCTGGTTATTACCAACGACATTTTCGCCTACATCTGCGGTATCACCTTTGGACGCACGCAGCTCATTCAACTCTCCCCTAAGAAGACGGTTGAAGGGTTCATCGGCGCGTGGATCTGCACCATTATCTTCGGTTATTTCATGACCAACATGCTGATGCGGTACAAGTACTTCATCTGCCCAGTCAACGATCTGGGATCGAACGTTTTGACCGGCCTGGAGTGCACCCCGAACCCGGTTTTCACTCCGCAGCCCTACTCGCTTGAATGGATTGGCTTGAACAAGACCATTTACTTCGAGCCGATGCAGTTCCACATCCTGAGCTTTGCCACTTTTGCTTCTCTCATCGCTCCATTTGGAGGATTCTTCGCGTCTGGCCTGAAGCGTTCGTTCAAGATTAAGGACTTTGGCGAATCGATTCCCGGCCACGGCGGTATCACCGACCGCATGGACTGCCAGTTCATCATGGGTTTCTTCTCCTTTATGTACTACCACAGCTTCATTGCCGTCACCAACGCTACCGTTGGAGACGTCATTGAGACTGCTATCAACGGCCTGACTGTTGACCAGCAACTCGAGCTCGTGCGCGGCCTAGGCAAGTACCTGTACAATCAAGGTGCGGTATCGGAAACGGTCTGTATTTCCCGATTTCTACTTCATCTCGCAATTACTGATCGTTACAGGCATTGGAATGTCTCGCCGCGGAACTCAAGCGCTGATGACACGCTTCTTCGCGCACCTCTCCCCACCAAAAGAACAAAGTCATGACTTTCCTTTCTTCTAATTACGTTCTTGTTCACTTCATGATCCGTGATTCGTCACAGGACGAGTTTTCAATCCCGTGCTTCGCTTCTAGCCTCGCAACTCGCAATATCCTCCGGGTTGTTATTTCTTCGCCGTGCCAATTTTCTCTGTCAACTTTCCCTGTCGGTCTAGCGTCCTCCTTGCTCCTCTGGGCCGTCCATGGACGTTACATTGGGATCATCTTCCATGCACACGCACCAAACTACATTGATCTACCCGGATGTCAACACGGAAAGAATCCCATTCTCGGAGAAAAACCACCAAAAATTGCCGAGACTGCGACCAAGTGGCATGGGGAGTCGATGTTCTATTTCACTTCATGGCTGTTTTCTTTCCCTTGTCCTTTTTTTTTTTTATGTTTTGATATTTGATGTATCGGGTGGCAGTTCTGACCGAAGCACTAGTGGCATTAAACACCCTGATGTCCACGCTGATGCTCGGCAATGTTTGGCGCAACTGTCTACACCAAACACGAATTCTATATTCTCATGACTCGATATGGGCTAGTTTGTTGGGCAGCGAACAAGATTCCCATATACCTGGCTCCAAATGGGGAGAGCCTACGAAACGACTGCGGCTACCTGGCTTTACTATCATATTTCTACTCTCCTGCCTGTCTCGCCTGTTTTGTGTGCTTGTTTGTTTTTTGCTTCTCCTTTTCAAGGCAGATAGGCAGGGGTGTAAGATGAATACAAAACTGTACATAGCTTTTAAATTCAAGCGCTGAAGCTGATCTAGAACCTTGTTATTCTTGAGTGACTGAGGCTATTCATACCAAACACATAGAAGTGGCGAATGAAGTCGGCGGTGCTTGAGGACATCAACTACCTACTCACTCCAACTTCACCAGGATCTTTCCGCCGGGCGTTGGCAGCGCATTGATTACTCTGTCAATCTTGTCTCGGCGCACAGTGACGGCAACGACCTTGTCCTTATCTGGGACATATGAATGGCGGCCGGCCATGTATCTAAATACCGAATTCACACATTTCATGTCGATCTCGTAGCACAGCAGATGAGACACTGGTAAAGAAAAAAAATATGCAGTCCAGCGGCCACTTACACCACCATGGCCGAGGGCTCCGCGCTGTAGATGGCCGTTAGGACAAAGGATACGACGCGGACACGTAGCTTTGGCTTTCGTCCACACTTGCACGAAAAACGACTTCCCGCAAAAATGGCCCACCGTCCGTTGTCAGCCATTGGCAGTTGGACTGCACTACTCGCAGGTATCAGGACTCCTCTTCGCCGGATTGCCGGCAAATGCTGCGGGCGGAGTTCTTGAGGCCGTCTGACGGAGCGACGAAGTCCGCCGAAGTCCAATCTAGTCAACATGTAATGAGCTCCCCGCTTGAACCCCACTTGAACGAAACGGCGGTAGACGCTATGGTGGTGAGACCATCGTCCGCCGTTCACCAGTCCTCAAGTGCGGGCCTTGAAGATTGCCAGTCCACCGACGCCCAATCTCCGGCGTTTCCTCCGTGAAAAGAAGGAAAGAACAGATACCTTCATGTGACTTTACTGATTCAGTATCAGTGGCAAGGGCTTGGACTGATGCGCTACAGTGCGGGGAAGCAGAGAGCTCCTTCTCAGGCAATTAGTGATTAACTTAGTTCAACGGTTGGATGTAAGCAATTAGCCCATCTGTATAAGATCAATGATGGAATTGCGCAATTAGCCAGCCAACTCATGTTCAAAAAAAAAAGCCACAGGATATGGAAGTTTCCGGTTCTCAGTATCAAATTTATGTTTGATCGATTCGCTTGTCCCTGAAATTCTTAAACATCGTCCATTTGGCTACTCCAGTACCCCGGGGTCCTCCTTGACCACCTGGTCATAGTATGGCTGGAAGGCTAGCCACATCTTATTCGAGTTGCCACTCTTTTTGTGCGTGAACTCTGCCTGCTCTTTGGCGATGTAATTTTTCTCAAACCCAGGGCATACGGCAGCGTTAGCAAGCATCTGCGCGTGGCAACATCGGTCCAGCGCAATGAACAAGAAGGCCGCCTCGTCGACCGTCCGGCCACACGTAATCATGCCGTGATTCTGTAGGATAACACTGCGGCAAGTCGGACCCAGCGCTTTGGCGATATGGTCACCCTCCTCAGCGGTGAGGACAGTGCCTCCGTAGCGAGGGTACACGGCCAGGTCGTTGTAAAAGCGCAGCGCATCCTGATACAGCATCTCAATCGGGCGGCCGAAGCAGCTGAAGGCCTTGCCGTATACACTATGTGCATGGCATGCTGCATTGAGGTCCGGCCGCGCGCGGTGGATGGCACTGTGGATGGCGAAGGCCGGGCCGTTGATGGCGCTCTGCGCTCCCTCTGGAAGGACCTCACCGTTTTCACTGACGAGAACCAGGTCGCTGACGCGGATCTGCGAGAAATGTGTAGAGAGTGGGTTGATCCAGAAATGTTCGGGGTTGCCAGGATCGCGTAGAGAGATGTGGCCTGCAACACCCTCATCAAATCCCTGCTTAGCAAAGACTCGGAAAGCGGCTGCCAGGTGCTGCTTCAGGTATGTGCGGGTGTCGTTGACGTTGTCAAATATTGGTGGGCAACGCAGCTTGACCTTGCCGTCCTTGTCGCCCAAAAAGTGCACATCTTCCGTCCACGACGAAGACGCAGCCAAAGGGGCACGAGCAGGATCTCCTTCCTTGGTGGCTAGCTTGGTTTGTGAGGGCTGGTGCATGGATGTCTCCGTACTGGTGGTAGACGACATGATGGGTGTTCCTTTGCAGCAGGCGATGGAGTGCGAAGTGCGATGAAGGCTCTCTATCTTTTCCTGATAGAAGCGATTATTGACAAAATACAAGTTGTAGTTGGCGCAATCTCAAAATGGCTATGGCTTATGTCTTAAAAAGAGCTTTATTAAACCCAGAAATAATTGTCCGTCAAACAGACCTATTCCCCTCCGTGGAGCATTCCGTGCGTGGCGGGGGCTAGTATTCCAATGAGACTCTAGCCGCGAGATCCGTGATGGATCCCTTTCGCCATGTTTGTTGTTCTCTATACCCAATCATGTATCATTCGCCGGCTGAACCCCAAGCGACGGAGTATGACTCTCCGCTCTCTGTGGTTGGCTGTTTGCGGAGTGAATTATCCGCCTCCTCTCCAAAGAAAAGGTGAGGGGGTTATACCTAAGTCTCTAGACAAGCCCTTTCCTTACTTTTTGTTCTTCCCTTCGCCGATTACACTTACGACGGATACTTTTATAACTGGATCATTCTGTCCATAGACAGTCATCCTAGTAACTCTTCAGCGGCGGAGACTAAGTGTGACTTAGCAACACTCACCCATTAAATTATAATAGCAAATCCGGGACTGCCTATTGCTTTTGCTATTTCCCGGGCGTGTTGGGCGACTTGTTTTATTAAGATGTTGAGAAATTTATGGAGGGCCTAGTGTAAACCTATATATTTTATGATACCAGAGTCCCATTACAAAAGGATTTCAAACTCTTCATATCAGAAAAACGCACTACTGAATACCCTAGACTGCTCTAATGCGAAGGGAAAGCATACGTACGTAATTGAAAATTTATGCAGGAAGAGCAAAGAACATCAAGGCCCGGAGCTTTAGGGACAAAAAATAGACTCCTAGGGAATCCATGCCCAGGCCGGCCCCGCCAAGGGAGTGTATAGTTCATGTCTTAACAAGATTATGTCACCCACACACATCACCGTAAAAACCCTTTCTAACCCTCAAAAACATCAAAAACACTACCACATTCTCAGAAAAGATCAAAAAATGGACTCGCGGGGAATTGAACCCCGGACCTCTCCCATGCTAAGGGAAAATCATACCACTAGACCACAAGCCCATTTGATAAGAAATTTTGGACCTAGATTGGTATAGGAATCAGATTTTTAAATGTGGGCCATTCTCTTGGCTGAGTTGTTTTCCAGAACTGAAGCTTGGCCCTGACACCAGTTCGCTACCCGATACCCCGAGCACTGCACCCCGCATTTTCTACTGGTCTGTTTTATGCAGTTTTTTTTCCACAAATCAAGTCTATGCAGCACTGACTCCCATGGAGTATAAGTAAATAAATTTCAAAGAGGCAAGATAGGATAATTCAGTCAAAATTCAAGTTCTCAATGTACTTCTTGTCGATCCTCGCATTATTCTCGCTTGCGGTGACGGGCTTGTCCCATCCAGCAACCAAAGTTTGCACTGTACCCGCTGCTGGTTCGGAGACAATTGACGATGCCCCTGCCGTGTTGAAAGCATTCGATGATTGCGGACATGGAGGGAAAGTTTTGTTCCAAAATACCACCTACCATATCAATAGTGTGATGAACACGACTGGGTTGGAAAACTGTGAGGTCGATCTTCGCGGAACGCTTCTGGTAAAACAGTCTGATAAAATCGATTGAATGTGAACTGATATTTGGAAAGTGGAGCACAAACACCTCATACTGGTTAAACCATTCCTTGCCAGTAGGATACCAAAACCAATCAACCGCATGGCTTTTCGGAGGCAAGAATGTTCACTTCGACGGCCACGGATACGGAACATTGAATGGTAATGGACAGGTATGGTATAGTACTACCGGATCAGTATCTAATTACCCAGGACGACCACATGCTATGACGGTATCAACTTCTGATTCCGTGTTCAATGGCGTGCGGTTTGTTCAAAGCCAGATGTGGTATGGAGACCAAAAAACGAGGAACAGACATGTGGGCTAAAGACGTATCATAGGACTCTGTCTATTATTCACTCACAGAGGACGTTGTTCGATCATATTTACGTCAACAACACCAATCACGGCGGTTCGTCTCGCAACACTGACGGTGCAGACACCATCTATAGCTCTCATATCACCTTTCGCAATTGGGAGGTAGATAATGGGGATGACAGTATAAGTATCAAGGCCAACTCAACAGATATTCTCATCGAGGACTGTTTGTTTCACCGCGGCCTTGGTATTGCCATCGGTAGCATTGGCCAATACAAGGATGTGTATGAGGTCGTCGAGCGGGTCATCGCCAGAAACATCACATTCGATGGGACGCTGCATGCAGTTTACTTCAAAACATGGACTGGGGAACAGGTCAATTACCCTCCGAACGGAGGAGGCGGCGGCTTGGGACGTAAGTTCCTCGGTAGGCCTCTTTAACGAAAACGCTGGACACTAACATCCGTAGATGCCTCTGATATGGCGTTTGATGGCCTTGCCGCCACAGCATTGCGAGGTCCTGCCTTCGCCATTTCTCAATGCACCACGTTTTCGGGGGCTGCTGGGAACTGCACATCCTCCAAATTTCAGCTGCGTGACTTATCCTTCAGAAATATTGCAGGGACAACGACAAGCGAAGACGTCGCTAGCTTTCAATGTTCAGCCGTGAAGCCCTGTGAGAATATTAAGATCACCGGTGTAGATCTGGTTCTCCAATCCAACGGCACACAAACTGATGAATATTTGTGTGGGAACGTCGAAGGGACACGTGGATTTAAATGCACAGGGGATGTTTGTGTTGGTGGAAGTGCGACTGGTGGCTGCTAAATGTCAAAGCCCACAGTCCTGACTGTACAAATTTATTGGGTCGTAAAGGCTCCGTCAAGCTTCTCTCGCCAAAGTTCAACGTCCAAGTAGTAGCCTTTCGCCACTATACGGTTCAACCCAGTAACAACACTATAGGAAAGGACTACGTGCAGCACTCACAACAATGAAAGTTTAGTAAATAACTGCTAGCAATATTTCTATTTTGATATCTATATAAACGTAGTGCGGGTACCTCAATCACTTATTTTGGGCTTAAGGATCAATGACAAGCTCAAGAAAACGGACTAGTTGTTTCTCCCCATTCCCACGATGCGTAACTAGGAGTCTTAGCGGTGAGAGTTTCGGAGAATCGTTTAACAGCGGTATCAATAAGACGTTATGCGATCCCAAAATAGTCGCTAACAGTCATGGCCATGTATAACTTTGCGTCATATTACTAGCTGTTTTATGCTACTTTGCGTTAACTACGATTGTGTGCTGTCCCCCACGGAGCGAAAACGACCATCCTCCAGCCTCCGTATCATACTTGGTCTTAATTCCGTTCACCAATATGATACCCGGTCGTGAAAGCGCTGGCAGCACAACCACTCCGGAAGTACCAATCGGGGCATTGACCGTGACAATGTAACCACGGGGCTTGAGCGCCCATCTTGCCCTAAATTTACCGAGATCAGTCTGGAAGCCTCCCTCCACGAACTTCAGGTCGCCAAATTGTGGCTGCAGGCTCCACGTTTTGCCCAAGGGGCTCATGATGCTCAGACCAAGCACATGCTCTGTGAGAGCGTTTGTGGGTCCACTGCTCCATCCGTGTGAGTGAGATGTATAGCTCGCGTCCTTGTAGCCACGGTTGTAACGGTATCCGAACGTACCATCGGGGAGATATCCCTCAATGACTGTGCTTTGCGTGCCGTTAGGATTGTTGAGGTACCAGCCCCAGCTCCTTCGGATCAAGTCGAGAGCGCGCAGCGATTGTCCAGCCACAAAGTGAGCGTTGACTTCGATGGACGAGATGAACGAGACAACATTGTTTGTGAGCTCAGGAGACACCGCGCCGATTGAGTTCCAGTTTTGCGTGAGATGGGACGAGATAAATTGTGTCTGATTGTCGTTGGTAAAATTGAACACAACCGCCATGCTGTTCGCATCTTGGGGAATAACAGTCGTGGACGTCGCGCTGTCCCGATACGCTCCTACCGCGTCATCCCAGCAATGGGCGTTAATGGCCTCTTGAAGATTCGTGGCACGTTCGAGACAGGTGTCGCTAAGAACGTTATCACCCATCCACGCAGCCAGAGACGAGCCTGTGATAAGCGTTTTATACAGTCTAACGATTAGTTCCATGTGAAGTAGCCCGTGTCTGCGCGACTCACATCATATTCGCCTCGGTAAGGTTCCCACCCGTGATAAGGCGACCCCAGTCTTTTGTGCCAGTGGAGTACAAAAGGCCGCTCGAGTCAACCTTGGCGTAGATGTAGTCGAATGCGGCCTTATATTTGGGCCAGACGGTGCGGAGCCAAGTAAGGTCATATGTATATAGAATGTAATTATACGTTCCAATCATTGTCCACATGTGGTAAGCTAGACACGGTTAACGCTCTCCTCCCCTAGAGAGTGGCCGCTTACTGTCACTGTTTTGCTGCAGATATGGTGGACCCGATTCTGGGAAAGAGCCGTCGCTATTCTGGACTGAGATTAACGGAAGCTGGGGGTTTGCAGCAAAGCATCACGTACCTGATGGTCGTACATTGTCTGCAACGAATTCTTCGTGCTCAACATATCACCAATGCTGACAAAGTTCGAGGGAACAGCGACTCCCATATCGCCGGGCCAGACGGCACGGTCACGCTTGGCACCGTCAACCAGGATAGTGCTTCCGTTGCCGAGCACACCGTTTAGGGCCCATGGATAGTTTGGGTACGATGGATTCCACTGTCCAGTGTTCCTATATAAAGGTCAACCACCGGCACGGGCAGCGCCAACTGTTTACGTACGCTGGCACCGCGTTTGTTTGCAGGGTGTATGCCCCACTGTACCAAATCTTGTTCAGCTCGTCGTCACTGGAGTAGAAATAGCCCTGATACGCCCGCAAGTTGGACCACGTAGGTTGAAAAGAGAGTTCAAGGTCAATGTTGGATACAGTCACCGTCCCGTCACCGACGAGGAATAGAGTTAGGTACCGGAAGCCTCCTCGCATCACCTCATCCGGCATCACATAAGTTCCGGAGCCGTGAGTGAGGTTGGCATAGATTGCACCATCGGGCGATCCGCTATGCGAATTGTCCGACGCCTTTCCGATCCAGTTCTTACCTTCAGTGAAGGCCAGCCCCAGCTGCCCGGCGGTGCTTGATTTCCAGCTCAGATGAACGATCCCGCCAACTTCGATGCCAAAGTCCAGGACCGCCAGTGAGCCATTGCCGGACAACTCGATATTGTCGGAATACTTCAAGCTCTCACCGTTAGCAAAGGACACAACTGCGCTGGGACTCACGGTGCGAGACCTCGGCGCATAGATATAAGAGTCCCAGACGCCTGAAAACGCCGCCTTGGTTGGACCGGTGCAGTCGGTATCTCGCCAGCAACTGCGGCCGGCAAGAGACGCGCGGGCGAACAGTACCGACGTCAAAACAGAGCCTAAGGTCCACATTATGTTTCACGCGATGCAGTTACCTCAATGGCCTGTTAACGCATCAGGAAAACGGACAGCTGTTCCCTCTTATACTGCAAGGTTTGACAGTGTAGAAGAATGGGGAACTCAAAAAGTTCGTGCAGTGTCGGTCAATTCTGCACCGAAGACTGGGTATGAGAAATGGGACTATACAGTACACCAGAGACACGCGCGGTGCCCCTAGGCTGCTGTCTCGGCTGCGTCTCTAACTTGCCCGAAGTGGACCTGGGTTAGCGTGTAGACCTTTCTGGATTCCCCGCAATATCGCTCGGGAAACACAAGTCCGAGGACACTCCGTCTGTTGACATTCTAAGTCCTATTACGGTATCGGTGCGAAATCCATAAGCCACATTAGTGGTGAAGGATCCGATGAGATCCATCGCTTACATTGGGAAGGAAAACTGCCTTCTTCAAGCAGGGTCGTCCTGGCTGCACTTTTGGGTGGTTTGGATGCCAATCACATCCAACTTTCCCGGGGAACTCGACCTAATTGTCTGAGCATTTTCTCCTGCTTCCGCTGCAGGGCTTTGTTTTTCACACTTTATACCTTTATTCCACTCCCTTTCGGATATACGTGCCCTCAGTCTCCTCGTTGGTCAGCTTGCTGTCTAGCTAATGGCACCGCCAAGCATTGGCCTTTGCCATTGAAGACCATTCCTCGGCAGTCGACCGACCCTTGGGCTTTCGCTTTTCTCGGCACCTGGTCCCCCAACTGCATTTTCTTCACGGGTCAAAGTTTTTCACCACTACGAAACTGTACTAGATAGCTCCTGATTCAGTGTTGGTCTTTTCATCAGCATTTTTTATCGATCGGCATGGCGCCTGAGACGGCCCGTTTCCATGAATCCGTTTGAAGGTCTGTGTCCACGTCGCGTTACTTTAGCCCGAGCCAGGATCTCAGTTAGTGCGCCTAGACGGAAATTCTCAAGGCCGGAAGTCAAGGTGGACTCGATCTTCGAGGGAATTCCAGCTGCCCCTCGTAGGCTAGAATGTGAATAATCTTCTAACGTGCATTGAGAAAGATTCTTATATAATGGTCTCGCATTACCATTGTCCTCCAGAACTAACCACTCAAGGATCGTGAATCCAATAGTTTTTCGAAGATAAATTGAGAAATGGTTCGACTTGCTTCAGGACTTGCCTCATGGGCGTCCAGCTCCCTGCTGTTGTGCTGCGCCATCATCGCGGCTCGGGCTGATGACAGCGACTGGCCCATCAAGAGTACCAATTACACCGACACGGTGCAGTGGGACCACTACAGCTACTTCATCAACGGTCAGCGTGCTTTCCTTTTTGGAGGCGAGATGCATCCATTCAGGTTGCCCGTGCCAGAGCTCTGGGAAGATATCCTTCAGAAGATGAAGGCCATGGGCATGAATACCATGTCCTTCTACAGTCTCTGGGGATACCACGAGCCCGTACCAGGCAAAGTCGACACCGAGACCGGGGGTCGCGACCTCACCCGCCTCCTCAACTATGCCCGTGAAGTCGGAATGTTTGTGACTCCGCGGCCCGGTCCTTACATCAACGGCGAGCTGAACGCTGGCGGCTTCCCTCTCTGGCTGACCACTGGAGCCTACGGCACTCTGAGATCCAATGGCTCTGCTTACACTGAGGCGTGGGAACCATATCAGTCTGCAGTCGCCCAGCTTGTCGCCCCATTCCAAGTGTACCGCAATGGTACGGTTATCAGCTACCAGATCGAGAACGAACTACCCAACCAATGGATTGATAAGTCGAGCAAAACGCCGGACACTAAACACATTGACTACATGGAGAAGCTCGAAGAGAATGCTAGGGCTAATGGAATAGGCATCCCGTTCACGCACAACAGTCCCAACAATGACTGGTCTTGGTCTTCCGACTGGGACACCGTAGGTGCGGGAGGGGATGTAGATATACACGGCTTCGATTCCTATGTTGGTTCCCCTCACGCAATCTGACACAAAGAAGTTACTAATGGCCAATCATCTAGCCCCTGTGCTGGTCGTGTAACCCGTCGCAGTGCTCGAGTTCGCACCCGGCATTCACTCTGTTAGATTATGTGTCTTATTTCGACACCTATTCCCCGTCTCAGCCAAGCTACATGCCGGAGTTCCAAGGTGGCAAGGTGGTCCCCCTGACGGGTTTTCCGGACGGCTGTGCGGACACGGTTGGGCTTGAGTACCGAAACATCTACTATCGTCACAACATCGACCAGGGACTTACGGCAATCATGTCCTACATGACATACGGAGGTACTAACTGGGGCTGGCTCGGTGTCCCTTTCCTGGGCAGCAGCTACGATTATTCTGCCCCGATTGCCGAGGACCGCTCGCTGCGGGACAGCTTCTTCGAGCTGAAGAATCTCGCCCTCTTTACCAGAGTTGCATATGACCTGAGGAAGACAGACCGTATCGCATCAGGAACGAATTATACCACGAATCCTCTCATTTTGGCCACAGAACTGCGAAATCCGGATAACGGTGCTGGCTTCTATGTTGTCAGGCACAACGATTCCACTTCTTCGACCCCGGTGACTTTCAAGATCCAGCTCGACACGTCAGTTGGAAGGGTGACCGTTCCAGCCCACGAGAGCGAGATGACTCTTAGTGGCCACATTGCGAAGATCCTAGTAACCGACTTAAGCATTGGAGAGGAATCCATCATATATTCCACCGCGGAGGTGCTGACCTACGCCGTCATTGAAGGGGAGACGACGTTGGTACTATGGACTCCGGCAGGCGAGGGAGGAGAGGCCTACATAACAGGGGCCTCCACCGGCACTCTGCTGACCAGCCACCAGACCAACGTGCGTTTCCGCGCGGCAGAGAAGGGAACCATCATCACGTTTGAACAACCTATCGGGTTAACCGTCGCACAAGTCGGAAAGGTAAAAGTGCTGGTCGTGGACCGGAGCGTCGCCAACTTCATCTTCGTCCCCTCATTAAGCGCGGATCCGCTTGTCCCCGTCAACGAGACCGGTATGCCTTCCTCTTCCATCCCCCTCCTTCCCCTTGGCGCCGCTTCTTTCCGTCCGTCCCAGAACCCACCAAGCACAAAATTGAGAGGCTGACAGTCATTCAGTAGTTGTTTCTGGCCCATACCTCGTCCGAGGAGCCAGTATTGACTCGCACACAATCTATGTTACAGGAGATACGGTCAACGCTACGCAGATTGAAGTTTTCGCACCCCATGCAGTGAAGAAAGTTGCGTGGAACGGTAAGGTTCTCAAAACTGAGCGTACCTCATATGGCAGCCTCAAAGCACGGCTCTCGGGGCCAGTTAGAGTCAAACTTCCAAAACTCGGCCCGTGGAAGGGTCAAGACTCTCTCCCCGAGATCTTGCTATCTTATTCCGACACAAGCCTTGCGTGGATCGAGGGGAACCACAGCACCACGCACAATTCCGGCTCGGGAACCGTCCCGTACCTCTACAGCGACGACTACGGTTTCCATACTGGCTCGTTCCTCTATCGCGGCCGGTTCAACGGCACAGCAGCTGGCGTCAATATGACCGTCTACGGGGGCGAGTCTGCCGGGTATTCTGTCTATCTGAACGGCAAGTTCATCGGGGCGTTCCTCGGGAGCTCCTCTAGCTCAGGATCTCTTACGCTCGATTTTCCCAACGACACGTTAGTCGAGTCGGGTCCCAACGTGCTCGCCGTGGTGGCAGACACCTCTGGCCACGATGAAGGCGGCGGCGCGACATCCGTTCGCGGTATATATCAGATCAGCCTAACAAACACCACCGGGCCGGGCTTCTCCTCGTGGAGGATGGCGGGAACAGCGGGAGGTGCGGACGGTGTCTATCTGGACCCCGTCCGGGGCGCGTATAACGAGGCCGGATGGCAGGCGGAGCGGTTGGGCTGGCACCTCCCGGGATACGACGACTCGTTCTGGCCGGCATCGAGCCCTTCGGAGGGCTTCGCGAACGCGACGGTGCGCTTCTACCGTACCACGGTGCCACTCAACATCCCCGAGGGCCACGATGCGTCTATCGTCTTTAACCTGCAGAACCTCGGAAGCAGCTCAGCAGTCAGGGCGTTACTCTACGTCAACGGGTATCAGTATGGACGTTACAACCCTTACGTGAACGAGGCGACCGAGTTCCCTGTGCCACCGGGTATTCTGAACTACAAAGGCGACAATGTGATCTGCCTGCTAGTATGGGCCCAGTCTACGAGCGGTGCGGCAATCTCTTTAGACTGGTCTGTTACGGAGGTGCGAGAGTCATCGTTCAATCCCAGAATAGACGCCGGTTACCTACAGCCTCGGTGGAACGCGACCCGGCTGAACTACGCTTAGCTGATGATTTGTGATACGGGAACTTTCGTGCCGTCAAGCAATAGGCCCTGCCATGTACGCTGAGACATTATGTGGGAAATCCATCAGAGATATTTGGTTCAGATATCCATGTAGTTAAGAGTATACGTGGAAGTAGCAGAACGCGGGTGTATTCTGGCTGGATCTGGCTGGATTGTGGCAACATAATTTTCTTTTATAGTAAAACTATCAAACATATGTATTGCTTGCTTATTTTATACCAGTGGACGTGGAAGAACGAGAGTAATATAATTAGTAGGCATATCATCATTCATTGCATCGTTAGAAACTGTCATCCATATAGGACTACATACCAAGCCTAGTCAAAATCCACAGGCGGCATGTCCCTCTCCTCCACAGCAGTCTGGATAGTCTGCTGCATCATTGCAATGGCCTCAGACCAAGTCATCGTTTCTGGAGAGGGATGAGCTCCGACACGTCGAGATCCCTGTGAACGATTATGGTCACCGACAAGCCAGACCAGCCATCTCACCACCGAAACAGCCTTGTCAAGATCTTTCTCTTCCCTCGTCACGCGGTGGAGGTATGTAGAAAGCGAGGAGACATCGTCGCTGAACGGACCGTCATCCGCAAAGGCGGCGAACCAAGAGCCGACTGCATTTCGGAGATCTGGAAGGGTTGATAGTCTCTGCGAGGTGAAGACGGGTCGTGGCTGTAGAGGCTCGAGGGAAACGCGCTTCTCGATCGTGGGTGGTGCAATGGCGGGTGCTTGAACTTGGGGCGGTGGTTTGCGGACCGGGCGTTGGAACATGCGCGCACGCTTTTGTTCCTCGAGAACTTCTTGGCGGATATCCTCGGGTAGCGCAGCGAGAAACTCGGCGGATACTTCTGGTTGGTCCTCTGCGGTAGGAGACTGCTGTCGGGAAGTGGTCTCATCGTCTGTATTGCCAGAAGAAGTGCTTGGTCGGGGAAGGACGAAAGTCGACTGCGCTAGGGTCTTATTACCATCGCCGAAGGCTGTCTTGGGAGCACGACCGCGCTTCTTCTTGGGCGGAGAGGCCGGCTTTCTCACTCTGAGAGACCCGGAGGTTGTGGGGCGTGATGTTGGAGCAGCTGTAGCAGCTGGAGGCGGTGCAGGTTGTGCGGATGTTGGTACCTGCTTGTAATAGCCCAATACTTCGTTCCGCACATCTTCTGGCAGCGCGGCCAGTGCTTCGGGGTCCAATTGGGACTCTGGAGGAAGGTCTGCAGTTGCTGGTGATCGCTCTGGACGTGGAGGCGGACACGGAGATCCAGAGCGCTCCTCCTGCCGGGGTTTTGCCTGAGATACAAGTCTGGACCGAATGTCACTCGGTAATTCAGACAAGACCTTGGGATCTGCTTGAGTGGGCATAATGAATTGCGATCCGGACATGTTTAGAGGCTTGTGAGCGCTGTTGCGGAGCAGTGGGTCGACTCGGATCGGAGTCAAATCACCCTTGTGGGGACTCTCTAATTCATCAGGATCCAGAGTGGCTTTGATCTCCTTGCGGGGCGGTGATTTCTGAAAGTTAAGCTGTCGTTGACTGCTTGCAAGCGTCTCTGAAGAACCACCAGCCTTTAGTGATTCCAGTTTGGTCATTTGCACTCCCAGTCCTCTCAAGTCACCCGGAGAAAAGCTGAAACTTCTCAACATCGAGACGGCTTCTTTCCCGAGGACATCAGTTGCATTGGTGGCGACACCAATGACCACGCTCTTGTTGAACACATCGCATTTCCCATGACCGAGATGCTTGACCGGTTCAAGGGGCGCATCCATCGACCTTCGCATGACCTTGAGGGTAAGCTGTTTACCCTTGACCAGATTCTCCACCAGTCTGCGATGCAGCTCCTCGCACAAGGATCGCACAAAGTCTTCTGCTTGGACTTGGTTGACGAACCGGATGCCCCAGTTGACTTCGGCTGAGACTGATTTTCTCATGACTTCGTTTCCAACTTCTGTTCGATCGATTCCTCGAGCATACTCATGCATTTTGACGCCTGTTTTCGGTCCCAAGCTCGAGACTAGCTTATCCTTGGGGGTCTCTCGGATGTCTCTGACGAGCTTGATACCGAGCTCTTCCAGTTTGGAGCCCAGACTGTGACCCACACCAGGAAGATCTTGGACTGTGAGGTTTCCAATAAATTCCAAGATATCGTCAGGCTTTAACTGGAACTGGCCGGCAGGTTTCGCTTTTCGCAAGGCAACTTTGGCAAGCAGGATATTGCCGCCTATCCCCACCGAGACGGCACATCCCGTTTTCTCCTTTATGGAGTCGCGCAAGTTCGCAGCGATTTCGTCGGCCTTGGCTTGTTCGCGATAAATGGATCCTTCCGATATGCCTCTTCCATCAGAGCCACCGGCCTCTAGACACTGGTTGGTGACATCAACTAGAGCTTCGTCGATGCTCACACTCTGCACCGTGCCATCAACAGAGAGGACGGAACTGTAGAATTTACGGCTCGCATCTTCGTAGGCAGGGAAATCGTAGGGCAAGATTTTGAGTTCGGGGCACATCTGTAACGCCCCCTTCATCCACATGCCATTTTTGATGCCATGTGCGCGTGCTGCGTAGTTGCAGCTAGCAATCTCGGAGCCGGATCCTGTCCCATGAGCGATAGCAACAGGTTTTTCTCGGAGCTCGGGGTGCTTCAGTAAAGAAACAGCGGCGAAGAAAGAATCAAAGTCCACGTGTAGGATGTAACGCCTGGATCCAGGAGCAAGGTTCTTGGGAGATTTTCGATGTTGCGATTTTTCCATAGTTGCCGCTTGAAGTTGAGCCTTCAGCTCAGCTTTCCATGTGGACAGGTGATGAAGACGAGACTCCCTATAGTATTGCTGGATAAATTCCGGGTTGGCAACACTGGATTTTTGCATTCGAGGGTCGGATAAAAGCTGCGCATTATATTCTTCGGACGTCAACTCGGGCCTCGGGGGACTGGGTGCGGGTAAAGGCGTCTCGACATTATTTGTTTCTAGTGGTGGTGTACTTCCACCATGATCGGAGTGCATGGGTGTTGATTCGGAACTTTTGGCGGTCTCTGGCATCTGGCGTTGCTGAGGAGAAGGTTGCTGTGGATCCTCGTCGACGCTGAAACTAGGAAAGTCGCCATAGTCCGACTGAGAGGCTGGGTCACGAGCCACACTAGGTGTTACTGGAGTAGCTGCCGATATGCGTGAGGCGTCTGGACTTTCGTTGGGCATCCCCATCGTTCTCAACTGGGAATTATACCAGCTGACATTGGACTGGTCTTTGTACCCACTGCGAGGAGTATTGGTTTGACTGGTAAACCGACCGTCGCCGAACTTGAGCACTTTCTGAGACTGTCCCTCATCCACCACCCTGAATCCATCCCATGGCAACAGACGACCAGCCCTGATGCTTTCTGTCACCCACGCGGGCTTCACAATGCGGTACCGCCGGAACTCCTCGCGTTTCTTGGGCGTTAAAGAGCTGGCAATAATATGGGTTGCGACCGTTTTGCCATCCAGATATTGAAGAAAACCACCGCCATGGCTCACAATCAGACGGTGCAGATCCTGAAGGGAAGGTTGGGTGTAGCCGTTGACGTGGGCGACCACGCCACGGAATATCGGGGGGCAATCTTGAGATGTCGCCCGGATTTCGGCATCGAGGTTTTGAAGCTTGATTTTCTTGCGGCGCATATAGTCTCCAAAGCCGCCGAAGCTGGAGGCTTCGTATTCCTCGCCGGCTTCATCGTGAAATTCATCTACTCGCAGTCGCGTTAGAAAGCAGACCCCAAGGGTTTGATGGGTACATACGATTCTCGATGCGCTTGCGCACCTCTCCGGATTTGGTATCAAGACGAGAGCCCATGCTGGGCTGAGGCAGGCACCATGACCGTCAACTGTGACGTGATGAAGATAAGTAGAGAAACGCGACTGGGTGGGTCTGAGGATGGCAAAACCGCGCGTTGAGACTGGGCGGTGCTGAATACGGTCAAGAGTGGCAGGAACAGGGCGGTGTAAAAAATGCAAGGGAAAAAAAAAAGAGCAGAGCTTTGCGCCGATCGTCTGTTGTCTCGGATCCGTTTTTCTCTTTCTTCCCATCCACACTTTCTTTTACCTCATTCCTTTCCTTCATTCGGGCATTCTTTTTGTTAGATCGCTCATCATGTCTGCCGTTCAGCCTGTTGCTGTCTACGCCCTCCGGGTTCCTCCCGGGGTTATGATTCCCGCTGTCCCCAATGCTGCTGCTTCGGTCAGTATTATGGTCCATTATGGGATAAGATGAAGAAAACTAACTCGAATACAGTTCCGGGTGAGCATGGCTGCCATTGATCCTGATGAGGAGCCCGAGTACGAGGACGGAGACTCGAGCAAGCCCGCACGCGCGACTCTGAAGATCATTCGCCCTCCTCCTGGGATGGACCTGGATGACTCGGATGAGGATGATGAGGACTACAGTGATGACGATGAGGAGGAAGATGACGACTCCGACGATGATGAGGAAGTCAACGGTGGCCCCAGCGACAAGGAGAAGGCTCGGAAACTCAAGGAAGCCGCCGCTCTGAAGGACCTGGAGGACGCGATGGAGGAGGATGATGATGACGAAGATGAGGATGACTCCGGCTTCGACCTCAAGGCTGCGATCTCCAAGCTCATCAAGGGCAAGGGTCCCGCTACTGATGACGATGAGGAGGACGACGACGAGTCGGACGAGGGCCTGGACCTGGACGAGAATGTCATCTGCACCCTGAACCCCGAGCAGGTACTTCCTCCCATCCCTTCCAGGCGATCAACAGAGATATCTAACTGATTATCGTACAGAACTGCCAGCAGCCCCTCGACATCACTGTCTGCGAAGGCGAGCGCGTTTTCTTCAAGGTCTCTGGTAACCACACCATTTTCTTGACTGGCAACTATGTCATTGGCCTCGATGAGGGCCACCCGGATTTCGATGAGGACGAGGATGATGAGGACGACTATGACCTGTCCCCCGATGAGGATGAGCTCGACATTGAGGACCTGTACGGTATGGAGGGTGACAGCGATGACCTCGATGGACTGGAGGACCCCCGGATTGCGGAGGTCGACAGCGACGAGGAGACCCCCCAGCTTGTTGAGGCACCTACCAAGGGTAAGAACAAGCGTGCCGCTGAGTCGGACGAGGAGCCTAGCCTGGACGACATGATCGCCAAGGGCAAGAAGGGCAAGGCTGAGGAGCCAGCTCTGACCAAGGCTCAGCAGAAGAAGCTGAAGAAGAACAATGGCGATGCCGCTGCTGTGGAGAACAAGAAGGAGGACAAGAAGGAGAGCAAGACCGACAAGAAGGTTCAGTTCGCGAAGAACCTGGAGCAGGGTCCTACCCCGTCGGGTGACAAGCCCACGGGCACTCTCGGCGTGAAGGAGGTCAAGGGCGTCAAGATAGATGACAAGAAGCTCGGTAAGGGTGCTGCCGCCAAGCACGGCAACACGGTTGCTATGCGGTACATCGGCAAGCTGGAGGATGGCAAGGTCTTTGACGCCAACAAGAAGGGCAAGCCGTTCACCTTCAAGCTCGGCAAGGGCGAGGTGATCAAGGGCTGGGACATCGGCGTTGCTGGCATGGCTGTTGGTGGCGAGCGTCGCCTCACGGTCCCTGCCAACTTGGCCTACGGCAAGAAGGCGCTGCCGGGTATCCCGGCTAACTCCAAGCTGATCTTCGACGTGAAGCTGCTCGAGATCAAATAGAGTGCTTGCTTTCTCTTTTCTTTTTCTATCATCTATGGGTTGCAAGGGTGTTTTTTAAGGGTCTACCGGTTTGCTTGCATGATTCCCGTGATATCCGACTTGTTGTTTCCTTTTTTCAACTTGCATTCAGCAGGGATGAGGTTATCGCGAGGGGCCTGAATGTGTGTGTGTCCCTGTCGGAGAAGATGAAAAAAGTTGTGTGTATTTTTGTATGTATTTTGAATCTAACTATGGCGTGTGTCCGACCTGTAAGTGATTTGTTCCATTCTGGATTAGTATCGAACTGTCGATGGTGCTTTCCCTGTTTTGTCCGCTGTCTGTTGTCGCTGCCGAGTATGTCTTCTTCATCTTACCCTCTTCTCTTCTCATTTTCGATGATCTTCACATTGCACTGTCGTCCATTCTATCGTTAAAAAAAGACCGGGTTGTCCAGTCCCTGTCCAGGGGAACTTCGCACTCCCTGCGTTTGCCCGAGAAGACGCCCACACCATGACAGCCTCAGATGAGCAGAAAGATAAAAGCACCCGAAGGCTGTTTGCCATTCTGAGATCAAATCGATTCACCGTCACCAAAGTTGACACTTCGCCAACGGAGTCAGCAGCTTCAGAGAGCCCAGCGACGGACTCCCCCATCTCGGTTCACGAAGCTACCAAGCATGGACTGAGAGTCCGACTGACTCGGAGTGGCTCCAAGCTCTTATTCTTATTCGGACTGCGAGACTCTTTCACAAGTATGCGTCTCTCTTTTCTTTCCTTGTTCGTCAGATAACCAGTCATAGGCACCAAGACATCGAGCACAGAACCTGGATCACCGACGACGCCTCAAAGCACGAATGAAGTCTCGGTGTCATCACCAAATGATACGGAAAGGGATGGCTTGGCTGACACTTCTTCTGCACAAAGCCATTCACTGGCTTCCTCATCTTCTCCCATTCTCGCGCCTAATGTGGTTGATCCTGCGCCGGGATTACCGCCTGCCGCCGGCAACAAACCGGGAACTGAAGCCTCCCAACCCCCTGAGAGGACTGGTGTGCAGCAGGAAATTGCTACCGACGATGGTAACCGCATCATTCTGAGAGAGCCTCCAAATACGACCAGCTCGAAGCTCGATCGACTCTCGCAGAAGATCTCCTCGTCGTTTAACCACCCAACGGTGATCCGCCGTGGCAATCTGCGAAATCGACCCAGTGTTCTTGTCCTCGACTTTGCTGCTCCCAATTTGTGCAAGCAGGGTGACGCCGCGAATGATATATCGAATCCGTCCACCACCCCGAGCAGCAATGGCTCTCCTCTCAGCGGCCAGTCCACGTCTCCAACTTCTGGAGAGCCGTCTCCTTCGCCGGAAAGATCTAAGCCGTTCAGTGAACAAGGCCCTAGACCGACGGACTGGGGCTCTTTGTCAAGTCGCAACGTGGATGTGAAGTTGGCGCCTGCTACTATCACGCCGCCGAACACCTCCCCGTCTGTCTGGACTGCGGAAGCGACTGCAGCAGCAAAGATATTTTTCGAGGTCCATTTCGATTCGCTTCTTGCGAACGTGAACGCTCGCTCTCAGCGTCAGCAAGAACTGGAGGACCACATCTATACGAACCAGCTCACGTTCGAGGAGCAGATGGTGGCAAGGCACAATTGGGTCATGCAGGAGAATGAGCATCTTCGTCGGTGCCGTGCTCTCAAAAGCACGCTTTGCTGTCCCCAAAGCGCAAATACTGTCTCGAAGGCTGGATACGTGGCGATCAAGGTCCTCGGCAAGGGAAGCTTTGGTGTGGTGCGTTTGATTAGGGAGAAAGACAGTCCAAACACACCATCTGAGGATGGAGAGTTGCTGCTCACGAATGACAACAGTGCCAGCGTGAGAAATAGGCATATGGGCATGTTGCGACCCGCGCTGGGTGGCTCTAAGCGCAGCCGGCGCCGGTATATGACCGGGGAGCGGAAGGTGGTGTATGCGATGAAGGTCATTCGGAAGTCGGAGATGATCCGCAACTGTCAAGAGGGACACGTTCGTGCAGAGAGAGACTTTATGGTGACTTCTGCAAAGTCTCGCTGGATCGTTCCCCTGATCGCCAGTTTCCAGGATGCCAACAATCTGTATCTTGTCATGGATTTCATGGTGGGCGGCGACTTCTTAGGGCTGTTGATCCGTCATGATATCCTCAATGAGGACTGCACACGGTGGTATGTTGCTGAAATGATCATGTGTATCGAGGAGGCGCATAAACTTGGTTGGATTCACCGCGATATCAAGCCCGACAATTTTCTCATCTCGCCTTCGGGACACTTGAAGATTTCCGACTTCGGACTAGCCTTCAATGGACATTGGTCGCACGATCAAGTATACTATGCCGTCCAGCGCTATTCACTTCTGGACAAACTCGGCATTCGGATCGAGGGCGATGACGAAGATCAAAAGGAGTCTGCTAAAGTGAAAGAATCATCCCCTTCCAACACCAATAAACCGGGTCTCAAACATGGCCGGGCGCTGACTGCCGGTCTACCGGACTTGCAAGATATCAAGGATAAAAGACGACTTGCGAAGAGTGTTGTAGGGACCAGTCAGTACATGGCGCCTGAAGTCATCCGGGGCGAGGTATACGACGGGCGCTGTGACTGGTGGAGTGTGGGCATCATATTGTATGAGGTGAGTACTGAACTAATTATGGATGGAGAAAAAAAAAAGCTTACGAGTCTTTCTCAGTGCCTCTACGGCTTTACTCCTTTTGCCTGCGAAAGCCGTCATGACACCAAGATCAAGATCCTCGTAAGTCAGACACCCTGCTTTCATGTACCTGTTTCTAACCTGCATCCTCAAGCACCATGTCCGAACCTTGAACTTCCCAAGAGAGAGACCACACGAAAGACTGGTATCTCAGGAAGCCATTGATGTCATGTGCCAGATACTGCAAGAGCGCGAGTTCCGCCTGTGCTCTCGAAGATACCATGCCAACGACTTTCTGGATTCCCGAGCAGTCCCAGTGCATTACCTCTACTCCACGGACCTTCAATACCGAAGCAATAAGCGGAGCTACGTTTACCCCAACGACGCAGGCCCTATCAAGACCCATCCGTTTTTCAGAGGCATCCCGTGGGAAGAGATCCATCGTCTGCGGCCGCCGATGGTCCCCAAAGTGAGAAATTGGGAAGATACCCGGTACTTTGACGACTGGAAATCCGTCGTCGGTGGACTTGACGATCTTTCGGACACAAGCAAGGCAAATAACGCTGCAAAACATGCTACTCCAGTGTCTCAAGAACCCAGCTCGACAACAACCTCCCTAGAAGCTCACGCATCGGAGGAGGAGGATGCCGCGGAAGAAGATGCCGCGGAGCAACAACAACTAGCAGTTCGCAAAATGAAAGACGATGAGAAAAAGAAGAAGGAAAAGAAACGGGCCCGCGATGTGATGCTTCGCGATAAGGAGATCGGGAAGACAGTCTTGGAAATGCGAAAGAAGAGCGCGTTTCTGGGATATACTTATCACAGACCCAGAGCCCCGGCTGTTGCGTTCAGCACTGAGCGCGGACGTCAGCCGCTGAACAGAGGGCAGTTGGCCGATCTGTATGCGTCGTGAACTTAGTGCTTGGTTGGAGAGTCATACATGCACACAAACAAATACACTTTCCCTATTCCATCCACCCTGACTTGTTGAGCCGTGGACGAACTTATTTATATTCACTTTTTTGTTTCTTCCCTCGTGCACGTCGTACTCTCTCTCTCACGACTGTCTCTTGCTCTGCTCTACTCTTCCATCCTAACACTCTTGTATATCCTTAGAAACGATGAATATGACTCTGGCTGTAATAGCCATGATCTTTGACATGCTTTTACTGCACCAAATAGAGAGAGTGACAATCAAATCCACCACGTGTAGATATAAAAATATATTTCAGCTCGATAAATGTTCTTACCCAATTAGTATATGTTATATTCATAGGAATTGTCACGTTTCAAGGATTCTTAGTGGCTGTCTCCCAATAGATTGAGATTCTCGGCTGTTTATGCTATCTGAGCACTATTTTGTAGTTTCTCTGTCCACTAAGACCAATCGATATACAAGACCGACCGCACCTGCATATCAGTGGTCACATACAAATGCGTCTTTTTGGTCGCTGCAAAGTCCACAAAGTTGTATAGGACAAGCCGATTCTCGTCTGCGGGTATCCTCTGCTCCACTGGCAAGGATGATAGATCGGCTTCTTCTAGGTTCATCGTCGCCTCGGCGATCTTGGCTGACCGCCGCGCAATCCAGAGACTTTCCTGGCGCGGATAGGCCGATAAAAGCTGGATAGCCTTCCGCCGCACTAGGGGGTGACGGCACGAGGTAGCACTCCATTGCAGTGCACGGATAGCACAATTATCCAAGCTGAAATATGGCTCCGTGCTTGCGTCTAGAAGGAGTAGCTTCTCTGCTAAGGTCACTATATCCTCAAAGTGACCAGTCCATTTATCAAAATCAACCTCTTTCCACCGTATATTGCCAAAAGTCCATGTGACAGCAAGAAGATGGTCGATTCGAAGGGAGAGGATGGCGGGTTCGCACATTGACGCGCATTCTGGGGTCTGCACTAGCCTCTCGAAAGAAGCAAGCCACTCGTCGTACGTCTGTTCAAGCATCGGTACTTGCGAAAGAATCTTCTGCCACGCGGGGTCCTGAGGCGAACCACCCTGGGCAAAAGATCTTAGAGGACCCGACTGGAAATAGAGCGTCAAACAATAATTCATCACGGCGGTCAAGCTCCGGCGGGCGTCCCTGATATCTATGAATTTGGTAGGTATCTTGATGGTGTTCGGGTCGGAGAATGATGGGAGCACTTTATAGGCCCGGGAAAACGAACCCAGCTCAATGTTCAACCGGGAAAACATCTCTAGCAGCTCGTTGTATACAATCTGTGAGTCGCCTGAGTGTGACGTTGTTACTGGCTCCGGCCGTGCAAGAATGTTCAGCCCCGCCTCTATATGGTCGAGCGCCCTGTTGTAGTCACCCCTGAGTAGCTCTAGACACACGAATAGACCGCAAGTAATTAACGTGAGGTCTAGATTTGTACTCCTGGGTGCGGACAAATCCTCCAGCAGAAGCCGAATAGACTTGTTGTATTGCTGCAATACGAATCTCTCCGTGTAGCCAGGGGGCACAAGTCCGCGGAATTGCTGGTGGGCGGCACCGACGGCTGCGACAGCGTGTCGGACGACTGGTTCATAGTGGCTGAGTTGTGGAAGCAAGTAATCCCAAAATTTGGAGGAGAAGAACCCCATCATGGCGCGCGATGTCCGAGTGGAGAATAGGGAAATATACTCGCGCTCCTTGGCACTGCCTAGGGGGAGAATCATTCGACTGTCAGAGTTGCAAGTGCTGCGCTGGCGCTGGTAAGCGTCTAGGACGTTCTGGCGCAGTTGTCTTTGTGAGACATTGACATTATATCCATCGCACTTGCGGCCTGTCCGAGTGCACTGTCCACAAGCGGGTTTCTGTTCGTCGCAGCGGACATGGCGAGCTCTGAAATTAGAAATTACTACCGGTTCGACGTATCGTGGACAGAGAGAAATCCTTACTTGCAGGTCATGCAACCATGGCGCTTTTTGACGCGCGCGGTTCTTGGACCCATTGGGTGCTATTATTGTTGTATGTGTGCAGGATGGATCTTAGACACAGGTAGGTGGATAAGAGGACATTAAATACACAGCAGCAAATGACAAGGACCCCTCAACATGTGGTTAGGGGGTTAGTACAGACCTAGGGCTGACGCTGTGGCTCAAGAGCTGAAGCGCCGAAACTTAATAAACTCTCGCCCACAGGGTGAGGTGGGGGTTATAGTTCTATAGTTAGATCTGGACAAAACAATGGCTGTGGCTCAAGGCTGAAGGAGTGGCTCAAGGCTGAAAGTAGGGCTGACTCTGGACGAAAGCCCGCCCCCCACAGAGGTTTGGACCGGCCTATACCGGACAAGACGGTGGCTGGCTGTGGCTTCGAAACTCCGGGTATTTATTGGCTTACTACTTACTATTTGTCAACAACCTTTTTGAAAAGATGCCAAAAAAACGCCATACCGCTAGACCGATAACCACAATGGGCTTGACTAACTAATACTCGAATCTCCAGTGTAACCCCGTGAACACACCTTGCACGCCTATTGTAAAATTAGAACAAATGATTCGTCATTTAGCGGGAAGAAATATATTAAGAGGTAGCTAGCTGTTCTCTGCCGTCGCACAAGCGTCACGACATCGAAAGACCTTTTTGAGTCCAACGGAAAGATATATAGTACTAGGCAGGTTTAACTTTTTTTTTGAGCTATACACGCGTTCGATAATAAATATTCATATACGGAAATGGCCATATCGGGATCAGCTTATCATGTAATTATGGTTTGAGAGCGCGTCTCTATGTTTCTGACATGGAAAGCAATAACGGGTGCGACTGTACATGAATTGAGTCAAGACGAAGGTGGTCACCGCACTTGACTTTTTGACCATCTTATCAATTTGAGAAAGTCACAGTTCAAGACAGGCTCAGGCGGTCAAGTACCCATAGGACAACAAACACAAACACATCAAATCGGTTGACAGGTAGCACAACTGAAAAAGAGAGGACAGGGTATCAAGTAGAAAAAGACGGGAGAATGAGAAGAGAGAATCAGACGATGGGAGCACTCATCGAAAACGCCGAGTCGGTCATCCGATCCTCGGGCTTCATAGTGCCATTGAGCAAAGGACACAGCTTCTTATTGGTCTTGATATGGCCGACCTGGCCACAATTGGCACATTTGCGCTGCGTACCAGCAGGCCTACCATCACCCGACGACTCGCCAGAACGGGGTATGCCTTTCTGCTTTTCGCGGGCGAAGCGGCGCTCCTTGTTGCGATTCAGACGGCTGAGTTCGGCCTCGATCAGCTTGCGGTTCCGGGCATCGACCTCCGGGTCGCCAGTTGGCTGGAGGGATTCCAGTTTCGTGTGCACGGCCTCAACACGGTGCCGGTGTTGGATGTAGTGTCTGATCACGCGCGGGTCCCAGACCAGCTGTTCCTTTTCCAGAATTTCGCCGCTGGCACCCTTGATCTGGCGGGTGATCCGTAGGACTTTGCCGCGTTGGCTCGAGAAGCTCATCTTGCTGAATTGGCTGGTGGTTTCGTCGTCACGCCGATATGGCGCGGGAGTGGGCGCTTCGGAGCGCGGAGTCGGTTTGCTGAAATCCTCTTCGTCTGCTTGGTCGACGTCACTTTCTTGGTCAGAGTGCTCGACGGTTGAAGAGAGACTCTCTTTCTGCGCATCCCAGATTTTGCGGATGGAGGTCTCATAGGATTTCTGCTGACGAGCGACGTTGTAGCTGTGGCCACCGAGTTCTTTGAGCCGTTGTGCATCCAACTTGTCTTCCACGGATTCACCGATAGCCTTGAAACCGCCTTTCATGGATGTCTTTATGAAGTTGTAGCCCTCACCACGGCCAGTTGGATCACCTTCCCCATGGAGTTTCAGCATAGCCTTCCCTTGAGAAGCAAGTAGGAAATTTCGCGTGGCCTTCCAAGGAGCCATCTGTTGCTCAAAGCTCTCACTTTCCTCGTCCTCCTCGTTATCACCCCCAGTCTCGGCATCGTTGCCAAAACCCGTATCATGAAGATGTTGTTGGCCGACCTGCATAGACTCCAGAAGACAAACATCCTCAGGTTGCACCCAAGATCGGATAGTGTCCTGGTCGGGAAGGTTGGGGTCCAGAGGCTTCCAGTATTTGGTGTCCTTGTCATGCTGTAGGAAATCCTTGACCTTCTGCCGATTCTGCATGTCGGTCGTTCCGGGAATGTGCGCCGTAACGTCGCTGATCGCGAGACGCTCATCAGAACTCTTTTTTAGCAGACGATACACCAGCATCTTCATCCTGTTCTTAGCCACAGTGGTGACCTTTCGTGAATGGGGGCCAGGGATGTCGACCGAGGGGAATTGTTGACCGGCAACGAAGAAATTCTCAATGTTGCGCAAGAAATAGTTGCTGCCACCCATGCCAGTGGTATTGCGAACGACAAGGAAATCTGTCGGTTTGGCCTGGTGGGGGAACAGCGGCGCTCGGTACATCGAGTTGGAGATTGCAGGACTGATTTCGCCTGGGTCGACATGCCCAAAAATGGAATATGGGCTTTTATCCTGGGGCAGAAGAACAACCGTTTCTCCGATCTCTGCCTTGGGGCGAGTAGGATCGTCCATGTTCTTTCTTCGGTAGTAGTTGATAAAGCGATTAGACATTCCGAAGTTGGAGAGCGTCATAGGCACCTCCTCAGAGTACTCCACCAGCAAGACGTTGGAGGTGTCTCCCAACGACAATGACTTGGTAGAATCGTAGAGAGCCTTGGCATCTTTGCCTCTTTGGTGTTTCCGTTTGACATGCACAGGATTCTTGAACCAGGAGGTTTGGCCTGGCCGGAAAGCAAGAGCGGGACGGTGAAAGGATCGGGCTTCTGCCTTGGCCAGTTCAGTCTTGTAGTAAGGCCACTGCAAGCGCAAGGCTGGCAGACTGTGCTCCAGAGTCATATTGCCAAGGGTACTGCGAATCTTGTTCTGGTGGTTCTGCTTCAGCATGTCGTACGCCTGGTCATTCGAAATATTGTATCGCTGAGTGAGACGGCGCGTTAGGTTGGAATCCACATCGTCTCTGGTGAGAGCAGCATGCTTCGGCTTGCGAGAAAGAGCATCTACCCGCAGTTCGTCGACGAGGATATTTGGATCGTTCATGTCAATTGTCACCTTCTTTGCAATCTGTTGAGTTGCACGTTCGGGATCATCCAGAAGGGGAATATCAAGATGCGACAGCGCAATAACATCCATTGGAGTTGGCCCTGTTTTGCGCTTCTTCGCAGGATGATTTGCGTCTCTCAACCAGTCCGGCTCCTCTTCTTCAAACAGATCATCATCGTCCTTTCGTACAAGCGGTTGTTCTTCAATTTCTGACAAGGATGATTCCTCATCTTTGATGTCCCAGTCTGCGCAGATGGTCCGAAGATCTTGCATGGTAAAGCCTCCAGGTAAGGGCTCGTCCATGTCAATGTCGCCCAATTCAAGGTCGTCCTTTGTTTCCTCCTCCTCTTCTTCTTCCGCCTGTGGCGTGTCGGTGATCATCACTATGCCCATGGATTCTTCATGGCCGCGCTTGGTCGGTTGGCCCGTTCGGAACACGCGTTCTTGGTCGGGAGCGAGTTCGATGTTGACCTTGGTGGGGAGGACTGGCTTGGGCGGCTTGGGAGGCTGTTTTCCCAGAAAGAAAGCCCGCTTGTGTGGGATGAGCTCCAACCAACGCGGAAGGGTGTAGCGGTCGAACGTGGGGAACAAGGAGCGCAGCAACTCCTCGTGATTTTCGGGTGGTGCAGGTGGATTATCTGGACCACCTATTGACGACATCGCGAACAGAGCCTGTTGGAGTTTCCAGGCACGGAGTGTCGCGGGATCCATCTCTTCCGCCGAAACAATGGTCTCTTCCTCCAGAAGCATCTCTTTATCACGCGCCAAAGAAGGCTGTGGTTGGGATATCGGGGGAATAGGCGGTAATTCAACAGGTCCGGTCGTTATTGACGGTTCATTATCTTCAAAGAGACCCTTGATGTGGTCAGCCTGACCGGCAGGAGGCGGAGAGGACGGCCCTTCGCCGAAGAGGTCGTCGAGATTATCCTCCTGTGCCGGAAGTTCATTGCCTTGGTCTCCAAAAATATCGTCATCGGCTCCAAAGAGACCAGGCTCTCCAGCGTCGAGGTTCGCAAAAGCACCGCCGGCTGTGTCCTCTGGCGGGAGGAGAGTCGGTGCGGATGCGACCTCTTCCTCCGGAAGTTCATCGTCTTCGAAGTCTTCGTAGTCGATCGCATCGTCAGCCTTCTCGCCGACTTCCAGATCCCGTGCCAAAAAGTCGAGAGATGGGCCCGACTCGTAGTTGTTCAGCTGCCGCATCACATTGTCAAAGTCCGCATCGTCCTCCGGCTCGGGCGCCCCATTTTGAGTCGCGTGTGGCATATTGACGACGGATACGCGGGCAAGCGCGGGGACTCAAGGGGTAGAGGCGGTACGTTTGACGCCCTGGAATCAGGGCCGACGTGAACAGATGTGAAGAAAGGTGGGAGGCACTGGCCAGCGAAGACACGAACGATCTCAAGATGCGCGCATCGGGTTGGCTGACGTGTCTATCGTAAGAGAGTGAGAGGTGGGCCACTCAGCACCAGCCAGCATGCGAAAGCAAGGGAGGGAGGGAGGAAGGTAGGGAGAGGGTGTGGGAGAGGGTGAGGTGAGGGTGAGGGTGAAGATGGAGGCGACGATGAAGATGGCGAAGGGCAGATCGTAAGTGGCCGAGAATCAAGGCAAAAGCGGAAACGGCACTAACCCAATTAGGCAATCAGCTCATTCGCCATTGTATAGTAATTAATGATTGTAGACTCTGTTTGCGCTCAATAAGACTAGTAATTATACAGTATTCATCATCTGACATTAAAATCCCCGTAGAAAATACAGAGTGCCTTGCTGGCTCCTTCCATACAATAGTGCATCACGGTCGTCTGGCTGTTATCCGGGACGGTCTTCGCCAGCTGCCTCACGTCTGACGTCCGGGGAAGGTACAGGACCACATGCTTGGTAAAAGCCGAGTACTCGTTGTATAGTTTCTGTAAGGAATATGGCTCCATGGTGCGCAGGTTGAACACCGTGTCTGAGCGGTACCCGGGTCCTAATAGTCTGCGTTAGCCAATGCCGTTTGATCGCAGGGATATCAAGCATACCGCCCCAGGGAGGACTGGCAAAGATCACGCTGTATGGTGCTAGATCCTTGAGTTGGTTCTTGAGGATTTCGAAGCAGTCTCCCTCAAAAAAAGTGATCTTGTTCTCCACGCCGTAGATCCGCGCGTTGTGCTTGGCGCATTGCAGAACAGCTGGGTCCTTCTCAATCGCATAGACTCGCTTCCATTTCCCTGATTTCGCAAACGCAATCGTGTTTCCGCCCGCGCCGGCAAAGACGTCAATTAGAATGCTGCGGCCAGCTGGAGCGCCTTCGGCAAGATGAGCCGCGATTTGACTGCGAAGACGGGGATGAGTCTTGATCCCTCAGCAAACAGAGAGATACGTACTTGGCGACTGGCTCGGGGGTGACTCCAAACCACGCATCGTCCGTGAGCCAGACTCCGTCGTCATACTTGGAAAAGATGCGGTAACGTTGTGCCCAGTAACTAAGACGGGTCAGCGATGGCCACGACTAGTCAAACAGATGCCTTACTTCTGAATGTCCCATGGGACTTCATGGATATCGTTATAGTGATGCACCTCCGGCGGAGCTTCCTCATCGTCGGCCATGTTTCTTGGGAAAAGAAAGAAAAGGGAAAGAAAGATAGTGCCGGTGCAGGTTATCAGTAACGATAAGTGTTTGCCGTGTTTGCACCCCCATGTGGCCAGCTCTCCCCGTACAATAAACACATAACATCCACCAACAAACCTACTCTCAGCACCCTTCCACTACGGGCAGGCCGGCATCATGTTCGGTGCGCTAAATCGCTTCATTGGCCGCCTAGATGGCGAGCCGCCCCAACAGTCTCGATATGGGCCAAACGACAACGCCTTCGGCTTCCAAGTGCTGCGCAACAAGGACCCCGAGCTGCCCTTAGAACCTTGGTTTGATTTTATTGTGGGGATCAACGGCCATATAATTGTCAGTCATTATCTTTTTGGACGGATGCAAACGAGATCGCTAACAGAGCGCTCTCTACAGGAGGACCCGGACCCGAACCTCTTTACAACTGAAGTGCGCAATTGCGCGGGAACCAGTCTGCGACTGGAAGTGTGGAGCGCAAAAGTACAACATAGCCTATATTCTCCCTGTGAGCAATGTCATTAACTGTCGTCAGGGCCAACGAACACATTCAGTCACCATTCCCGTGCCCGCCGGCAACCCATCTCTCGGCCTCGCGCTCCAACTCGCTCCCCTCTCATCCACACAGCACATCTGGCATGTGCTGGGCATTCCGTCACCACTGAGTCCTGCCTACCGCGCGGGCCTGCTTCCGCACTCAGACTACATAATTGGCACCCCGAGCGGCACGCTACGGGGCGAGTCGGCGCTGGGGGAGTTGGTGGAGGATCACCTGGACCGCACGCTGGTGCTATGGGTATACAACAGCGAATTCGACGTGGTTCGCGAGGTAGAGCTCGTTCCCACGCGCGGATGGGGTGGCGAGGGTGCTGTCGGTGCGGAGCTGGGATATGGCGCTCTGCATCGACTACCGGTGGGACTGGGCGAGGAGGTTGAAGGGCCGGGCGAGGTCGTCTTCGAGACGCGAGAGGACGGTACCTCTGCACCGGTCCTCAATCCTTCCGGCACCGTTCCGGGCATGGGCGAGCCATCAGCGAACTATTTGGTTCCTGCCAACCTATCCGCGCCCCCGCCGATTGCTCCTCCTCCACGCGCTGGTGATGTGGCTTCGCCCGAAGGGACCTCAAAATCCCCTGCGGGCCGTCGAAAGTCACGACATGCCGGGGTGTCTCCCAATAGTGCATTCGATGAATATTTCGCCGAGGGTGAGCAGAAGAGCCGTGAGCAGGACTACGCACCCTCGCGGAAGGGGACTCCTCTACCTCCGCCACCAAAATTAGAGTCCGCGCCACCTCACTCTGAAAGTCCGGCTCCTGCATCGGGAGAGGATGCTGCAGGGGGTGCTGTAGTGGAGCCGGCGGGTGAAGCACAGGAGTGACGAGCACACCTTTTTGACATGATGTAGATTATAACGTATCTCCATAATACTATTTACCTTCTGAGGATGCATGTAAATTTCCCCATAGTGTAGATCGTTGTTTGTACGTTTTGGAGGTTCGAACTCGATCTATATTTTCGCAGAGTACCACCACTCACGACGAGCCGGAGTTGTGTCGAGTGGGTCGGTTTACCTGGTCTAACAAAGCCCTGATCGAGCATAGATCGCCGTCATAAAGGAATGGATTCCTCCGGGGGAATTGATGCTTTCCGCATAGCCGCTTAGTCTATTTCGAAAGTGCTCCTACCAGTGAGGGCCTTCAATGTGCGCTATACATGCACAACGCTTTCGCCAACAGTGACACCTCTGGCTATACCCACTGGGAATGCGCCCAACAGAACAGCGGTGACAATGCACTTGTTGCCCTCCAGGGCGATACATACGTCGTTTCCTCTCGACTCTGGGAATTTGCATCCTTCTTCCGCTTTGCTCGACCTAGTTCTGTTCGGGTTGATGCCACCAGCACCGTGGAGAATGTATACGTCAGCGCGTATGTCAACAAGAACGGTACTGTAGCCATCCCGGTGATCAATGCCGCCCTTACCCTTCCAGTACAGAAGTTTGAGATAATTGAGAAACATACGCAATCCACCATACTTTCCTGACAGCCAATGAAAGGTTTTTTTTTCTAACAAAGGAAATAGTCCGGATTATGTCTTCGGATCTACGAGGTCTAAACGTACATATGCAAACACAGGTGCCTCTTCTAGCCAACAGACATAAAGCTAGTGGCCCTTGCTCACAGTCTCCTCCAGCTTCTTCCGGGCCTCACCGATCTTCTCCTCCATCATCTGGCGGGCCATGCCACTGTGCGCAATGCCCGTGTACCAGATGTGCTCCGCCCGTTCCCGCAGGGCAATGTGCTGCTCGGCAACAGCCGGGACCTTCTTCTCGTACTCCCATGCTAGATCAGAGATATTCCGCATAGTAACCGGAAGCAGAGACCAGGCGGCAACGGTGCCAAAGGCGAGGGGGGACGCGGTGCGAAGGAGGATACCACGGTTGCGGGAGACGATCGAGCCAGCCATGGCAGCTACGACGACGTAGACGCCGCCAGGGAGCAAGCGCTCACCAGACTCAGGCGAGGGCGCGAGCGAAGCAACCGTGTTGGTGAAGGCATTCTCAATGTTCAGGGCACGGGACAGGAAGTCGTTGAAGCTGTTCTCCGCGGCGAGGGAGTGGTTGTACAGGAAGAGCCGGGCCTGCCGGATTTGGGCGGCCAGGATATCTGTAGGGGTTGGCGAAGATGAGGGAGAGGGCTCCGATGAGGGCAAGGAGATGAGCGGCTTGGAAGCTGGGGGCGTGGGTTTGGAGGGTTCAGGAATGTCGGCTGGGAAGTCGTCGTAGATGGGTTTCCTCTGTATTGTGTGTTAGGGGGCTGTATCCGGAGAGATTATGGTGATTGACATACCAAGTCGCGAGGCTGCTCTGCAAAAGCCGTCTGCCTGGGATACAGGGCGACGCCTCCAGCGAGGAGGGTGGCTGCGATTGGAGCCACAGCCCGCTGCGCGCGTCAGTATAAGGTCAATTGGAAGGAAAGAAACACGAATGACAAGCAGAACAAACATACCTGTTGAAACATCGGACGGAACGACATCCTGGGAGCAGAACGGAGGGGGGAAGGGTGAGAGGTGAGGTTGAGTAGTTGAGGTGAAGAAGCAAAGAGCGAGAGACCGCCAAGCACGGGAATTCTTCGGCTCGAAAACTCCGTCATCGCCCGCCTTGGTCTTGTGCTTCTGCTCTCCTGCCTCCCTCTCTTTTGGTTTGCATTTCGATGCTTCTTCTGTTTATTATTTACCATGTTACATTTACCGCGCAGGCCCTGGACCTGTCGCAAATGTCTCCTGGAACTACAATCCCGTGCGTTTGAGACCGCCGCGTCGCCGACTCCCCGGACGCCCTTCCAGTACCCCCGGCAGACACCAGTTCCCCGCAAAAGAACGCAGATGATGCTACGATACGGCGCGTGTTCGATTCGCAGCCCTTCTGGAAAGAATTCTCTCAGCAACGGAGCGTGACAGCTCCCAGACGGGCAGGGTTGGTTCAGAACCAGTACTTGACAAGCCCCGAGGGGTTCAGGGCGTTCGCGAATGTCTCGCTGCAAAAATGCCAGGCCATTGTAGCCAAGGTGCTCGAAGCGTCGACTGTGGAGGAATACCGGGCCATGGCAAAGAATTTGGACAGACTCAGCGATCTACTGTGTCGTGTTATTGATCTCTCGGACTTTATTCGCACGATTCATCCCGACCCGCAGATCCAAGAAGCAGCGACGCAGGCGTACGCGCTCATGTTCGAATATATGAATGTTCTCAACACCACTACCGGTCTCCATGACCAGCTCAGCAAGGCCGCGGCCAATCCCGAGGTGGCCTCACACTGGACCGAAGCCGAGAAGATTGTGGCGCAGATCTTGATTAAAGACTTTTCAAACTCTGCAATTCACATGCCCCCAGCCGAGAGACAGCGATTTGTGAATCTATCAAATGATATAAGCCAGATTGGATCCGACTTCTTCAACGGAGCAGAGCCTGCCAAATCCCAGGTCACTTTCAGCGCCAATAGCCTGCAGGGTCTGGATCCCATGCTGATTCAAAAAATCAAGAAATGGAACAATAAGGCCGCTGTACCGACCATGGGGATTGTCCCTCGACTTGTGCTCCGGTCTGTTCGTGACGAGGATGTCCGGAGGGACGTCTATTTGGCCACTAGAACATCGAGCACGCGCCAGGTTCAGCGACTGGAGGAACTTATGATGAAACGAGCGGAGCTGGCACAGTTGTCGGGCTACAACAGCTTCGCGCACATGACACTGAGCGACAAGATGGCCAAGACGCCCGAAGCGGTGTCGAACTTCCTGACATCGCTTGTGGGAAGCAACCGCGGGCCCGTCCGCGAGGAACTATCTCAGCTACAAGATCTGAAAGGCAGTCCCCTCCAGCCGTGGGACCACGCGTACTACGTGCACAAGCGTGTGATGGAGTATTCGCAGTCTCGCCGGTCGCGTCAGTTGAGCATAGTCCCCGAGTTTTTCTCGCTGGGCACTGTCATGCAGGGCCTTTCGCGGCTGTTTGATCGTCTGTACGGCGTTCGTCTCGTTCCTCAGGAGACGGCTCCCGGGGAGACCTGGCATCCCGATGTTCGCCGGTTAGACGTGGTCGATGAGGCGGAGCAGCACATCGCGGTTATCTACTGTGATCTATTTTCTCGCCCAAGCAAACACCCCAACCCGGCTCATTTTACTCTGCGCTGCTCGCGTGACATCTCCGCTGAAGAGGTAGCGGAGTCCGCATCGATGGGCCAGTCCGCGCATCCCAATGACGGCATGGCGACTGCGATGGATCCCCAGACCCAAACGCTGCGTCAGCTGCCGACGATAGCTTTGGTCTGCGACTTCCAAGAACCTGTGGCGAATGGCTCCGGTCGTCCAACACTCTTAAGCGAACAGAGCGTGCGCACCCTCTTCCACGAAATGGGTCACGCAGTCCATTCAGTCCTGGGACAGACGCCTTTGCAATCTATCTCTGGGACGCGGTGCGCCACCGACTTTGCCGAGCTCCCATCCGTGCTAATGGAGAGCTTTGCAACTGCACCCGAGGTGCTTTCCCTGTATGCACGACACTGGCAGACAGACGAGCCGCTATCCGAGAGCATGATGCGCAGCATGGCGCTGGACCGCACAGCGCACGGATCCATCTACGGGGCTGTCGAGGACGAATCCCAAATCCTCATGGCCCTTGTCGACCAGGCGTACCACTCCATGCCCGTGGAGGCCACCGCCAACGGCATTGACACAACAGACATCTATCACCAAGTCTTCTCTCAATACTCCAGCCTGCCGGACCCAGACAACATCCGGCCACGAACCTCCTGGCAAGGCTTCTTCGGCCATCTGTATGGGTACGGAGCTACATATTACAGCTATATCTTCGACCGCGCCATTGCCAACAAGCTCTGGCAGGATGTCTTCCTGTCTGGCCGAGCATCCGTCGATCGCGCCGCTGGCGAAAGATATAAAAACGAAGTCTTGCGCTGGGGCGGCGGACGCAATGGCTGGCGCTGCGTTGCGGGAGTGTTGGGGGGTGAGAACCCGTCTAATAAAGATGGGCGGTTGGCGGAGGGAGGAGATGAGGCAATGCGTGAGGTTGGTCGATGGGGACTGGTTCGTGATGGAATGAGTGGATGATCTGTATATTTTTTGTGATATCCACGACATACTAGTTGATCTACAACCCTGTATATTATTGAACAGACTAGAAATAATATCCAAGATCTGGTCTTTCGAAACGTTCAGTGTACCGCCTATGTGCGCATTCGAGCGAGCTTAGCGGACATGTTTCAGATTAGTGAACTGTTAGTGGCGCCATCTGTCTACATGGAGATGCAGCGCGCTGCGAAGGAGCGCAACCGAGCTAAACGGCGGAGGTTTTGGGCGTGAGTTGTTAGTTAAGTGAGAACGTTCATGACATGCGTGGGGTCGAATCGCAAGGGGCTGTTTTGTTTTAGTTGGGGTGATAGAAAAGGGAGTGTGCATCATGCATTGATTCCAAAAACTTCAGAATAGTCCCCCCCAGGATGTTGGTTCATACAACTAATTACATAGACCATGGGCATGGGACGAGTCCAATCCTCACTCACTCATTCATCAACGGGCTTGAGAAATGGATATAATCAGAGAAGAAGAAGAAAAGAGCAAAACCCGACAGAAAGTAAAACAGGGTATCCTGCATCTTATTACACATATAGCCGAGTTGGAGTATCAATCAAAACAGTGAAGGCAAAACGAAAAAAAAAAAGCAAAATTAACAACAAAGGATATTCATGCTGCTCCCCCGGTATAATACAATAGTGGGGGCACAGTTTCACAGAACAAACACAACGTCGCCATCATGACGAGAGTGGCTCAGAGCTATCGGGCTTCGTCAGGGCGGCTGTGACTGCTTTCCGAGCCTTGTGCCGAGAGAGCAGTTTCAAGATGGGGCGTTGATGAGAGGCTACTCCGGGGATCGGGGGTGTTTCGCCTTGAGAGTTGGGCGAGTTCACCGATAAGTCTAGAGGAAGGAATTAGCACAGATTCCGCAATAGGAGAGACAACCTCGAATTAACTTACTTGCGATGCTCATCGTACCAATCATCGTTTGCCGCGCGGATATGTTTAAGCTGTTCCTGAATGCTGGCCATCTGCAGAAAGAAAATATACGAGTTAGCGCACTGGACAGAAGGCAGACTCATTCATCACATAAAGAGACAACAATATTGTCTAGCAGGATGACGAAGTCAAACGGGGATTTCCCACCGTTCCCTCAATGGATGAACCGAGGTCCTCACCTTCCGTTGCGGCTGGACCCCCTTCAGCTTGCTCGTTGCCCTCATCCGCTGCCCACCGGCTGGCGCCCAGGCCTCCCGAGGCACTCTTCTGCCCGTCCGGCTTCAGCGCTGCCAGTTCAGCCTCCAGCTCGCGCACGCGACGGCGGCTGGCAGAAATGGCGGAGTCGACGTCGCCCAGTTGGTTGAGGAGCTGCATGTTCTTGTCGATCTGGTCGTTTAGGTCCCGTTCGCCGGCATCCAGTTTCTCTTCCATCGTCTTGGTCCGGGAGCGGAACTCTTCGAGTTCTTCACTCGCGGCAGAGTGTTTCGCTCTCAGCGCAGCATGCTCCTCCTGGGCTGCAGACAGTTGCCTCTGGACGGACTCCAGTTCCGATTTATCGCCGGTCGACGTGGCAATAGACTTGTGAAGTTCTTCGATCTGAGCCTCGGCCGCCTTGTGTTTCTCCGCCAGCTCCGCACGCTCAGCTGTGAGCTTCGAGAGCTCGGACTGGATCTTCATCATCTCCTCAGCGTGCTTGCTCTCGAGATCCCGAGAAGCAGACGTGGCCGACTCCTGCACGGCGGCATGGGACTGCTCTGCATCTGCCAGCTTCTGCTCAAGATCCGCAATTGTAGCATTCAATGCATCAACCTTCGAAGTATCGGCAGCGCTGGTCTTGGCCTGGGCAAGCTGCTCGTGCACATCGGCTAGGGCGGCCTCGTGAGACTTCTGAAGATCCTCAAGCTTGGCTTTGTGGGATGCCTCAATTTCCTCCCTCAGAGTCGACAGCTTCGCTTCCTGGACGGTGAGGAGCTCTTCAATGGCCCTCGCGTGCTCGGCCTCAGCATCAGCATCCGCCGACTTGGAGGCCTGCGAAGCTTCCAGTTCAGCTTGCAGTTTGGCTTGGGTCTCCTCGAGCTGCTTCTGAAGGTCCGCAATTTCCTTGCCGCGAGACTCGCTGTGAGAGGAAAGCTCTGTCTCGAGAGCAGCAACGCGATCGGCATAGCTGGACTCGAGTTCCCCGTGCTTGGCGAGCAATTCGTCATACTTCGACTGGAGCTCAGCCAGGGCACTCTCATGGGAGCCTGAAGCCTGAGTCTTGACATTCTCCAGCTCGGCGGCGTGAGTGGTCTTCAGATCCTCCAAATCTCTGGCATGATTCTCAGACGCAGTAGAGGTCTGAGCCTTGTGTTCTTCCAGAAGTCGAGTCGCCTCGGCGGCCTTTTCCTCGAAAGCCCTCAACTTGTTCCCCTGCTCGGCATCCTTGGACTGGGTCAAGCCCTCAAGATCCTTCAGACTGCGGTGCAACTCCTGGGCTTCCTTGTGCTTGCTGTGAACTCCTTCCTGGAGAGCTTGAATTTCTCCAGCTCCGGAAGACACCTGCGACTCCAGGGCCACGACCTTCTGACGAAGAGCTTCGATTTCTTCCCCGGCAACCTTTTGGGCGGAGGCATTGACATCGTCCAGGGCTTGTCGGGTTTCGTCCAGAGACTTCTCAGAAGCATTGAGTTGTTCCTGAAGAGCGTTCAGCTCCGCCTCGTGCGCAGCCTTCAGCTCAGCAGCGGCCTCTTCTTGACTCTTCTGTGCAGCCGCGTTGGAAGAATCCAGTGCCTCCTGAAGGTCCTTGAGCTGCTGCGAGTGCTCAGTTCCAGTTGATTCAGCGGCAGCCTTGGCGAGTGCCAGCTCTTCCGCGTGAGAAGCGGAGAGGCTGCTCAGAGCCGTGTCGTGCTCGGCCTTGAGATTGGCAACAGAAACTTGATGATTCGACTCCAGCTCCTTCACCTTGTCGGCCAATTCTTGGGTGGCCGCGTCGCGGGCCGCTTGAAGCTCTCCCTGCAGCTTCTCAACTGCGCCAGTTTCAGCCTCGGCAAGCTTAGCCTCCAGGGCTTCAGCTTCGGCAACCTTCGCCTCCATGGACGCTACTTTTCCTTCGAGACCAGAAATGGTCTGTTTCAGAGCATCCTCGGCCGCACGGATTTCTTGCTCCTTGACGGTGCTCAACTTAGTCATCTCCGCGTTGAGGTTGTCGATAACCTGGTCGCGACCCTTGAGCTCTCGCTCCAGATTGTCCAGAGCCAGGGCCTTGTCTTCCTCCATGCTGGTCTTCTGAGACTCGAGCTCCGCCTTCAAAGTATTGAACCGTTCTTCGGACGTCGAAGCGGAGGCCTTGTACTCAGCGAGCTCCTTCTCAAGGTTCTCCAGCTGAGCCTTGTGCGTATTCTTGAGCTCATCCAGCAAGGCAGCCGTTTTGCTGTCACCCTGCTCAGAGGCGGATTGCTTGGCGTCCTCCAACTCCTTCTGAGACTTCTCTTCTAGGTCCTTTCGCTGAACCTCAGCCTCCTCCAGTCGCGCCTGCAGGGACTGCAGTTCCTCAGCATGGCTGGATGTCAATTTCTCAAGCTCAGCGGCGTGCTCGGCTTTGATGGCTTCCGTGTCAACAGCATCCTTGGAGGTGTCCTCCGCCGAGACAGACAGCTGGCTCAACTTCTCGTTGACCGTCTCCAATTCAGCTTTGAGGCTGGCCACAGTCTCTTCACTTTCTGTGAGCTTGGTCTGGAGCGATTGCAACTTCTCTGGGTCTGCAGAGCTGCGCGTAGAGCCAACGGCAGTGGTCAGACGCTTCTTGGGGTCTGTTGCCGAGGACGCAGCGGACCTCGCCGTCGTGGTGGTGGTCGAAGTCGGGCGAGTAGCAGTGCGGCTGGTGCTAGTGGTCGACGTAGCCGTTCGGCTGCTGGGTGTCGTCGAAGACGTCAGTTTACCGACGGGCTTGCTGGTAGAGGTAGCGGAGCGCGAAGTGGTAGTTGCGGGCTTAGGAGCAACACTCGCTCGGCGGTCGGCCGTAGATGAAGTCGTAGACTTCAGCGGAGTCCGCGTAGAGGTGGTGCCGGCCATCGACATGCGCTTCGCGGTGCCTGAGATCCCCTTCTTCTCGTCTCCTGAGCTGGCCATCGACCGTTTCTCGTCGGCGGAGCTGCTGATCGACGCACGAGACCGGTGCGATGAAGTGGTCGAGGAGCTCAGCGGTTTGCGAGTAGCCGAAGTGGTCGTAGGACGCGTAGGAGGCTTATTCAGAGTGCTCGAGCTAGTCGTGCCGCGCGCCGTGGAGGTCGTGGTCCTGGACGCGGTAGTTGACGAGGCGGGCCGCTTTGTTGTAGTCGTGCTGCTCGAGGTCGGGCGCTTCGAGGGAGCATTTGTGCTCGTGCTTGTCTTTGCCGGGGAGGCCTGGGTATTCTCCTTCGAGGCCTCTGGGCTAGACGGCACATTCTCCTTGGAGGCCTCCGGACTGGACTGGCTCACATCCTCGGTGCCGGAGAGGACGGTCGAGTCGACCGGAGTAGCGGGCGGCGCATCTTCGGCGTCGACGTCCGAGGGAATAGAAACCGGTTCCTCGGTAGCTGCCATGGTGCACAATTGGATTAAGAATTATATATTCACGAAGGAAAAGTAAGCTGTTGGGGGAGCTTGCGGGACGGGGCGACGTCTGGGCAATGGTACGGAAAAGGGGTCTGGTGGGAAATCTCGTTAGCCTGGGAACGATACAATGATATTAAGCACTTCTGAATATAGATTTTTCAAGCAGCGATGCGATCTCGGCCCCAATGAAGTACCAAGGCCATATGCGCAAACATGTTCCGCTAGTTCGCGGAGCTGTCTGTGCGACAATCCGACTGCAAGCTGCACCACCCGCCCACGCGGGAAAACGCAGCTACAGAAGCTGCAACAAACCGACAGCAGCAGCAAATACTGCCTCGGAGGACAGGAAGAATGCCCAACCTAAGTGTGCAAATAATTGGGGCGGACTCACGGACAGCGCCGCGCAGACACGGAGCAGGTTCAGGGGGCGGCACCTGGTTGACGAGGAGGGAGGTCGTCGAAGATTGATCCTCAGCGATGGGAGCTCTGGCAATCAACCCGAACGAACAGGCGGGAACAGAACTGAGCAGAAGCCACTTGGGGGTGGTCAGTGCAAAGGGCAAAAGAGGGAAAAGGAGAAGGAACGCGGGAATGGCAGAAAGCGGTGGAGGAGGGACAGCGAGGGATCATCCATTAGTTCGTTCGTTAGTGCCTGACTGATCTATGCTCCAATGGACCAGCACCAGTGTGGTGCTTACATGTTTAGTTGTCGCCGTTGGCTAATGATTAGTTGTGGTTGATATTCAACTTATAATAATGCTACGCCTATTGTACAGATGGATGCATTGAACCCCGTTGTTGACAAAAACAATCCCATCCATGGTTCGCGGCCGCCCCCGAACCAGAGCTTCAATACTGCAGCGCAGTAAAAAGAAAAAATCAATCGCTGAAGGGGGTATTACGCATCACCCACTGCGCCAGGGAAATGTTAGAAAAATAGTCAACCGGAAGAGACGCCGTAAAAAGAAAAAGAAAAAAAAAGGTGACCAGGTGGAGACAACAAGAGAGACCGTTACAGGCTGGCGAGCCATCCCTCTGCGCGCCGGTGTCTCTCGCATTTGCGCCGGACTTCCTGAGACTTGGCTACAAGGTCGATCAGAGTCCGCCGAGGAAGAAGATGTCCCCGATGGCGCAGGACCTGGATGCACAGTTCAGGACCTGGAGAGTGATTAGGGGTCGGTTGATACAAAAGGAGATTCCAAGATAAAAAGAACTTACCAGAGAAGCCTTGCGCAGAGAAATGTCGGAGCCCGTCCAAAAGGTGATTGAGTTCGCGAGGGCTCCAGGGTTCCTGTGACTGGAGAACTGCATCCCAGTCATCAACGTCGGTACCGTCAACATCTACGAACCCCTGCCTATCCACGGGTGTCCTGGGTTTGATGCTGCTATCCTGACCTAGAACTGCATCGTAGATGCGCTTCAAGGGACGGTGAAGTTTGCTGGATCGAGCTAGAAGGCCAGGAGGGTGCCCTTGACTGCGCCGTCTGGAAATCTGGTCACAGGTTTCTTGGAGAAGTTCCAACATACTGCAGAGCTCGTGGTAGGCAGGCTGGCCGACGCTTTGGTAAGCCTTGAAGCAGGCCAGCACCAGATTGATCATGCTGGGTACCACAACGGCTTCGAATTGGTTTATGACACGACTGCCACGATTGCTCTGGGGCCCAAAGGATGCTTTGTCGAAGAGCCGAACCCGGATAGCTTTGAGGGCTTCCCTCAGGTTGTGACAAGACTGCAAATTGAGGCCCTCGGCATTGTGCCTCGGCTTGTCGTAGTCCTTGCGTAACTCGGAGACCAGTTTCAAAGAATCCTTGAGCGCTTGAAACTTGTTCCTCGGGCAATGTAAACGCAGGTCTTCTCTTGTCGCGAGCACGATGTTCCAGGGTTGTTCCAATGGTGTCCCTTCAGCGGCCTTCCTCAGCCATTCGTCCAGGTTTGCATCACTATCATCGTCGTCGTCAAGGCCCTCGCTGCGTTCTTCTCCGCCATTGGTTGCCTGAGTTATTTGTTGCATTTCGGGAACATGAACAAGCCGCCCAGAGCGAGTTCTGCGACCCAACCGCCGTTCAGCACGAACCATGTAAGATTCTGCACCCTCGCCTGTTTGGTTGGGAAAATGGCCGTCTGCAGAAACTCGAGTGGGTTCTTCCTCAGCGCTCTCGCTGCTGGAGGGATCACGGAGACCCAGTTCGTCACGCCAATCGAGTTTGGCGTTTCCACTATCTTCCTGGCGGGATGTTTGCTGGCGGGTGCTACGGGTCGACCGAGGGACAACAACCTCGACAGACTGTCGCGGAGATTCCAGTTGGGCAGATGCTGCAGCCAACTGGCTAGATGCTCGGACCGGGGGTTTCTCAGCTTCTGAGCTTGACCCCGAGCTTGACTCCGAGCTTGAGTCCCTCTCGTCATTTTCCCTGATTTCCCCATCCAGTACCCCGTTCACTTGCTCGTCTGGAGTTTCCTCAACTCCAGAGGGTATCTCCGACGCATCTATCGGCTCCACCTCATTTTCATTGCTTTCCTCATCGGGATTCCCATTCTCTTGCGCCTCGAAGTATTCCTCGTCTTTCTCAGTATGCTGCTGGCTAAGATGCAGCTCGGCCTCCGTGGGGTGTTGTTCTGTCTCTTCGGTGGCGTTGGTGGTTGTTGCTGGGACAGGCTCGCTCTTCCGAGATCTTAGTTGCCGTGGCTCTTGGCTTCCCGGGATAGCGTAGATATCTGTAGTTCGCCTGGTGCCCATGGAGCGCGTATTAATCCTGTTGTTGAGAATATTGAGGGTATTATCGGTGGAATGACGCGTCCTCCTCGTCCTGGCTGGCGCCATGGTTGTGTTGTGGTTACTGGACGCGTTGCGGAGGAAAGGAAAGAAAGTCGTGGGGCATAACATCATCATCATCCACCCGCCTTATCTAAGAGCTACTTCTCCAACAACACTTCCCTTTGGACTGTTCCACACAACACAATAACCATCACCATGAATCCAGGCGGACCTGCTGTCCGCGTCCTGGCGACCGTGGACACGTCATCGCGGCTTGCCTTTGTTGAGCCCAGCAAGAAGATTCACGAGTCGCAGGATGCATCGGCCTTTCTGACCTCGAAAGCATACACAGACATCATGACCTTTCTCCTGCAACTAAACCGGTCCATGTTCCCCGCGAAGCTCCCCGACGGCACGACGCAAACATGGCCCTTGAATAGCGAAGCTGTGCCGTTCTCGGCGCCGGTGCGACAGCTCCAACGGCTGCTCTCGAAGCTTGAAGATATTATCGAGGAGGTTCCACCCGATACCGGCCCACGGCGATTTGGCAATATCAGTTTCCGGCGGTGGTATGAGGTTGTGGAGAGTCGTGCATCGGATCTGCTGGAGGAGTGCTTGCCCGCAGAGCTATTGCAGATGCCGTCGTCCGATCCAGATGGCCCCACGGCCGAGACGGAGTTGAAGGCATACTTTCTGGGCAGCTGGGGGAGCGGGCAACGATTGGACTATGGCACGGGTCATGAATTAAGCTTTTTGGCTTTCCTGGGTGCGATCTGGAAGCTGAACGGGTTTCCCAAAGCTGAGTCGGGGGTCGAAGAGAGAGCCATTGTGATAGGAGTGATCCAGCCGTGCGTTCCACTTGACGCCATTCTTGTTGCTTTGCTGACAATCGCCATAGGTACCTCGAGCTAGTCCGGTTACTTATCAAAACATACACCCTGGAGCCCGCTGGTTCTCACGGTGTCTGGGGGCTGGACGACCATTCCTTCATCCCATACATTTTTGGAGCTGCTCAACTATCACCCGCTATAACGGACACGGACTTGACTCCCGAAGAAGGGTCTTTGCCAGATGCTCCCAAGGCGTCCGACGTCGTGAAGGCTAGTACTGTCGAGAGGGAACGCAAGACCAACCTGTACTTTTCGGCAATCGGGTTCATCTACGACGTGAAGAAGGGTCCCTTCTGGGAGCACAGTCCCATGCTCTATGACATCTCTGGGATCCAGACAGGCTGGGCCAAAATAAACAAGGTTGGATTTTCTTTAATTCATGATAGGTTGACACTAATATCCCGCCAGGGCATGATCAAAATGTACAATGCAGAGGTTCTTTCCAAATTCCCCGTGGTGCAGCACTTCCCGTTCGGGTCCCTTTTCAGCTTTGATCGAGATCCAAATGCCATCGCTCCGCCAACCACTGCCCATACCACATCCGGGCCCCAGGCACGACCCGTAGCACCAGATGCTGGTCCATCTTCGACTACTACTGCCAGACCTATGCCTGGATCCGGGACCAAAGCTCCGTGGGCCACAACAGGGCCTGGGATTGGATCGGCGCCTCCGATGGGGGCAACTGCAGCCCCATGGGCAAGCGCAAGAAGAGATGTTCCGACTGGTACTGCAATGGGCAGCACATCAAGGATTCCGGCGTCTATCCCCGATACTTCAAGGATGCCTCCCGGTCCCATGGCTCCTACCAGAGCTCCGTGGGCATCTTCTCCACCCCCCACGGGATCCAGTGATGAGGTTCATACCAAGGCTCCCTGGGCAAAGCCAGGATAAATGGAGATACAATGAACAGTGATCATCAAGTGTTGAGGTTCATCAAAGTAGGGGCCACGAGGAAGTGGGCTACGTAGATACAGGTGTTGGGCCTAGTTTTAATGATATCGGGAGCCGATCCCGATCCTCAAATGCCTAAACGGCAGGGCACGGCAATCTCAGGCGGTCATGTTTATAATTAGCTCCGAAATTGACACATGCGACCACAGGGTGTGGAGAACAGGGCTTCCCGTCCGCTCAGCCGTACTTAAGCCACACGCCGGTCAGTTAGTAGTTGGGTGGGTGACCACCAGCGAATCCTGACTGTTGCATGTATCCTTTTCTTTTTGTCCTTTTTTTTTTTTTTGGCTTGGATTCTCCAATTTAAAGTCTGTTACTTTCTTTCCTATATAGATAAACTAGAAGAATTTCCATTACTCCCTGTCAACTAAAGCAATGGCATAAGGCGGGTGGATGGTGGAAAGGGACTGTGCATGGCGTTTAGCTATCCAAAAACTCTATTTTCTCTCCAGGTTGGATTTGATAAGATTTGGGTTGGGCTCAGGGTCCAAAGTATGTGTGATGGTCTTAGGTAACAATAATTACGACTAATGCTGCGAATCAGCTCATTTCGTTTGACTTTCGGCAACTTTAACTCCAGGAGGCCAGCCCCGGGCCGGATAGCGCGCACTCTCGGCAAGATGTCTCATGATCAAATCCGCCCAGCCCATGACCGAGACTCGCACCAGATAGTCACGATGAGTAGAATCCGAAGAAAGATCATGCTAGCGACGCTTTCGCTGTGAACACGCTTTCGTATTGATCACCCCGTATTTACCCAAGTTTAATTCGTTCGAGAAGAACTCTTTCCCTTTCCCCGCGTTTGGCGTCACGCCCCGGACCAGCACAACCTTGCTAAGACGGAATAGTACGGACTCCGACCGCACATCCTGGCGCCTCGACTCGAGCAGCCATTTCCGGGGGAGGTGGCGCGAGGCAAGAGCTCGAATTGGAGGAAGCAGATAAGACGACCAGGGCGCAGGCACCGCGTGTCCGACGGCGACATAGTTTGGGGGAAAGGCTAATTCCCAAGTCGCACGCTGATTGGCCGTCCCTCAAAGCAACCGTGGGTAACAGGGTCCGGATTGGTCCCCTACGGTCACCTTGCACTCGACGCTACACCTCTACAAGGTTAGTGCCCGGGTCGAGCCCACAGAAGGTGTGCCCCGATCTGAGTCTGGCTGTACGATGGATTGCCTCTGGTGCTTGGGATGTCGGGGTTGAGGGGGCAAGGGGAGCAGGCTTGCTCTCCTACTATAAGGTCCGACCACCACCAGAGCCTACTCTGTCAAGTTCACTCTACACCCAGGTAGCTGTGAAACATTACGCTCTCTCCACGCGCATACCCCCAAGATGGCTGCCTCAAAGGAGCTGGATGTCGAGAATAAGGGGCTGGATGTCGAGAACAAGGAGATGGATGTCGAGAATCAGGCGCCGGCCACCGAGGCCTCTCCAGGCACGGTGCTCCCAGCTTATGATGGGACAGCCCTGGGGCAAACCAACACGCTCAGGCGGAGCCTCCAGGGTCGCCATATGCAGATGATTGCCATCGGTCAGTGTTCGCCTGTGATCCGCCAGGACGTTGACCAGGAAAGCAACCCGAGACTGACAACGTCGATATAGGTGGTGCTATCGGTGCTGGTCTGTTTGTCGGCACTGGAGGTGCTCTCCATTCGGGAGGACCGGGCGCCTTGGTAAGACCCGTCCCTGTGTTCAGCAGCAGAGAGGATGCAGGAAGATACGCTAACATCCCGAAAGCTCATCTGCTACTTGATTGTCGGAGGGATGCTTCTCGTGACCATCCAGGCCCTGGGAGAACTGGCAGTGCTCTATCCCGAGAACGGAGCTTTCTTCACGTATTGTGTCCGCTTCATTAGTCCAGCATGGTAAGCAAACCACTCGTGGTCTCTTCGATGTAACGAACAAGGCTAATCAGCGACTGGAAGTACAACAGGGGATTTTCCGTCGGTTGGGACTATGCCCTGAGCTGGCTCACCGTCTTACCCTTTGAGCTTACAGCTGCGAGTATCACGATCAAGTACTGGAATGACACCTTGAATGTTGGTATATTTATCACGATTTTCCTGGTTGCTTTGTGTGTCGTCCAAATTTTTGGTGTCCGTGGCTATGGCGAAGGTAAGACCAGTCACCCCTCAGATGTACCGTTGGAACGGAATAATAATACTGACGACTGGCGTGATATGCAGTCGAATTTGTCCTTAGCGTGATCAAAGTGACTGCGCTTATTGGGTTCATCATCCTTGGCATCGTGATTGACTGCGGTGGTGCGCCCAACGGCGGATACATTGGAGCTCATTACTGGCATGACCCCGGTGCCTTCACCACCTTCGAGGGCTTCTGCTCCGTCTTCGTCACCTGTGCCTTTGCCTTTGCCGGCACGGAGCTGAGTGGTCTGGCAGCTGCGGAGGCAGCGAATCCCGCAAAGACTATCCCCAAGGCGACCAAGCAGGTATTCTGGCGCATCATGATTTTTTATGTCCTGGGAACCTTCATCGTCGGCCTGATTGTTCCTAGCAGCGCCGATTATCTATTGGGTTCCTCGGGTGCCAACACTAAAGCCTCACCTTTTGTGGTCTCGATCCAGCAAGCAGGTATCAAGGGTCTACCTTCCGTTATGAACGCCGTCATCACCATCGCTGTGCTGAGTGTGGCTAACTCGGCCACCTACGGATCCAGCCGTACTATCCAGGCTCTGGCTGAACACAAGATGGCCCCCAAGTTCCTCGCGTACATTGACAAGCATGGCCGCCCACTGTACTGCATTCTCCTGCAGATTGCGTTTGCCTTCCTGGCCTTTATCAATGAGGCCAAGCAGGGTGAGACCATTTTCACTTGGCTGTTGGCTCTGTCCGGCATTTCAAACTTCTTCGTTTGGGGCAGTATCTGTCTCGCGCATATCCGTTTCCGTCAGGCATGGAAATACCACGGACGGGACATCAAGGAGCTGGCCTTCGTGGCGCCCTTCGGCGTCATCGGCAGCTGCATTGGCTTCGGGCTCGTGGTACTGTGCCTGATAGCTGCGTTCTACACCGCAGTGGCACCGCTGAGCGCTATGACCTTCTTCGAGAACTATCTCGCTGCTCCGATTGTTTTGGCCCTCATGGCTGGCTGGGGCATATATGGCAAGTTTAACAAGGATCCCGAGCTGAAACGCGGTGTCTGGTTCACTCGCATCCAGGATATGGATGTCTTGAGCAACATTCGCGACACCGCGCTGGACTCCGATCTGGCGCCCAGGAAGGAATATGCCACCTGGGGAGAGTGGTTCAAGGCTGCGCCCATGAGAATCTTGCGGTCGTTGATCTGAAAGGACACTGGGTGTTCCTTGGTTTTGGGCTTCGCAGTGGTTCAATCAAATAGGTGAATTGATGCGAGCTCGTCATCCAGGGGGCGGGTATCGGCTATGCGCCGGAATGTATTAATCGTCCTACCTATTAAGACATTAGTTATAAATATATCATCAATTTTATGAACAGTCGGGACTCGAGTGGCTCCTGTTCGCCGGATCTGAAATCTGGCTGTACAATCACACATTAAATGGCTCAACTAATATGCCAACGACATCATGATTAAAAAAAAGTGCTTTTTCAGCGGGGTATCTTCTATAAACCAAAAACCGATATGAACAGCTCGTCCAAAAAAAAAATCATATAGACATAAGACATGAAGGGGGTAAAACGTCATTCCGAGTCGGAAGCGTAGCTCACCAGCGCTGGCGTTGCTGGTGTATTTGGCGTATCATGGGAAACATATGCGTCGACTCTGTTTTCCGGGCTGGTGCTAGCAGGTGTGCGCAGGCCATTCTTGCTCGATATCGCAGACGATGCAAGTTTTCTTTTCTTGATGCCTGGTTGCCATGCGCTTTCGCCGTCAGCGCCATCATTCAGGAATGGGTCCACCACGGCACGCGTATTCCCCGTTATCTCATTGCGCAGGGCATCTTTGCGCTGCACCACCAGAGCAGCCGACCGAGTTCGTCGAGTTCCTTGGTTTGTATTTTGTTGTGTCGAAGAACTCTTCGGAACCCGATGCTCGAACAACGGCCTCGCGCGCGTGGCCCTCGCCGCACTGATGCCAATGAGAGACTGGTCATCACCAAACTCCACCATGCTCGCGCGCTGGCGATCCGCTTCCGTCTCATCCACCAAATCAAGGCCCAGACTCATCTTATCCTTCAACGCCTCACGATTCGCTTCCGCCTTCTCCAGCCCTTTTCTCTCCGCGCGAAACGTGCGTCGCAGCCGCCTCGACTTCTCGTACGGATCATCCCAGTCCCTCGCCTGGCGCTGCTGCAATTCGAGAATGCGACTGCCCTCCGTCTGCGCACGCCGCTTATCCTCCACCTTGCCCTCGATCTTCGCAAACGGGTCTTTCTCCGCCGGGTCTGTAGTCGTGCCATATTGTGGCCGGATGGCAATCTCCCCCGGCTGCAGCTCCTTGTCCTCGCCGGTATCCCGTTTCCGCCCGCCTTCCACAACGACATAAGCCGTGTTCTTCGGGTCAGTCCGGATCTCGATCCAGCCCCCGCAGACTGTGTGTTTCATGCGGAAACTGTATATAGGTGTCGAGTAGTAGTTGCCCACTTTTTTCTTCTCGGCGTTGAACCGCACTCCCTGCCCGATTATTGTTTCGTGCGGCTTGCATGTCGTGCACCAGACAGCGAAGGGCATCTCGAACCGCACAATCAGTGCGCCGGTCGTGTGAAGGTGCCGGGCCCTTGCGCCGAGGGGATGCTTTCCGGCTAGCTTGTTGCCGGTGGTGAGACCTTCCTGGTCCGGTGGGACATAGCTGTGGTGAGAGTTAGTGACCTATAGGTGTGTTGAAGGGTGGGGAGAACGAACCGTCCCATATCTGGAAAAGGAAGGCGTTAGCTTCGAATGGAGAACCGGGAAATGAACACTTACTAAAGCCCTGCATCCTGGCCGGCAGGACAGTGGTTGTCGCCTATACTGAGTGAGAGATGGGAAGAAGGAAGATCAACTTCTCTGATTGACTTGGTTATCATCGTTATCGGGGAGATGAGTCAGCAACTTCATCATGGCCCTTAACGTAACTACTCTTCAACTAATTCACATCCAACTAACTAGGCCAACATTGCCCCCCCATTCGACTCGACAATACTACCCGACACAAACTGATCCTTCATGAGATACAGATAACTCTCCGCCAGATCCTCCGGCCGCCCCACCGTCCCCGTCGTAGTTTGGCTCCTAAACATCTTCAAGAGGCCCTCCAACCGCTCACTGGGGAATCCCGAGAAAAGCTCCGTATGTACTGCCCCCGGTGAGACCATATTAACCCGCAGCGGCTTGAGGTCTAGCGCGAGTCCTCGCACAATGCCCTCTGCGCCAGCTGCAAAGGCAGTGGTCACAGACCACCCGGGAGCAGGCTTATGAGCGCGCACTCCACCGGTTACGGTGTAGGAGTTCGCTGGCGCCAGATCCATGTATTTGGGGATATACTTGGCGATCATTAGCGGTGCCACGAAGCGTACGACGCCGGTCTTATGGATGATCTCCGGGGTCAACTCTGCAAGAGCGGGGAGGCCGAGCGCATCGCCGGCCGTGGTGACGACATGATTGATCTTGATAGTTCCGTTGTTGGTTACGGTTTGAAACAGATTCGCAAGGTTGGAATCGAGATTGGCCGTGTCGGATAGATCACAGGTGTGGGTGATGATGGTTTGCGCTGCTGCTTGAGCCGGGTATGTCTGGCGCAGCCGGGTCACTGTGTTCTCAAGCTTGGAGGGATTTGAGCTCGAGATTATCAAGTGCGCGCCGTGCTCGAAGGCTGCTTCGGCAACGCAGAATCCTATCCCGGATGTTCCGCCGAAGATGAGAACGCGCTGGTTCGCGAGCTTGGAGGTGTACTTAGTTGTCATGGTAGCTATGCTATGATCGAGAAATACTCGAGGGCTCGTAGAACGTTTCTTGCAAAGACTGAATGAATCGTTTCACACATTTATAACTTCTCCAATTCGGGGACGCTTCATCCCGCCTCCGGAGATTCCGAGTTATCTCCGGCGCGAAGTCTCCGGCACAAAGTCCGGCACAAGCCATTCTCCAACATCGCTGTGGTCTTCAGATCTGCGGACTGTGCAAAATTATGCACCATAAGCCATTCATTTCCGCTAGTTGAGGCACAGTAGTAACAAGTTCGTCCGGCGGAGGAACTGGTTGCCGAGTTCAATGGCTACAAGCAGTGAGGCCTAGAAGATATACCATCATGTATGTAGGGCCTTTGTGGCATGACAATGGTTGGGTACTGCGAACATGAAAATCAATTGTTCAATCCATACTGAAATTAGCTCAGCCACGTTGGAATCTGCTTTTGAGGTGTAATATGATCGAGGCCATAGGTGTGTAATCCACCTACATAGCTTTTTGGAAATGTGTATTCCAAAAGAGTATCGTAAATCGAGGCCAGTTCTAGTGAGTTGATATATAACGCGAGCAGTCTGCCCCTTGCCACTAGTTACTCACATCCGTTCAGTAATGTTCGTAAAGAAGAAGTGGAGACCGAGCAGGAATTATCCAAGGGGGTGCCCGGGTGTCTGGATCCACTATAAAGCATACAATCCCCTTCGAACAAAACAGTAGAACTAGCATATATAACCATCTTCAAGCGATAGCGAATTACCTCCTCCACTGCAAGATGAAAATCACCTCCGTTAGCTCACATGTTCTTCGCGTCCCATTCGGTGACCGATGTTTTCTACTCCTCCCAAGCCCGATTCCCAGAACGCAACTCATACCTAATGATAGAAACCGACACTGGCCTCGTCGGATGGGGAGAACGCTATCTGCTTATTGTGTAAGCAGTCTAATCGTTTAAGGAGAATCTGGCTGACCTTCACATAGCGAGAGGGGGTTGGGGGGGGGGGGGGGGGGGGGCAACTGTCGGTATTGGGTTGATATCTTGTTTTCTCATGGTAGGAGGATGGATAGGATCCAGAGTACTTGTTTATAGCTTCAAGCTAATGAGAGCAGCCCGAATACCCGTACAATGCTCATCTGCTCAAGCAATTGAGCGTGATCTCGCAGTCTGGCGTATTGAACAAGAAGCTGGAGTGGGTGAAGCTCACGAAGAAGTCGGCACTTTACACGGTTTCCTGCTTGCTCTCACCGATGTTAAGGTAAGCATCCCTAAATGTCTATCGTTTATCCACTTATCAGTATAGATCTGGGCGTTGGTATTTTGTGTTATCTTGTCGCAAGCCTTGAATTCGGCCCTGAATTTCCTTCCTACGATTGTCGCCACGCTGGTATACAACGAAACCTTGACTCTTGTTTTGACTGCCCCACCCTATCGTATGTTTCTTTGCCAGCTTTTCATTTTTTTTTCTATTAATGTTTCCTGCTAACGAGCGCCAGTGTTTGCCTGCTTTTACTTTACTTCATTAGCTGGTGGAGCGATGTAGTTGTCCAGCAAGGGTTCGAAGTTTCTACCTCTTAACCCAGTGGTACAGTGCAACGAAGTTCTATACTGGCCTATAATCCTATCATTGGTCATGGGTGCTGTTGGATTCGTCATTCCTTTAGCGACGACTAATCTCGGCGCACGATATTTCGCCATAATGCTGTTCCCCGGTGCGACCAGTACGGCAGTGCCTTTCCCCACATGCCTACCTGCTGGACTTGTCCACTAACACACTTGCTTCTAGTCGGACCACAGATCCCATTCTATAAGGCTCTGAACCTCCATATGGCAAGGCCATATCCTAAGCGAACAGCTGGTGTCGCTCTTCTGAATGCCATTGGAGGTACTTCGAATGTCTGGGGTAGCTACCTCTGAACACGAGCCAAGGCTCTATCCCGGGGTTGGAATGTGTACGTACAAATATTTCCAATGGAACTGTCCAGCATTGGCAAAGTATATGATATAGGTGCCGGGGTTGTGATTGTATTCATGGTTAACATCACCTTGTACAAGTGGCACATTGCAAACGAGAACTAGAAGCTTTCTGGCGATGAGTTTCGAGCCAGAAGTGCCATGAAGGGAGGTGTAACGCAGGAGCAGGTGGATATGGGATGGATATACGAGGGCTACTAGACTTGTACCCCTCTCTCAGTAATTTGTGATTGCAATATTTGTTGACCTGGAATGTCGCTTTCCCGTTCCCCAGCTAGATAACAATCTGCTCATATATGAACATTGACCCAGGTTTTAGCATAGGGCTGAATCTCGTATTCGCTATCTTAGGTTACGTGGTTGACTAGATTTCGGCGCCAGCCATTGGACAGGATGAACGTTTAGCTTTGACAAGATAGTAAGTTAACCGGGCCTTACATTTATTACCAAGCTTACTGGCCCTCGCTGTGTGATCTTAATTTAGTCGTATTTGGAAGGCTCAGCCCCAGCTGACTTTATTATCTTATTGTTGTTAGCTCTAGTGGAAGGCCTGATTTAGGGGCTGAAATATTATTTTCAGGCCCACCCCCTAGAAATAAAATGCAGCACGCCACCCTTGCAATTGCCTCATATCCCCAGAATTTTGCGTGCTAGTTACTTTATCTGATCGTGCTATTGACAAAACAATGGCAATGTCTCGCCGAATCGATCGCTTGCCGGCACCGTCGGAAGTTCGACAGATGAAAGTCATCGTCGCCAGTCCCAGTCGGTAGGATGCGCATGCTGCTGTGAGCTTGATTAATCTTGTTAATTGTCTCATTCTGTTTCAGGTCAGGTACTCTTGGTCTCTATCAGGCCATGAAGATTCTGGGTTACAACTCGTACCACATCTACGAATGCGCCGCTGTGAGAGGCGTAACCCATATGCAGCTTTTCAAGGAAGCTATTATTGCTCAGTATAACCGAATGGCTGGAGTTAAACGGTACACCAGGACCGATTTCGATAAGTGGTTGTGTGACTACGATGTGAGCAGTGTCTTTGTTTTCGATCCAAACATTTCCTTTCCAGCATCAGAAATCAAACAACATGGATTCCAATCTAATTTACCTCAAATAGTGTGTGGTGGAGATCCCGAGCTACATGGGCATGGACATGATCGAGGCGTACGCGGAGGACCCGGATGTGAAATTCATCCTCACTGAGCGGCCTCCAAAGAAATGGGCAAAGTCTGTCAACAACACGGCAGCTGAAGTGGCGACAATGTCTAGCAAATTCCCCTTCTCCATCCTCAAATACTTCGACACCACGCTTTTTGAGTTCCTGGATCTCAACCAAGTCATTTATCAGGGGCTCGCTTGCGGCACGAAGCCTGACGGCCCGGACAATGAGGATATCTTGGCCAGGTATTACGCTGAATAGTAAGTGGTCATTAAACCACAGCGTCTGGGGTTGATGAGACTGACAATAGCACATGAAGTATCAAAATGGCCAAGGCAACAATACCTGCGGATCGCCTACGCCTCATTCAGCTTGAGGATGGGCTCGGCTGGGAGGATATCTGCCCGTTTCTTGGAGTGCCAATTCCCAGCGTCGAGTACCCCGGCCGAAACGAACCCGAGAAGTTCCAAGGCATGGTCGAGGCGTTCATAACACCGCTTCTTACGGCCGCGGTAGTGAGACTTAGTCTCGTGGCTGTGCCAACCGTTGCAGTTCTTGGCTGGATGGCCGTGAAATATGTTTAGGCTATCCATTATTTCAAACGAGTATGTATTAGCACAGATTGGCCTCCTAGTCGCACAGACCTACTAGAAATTACTACTTAAATTATAGTAGCTCCTGTATAATAGAGCCAAGATGATTTCAGTTACGTAGAGAAAGGGAAGTATTATCATATGCGAAAGAGGTATATAACAGAAAGAAAAATGCAAAACCGGCATATTGCCAAATGCAAGTCAATCCGAAAACAAATTAAAAAGTCGAGAGAGATTTATAAAAGAAAGAATGGAAAATGGACATTCAGTCAACTTACTCCGCCGAGCATTTCCCACCAACCTCGCAGACGACAGGGAGATCCTCGACACTCTGTCCAACCCAGATCTTGACACCTTCTCCATTAACGGGCGCCTTCCAGTCCTGCACAACGACATCCCAGACACTAAGGTCCTTGCGGGTAATGTCCAGGGTGAGGGTCTCGCTCTGTCCCGGCGCCAGTTCTTTTGTCTTCTCGAACTGGCGCAGTTGCAGAGGCGGGGTATCCAAGCCCAGACTCGAAGGCAGAGCAACGTAGAGCTGCGCTACAGCTTTTCCGTGTCGGGAACCGGTGTTTTTCACCTGGACCTGGACTGAGAAAGCAGTGTCAAAAAGAGCGGGGTTGCCGCCCTGCGCACCGCCGGCCCGTGGCGCGGGCTTGGGCTGTGTGGTGTATCCGTCTGGGTATTGGTAGGTGTCCGAGGCGGTGATCAGCTGTGGGAAATCTAGATATGGATATAGGTAGCGCCAGATGCGAGTGAAGTGGGTTGATGACCAGGCCACTTCGGACGCGGCGGGGATCTTTTGGCTGTATTCAGGCGTGGATCCCTTGGTAGGTCGGGCGGGAGGGTATTCGCTGTCCAATGGGGTGACCACGGAAAAAGAAGGGCTGGAGAAAGTGAAAGTTGTATAAGAAAGGCCGTGGCCGAAGGGGTATCGAGGGGCGATGTTGGCGTTCATGAAGTGACGATAGTCAATATAGAGGCGCTCGGTAAATGTGTCCTGAATCTGACCAATGGGCTGATCGATGAGGCTGACGCTCTCGGGGTAGTCGGATTCGCTGCGGGGAATGGTGTATGGCATATGGCCACTGGGGCTGTAGTCACCGAACAGAATATCGGTCAAGGACCAACCGGCTTCCTGACCAGGAAGATGAGCCACAAGGACGGCCTTGACGGAGTCCAGGTCAACCCATTCCTCCATAAGGATGGGACCGACGGTATGGACCACCACCACAACGTTGGAAAACTTCTGCGCGGCGGCTTTGACGAGATCATCGCCGTTGTGCCAGGCGTTCAATCCAGCCTTGAGGCGGTCTCCAGGGTTCCCATCCACCGTGATGTAGTTTTCACCAGAGTCGGCATTGATGAAGACTATTGCAATATCCGTAGGGGATGCGGTCACATCGTCAGGGAATGTGTCTGTGATGTAGAATTCGGCGTTGTTGGAAATGTTGCCGATAGCCTCTTGTGGCGTAATCAGGTAAGGAAGATTTGCACTTCCACTGCCCCATCCCATGGTCAGAACGCCGCTGTCACAGCCTTTATCACTGCAGGAATTCGGTCCGTTGGGATTTGGTCCGGCATCCGTACCAAAGATCTTCAAACTGTCATTGTGTCTGAACGGGAGGATATCATTGTCGTTTTTGAGCAAGGTGACCGCTTCACGAGCAACAGCTCGTGCCGTGATGTTGTGGTCGCCCTCTACATTGACATATTGGTTGACCACGCCGATAGGAGAGAAGAGTGCCCCCGGGTATATCTCTCCAGTCTGGTCGCCTGTGTTGGCGGAGAAGTTGGGCAAAGGATAGTCTTTGTCCTGTCCGAACTTGTACCATGTAGCTACAATGCGAGTAACCTATTTATCATGTCAGCGTGGCCGTAGATAATATCAAACTGTACATACCATGTCATTGAGCCGGTTGAGTGGAACAGTTCCGTTCAGGATAGACCGCGACAGTTCCGACCCCCAATAGCTGTCCCCAAGAAGAGGAATAGCACCATCGCCAGGCATGACCATGTCAAGGCCAGCTAGTGCGGACGACACGCCGCCATATTGACCCAGCCAGTCTGTCATGACAAATCCTTGGAAGCCAAGCTCATCCTTAAGAATGTCATTGAGGAGTTTGCTGTTTTGGCTGCAAGCAGAGCCATTCACCTAGCCAACATGTTAGTCAAAACCCGATCATCCTTCAAACCCAAAGTTCTCACATCGTTATACGAAGTCATTAACGATCCCACGCCCGCCCGAACGCCCTCGGCAAACGGCCACAGATACATCTCATGCAAGGTGCGGTCATCGATATTCGATGAATAGCCTTTCGAGACAATGCTGCTCATCCGGGACATTTCCTGCTCGTAGCCAATGTAGTGCTTCAAAGAAGCGATGGCCCCAGTACTTTGCATGCCCTTTATTGTCTGCGCACCGCCCACAGCCTGCAGCACCGGGTCAGCTCCAAAGCCCTCCCAGTTGCGACCGCCAAGAGGTTTGCGTCCCAGAGGCGCAACGACCGGGCCCAAAAGAACATTGACGCCTTTCCCTCGGGCTTCTTCGCCAAGACCCACGCCTCGAGCATACATAAGCTCTTTGTTGAACGTAGCGCCAACGGTGATTCCCGGCGGAAAAGCAGTATTATGATCCGTGTCCCGGACTCCCAACGGACCGTCCTGCAAACAGAGATTCGGAATGCCGAAACGGAGCGCACTGCCTGTCTGGCCCACGCAGGGCCCCATGTAGAAGCCCGTGCCGGTGGTCAAGTTGACCTTCTCGGCCAGGGTCATGTTGCTGACCACCGCATGGGCCTTTGCATAGGCATCAGCCCAGTCCTGCACCCACCCGCCGGGGGGTGTAGGATAATAGGGCGGAGATTGGTAGTTCGCAGGGAGCGAAGATCGTGCCGACAGATCAAATTCAGCATCTGGAACTGGAGATGCGAGAAATGGCTGGGCTAAAAAAGAGACTAGCACCAAGCCAGTCAAGGGAGCCATGGTGCCTGGCTTGAAGACAAGGATCAAGACTGTTTCAGACCAGCGCAGCAGCCCAACTGGAATCGGGTGAATGAGATTATTGCCGACTGCAGTAAACAAGAGAAACCGGATGAAATATAGCTGCCCTTCCTTCCCCCTCCTAATCCACGTGCCTGAGGAGAACGCGCAGCTAACCGTAGCTGATCCTTTCTACAATGAACTTGGATCGCCGTTCGCTTGCACAGCCGAGGAACTAAGCCCGGCCTGCCCATGCCCAATCGGGCAAGGTCAGGGGGTGATGCAGACAATGAGAGTTCAGCATGACCGACCCCCGAGGATTACCCGTTGACTACCTGGGACACCTAACAGGATAACATTTCCAGCATTCCAGTGTTTTGTCGTTGTGGCACATTCTAATCCTTGTTTTACATGTGACCAGTCTAGTCCGTCGCCTAGATCTTGGTGTATCTCAGATAGGGCTTGACCTCACGCACCTCCCCGAACTTCTTCTTCGCGTCCGGCGTAGACACCGAAGGCGGCACGATCACGTCCTGGCCTACCTGCCAGTCAATCGGGGTGGTGACGCCCTTCTTGTCGCCCGTCTGCAGCGAATCAATCACCCGCAGCACCTCGGCGGAGTTGCGGCCCGTCGAGGCCGGGTACATCATAGTGAGACGGATCTTCTTGTTCGGGTCGATGATGAACACGGACCGGATGGTGAACGCAATGCCCTTCTCGTCAATGTTGTCCAAGTCCTGCTGGTCGACCATGTCATAGAGGAAGGCGACCTTGCGGTCGGCGTCGGCGATGATGGGAAATTCGACGCTCGTGGACGACACTTCGTTGATGTCCTTGATCCACTCCTCGTGGGAGCTGAGGTCATTGGCGCTCTATGGAGAGGTGGTGTGTGTGAGCAAATGGTCCTAGGGCTGCCGTAGAATCATTAACATACCAGGCCAATCATCTTGACACCACGTTTCTCGAACTCATTCTTCATCTTGGCAAACGCACCAAGCTCCGTGGTGCAGACGGGTGTGAAGTCGGCGGGGTGGGAGAAGAGGATGGTCCAGCTGTTGCCGATGAACTCGTGGAAGTCGATCTGGCCCGTGGTGGTCAGAGCCTTGAAGTTGGGAGCTGCTCGAATGTTTAGCGATATTATCCCATTCAAGCAATTGACACCATACCAGTCGATCCCAGGCGCAGACGCGGCTGTTCCTGCGCAGGTGTCGCAAAGAAGCGGCGGAAGGCAGGCCGGGAGCGGGGCAGTTGGGCCGTGAGTCTCGCCCAGGGAGCTGGCTGAGGAGCAGCTCTGAATGCACGGAAGGCCATCTGGGGTGCAATAATGGGAGCCATTGGTTACTATTGTCAAGCGTGGTCAATCGCAGGTCTACCGAGGGAGGATCCCCGGATTCAGAGCATTAGTAAAAAGCCTCACGTGATGACTACGTAACCCGCTGTCAAAAAGACCTGTGGATGTTAAGGTTACTAAGCCAGGATGGCCGGCAGTTGACAGATTTGAAGGCCCACCTAGACCTAAAGCAGTGGCCTACACGGAGTGAATAAGTACACTTAATCCATTTTAATGGAAATAGAACGAGACAGATAAACCTTGGAACTAATGTGGTATTTTATGCTATGGCAGTTTATAGTATAGTATACAACCGAAAAAAAAAGTGCAAAGACAATCCTCCATCCCTCATGCCTTATCCACCAAGTTCGCAAACACATACCGAAAGATCTCCCGACTCTTATACAAGTTCTCAACGCGCATGCGCTCATTATCCAGATGGGCATTATCACTAGCCTGACCGCAGGGCAGATTCGCAGCGGGAGCCGAGAACTCCTTTTCCAGGAAGCGGATAGTCGGGATTGAACCGCCCTCACGGATGAACATTGGTTTCACAGCTTGTCGTGCAGTCGACTGAGCAGAAGATGACGAAGGGGCGGGGGCGGTTTTTGCGGAAGGTTGGGGGTCAGATTTCGCTCGCACGGGCAAGGTGGTGGTAGATTCGTCGGATCCTCCCCCTCCATTTGATGCGGACTGGGTGAGTGTTGATGATGTTGGGACTATGGCTGTTGGTTGGGCGGAGCCTTTGCGGGCGGCTTCTTTGTTGGAGGAGGAGGTGGTTGTTGAGGTGATGACGCGGTCGATGTGCGAGGCTAGACTGTCGGACGAGTCGCTGCGGAGGAGTCTTGCGGCGGGATTGGGTTTGGATGCGGACTGTCCGGTGGTGGTGGACGGGTTCACCGGGGGATACTGGTGTTTGAAACTTTGCTGATCTTGTGTCCATGCCTCGGTGATGGCGTCGGATAGTGTGGCGAAGATCTGGTTGTCCGGATCTCCAAGCCATGCATCGGATTTGCCGGTGATCTCCACGGTCAGGTCATTCTGAGACTCCAGGAGCGCAAATTGTTCCTGTGCGTAGGCTGTCAGGTCTGCGGCGACATCGTCGGCCTGCTGGTCAGGGACGATTCGAATTGAAAGGCTCGCTTTGGCGCGGCGTGCAATGGTCGTGGTTGCATTCTTGCTGCCGGGAACCTCGACCGAGTGCACAGTCAGCGACGGCTCACGCCAACGGTACATGAGCGACTTGATCAATGCCTGACTATCTGGAATTTCCGGGTGCTGTGGCAGCAGAACGTCGGCAATGGCCTGGAAGCGTTTCTGCTCAGCGCTCGAAAGCGGGCGGACAGAGTCACGGAAACCAGGCAGGTTGACCTGGCCTTTGCGTCCAACGAGCGTGGACAAGAGTATGGAGATGTCCTTCATCGGTTCATCTAGCAAAGCACTGCCATCAATACCGCTGTGGAGGTCGGGGTGGTCGCTAGTAACCACCAGATTGGCATGTACCACGCCGCGCAACCCGTACGTTAAACACGGGTTGTAGTCATCCAGCCAGTAGCTGTTCGCCAAAAGAATCCAATCCACGGGCCCGATCTGAGACTTGTGTTCCCGGACAGTCTGGTGGAAACCCTGAGATCCTGATTCTTCTTCTCCTTCAATCAAGAATACAACGTTGCAGCGGAGTGATTTAGTTCGAGCTAGGTCTGCTGCCGCATACAAGGCTGCCAAAATGGGGCCCTTGTTGTCGGACACTCCTCGCCCGTAGAGGAAGCCATTAATTGAAGCGAGCTGGTATGGATCTGTCTTCCATTTTGGGCGATTCGCATCAGCACCCACGACGTCGTAGTGCCCGTAAAAGAGGATCGTTTTATCCACTTTGTTGGTTGAGGTAGCATTGAATCGGGCATAAACAATAGGGTTGGTATTCGGGCCCGTGGTGAGGAGCTTCGTGTGAGCGCCGAGGTAATTGCAGTGTCGACGGAGGAAAGCGGCGCCTTGGTTGCATTCCCCCGTAAACTTCGGACTGGCAGAGACCGTCTTGAATGAAACAAACTTGGCGAGGCTATTGACCATTTCATCTAGAGAGAGTGTCAGAAAATCCTCGTAAACTCTCTAACGAACATACCATTGCTGATCGGGGGAAGTTCCTCCTGAGTTAAGAAGAACTCGGTCAAGTCCCAGATCCCTACTGTGTTGTCGTTTCCACCGGTGGCATATATCCGTCGATCCTTCACCCGGCCGGCAGCAGAGGCGAGCATGGTACCTTCATGAGCGACCCAGCCACCAATTTCCTCAAACCGCGAATTGAATTTCTAAATCCGTTAGCGAGGAAGCAAATTGAATATAAAAACAATACCTTCACAGTTCCACTGGAGTCACCACAAATGGCCACCCCCTGGATGATATCGACTGCCCACAAATCGCCCGTATGCCTGGTAATCCGTTTCACCAGCTGATTGGAGTCGAGGTTCCAAATATTGAGAGCACCCCCTACAAGACCGCAGTAAAGCAGTGGCCCCTCCACAGCAATGGATAGTACCGAGTCTCCATTTTGAAATTTCGCTATTTGAGTAGGCGCTGCGCCGGGTTCACGGCCCAAACGCCATAGCTTAACCACACCATCACCAGCACCAGTCAACAGTGCCTCTTCGGATGGAGCAGATTCGATGAGACCCTTGACCAGGAGCATGGAGTAGACGTAGCCATGATGCGAGAATAGCTGATGATGGTCGCGCTTGAATGTTAACACGCGACCACCGTGAGAGACGGAATGCATGCCATCCGATGAACTCGGAGGCTGAGTGCCATCGGGTCCTCGCGAGTCGAAGAAGCGGTGGGTACGATTTGCTGGATGTGCAGATGGCGCTTGGTTGACAGTCGAGCTTGCTTCAGAGAGATCGCACCACTGCGAAAGTCAACGGATTGCGACATGAGAATCATTGAGATCGGATTACCTGGATACTGGTATTTTGCGCACCGCAGTACATGGTTTGGTTGGTCATTGAGTAGACGACGGTGGAGATATCACCGACATCGTGATGCGAATGGATCGAGTAGAGTCGTTCGAATGTTTTGGTTGACCACACCTGCCAAGGGTATTAGGTGTGCTCTGTTTTTTTTTTTTTTTGGTCTAGGAGACTTACATTCACAACGGAGTCCCCTCCGCTGGAGAATAGTAGAGTGCCGTCTTCAGAAAGGTAGAGACCGAGCACGCTCTCTTTGTGGGCATGCACCGAGAGCACCAGTTCATATGTCTCAAGGGACCACGCCTAGAGAAGTGGTTAGAAGAGATTCACAAAAAAAGTAAATGGCAAGAAATAAGCCAGAAACAAAGAAATAACAATTGACTTACCACAATGTCGCCGCCTTGAAGACCGGCGAATACACACTCTTCGTCCAACACCAGAGCCAAGACCGATCGACTGGCCACCACGCGATGTCCGATGCCGCAGTCACTCTGTGGAGCGCTACTGGCATCATCGGTGAGCCTAGGGGCGACCAGATGATCTGACTGCCATGTCCTGGACTGCTCTTCGACATCGGACGCGCTCTCTGATTCCACTGTGAAGGCCATGGGAGGCACACGATCAGCCAATGTTTTTTCTTTTCTTTTCGGTGAAGAAACACGAAGCTCCACCGGCTAAGAGAGACTAGACTCGAATTGAGCAGGTCCGACCATCCGGCGCTCTTCCGGGATTATCAGATCCGCCCAGCTCTGACAGTCGTGCTGGGAGTTGGATGTTTGTTGGATGGAGACCGAGAAATCATGAATCATCCGGGGAAGGCAGAGGGCGGTCTGTCTGTCTCTCTCTCGCGCGATGGCACCATCAACAACGCTTAAGACTCACCATTCCTGGCATCCTTTTTGTTGTTCCAGCAGCAGGCGGCCCTGGAATTCCCCGTCAGTCACAATTTTGTCATTATTTTTGTTTCCGTCTCGGTCGGTCGGTCTGAGTACGCCCAAGAATGGCCAACAACGAGCGATATACGCACCGGGGCTCCCACAACAGGCGAGCTAGAGGAGGTCCAGAGTGACCGCTCGCATTGACCGCCATGTTTTGCTAGATACGATAATGGGCTCGGGCGGGAAAGGTTATGGTAGAGCCTTGATGCAGCAGCAGAGGTTGGCAGCCGGTACACCGATAGAAGATCAACGCCAGCACATTGGAAGATCAAACCACCACTAACTATGACCCATGCCTTACGTCGGGCCCCCTGATCTACGCTATCGTCATTAGGTTCTGGACTAGACATCCCTATCTGCAGGCGGCCATGGGCGTTGGGACAGGAGACGGCCTTTCGCGGTCGCACGGTGAGGATGGCGCCATCAAGCAGGACAATGAGCCACTAGCTGGTACTCCTGGCCATCTGAGCTGCATCTGAGCCCATTGAAGGCTGTCGAGTGTCTTTCAATCATGTCAACAATTCCTCCGTATTGCATCTGCACCGCCACACACTGCTCAGCCACTGTGGCACGGACGGACCAATCAGCTCGGCGTCGACACCGCCTTGTTGATGTGATTCATCTTTCTCTCTCACCCTGGAACGACGAAGTTCACATGCATGTCTGCCTGCCACGGGTACCCAAACCCAACCACTCAGCCCTGTCACGGCACGGTTTTGCTTCCTTTCTGTTCGCTGCTCTGCCCAACGTTCGTGCCTAGAAGTTATTATGCTTTCCCTGCTATCGGCCTTTCCCGCTGATCTCTAAAAAAAGACATCCCTGTCATTAATAATTGAGGCTTTTCCATTTTTCCCCTTCTTCATATATTCTACTCTCGACTTTTTTAATTTCTCCGCTGTGCTCTACTCGGTGGACACACAGCTCCTATCAATGTGACGACTGCAACGGGTGCTCTACACCGCTTCTTGTATCGTTGATCACCCTCGGCAGATGCAGCAGCCCGTTATTTGACTACGGCTCTTCATCGACCATGCCGCCGTTCGGTCAGACTATCGCTGTGATTGACAAGTCCGGCAAGGTTGTCAGCACGGTAAGCATCTCGGTAACTAAGAAGCCCGAACTGCATATTGACAACCAGCTAGAGTAAACAACTCTTCGGCGTCTTTAACCAAGCCAAGTCGGCCTACCGCGAGCGCAAATCACAATATGACTCCGAGCGCAGTGCAAAAGCTGCCGAGCAACAAGCTCTCCAAGGTCTAGCTACCTACCAAATCGACGATTCGCCAGCCGCAGGCAACCGGCGAACTCACGGCAGCAAATCCAAACATCATTCAACCCGTCATCACCACCGCCGCCGCACATCTTCACACTATGAGCAGTCGACAACGTCTCGCGGCGACACATACTACGCCCCACCGCAGGAGATTGCTCGACGTCACACGCATCATGATATCACGATCCGCCCATCTGAAAACCAGATAGAAACCCGTCCCACGACGGCGCGGTCCAAGTCAGACGCCCATATCGATATGAACCTTGCATACGGCGAAGCTCACCCGGACGCACTATCTCGTTACAGCCCGGAGGAGCTGAAGATCGAAGACAAAAAGCAGCTCGATGGACTCGTCCGTCGAGCGCAGTGGCTTCTCGAAGAGGCACACTGCGTACAACACAGTGCCTCTGCTACGATAACCCATCTGCAAAAGCATCCAGACGCCATGGCCGCGGTGGCACTGACCTTGGCGGAGATCAGCAACCTCGCAACAAAGATGGCGCCAGCCGCACTATCCGCTTTCCGAAACGCCGCGCCAACCGTCTTTGCCCTTCTCTCCAGTCCGCAGTTCCTCATTGCGGCGGGCGTCGGTCTCGGCGTGACAGTTGTCATGTTTGGGGGATACAAAATTATCAAGAAAATCTCGTCCGGAAAAGATGACGCAGAGAACACGTCTGCGGGGGTGGATGAGATGATGGAGCTGCAGAATATGGACTCTCTCGGTCGCTTGGAGAATTGGCGGCGCGGCGTTGCTGATGTGGAAGCCGTTAGTTTCGGGACATCTGTCGATGGCGAGTTCATTACCCCCACAGCGGCGGCGATGTCGGGGATGGATGTAAGGACAGCGCATATCCCTCGAGACCCGCGATCCATGTGTCAGGAAGATGCATCCGTCTCGTCATCTCGGCGCTCGAGACGCTCCTCTCGAGATACGCATACGCATACGAGGAAAGAAAAGCGCGTGGAGGTTCCCCCTAGAGGATCCTCGCGACTCTTCCGCAGAGAGTCGACAAAGGCTCTCGCCTCCACTCCCAGCAGAGCTTCCAGCACGAGAACGTCAAGTAAAGCGGGCACAGCAAAGCCTAGAACTGGAACTGGGAGCCAGTCTTCAGAACAAGACCAACGACCCAAGGAAAAGAAGAAGAAGGGGCCTAGCCGGCTACGACTTATGTTTACGCATTGATGAATACAGCGGCCCCACGTCCTTTTGTTTCTGATTGGCGGGAATTAGCATTGGGTGTAGTATAGCCCATGCGTTAATGGTGGATTTGGCTAGAAATTTGTATATTCCCGCCCACTGTACAGTCATTCTCGAAATCGGCTTGACCAATACACTCTTGATCACTCTTTTCTGGCCCCACCGCTAAGGCCTTAGCGTATATTAATCATTGAGCGGGCCGCATTAGTTAAGTTGAGGGAGACAGTAAAATGCATCTCGTAAGATACTATATCTTGCGCCGTAATATTGCACTATACTTACTAGAGTTCGGTAGAATTCCATAGAACCGAGAAGTGAAAGTGGGTCTCTACAAATAAAGAGAGGGCTGTTTTGTGCCTGGTTCCTGGAAGATCTGTCGAGTGGCAGCAACTTTCCTTCTCTGAATGCACGGCTCAAATTCGCTTTGCCGGTTATAACTTCTAAGCTGTCTCCTTGCGATAAGGAAGATTATTACGAAAATTTAATCGACAAAATGTTGTTCTAGGGATCAAATGTGTTCCTGATTTTTATGACACTAAGGCTGATACGCTTCTCAACCACGATTTTCGACCCTAGACTTAGCAACCTTAATCGACGCCAAGTTCCGCATTAAAAGGCTAGCCGAACGTTAATTTCAACCCTAGATAAGCCGGAGCGTTTTATTTGTTGTCTTAAGCTTGCAATCTAGTAATCTAGCAACCCTTAAGCGTGTCACGAGGGTCAACGACTCATATAGACTATTTCAAAATTCTTCACCGAAAAATGTACGCAAAGTAACAAGCAATGGCCATCCTAACTACGAAGGACGGAGTAGGGGCTACTACCCGATGGTATGCAATGGATTCATCCGGTTTTTCATTCCCTTTCCCCGAAGCCGCACGTATGTTTATTTCTATTGCTTCCAATCTCGAAGCCGCGACCGTCAAGATTCTGGAAATGATTGTCAAGATCCTGGAAATGATTGTCAAGATACTAGAAATAAAACGAATTAGCAGTATCCCTCACTATCTGGTGGGTTAGAAAGGTACGATACTTCAGAATATTTCCGACAATAAGTGGGACGAAGTATGTAAGAAGTAGGGCAGAAACGGTTTCGATTGCTCGCCCTCCACACTTTCCGCTATCACCGTCCTTAGAGATGCATTCGATAATGTCGTCGTTCACACCGTCAAAACCCCGAGAAAAAGTCGTGACATATAATATCACTACGTATGCAACCGTCGTCCGACTGAGCTTCACAGCTTGGTCTCTAGCGAAAGGTGCAACGAGGAATGCAAAGAAAAATCCAGCGGAGCATGAAAGATATAGTGTCAAGACGACATTGAATACGTGCTCTCCGCACTTTCCGACGTCGCCTTCCTGTGAGATGCATTGGTTAATGATGTTTTTCGTATCGGTGCCTCCGAGACATCTCCCGTAGAATAGCACTGCGAACGCAGCCGCCCTCCAATTAAAACTTGTATCGTAGGGCATATCGTAGGAAACACGTCCAACAATATGTCCAAAGATATACCCTCCGGAGCATATAAAATATAGTGCTGAGATGATTGCGATTATATGCCCCACGAACTCCACTTTGTAGATGAACCCTTTGCTAATTTCATTCCAGATGATGGCTTTCACGTGTGCGACCCCATAATATCTCCCACAGGCTAGCACTGCAAATACAGCCGCTTTCCAACTGAACTTCGCATAATAGTGAGGCGGGGCATATTCGCTAGAATCCGTTTTAGCCATCTTTGCCTAAACGTTAGTTAAATATTGCCACATGTCTCTTACAACAGAGTCAGATACTTACCTTGGAGGTCTTGTCAACGATCTGTGCTGCCTTGAGTCGGTCAAGAAGACGAGAAACAACAATGTCAAGGGGACGTGACGAATTAGTTGGCGGGTACTTAGCAAATGGGTATTACCCTAGTTTGTATAACTAGTGTTTTATAGGGATCGTTCTCAGCAATGTAACCATAAGCCGTGGACACCGGAAACTTGAGCCGACACCCACTAGCTGCCTATTGGTGGTCTAGTGGCGATTGAAAGCCGACTATGTGGGGACTTGGTGCTGGCTCTTCCAATTACGCGACGTCAATACCGAGCTTGATCGGGTGGGCCAGTCTGTAGGCTATGATCCCTAGGTACTTCTAGGCTAATCTCTCTTAAAAATACGGTATATGGATTTCTATAGTATTATTACTTCTATGGGAATAAAAGAGGCTATGGATCGCGAGAGCGATGAGAGGTCTCTAGGGGCGTGTATAAACGCACCCGGCAGGCTATGAGCTCGTCGAATGAAGATTCTCACCCCATCCCACTTGAAAATCGTACCCTTCAGCCCCTATGCCAGGAATCGCATGCCCACGTCTACTAGTCCGCGTATCCTCGGCCGTCGAATCAGCCGCTATTACGTTCCGATTCGGTGGCACTGACCATCCGACATACAACTTGACCCGAGTAGGTTCGCGACAAAACCGCTTACACGTTCCCATCTTCTAAGCTCGTTGCCTCACGGAGGCCTTTAAGACGGGAAGGTTCTTCCCAGTACAGGATTTGGCGCAGACTACTTCCGCCTCAGATAAATCGACGAAGTACTACCCCTACAGTATTTTGAATGGTGTCCGGTATTGGTATAGTCTTTAATCTGTCATTAGCCAAGGTATGTCTGTTGACGGATAATCCCGAATCAGTAGGCTGGTCTGGGGATATAAGAACGAATAAGTTTCTGTCTTATAGAATCAATATACTCAAAGTTCCAATTGCTCAAATATCTTCCAGTTGATCGAAAATGGATTGAGAGTTTACAAATAAGCTCTGACCTTTCCGCTCCCTGAATGATAATTTTGAAAAGGATGATGATGATGATGAATTCTATTGTAGTCTGATGTAGCTTCCCTCAGCTCTTGTTAGGCACTATGTAAACTTTCTTCGGCTAAGATACAGGCGGTATGTCCTCGCATGAGGGACCGATGAAAATCACAATTCCGTGTTGCTCCGTCGGGGACAGCACAACTCCCAGGGGAAAGTTGCAAAAAAAAAACCGAGAACTTTTCACCAAGCTCAATATAGAGACAGCGAAAGGGAAGGCATATATAATCCCCCTAATCATTTCCCTGGTACTCGGCGTGAATCTACCACCCCTCCTCCTCCGTAGCCAATCCTGGTGCCTGGCCTGCCAGCAACAGGATTTTTGGTGGCTATAGGGGTCGAACACACTACACCTTGTTGTATACGGAAGTATGGCCCAGTCTACTAGACGTCTGTTTGATGCCGGCCTGGCGATCTACAGATTTCGTAAATTGAAAGATTCTATCGAGAGACTACTGTCAGTAGTCTCATCAAGCAATCAAGGATAAACTGCCATGTCTTCCTAGTTCGAACCAGTTCAAACACGGATTGTGAAACTCATGTGATAGTTCGACCGCGAGGAAGTCGATATGGAATATAAGGCCGAGGGCGTTGGGGGAACAGTAAATTAAGGACCCCGGTGTAAATCCCGTTTTGTTTATGGATGATATGTCAGGGGAGAGAAAAGATAATTTATTTTCATTGACGTTTTCAAATACAGAAAGAGCTGTCATAGCTCATGAAAATTAGATTGAACGAGAGTAGAACTACCCGCCGTGTTCTAGCATCTAAACGAGGATATATAGAAGATGTTCTCTGATCAACTTACAAGAAGTAACCACGATGTCGGAAACCCTCAGGCGACCAGATTTGGCCGCCTGATTGGAGAAAACTTCATGTTTAAAGGCCCTCCAGGATTTTAGGGATCAAACCCTCGTCGAATTTCCATAGCTGAGTTTGGAAATTCGCCGAGAAGGCGCCACCCGTCCACCATGTGGAACGAGAACCTTGCAGCTGGTACAAGTCCTGAAAGAAGCCACTCTTGATATCTTCAACAGAAACTCGGGCATGCATAGGACCATGGGTAGAAAAGGCCGCCCAACTGAGTTTCTGGTCTCGTGTGGATCCGGACAACTGACCGGCTTTGAGCAGCTTACTGAAGCTTTCCTGTGCTAGAACCTTGGATTCCGCAGCATTGGTAGTCTTATTACCAATGATCATCACGCGGAACAGGTGCTCAAGACCAGTGTATTCAAAACTTGCGACCATCGGCTCATCTTGGAAAACAAGAAGATTGTCAGGAGCGGCGTCGGATGGCAAGTTATAGTAATAATAACTCGTGTTAAAGACAGCATTGTTGACCAGACCAGTGAATTCGTTGGAATAGGTGAACTTGGACAGAGTGCCCCATTCAGTGAAGCTGAGATCCAAAGGCTCCATGTTTGACTGGGTTGGCTCGATGGCAATCAAGAGTCGGCGAGCGACGATCAGCGTGACCTTCTGGGTCTTGTGGTTGCGCACCGTAAGGAAAACGCCAAAGTCGGTGCGGCGGCTGTCAATCACAGTGCTCGAATAGAGCACATCATCGCCAAGGTCCTTAGCAATGGCATCGTAGAGGATCTGGTTGCCACCAGAAGCAGGAGTATACAGGGCCATTTCACCGAGGAAGGCCCGAGCCATGTCCCAGCCGAAGGACTGCAGGACAAACATAGTAGTAACTTCACTCATATTACCCAATCCGAGACCAGTGGATGCATAGATCAGAGGGGTACTGTCCTCAAGACCATATTTAGTCAGGAATTGGCCAAAGGGGATAAGAAGGTCTTCAGGGATATCTTTTGGCTCGGGAAAATTCCAATAGCCGGGACTCAACATCGACTCCCATGGCTTAATCACCTTGAAGAACTTGGCGATGGCGGCGTTTTCCTTCGTGTACGCAGGGGTCGTGAAGTCAACCGTTTTGCCAGTGTTGAAATCAATGTACTTCTGAGTTGAGGAGATACTGCTGGAATTGGTGGTAATTGGAATGTTGAACCGAGCGAAAAATTCCGTAGATCCGCTCACGTTGAGGAAGCTTTGGACACCAAAGTCAAAGGTGGCGCCAGTCTTCTCGTCCACATAGGTGTCGACCATACCACCCTACATATGGAAATTCCATTAGTTACTGCTCTGACCACCGCTCAGAGTTGATGGTGTAACTACGAGCTTCCGGAATCAAGATTTTCAGACCTACCAGGATACTCTGCTTTTCAATCAAGACAATGCTCTTGTTGAAGTCATCACGAAGGCGAACGGCTGCATAGGCACCTGAGGCTCCACCACCGATGATCGCGACATCTCGGTATATGATCTCCGGCAAGCCATTTGCAGACACCAGCGGCAATGTAGCCCCCAGAGCAAGGGCTTTAGGCACCAGGGGAAGCATTATTGGTGACGGAAATGCACGAAAAAAGGTAGGGGATGGGTTATTGAGAGTGTAGGAACTTCTGCTTCAGCCTACCAAGAGAACAGATGCGACCTCGGACGCTGCTTAAATTAATCTGGCAGTACCCCTGTTCAAGGCATGACTTTGGCAAATGAGCTATAACAGAATCCAATAGAAGAGCTAGAAATTCTCGATGTGGACGCCCTCAGCCGAATTCGCACGCTTGCTGCTATTGTCAAGTGGGGAGGATACCGGGACGGTCCTCCGATTGTGTTGAAACGTATTTCTGGCGGCAGGTATTATGAAATACCGGCTCAACTGAAATGAGAACAACGTTTCAGTTCAGTCGGATTGGTGGACTTCGGGAGAGGAGTTGGTTGGGCGTTGTTCATAGCCAGAGATCACTACATCCCAGTGGGTCCCATCTGGCACTATCGTTGCATAAATCTTTCAGGAATCTTTGGGAGCCGCAGACTTGAACGGGTATATCGTCAACTTACCAGCAATGAAAGCCGCTCAAGGTTCTAGACCGAATCTACTCCGCAGTTAGCCTCGAATTATAGTAGTCAACGAACGGGAAAATTGCTCTGCGGGGCAAAAGGATGCAACAAACTCAGCTTGTCCCGGGAAAAATGCAGCTATCGCTGCAGGGGTATATATCCCACCACGGAACGCTTCCTGATCGTCCCGTCGCGAACGTGTAGCCTATACACTAAGAATGAATCATACCAAAGCCCTATTCTATAAAGAACACCCAACACATCTATATGTAGGTACGTCCCATACGTTGGGCGCCCCACACAATAAGTCCTTCATCTCTATGCCACTATTATCGCGTACCCACTTGATGTAGATAGTAGTATCCCTATTACCTGCCAACGTAACCCAACAGCTTCCAGTGAAACATTTCCTAGCCCACACAGCTGATTCCGTAATGGCATTCTCCATCGATCTGAGTCAATGTACACCCAGAACTGTCCATGGCGTAGTAAGCACAATAGGTGTATCCTTCACCTTCGTTCCAAAAGTCTGACTGGCCAAACATTACTGAATCCCTGCACACTCTTGTCAGGTGAGCCATATCACGTGCATTTGGTAATACCCCAGTGTCCCCCAACTCCTAAGCGAGTTTTTTTTTCCAACCTGAAGTCATGAAGTGAGGCCAGGATGCAAGCATTCAATGCCGAGCCCCACCTGGCAGTTTGAATGATGGCGAGCCTGCTGAGTCACGTGCACTGTCCAATTCACTGTCGCAGAGCAAGTGTAGCTCTGCACGTAGGCTAGAGGGGAAGTAGAGAGGTGGTGCTGTGAAAATCAGGAACGGATATTCTGGTTCCAGGGAACCAGAAAACCCATCGAGAACACCCGTACTGTAAATAGCTCTGTACACTCTATATTCCTCCTCTTAATTTCAACTATTAAATAACGCGGTGTAGCTTGGCAAGGAAAGTTGAAGTTACCTAGCAGTTCCTCTAGGAACTCGGCGCCAAGCGCCTCTCCGCACGATTTGCAGAGATCTACCACCCCACCCCTAGAAGCCGGGGCCTCACCGGTGAGAGCGGCGAGGGCCCGAGACTTCTAGGGGGCAGGTACAGGTTTCCATGGAATTCCACAGACTTTTTCATACGCATACTATAGATTGTATTTTACGTAGTTAGGTACTGTAACATACTAAGCGCATTTTACTGTGCCCCTCAATTTAACGCGGCCGCTCAATGATTGATCTGCGCTAAGGCCTTGGCAGCAGGGTAGGGCCAGAAAATAGTTATCAAGTGTGTATTGGTCAAGCCGATTTCGAGAATGACTGTAGCCGGCCCTCACATCTCTCTCTCTGGTGAGGGCTTAACTAAAACTTGAACTTAGAGAGAGGTGGTGGCACGGAGAGTTTCTCTAAACGAAAGCACATAACGGAGCAGTTTCGGATGGCCTTGACTCCAACCTAGATTTAAGTTCCATATTTCGGATGATGGTTGATGATCCGAGATCAGCTTCTCCGCATTTCTCTTCTGTGCCGCCGGAATTCCCCCACGAGCTCAACTCGCTTCTAGATATCTGTGCTTTTGAAGCTCCGAGACTTTATCGATAGCTGTATTGGGCAGGCTACGGCGACAGCTCGTCAAATCGGACCTAATGATATAGCTATCAAGACTGGTGAATGCCAGGTGAATTCATACATACAGCAATGAGAAGTAATTGCAACCGCAACCTGGCACTTCAACCCCCGTATGGTACGACCATCAACCGAAGATTCCGATCCCGAGTTGATCATCAGGTCGCTTCCGATCCCTTCACAATTCACTTCCGATCCCTTCGCAGTTTACCCCTATCATACCCCGCATTCCCCCGCATTCAAGTCCGCGCCAGTTTAGAAAGGACATGTATCTATTGGCTAACGAATTTGGCATGCCCAGCAATAACAAGGCAAAATGTTTATTTAGTCTTTTGTATCCGACTTGATAAGGTTTGTCTACCCGATGATTCGGATCTACGACTTGAGGCCAAGGTCATGCATGTGCAGCGACATGAATCAACATAAATTGAGGGAAATCTGCATTTAAGACGCCATGAACACAACTCCTTGATACCATCAAGGCGACTGTTGACTTACTTTCTCTGTTTATTCAGAGGTCTGTTGACATAATGGAAAACTCAACTGTGGGCTATCCTTTGAAAACCTACGTCTTCTGCATAATTCTGGCCGCAGTCGTTCTCCGCCTCCTCACAAATCGATTCAAACGCGGGCTTCGAGACATCCCTGGGCCCATAGTGGCGAAATACACACGGCTGTGGAAGCTGTATAGTGTTTGGAAGGGTGATCACCACACCGAGGCCATTGATCTGCATCGAAAGTACGGATCTCTGGTTCGCATCGGCCCTAAGCATGTATCGGTCGGCGATCCTGACGCTATTCCTGTCATCTATGGCCTTAACAAGGGTTTCACCAAAGTTCGTGTTAGCTCGTGAAAAAAATTATAGGGCGATCGGCTGACAACTACCAGACGGCTTTTTATCCTATCCAGTGTATATCGTGGAATAAGAAGCCCCAAATGAACCTTTTTTCCACCCGTGACGAGAAGTTCCACCGCGACCAGAAGCGACCTGTGGCCAACGCCTACAGCATGACTTCTCTTCTTGAACTCGAGGCCTCTGTTGACTCGTGCACACAAGTCTTCATGTCTCAGTTGAGGAATTTCGCAGATCGGAAAGCTTCTGTTGATCTAGGAGCTTGGCTGCAATACTACGCCTTTGACGTGGTGGGGGAGATTTCCTTTGCGAAAAAGCTAGGTTTCCTAGAGGAAGGACGAGACATTGATGGGATGATTGAGGCAATACAGGGCATGCTATCCTATGCCAGCTTGTGTGGCCAGGTTCCCGAAATGCACCCCCTGTTACTTGGAAATCCCCTCTTTCCAATCCTTATGCCTAGTATGGAGACCTGGAACCAAGTTCTTCAATTCACTCTCAAGGCAGTAAATTCTCGTTCATCCTTACACCGTGATGGTGAATTTGACGGATTTGAGAAAGGGGGCGCAAAGGACATGTTGTCTAGGTGGATGGAGATCCACCATTCAGATCCCGAGAAGCTTTCTACGAGAGATGTTATCGTGCATCTTTCAACGAATGTTTTTGCTGGATCCGATACGACAGCCATTGCAATTCGAGCCGTTCTCTATCTTCTCATACGCCATCCAGCGGCTATGACGAAAGTGCAAGCCGAAATTGACAGTGCAACATCGAATCAAAAGATCAGTGACATAGTGTCATACCGGGAATCCATTACACATCTCCCCTACCTCAGTGCAGTTCTCAAAGAGGCCATGAGGCTACATCCATCTGTCGGATTGATCCTCGAGCGAGAAGTGCCCAAAGGAGGGATGTCAATTAGTGGAAAGCAATTCCCAGGCGGAACGATCGTCGGCATCAATGCGTGGGTTTTGCATCGAAACAGTAAAATATTCCCTGATCCCGATTCGTTTGTACCCGAGCGATGGCTCGACAGTTCTCCCGAAGCACTGAAGGAGATGGAGAAAAGTTTTTTCACATTCGGGGCTGGATCGCGAACATGCATCGGCAAAAACATCTCCCTTATGGAGATGCATAAGATAATACCACAGCTGTTGCGAGAATTCGAGATACGACTACACAGCCCAGAGCAAGATTGGACAACCCGGAATGCATGGTTTGTTCAACAGGAAGGGTTAATCTGTGATCTTGTGCTGAGAAAAGACATTGCGTGATGGTTCAAGGATTACATGAATGGGGAACCTGAATCAAACCTACTTCCTAATTCCTTGAAAACGGCCTGTGATACTGGAGTGTTATCTGATGTCATTTTTGAAAGCGTAAACTAGTAGCTCATCAATCATTTTCCACCTTCATATGTGTAGCCCATCCGATGATATATATTTAGAATTTGTGAGAGAACTAACTGCATCGAGGATTTAGAAGCCAGAGCAGAACGTGGACGCTTTCAAACTATTGTAAGCTTTTGCGAATATTGATGATGGTAGGTTTGCTAGATGGTTGAAGTGTAGAAAAAGATGTGCAAGAGAGGAGGAAGAAGAGGGTTAAATAGGCAGGCGCGATTGTGGAAACACGCGATTGATCTACCGTTTCTTAAGAATAGAGAAGTACAAGTGGCAAGAAGCTTAAATGTCTAATTGTGTCTAGTAAAAAGTCATCTTACAGGGCATGACGCGTCCTCAGTGCGAATGGTGATGATCCGAAAAGACCCCATGGTCAGCACACGCCTTCCTACCCTCTTCCAAGATCCTCGCCTGCTTAGCGATCTCGCCAAGTCGCCCGATAACTTCCTTGTTGCCATCGTAAAAGGTGAAGACCGCGTACGGAATCTTCACCTCCTCACAGAACTCCTTGACGAACTCCTGTGTCTTGCGTAGATTGTGGCGAGGGATGCGGGGATACAAGTGATGAACCGCCTGGAATTGGAGTCCGCCATGGAAAAAGTCCAGCCACTTTGGGCAATCCACGTCCATGGTTGTCCGGAGCATCTTCTGGGGGAAGGATTCAAGAGGACCGAGATCCGCGGTGGACATGGCATAGTGCGAGAGAGTAATCTGTACATGCAGCGGTGCAGTTACCATGTGGGAAATCAGGACGAAGGCGATCCGACTCCACCAGTTTGGAATACTCAGATAGACAACACCATAGCCGAACCAGGTCCAGAAGAACACTTGGCCAGCCAACTCGAACCAACGGTGCCACCAGCCAGCACCGTTTCGAGGGCCACGGCCGACATAGATGTGTTCCCAGCTCAAGTAGTAGAGGTTGAAGCGGCCAAAGAGGAGGATGGGGTAGTACAAGTAGTGCTGGTACTTGACCGCACATTTCGCCACCGCATCATATTCCATGACCCGATCATAGTATGTGCTGCGCAGACTGGCAAAGAACCGGTGCGACAAAGCGAAAAAGGGCATCAGTTCAATGTCCGGATCGTGCTCAGGGGTATTGGTCACAATATGGTGGACATTGTGGCTTCGCTTCCACCAGCCTACACTCAGCCCGCCTAGATAGTCCCCAATGATCATGCCAATCACACTATCAACCTGGTAATTATGGGTGATACCCATGTGACCAGCATCATGAGCAGTGAAGACCAGTTGATGCCAGAAGCACCCGAGGAAGAAGCCGGACAGGCAGAACCACGATCGTTTCAAGAAGAAAACAAAGAGACCAAAAAGAAGAGCGTATCGACATATTTCAATCCCGTAGGCGTAGTAGTTGCAGTTATAAAGTCCGGCCGCGTGAATGCGCTTGTCAAGCTGACGGTATTTCTGGGTGATGTTCTCTTGGTGTCCGGCATCGAGAGGAGGGTATTTCGACGAATCTAATAAAATTCCTTCCTTGGTCAAAGCGTCAATCACACAGGGTCCCGGCTTGGTTTCGGTTTTTTCTGCTGGTAGAAGACTGGTGCTGGCCGCTGAGGATATGGTCGACACTGATAGCCTGCGTCTCAAGCCGGATGCATCTTCATTGCCCTCGAAGACCGAAGCAACTGAGCCTTCATCGCTTGATAGCTCTGAAGTCGAAAGATCGTCCTCGTTTGTTTCATTTTCACAGTATGGGCGGAAAATGCCACCTTGAATGGGAGGAAGAAAGCTGATCCATCTCCCCTCGATGCGGCCGATCTGAAATTTGCTCATACGTTGACGTGCCTCCTGCGAATGTAGTCTTTTGGGCTGTCTGTCAGTACATGATATTGAGCTGGAATGGAGAGGCCTGGGATGCTTACGCGTTCACTTCGTCAGTGGCATCTTTGCCCACCATGTGCTTGATGGCCATGTCACCTCCCGGGTGGAATTTGACCCAAGCATCCAGTCTCAGAACTTTGTCGTCGACAATGACAATCAATTTGTCCTCGGCAATCATGCCTTCAATCTCACGTCTCGACAAGACATTGTCCCTGGCCCTGGCTGGGTTGGGCATCTTGCTCGTTTGCGAAAATCGTCAAGAAAGGACAAGATTGTGATATCGCCTGAGATTTTCCGATCATTATTTGTGGGCAGGGGATACGGCAGGCAGACGTATATAAAAGAAGTTTGCTACACTGGGGCAAAGCGTCTACCAATGGAAGAAATCTATCTACAATCCTTCTACCTAAACTTAGCTCCATGGCGCAAAACATCCCTTTCCTTACGGTCCAGGGGTACGTAAAAGGGGCAGTGCAAAAAGAAGCTTAAACGTCACGGACTTCCCGTATTCGGACTTGAAACGTGTGATCGTTGCAAATACCCCTTGCCCCTTGACGTAGATGAGAACGTGGTGCTCCATAAAGTATATCTGGGAATCCACAGAGAAACCTCCAGGCATTTTTCAACAAGGTCATTTGTCCGAAACTATGGTTTGTGGAGGATCCAAGCGGGTGTTGGATTGGGCGCACCAGCACTAGTTAACATGGTAGCTTCCTAATTTATCCACTATCAACAGTGGGGTGCAGGACAGGGTGTAGAGCCTGTCATGCCACATCGCCTGTATAGTGGACCCATTGTGGGCTCTAGAAGGTCTCAGGCTGTTTTTGCGTAGGAAATAGCCGCTGGTACGGTACAGGAACCAATAAGAAAATAAAAGTAATAGCCTAGAAACAAAAGGTTTCGCGTGGATCGATTGTGGGAGCGACATAATTGCCGACAACAATGAAAGGCGAGGAGATCTGCTCTTAGACCCTTTAGGTTGTCGCCGCTCGAGCCCCGCAGCCCGCTTCTTGGGGCGTCAGTCGCCACCTAGTTTAGTTACATCTAGCAACCTCCTTCCCCTATTGCTAGCTACTTACCTAACGCTTGTTATCATCAACTACTAAATTCGTTCTGTCCAACGTTGGCTATCTGTTCACAGGGATAAAAAATATAGAATATATGGCCATTGGCAATTTTAAGCCAATGAAAGGGTGCTAATACAGTAAAATGGCGTCGGTGAAGGGCTGATAATGGAAATGGTCCCAAGCGGCGCTGTACGACCATGGAATTCTAACAGTTTCGCCACAATTTCCACCTTTTTTTTTTCGGCCGGGACGGTAAACCACTAAATTCACATCCCCCATGGTCTGGGAATTCCGCCTCTTGTGGCATTTCATTCATTGCAAACACGGGGCTTTTAATCGACGCGTACTTCAGGAGATAATGGCGTTGGCCTCAGGCAGCCACCAATGCCACCAATACTCGAAGAGGAAGTACCATGCGATTCATATTTCTGAACTGCCAGGATACCTTTCAATTGGCACAGCAGGATATAATAGATTAGCGACCATTCCTCTGCGCATCGCCATATAGCCTTAACATATACATCTAGAAGCACCGAGAGAGGCTTCAATCACTCCTTATCGCGGCTTTGATCGAGAGGGGCCTTTGCATGGATTGCATCAAAAGCGTCCAGTCTCGCCGCCTCTCTAATAAGGCACTGGTAAGACTGGAATTTGCGGGCTGGCACCTCAGCTGCAAAGATCTCGTCTAGCTCTTCCAGAGACCGACCCTTCATCTCTGGCATGAGGAAATAGAAAAATATGACGCAGAGGAAATTAGATGCAGCCCAGATATATCCGTACTGAGCGCCCTGTACAGTCAACACAATTAGTTATTGATCTCCGTCTCCACAAGGCGTAGAAGAAAACATACCCAATCGAGATGCTCCGGATTGATGAAATACGGTGTACAAAAGTTGGTTAGCCATGCGAGCAGGTACCCCAATGACGTGGCTGTGCCCACTGTCCACGCACGCAATCGCGAACTGACCAGCTCCGTTGCGACAGGGTAGCTAGCTGCGCCTACACAGCCATTATAGAAGAACATGAATAGCGCCGTGAATGCCACCAGCGTCTGGCCTGTGGGTAAGGTGTTTGGACTGACGGTTGCTGCGATAGCACTTGCCAATTGGCACAATCCGCAGGCCATTGCTCCCAGCATCAGGATGGCGCGACGACCGAGCAAGTGGCGAATGGCAAACATGCCGACGTTGACTCCCAGAAAGCCAAAGCAAGTGTTCATAATCGAGAACTCGAACGCTCGCGAGATGCCACACACAGTGAAGAAGTACGTTTGATAGCCGATCAGGAACCAAACGCCGGATGCCGTTTGGCAGGCGATAATGCCGTAGCATAGCATTGTTCGGCGGAGGTCGACGCCTGATCACCCAGAGGGAGCTTCCGATCAGTACTGGACTTTAAAATGCTGTGTGATACGAAGACTTTACCTTTGAACATATGCACTGCAGCAACACTGCTCTGTTCTCGCTTTTCCTCTTCGACACCTTTGACCATCTCGGCCCACTCTAGCTCTAAGAGTGAAGGGACAACTGTCGCACTTCCGATACTCGCAGTTTCTGCCGTGCTATTTCGCTGAGCGTCATCTGAAGACGAAGAGGGTATATTTGCGAAAGCACTCCCTCTTAGTTTTTCCAATGCTTTTCTCGCAGATTGCTCCTTTCCACGGTGCAGAAGCCACCGTGGGCTCTCAGGAACAAAAAATAAGGCAATGAACAGTAGTGCCGGGACAATATATAAACACGACAGGGGAATGCGATAGGACAAGCGGCCCATCCGGGATTTGGTATAATTGTCGATGACAGCACCCAGAATACTTCCGATATTAACCCAATATGCGAAAAGCGCAACCATCAGCCCGCGCATATGAGGCGGTGCTACTTCCGCTGTATATATGTTAGAAAAAGTGACGAGAAACCCGTTTGCAAAACCCAATAGTAGACGACCTAGATATAGAACACCCGGAGAGGGTGCTCCAATCTGGATTCCACATGCGATGGCATTCACAATGCAGGCAAGCCATAGAGCAGCACGTCGACCTAGGTATGTAGAAAAAAAGCCGGCGACGAGCGAGGAGACAAATGATCCAAGCGTCAGGAGTGAGGTGATGAGTTGCTGTACGGTACTCTGAATGGATTCGTGTCAGTATATTATCCAGTTTCTCACGATCATGCACATACATCAATTCCATAACCAATATCGCTGCTCGGGTCGGGATATCCGAAAACTTTCAGAAATCCCGGCATTGCCTGCAATGAACCGACTGCAGCGAGATCAAAGCCGTACTGCATATTGGCCATGGAGACAAGGCAGCAGAAGAGGAGACATTTTCGATTCTGCCATAAAGTCGTGCTCGTAATACTGTCTGCCATGGCGGGATAAACCAACTATAAAAAAAAATGCAAACATCGATCTGTATGAGCAACGAGTGTTTCTACTACAGCCTTAATGCCTTGAACCTTTAGCTACATATATCCCCCATTCCTGGTTTTAGCTCGGCTTCAGCTACACGTCACATCCCGAGGATCAACCATGAAATGGCTCGCTCCGTTCTGCATCCCCGCAAACCCCGCGCAACCCCCGCAACTTCCGGAAGCCATAGCAGAATGAACCTGGGGCCTGCCCCACAGTGAATGCCTTGTTTAATAATACATATCTTACCGAGATCAATCTGTGTGCTCTACGCATCCCGACGTATGTCGCTCAGGACCCTGTGGGCCTCGGCAGCGCTGTCTTTGATTGATAGAATCATCCCACCAGTTTAGCAGACCACGGAGGCAGCTTGAACGAAACGAAACAGGCTCCACGCCCAATGCCAACAATCTTGTACAGCACTTCGTTGGGGCCAGGCATTGTCCACTTCTGCATAGACAATAACTTGTGGGAGGTATGCCCCATGCTTTCGTTGCTTGACCTGTTAGTTCTGGACCCTAGTATCGTAGTAAATTTCGCACACTCTGTAGTGGTAGTGAAAGCATCGGGACATCATTTCGAGGAAGTCATCCACATGGACCAAAACTTGAGCAGCGGTATTGGCAACAGCTTGAGAGGCGAGCAAGTCGTTGAAAAGTGCCTCCATGCGCTTCATGCTCTTGTTGTTAGATATGGAGAATAGATCGAGTAAGGGAAACCGTTCCAGAGAGTTTGAATATAGAAAGTGATTCGTGCATAGTGTGTATTCTTGTTGAAGATGGTCCTGTTGTTAATGACGGCAAGGGAAAGGACAATGTTGGAGGTGGGAGATTCGCAGAGGCAGTGTTGGGAACTTATAGTCGCGCCTGCCTGCCTGCTTTCTGTTTGCCGGTAATAACATTCAAGTCTGCTTTTGACTTTGTCAATATTGACACTGCCTGCTCACTATACTCGTAGACACCTCTATGAAGAATTCGGTCCATCAATATGCCGAATCATAGATCTTCATTACTATCCCTTGTCCCCACAAACCCCGCAAACGAAAGGAATCTGGGGCTCACTCGCCCCACAGATTCGAGGCAATCGGGATGGGACTTGTCGTGGATGATTTGAAAAGACGAGCATGGACTACTTTTCCCGGTTTTATATCTTCTTGGGCGGAACAACGCACTCATTACTAGAATCCACCACAAGATTGTTCTTTATCCAGTGCCCTTGTACTCAAATACATAGCGCGCGTGTGGGGCTCGACACGAAAGGCTGGCATGGTATATTTCGGATGCTGCTCCTCACATAAAAGCTATTGAGTGATCAAAAGCCCCGCACATTTCCAACAACTTGGGGCTCGGAACTAGTGAACCGAAGTGGGGGTGGAGGTCTGCACTTGATGAAAATGGGAGGAATACATTCTAGACTATTGGGTTTCCTAGCAAGGCAACGTAAATAGAACTACGCTCCCGCCTAAGTCAGCTTCCTCGGTGTCATGTTCATGGAACGAACATATCCCTTTCACTGAATTTAGCAAAAGCCACTTTCGGTTTGAAGATGATTGTAGAAAAGCTCGAGGAGCTACTGGCCCTGATCCAGGCACAGCGGGTGTTGAACCACCCAACACTGCAGAGTCTTGATCTCAGAATGGCGGTTGTGACACTTTGCGTTGTTGCAAGTATTATGCTTGTCGCCGACTATGGGTACATGATTTATCTACATTTCAAGATGGTAAGTCTCACCCATATCCCCAATATACAAGAGAAGGATCTAGACCGACAGAAACAATAGCCTCCAGGCCCATTCCCTCTTCCCATAATCGGGAACACCCATCTCCTCCCCGACACAAAACCATGGATATACTTTGAACACTTAGCACGCTCCTACAACACCCCAATAATAACCTTCTGGACCGGCCGCCGCCCGACAATCTGGATCTGCGACGCCTGGGCCGCATCCGAGCTCCTAGACAAGCGTGCCGCAATCTACGCCTCCCGACCCCGAATGGTGGTCTTCAGCGAGCTCGGCGCAGGCCAGTCGAATCTAGTCAACATGTACTACGGTGACCGGTGGCGACTGCATCGGAAACTGACGCATATGGGAGTGGGACTGCAGCAGGTCCGGAATTATCGCGGGTTCCAAAATGACGAGAGCAAAGTAGTTGCCTTTGATCTCCTGCGCGAGCCGGAGGAGTACGTGAAGCACTTTGAACGCTATGCTACCAGCGTAGTCTCGATTATTGGGTTTGGGAGACGGGTTGCTACCTTTACGGATCCGATTATCACGGAGGTTATTGCTTTGATGCAACGTGCTGCTGAGTTGAATGTGCCCGGGAAGACGTTTCCTATGCTGATGGAGTCGTTTCCTTGTGAGTACTAGCTACTATGCGGGATACAAACATCTAGGATGCAGTGTGTTAACATTCTCCAGTCCTGGCAAAGTTCCCAACTTGGATGGCGCCCTGGAAGCACGGTCTCGGACGAGGCCAGGGCCGCGGCAGGCCATTTTTCTACGCTCTGGCAGAAGAAGCAGCCAACAACCCTGACGCACAGCAATGCTACGCGAAGCGTATATTTGACGAAGCACCCAAGCACAACCTCTCAAAACTAGAGATTTCCTCCCTGTCAGGGAACCTATTCGGAGCAGGTAGTGACACCTCCAGCTCGACGCTTGTTACGTTCGTGCTAGCCTGCTGTGCGTTCCCAGAAGCACTTCCCAAAGCATGGGAAGAGCTGGACCGCGTGGTGGGACCACATCGCAGCCCGGAATTCGACGACGAACCCAATCTACCGCACGTTAAAGCTTTCGTGAAAGAAGTGCTGCGGTGGAGATCTGTTGCGATTATCGGAGGGCAACCGCATGCGCCGATCAAGGACGATCACTACAAGGTATGGATCTATGTAGATCCTCTTTCTGAAAGCCATACTGATGAGGTGGTTATAGGGTTGGTTGATTCCCAAAAACACTTGGGTCCAGGGTAATGTGTGGGCGATCCACCATCACGAACGGGAGTTCCCTGATCCGGATCGATTCAATCCAGACCGGTACATAAAGGGAAGTTCAGATAGTCGTCCTTTTCCGGGAGAGAAAGGGTACATGACCTTTGGCTGGGGGCGGAGAGTGTGTAGCGGTCAAGGACTGGCGGAGCAGGGCACGTTCATCACTGTCGCGCGCCTTCTCTGGGGCTTCCGGATCGAGAAGGCTATAGATGAGCGAGGCAGAGAGATCCCAGTGGATATATTTGACTATACGTGAGTTTCTGACCAGCGAACTTTGGTTGTTCGGCAAGCTAATAGAAGAATCCTGTGCAGAAATGGTCTCAACATGCGGCCCAGTCCGTTCCAATGCCGGATCACGCCTCGCAGCCCCGAAATCCATGCCACCATCGAAAGAGAGGGCCAGAAGGCGCTGGAGAATTTATCTCCGTACGAAGGCGAGAGTCAATACCGCATGAGCACCTATTACGCCGCCAACAAACTTTAATCAGTTCGGATAAATTTTGCCAAAGGGCGCTGCGCTGGTGTCATCGTCTCGAGGGCGAGTACATGTGGGTTAGTCCCGGCAATGAATGCTCCAAATGAGCCGACAATTGATGCGGATGGATGAAGCCGCTTGGTGGAGACTAGAGAAGTGTTGACTGGACCTGGACATGGCTTTGAAGGTGAGAAGCGGGAGTCGCACAGGGCGCGAGCATCAGAGAAGCAGAGCATCCTCGCAATAACCTGGAGGCCAAGAAATCTACTACAGCGGCTGCGTCCACAAATTGGTTTTCTCGAAGTCGAAAGATAGTATGTGTGAGCGTCCCCCAGTTAATCCAATGGCGGAGGTCCGTCCCGCAGCTAGGACAGTGTTCGGGTGACAGCTCGACAAAAGCTTGGCCGTTTACCAATTCTGCCGTGTCCCCAGGGGCAGAGGCGAGCTCCGGTCCGGGCGATATCTTTGTACGACACCTCGCAGCCATCGGCAGAGATTTAACTCACGATTTGCCGTAAACCACAGGGAAAGTGGGTTAGCTCATGATCTTAGGATGGATGATGGTCGTCGGGGAGGACGGTTGATGATTACTGTTTCTGGCTGGTTCTTCGGCAAATGATGTCTGCGTGAAAAGCCGATGGAACCCCACACCCCGATCGCGGGAACACGCCACATTGAGTTAACATCGAGCGAGTTAATTGTCTATCGGTGTTTTGGTAGTAGATTTTGGGGTAGGAATTGTGACAATTATGCAGCAATGATCAGCGTAATTATTGCTTTGGATGATGTGTGGTTGACATGGGTTGTGGTGCGCTATTCTTCATAACTAACTATTCCCCGCAACCACGAAGGCCGATCAGTTGGAACACCTGACGGAAATTCACAGACTCGATAGCGGATCCTGTGGAGCAAGGACTGAGAAAGGAGTTACCTACTATCATTGATGTGTCTTACGCACAGAGGTAAGCCATTCCATATCTTGCATTCCCCGTTTCTTGGTGGTGGCCCACCGGTGGGCCGGCAAACCCTTCGGACGGCCGACTCGGAGCGAAATTTCTTGAAATAGAGCCCATTCCCAGGGCTAGAACCGGGGCTGATCGATCTATCGCCAGGATTTCTGCTTCTTTCACCTCTTCTCCGCAGCATATAAAATGGCCCCCTCTATTGCGACTGAATTGAGGACCAGCATGGCGGCGCCACGGGCAAAATTGCCACTCGATGTCATTGTCGTCGGGTATGTCTTCCCCGCCGTTTATTTGAATTTGTGCTGATGTTGAATAGAGCTGGTATGCTTTCCTTTTGCAAAGCATCATGAGAACATGATTTTGACTCACATGCACAGGCATTGGCGGCATGGCTGCGGCCCTGACGCTGGGGTTGCGAGGGCATCGTGTGGTAATCTTGGAAGCCGCGCCGAAGGTACGAGTACCACATTACTCGATATGGATCTTGCTAACGGATCGAACAGCTCATGGAAGTGGGAGCCGGGATTCAGGTCTCGCCAAATATGCTGCGCCTTTTTGACCGTAAGAATGCGTGCAACCCATGTTCTGTCGGATTCTTGCTCACCGAAACTTCCAGGATGGGGCGTCTCGGACCTGATCCACGCCCAGGATGTGGCATTGGAGCACATCCACGTACGTCGGTGGCAAGACGGGAGCCTCCTAGGCACAATGCCAGTGAACAAGAGCTTCGGGCAGCAAGTGGTCGTGCACCGCGCAGACCTGCACAACGCCCTAATCGCCAAAGCGTTAGAACTCGACAACGTGACGCTGCGCGAAAACTCCCTGGTCACAGATGTGCAATTCAGTCCTGCCACCGTGACACTATCCAGCGGGAAAACCTTCCGCGGCGACGTGATCATCGGCGCAGACGGAATCAAGTCGACCGTCCGCGAGCACCTGCTCCAGGACTCATCGATCAAAGCAATTGCCACCGGCGACGCAGCGTACCGGATTATCCTGCCGCGCAGCATTATGGAAAAGGATCCGGAGCTGAAGACGCTCATTGACGAGCCGCAGGCGACGAGGTGGGTGGGGCCTGGACGCCACATTATCGCGTACCCGGTGCGCAAGCATGAGCTGTACAACGTGGTGCTGCTTCATCCAGATAGACAGGAAGTTGAGGAGTCGTGGACGACCAAGGGGTCGAAGCAGGCGATGGTTGATAATTACGACGGGTGGGATTCCAAAGTAAGGAAGCTCATTGACTTGGTGCATGATGATGAAGTGCTTGAGTGGAAACTGTGTCTGCATCGCCCGCTGAGGACATGGATTCGGGGGCCTGTGGCTTTGCTTGGTGATGCATGCCATCCAATGCTGTATGTGTTCTTTGGTCTGGGGACTAGTTGTGCGTCCACTAATTCATTCGTCCAGGCCGTACGTCGCACAGGGCGCCGCGCAAGCAGTCGAAGATGCCGCCGCGCTCGGCGTTGTATTGTCGTCTATCATATCCCACGAAGACATTCCGCAGGCTTTGAAAGTATATGAGAAGTCACGAAAGCAGCGCGCAGAGACTGTGCAGCAATCAGGCTCTGAAAACCGGATCACATTACATCTGCCCGATGGCCCAGAACAGCAGGCGCGCGATGAGCAATTCCGCGCGTCTGCCAGCGGGACAAACCCGGATAAGTGGTCGGATCGGGAGACCCAGGAATTCTTGTGGGGTTGGGATGCTGAGAAAGCGGCTTTGGATGCTTGGGAGGGTGAGTCTTTTTCCTGTTTGGTTTGCTGTTTGTTGAGCGCTGATTTGGACTGACTAGAAATGCAAGACGACGTCAAGGTTAACGCCAATTTGTGATGGCCCGACCAATCACCTGCATGAATAGACATTTCGGTATATAGTGATGGATAGATTTACCCAGAGCAAACATGTCTTGGGTTCTACGAGACTCGCAATATAAATTCCCGCAGCATTGCAATTTTTCTATCCCATTATACATCAACACATTCATATACATCAGGTCCGCTAGGTTGTTGTTTCCGTGGATGCCAGTGACGGTCAACATATAGCAATTCCAATCAACTGAAGCCGAACGAAAGCATCTGTGCGCTTATGTTTTACATCTTCTCACCTGCCTCGGCCTTCATCTGGCCGTACTTCTTCAGACGGATAGCAGAGACAGTGATGAAGCCGGTGGTCTCGGCGGGCGAGAAGTCGCCAATCTCGTCCATGCTGGACTCGGACATGTCGTACAGCTTCTCGGTGTCGGACGAGCGGCCCAGGACGGAGACGGTGCCCTTGTAGGCGCGGCAGCGGACCTGGCCGTTGACGGTCTTCTGGGAAGCGGTGATGGAGGACTCCAGGAACTCGCGCTCGGGGGAGAAGTAGAGACCGTTGTAGAGGAGCTTTCATACCGATTAGCGAGATGGTCAAGTAGGTGATATGGATTAACAAACCTTGGAGTAGTTGACAGTGACGAACTGGTCGCGGAGAGCGCGGACCTCACGGTCCATGACAAGACCCTCCAGGTCGCTGTACCAGGTTAGATGACGAAATTCAAATTTCCGGGAAAAGACTCACATGTGAGCGCTGCGCAGCATGGTCAGACCAGGGGTCTCGTAGCAGCCACGCGACTTGATACCGATGAAACGGTTCTCCACGATATCAATGCGGCCGACACCGTTACGGCGGGCGATGGTGTTGGCCGTCAGGAAGACGTCGACAGAGTCAGTGACAGTCTTCTTCTTGCCACCCTCGGTGAACTCGAGCTTCACGGGAACACCCTTCTCGAAAGTGAGAGTGAAGTCCTCGGGCTGATCGGGAGCCGTCAGAGGGTCCTGGGTCAACTTCCACATGTCGGCCGGAGGAGTGGTATCAGGGTCCTCCAGGATGCCAGCCTCGTACGAGCAGTGGGCCAGGTTCTCGTCCATGCTCCAGGGCTTGGACTTGGTGGATGTGACGGGGATGCCCTTCTCTTCGGCATAGGCGAGGAGGTCGTTGCGGCCAGCGAAACGCTGGTAGAAGACAGGGTCGCGCCATGGGGCAATGACCTTGATCTTGGGCTGCAGGGCGTAGAAGGCAAGCTCAAAGCGGACCTGGTCGTTACCCTTGCCCGTGCAGCCGTGGGAGACTGCGAAGCAGCCCTCGCGCTGGGCCACGGCGATCTGGGCACGGGCAATGACCGGGCGAGCCAGGGAGGTGCCGAGCAGATAAACATTCTCGTAGACCGCATTGCAGGCAATGGCGGGGAAGCAGAGCTCCTCGATGAACTCCCGGCGGAGATCGACAATCTCGCACTTGAGAGCGCCGATCTTCACGGCCTTCTCGCGAGCAGCCTCGAAGTCCTCTGTTGGGCGGGTTCGGGTCAGAATTCGGTGGGCGGAGGGATTGGATTTTCGGGAATTGTACCTTCCTGGCCCACATCGGCCACTGTCCACAGATTAGCAGAGGACAGACAAGCATATTACACCACGACTTACTGAAACACACGACCTCATACCCCTCCTCGATCAGGTATTTCACTTCAACCTCGAGATCAGCAGATGCAATTGGGACGAGCAGTAGGGGCGCATACAGATACAGCTCGTATCGAGACCACCCGAGTAAGCTAGACAAACCTGTGCGACGGACATATTAGCACCCGGACAGGTAAGTCGGGCAAGTGGCGGTCTGGTAGCATTGGAGGCATTGGGGGAATTAAAAGGGTCGGAGGAAGGTGGACAAGCAATTGGAGGTACATACCTTTCCTTTGGCCATGGTGAATGAAGTGTACGTTGTTATGGGAGCAGCAGTGATGGGGAAGAGTGAAGGGGAAGTAAAGAAGAGGGGAGTTGAGTCACCGCAAAAATGTGCGGGCAGACCCAGTGTGGGTTGTGCCGGCAGATAAGATAAGCCCTCACCGCTAGACTGTCTGCTTTGGTAGAACCACCACCGCATCGTCTAGGATGGCCAGGAAGGATTCTCTACCGACGCTAGTCTTCATCCATGGCTCCTGGCATCAGCCGAATTGCTACGACAAGGTCGTCACACTCCTCCAGGGCCAGCATGGGTTGAAATGTGTCTCCGTGGCCCTCCCCTCGATGGCGTGGAACCCAGCCGCGACCTTCAAAGACGATCTCGATGCGGCCCGCGAAGCGATAGCTCAGGAGACCACCCACGGGCGCAATGTGGTGGTCATTGCACACTCCTATGGCGGCATGGTGGGCAATAGTGCGATCAAGGGATTCGCACAGCCACGAGACACCACCCAAACCCCTCCAACGGGATATGTTATCGGCCTCATCCTCATAGCCACCGGCTTTACCTTGACGGGACTCACCTTTATGGACCCGTTCTTTGGTCATCCGCCTCCTTCCTGGCGTGTCAATAGCGCAACCGGCTATGCCGAGCTGGTCACACCTCCGCGCGAGCTCTTTTATCACGACTTGCCAGCAGAAGAGGCGGCATTCTGGGTCTCTCAGCTGGGTTCGCAGAGCCTGAAGGCATTGTTCGAGGGTGGGGAATACACATACGCTGGGTGGAAGGATGTGCCTAGCTGGTATATTGGCACCGTCGAGGATCGGGCTTTGCCGGTGGTTGCACAGCGGATGACTGTGGGGATGGCGAGGGAGATGGGCGCGAGTGTGGAGCACAGGGAGCTGCCGACGAGCCATTCGCCGTTTCTGAGTCAACCGGAGGCGACAGCGAGGATTGTGTGGGAGGCTGTCGAGGCGTTTACAGGCAAGTCGGAGGGGAATGAAGCTACACGGAGTGGACGCGGGGATGTGATTGCAGTGCCCAAGGCCACACTCTGGCGGCCTTTTACGTGGTTTAAATTTGGACTGCCGTTGGCCCTTGGTCATGTATTGGGACGGGGGGTTATCCTATTTGGTTGGGGAAGGAGACTATGGAGGTCTCGGTTTGGTTAATGTGGTTTGGAATGTGAGTATACAACAATATATCCACGAAGTCAGTATGTTAAAGTAAACCGGTGCGGGAAACCAGAAAGTATTGGATTCCTTCATTCTTCAGCCTATAAATCATAGGTCATCAGGTGTGATTACAATGTCCACTTCCGGCGCATTCTGGGCCGCGTGAAGAAAAGGCTGCTCGAACTGGATCGTGATAGACTAAAAGACCGCAAGATCGATTTCACGGTAAACAGTGCCTTCCTCTGGTGGCTCAAGGCCAATACGGCTTTGCATCAAGAGCGATGCTCTTGTTGTGTGGTCTCTGAATATTCCCCTGGAATTCGTCATAGCTCCGGCTGTTTGGCCTGTTTGCACCGCTTTCGGTTATCCGCGGCGGTCGTGTCTTCCCCCCGCGGCAACAATCAATCAAGGCGAAAAGAAATAATATAAGCGCAATAATGCGCCCTTTCTCCTTGTTGCTCTCCCTTCACACCCACCAGCGATGAATGTCCCACGGGCTCCAGTACGGGGTCTTCTCCGCCAAACCCGACGCTGCTACTCGGGGGCCCCATCACCTTCAGCACGTCTGAACCTACCAATCGACTACAAGACCACTCCTCTACTACATCACACGCCCTCCTCCTTATCCGGGACCCCCGAATTCCCTGCAGCGGCTACCAGCAAACGATTGAACCTCTTTCAAGCCATCAACTCCGCCCTGCGAACCGCCCTTTCTACCTCCGACAAGGTCCTGCTCTTCGGTGAAGATGTTGCCTTTGGTGGTGTGTTTCGGTGCTCGATGGATCTACAGACCGAGTTTGGGTCAGATCGGGTGTTTAATACACCCCTGACGGAGCAAGGCATTGCCGGGTTTGCCATTGGCGCGGCGGCAGAGGGAATGAAGCCAGTGGCGGAGATCCAGTTCGCGGACTACGTCTATCCCGCTTTCGACCAGATTGTGAACGAAGCTGCCAAGTTCCGGTACCGGGAAGGTGCCACTGGGATAAACGTGGGCGGACTGGTCTTACGCATGCCTTGTGGCGCGGTGGGTCACGGAGCACTGTACGTTTCACCAACGGACCTTGATGAGACTTGCAAGGGGGCTAACTTTCCAAACAGATACCACTCCCAATCACCGGAGGCGCTGTTTGCGCATATTCCTGGCCTCCGCGTTGTCGTGCCTCGATCACCTTCACAGGCCAAGGGCTTACTCCTCTCATCCATCTTCGAGTGCAACGACCCCGTTATCTTCATGGAGCCCAAGATTTTGTATCGTGCCGCGGTGGAGCACGTGCCTAACGAATACTATACCATTCCCCTCAGCAAGGCCGAGGTGATCAAACCCGGCAAGGACCTGACGATTATCTCTTACGGTCAACCTCTCTACCTGTGCTCTGCTGCGATTTCGGCCATTGAAAAGACCATGAAGGGCGTCAATATCGAATTGATTGATCTGCGAACCATCTATCCCTGGGACCGGCAGACGGTTCTGGACAGTGTGCGGAAGACTGGGAGAGCGGTTGTCGTGCACGAGAGTATGATTAACTATGGCGTGGGTGCCGAGGTCTCCTCCACCATCCAGGAGGGTGCCTTTCTACGGCTAGAAGCTCCTGTCAAGCGGGTTGCTGGCTGGAGTACTCACACTGGATTGACCTATGAGCAGTTTATTCTGCCTGACGTTGCAAGTAAGTCCGTCCTGGGTTACCCTTTGTGCGCACCTCTAACTTGGCTTTTCTTCAGGAATCTATGATGCTATTAAGCAGACCCTCGAGTATTGAGCGCAGTCATTAAATGTTTGAAATAGACACTACCATGCTCGGTAGACTTGCTTAGCATTTCCATCGATCAAGAGAATCTATACCAATCTTTCTCATAGACTATAAGTTTGGAGGGCCTAAGTAATAGCTGGTTGGATGTAAAGGCCTGTGAGGTGGAACTGCAGTCCAACACCCAAGATGTGAGGAAGCAACCTTCTTCTCCCAATTAGGAAGTTCATGCAACCTTGACAGGAAAATATACAGAACCGTCGGTCATGAAGCATATACTGGTTCGCATGGTGCGGTCCATATCATGTTGGAAATCCATGAAACGGTCTCGCGCTTCCAAAAGCCAAGCTACCCGGTTCCCTGGGTACGAACAGTGGTGTGTCTTGTGTAAGCAAGCTGCGATAACTGCAAGGCCCATGTTGCCATCGCTGGGAGCATCCCAGATGCATCATGGGCGGATGCGCACTCCGTCCCGTCTCGTCGTCCCACATCACGCTTTCAGTATACCTTTAACGGTCGGCAAGTCCGAGGAACAGACGAAGATGATATCAAGCAACGGCGCGATCAGCCATCAATTCGAAAAAGCGCAAAAGATTCGGTCGGCATCAACAGTTTTGCTGGATTGTTGGAAGTGTGGAAAACTGCGGTCAGTTTGATTGAAAACTACGGGAAATTAGCGCCCACTGGGTCACAGGAAGCAGAGAGATACGGGAATGGGGAGGATTTAACGTCAAGCGGTGTGTGTGGAAGTTAGGGGTGTCTTTGATGCACTATGGGAGGGCGTCATAGAGGACAAAAACGTGAGCTGGGGATGGATGGTTGCGTGGTATGCAAGTACGCCGAGCAGGGAAAGGAACGTCCGAGCCATCAGGTTTAAATGGAGCAGTTCCTTGAAATTCGACCGATCCAGGCGGGCCGCAAAGCTTAACGGCGGGTGCAGGGGCCCGTGGAGGCTTCCTTTACCTCCGCCCCTCCCTGGAGCTGCAGACTGTCCTTGCTCCTCCTGCCCGTCAGCAGGAGCGTGTCGAGTCCGCCAGCGCCGTCTACGTCCAGGAGCTCACAGTAAAGCTCGAAGGCACCAAAAAGGCGCGCGCCGAGGCCGTGCACTGCCTGCAGAGTGAGTTGGCGGTCGTCAACGAGAACTGAATTAAGCGCACGGCAGCGCTCAAAGACTTCGCGGACCGAATACACGCGGAGATCCTGGTCTCGATGACCAAGTCACTCCAAGAACAGCTGAACAGCTGGCAACCGCTTGGCGGCAGCCGGGAGCCCAGCTGGTGGAACAATTCGCCGCCTACGACCAAACGACTCTGACCACGACCAGCCAAACCCTCGAGATCAACATGGAAGCCCGCATCTCCTCTGGAGGAGAGCCTGGCGGAGAAGAATAGTGTCCTTGCTGATCTGTAGGTCCGACACAAGGAGCAGGTGGAGTCCTTGAAGACCGAGATCGGTGAGGCCCCCGCCGCACAAGAGCGCAATGGCCGATTTGTTCGAGCTCCAGAACGGGGAAAGCAAGATCGGAGAAGAGATCCTGGGAAAACAAAAAAAAAAAAAAATTCTACGAACACAAATTGGCCCTCATGGTCGAGGTTCTCGAACAGGATCTGGACATGGCGCGTTGTATGGTTGTATTGTTGCCGTGTCTCGGTTTGTGCCTGCCGTATCTCTTGGCACGTCAGCACGATCGGTCGGGATCCCGTGACTGCCGCTCCACTTCTTGGGAACATACATCCTCTCTTTTTTTTTTTCTTTTTGCAAGTCGGTATCTCCCTCTTCCCCCTCCCCCTGGAGTCTCACCTTTGGGTGTCTGTCGCATTAAACCCCGGCTGCTCGATTTTGACTTGCATGTTTCGTTGTCTGTTGCCTTTCCCCGCACCCTTTCCTTCTCTTTCAACGTCGTCATCATCTCCCAACGTCATCGCAATGTTGTTCCAGTAACGACTCACTCTCATCCCCATTGTCGCTGATGAATCCTCTCCGAACCAATTACCCGGCCACTCGGCCTGCCGTGCTGAGTCTGGCCAAGCTTTTTCTTCTTCTCGCCCAAATTCCGCGGATCTCTTCCGCTCCCGTGTCCGTCATCCGACCTTTCTCCCTCCTCCCCCGCGATGCGGAACCTCCAATGGATCCCGACGACCCCAATCTGTGGCTGTACCTAGGTATTTCAGCGGCCCTGGTCTTGTGCGGCGGAGCTTTTGCGGGTCTTACAATTGCCCTCATGGGCCAGGATGAAATCTACCTGCAAGTCATCAAAACCTCTGGAGAAGGAGCGGAGAAAAAGAACGCGGAGAGTGTTTTGAACCTGTTGAAACGTGGAAAGCATTGGGTTCTCGTCACTTTGCTGCTCAGCAATGTCATCACAAACGAGACGTTACCCATTGTCCTCGACCGATCACTCGGTGGTGGTTGGCCCGCAGTGCTGGGGAGCACTGCATTGATCGTTATCTTCGGGGAAATCGTCCCTCAGTCGATTTGTGTCCGTTATGGACTCCCGATCGGCGCGTGGATGGCACCCTGTGTGTTGGTTCTGATGTACATCATGTCGCCCATTGCATGGCCCATTGCCAAGCTGCTCGACAAGCTTCTCGGGGAAGATCACGGCACGATCTACAAAAAGGCCGGACTGAAAACCCTAGTTACTCTCCACAAAACCCTCGGAGAAGCCGGAGAACAACTCAACTCCGACGAAGTCACCATCATCAGCGCGGTTCTTGACCTCAAAGAGAAATCTGTGGGAACAATCATGACGCCCATGGAGGATGTCTTCACTATGTCTGCCGACACCGTTCTTGATGAACCGACCATGGACCTCATCCTTTCGCAAGGATACTCTCGAATCCCCATCCATGCCCCCGACAACCCAATGGATTTCGTTGGCATGCTTCTTGTGAAGATGCTAATCACTTACGACCCGGAAGATTGCCGGCTTGTCCGCGAGTTCGCCTTGGCTACGCTTCCCGAAACCCGTCCCGAAACTAGCTGCCTGGATATCGTGAATTTCTTCCAGGAAGGAAAATCCCACATGGTCCTTGTCTCTGAATACCCTAGCGAGGACCATGGCGTTCTTGGCGTCGTCACACTGGAGGATGTCATTGAAGAACTGATCGGTGAAGAGATCATTGACGAATCTGACGTTTTCATTGATGTTCACAAAGCTATTCGGCGGATGGCACCTGCTCCCAGGGCTCGTGTTCCCAAGGGCAAGATCGTCGAAGAGCCTCCCATTACTGCTCGTTCGCTTACCGCGGACGAGCTGGTCGACTTGGATCGCACCGATCATTTCGCCCGCAAGAAACCCGATTCTGGTCGACGTCGCAGCTCTGTCGAAGCACCACCTCCACGGTTCCAATTGCGCGTACCTGACAGCAACACCACCTCGAGTGATGGTTGGGTCACTCAACGCGGCACGACCGACGAGATTCGAGAGCACTTGAAGCATCTCGGCCCTTCAAATCTTGCCAGTCGACCTCGAGAAACCCGTTACTCTGCAGTCAAGATCAAGCGCAGGAACAACTCCCCCTCCCGATCGGCACAGACTGATATTGGATCTGGACAAAGCACGGCTGATTCACAATCGCATCAAGCGATAACTTCTGGCTACTCAGGTGGCATTGGAGTTGGCCTTCTCACCTCTGCAGGGCCTGATGCCAAAGACGGAGCACATGCATTGAAAGTTGGGTACGGCACGATGCCACCACAGGACCATATCAGCAAAGCCACGAACGCCCAGCAGTACAGAGACCTTCCTCAAGTTTCGATCCCTGAATCTGTTCACGAAGAGCGCGATGACCCGACGCACCTAGAGTTCCCGGGACATGGAAGTAGACCAGTGAGTGCATCGAATAGCATCCGATCATCCGATTCCACTACCGAGAAACCGAAGCGTCGTTCCCCTTACCGTCACCGTGGACCGACCAAAAGCGGCAGCATCACCGAACAGATCGTCGATGTCAACGGAATCCGCAAAGTTGTCCTTCACGCCGCCTCGAGCTCCTCATCAGAAGGAGCGGTGCAAACCCATGAACACACCCATCCTCATTCTCGTTTCCATTACAAAGACGCGCCGGCTATTGAAACAGACGGATCCAAGTCTTCACACACAGCCAAAAGCTCACAGAAAAAGAAGCGACGGAAGAAGAAGCGCGGCGACCACCATGCCGAACAGCAGCTGGATGGCGGTCCGGCGGAAGATCAGCCTCTCTTACGACAAGACTCTTGAACTTGAACTGCTCTCTCACCAGAAAAGAGAGGCTTTTCATACAATATCATCCGACACGGTTTTCTTGCCCCCTTTGTCTCTGTACCAACAAGATCTTGACTGGATAGCAAACCGGGGAAGGCAGGAAGCCTTTATACACCTTCGTCCACACGAATTTATTTCGACTTGATTGATTTGTGTACGATTACCACGACCATGCACAGCATTCCATATCCCTTCATCGTTTTGCGATGGGTTTAGAAAACCTACGGGCTTCACTGAATCTATCAACTATCTCCGAATCTGTCAGGGGAAAATTCTTACTTCGTTCCTTGTTTCTCATGGTTTTCGGTATCTTGCCGCTTGTCTCATATCCATGCCGTTACATAACATTCTTCTGTCTATCTGGGCCGACCATTGTTCTTTGTCAGAAGCCCATTTTCTTCCACTCTATCTCGCACTAGGCCTCGTCTGTGACTTGGATCGTCGAGGTATGAATCTTCTCGTCATTTTTGACTTGTTTTTATGATATCGATGCGAAAAGAATCCTCTGGCAGGACTTGAACGCAATACTGTTTTCACCTCCATACCGTACATCTTGGAAGCTTGCAGACTTGTAGGCTTGCAGACCTGTAGATTTGTAGATTTGTAGATTTGTCTGCGGTGGCTAACTAGTTATATTTCTGGTTATAACTACTCATTGAAAGATTAGCATGATTATCAGGCAAGGCTTCTACACAGCACTGTTTACAAAAATAGCGAAGTAATTGTGAAAGGATCGGCTGTGATTTCCAAGGTTGTGGGGCCGGGTACATAAATTGAATACATAATGGGTAACCAGAATATGTACAACATAACATTGGAAGACCATCATCACTAGTCATAAACATCTTTCGTACTGCGTGGGAGTCGTGTAAGGCGAGACAGGGAATGAAGTCTCGCTAAAGCCGACCAGGTTGAAAAACCACTTGGGAAAATGGCCCGGTCGGAAGGAGCAACTTGTTTTGATGGTATCGATTGCAAGTCCGAGTTCCCATGATATGAAAGGCTGAAAGCCACTTTGCTGCAACTGCAGGAAGGACATCGGTGGCCATCGGCTAGAAGAGCTCATGGAAGGTGTAAACTCAACTGGATGTAACCAGCGCGCCCTTATATTTGGGCGACTGAATGATACCGCATACGTCGTAGCTGTGGAGGAAGATGTTTATGCACATCGGTGCACAGTTAAAACGTGGACATTTTCATCAGGATACCGGTTGGACATGCAACGAGGTGTAGGAGCTGGAGGTACTTGATGCGATTATTGCAGGAGAGGGTCGCGGAAGTGCTTCTGGCTGTTGGCAGCTTTCTGGACGCGGGCCGTATAGCGAAGCTCCTGTCGAATGGCTCGAGTCCTCTCGCGGCGTTCCTCGACGGTAACGGCTTGCTTTTGAGTATCAGTGGCGCCAACCATACCCATACCACCGTTCGCACGAGAAATGAGAGTGCGGTTGGCGTTGCGGCCGCGCGGCTTTTCTTCCTCTTCAATTTCTCCATTCTCGATGGCAAGCTGGCGGGTAGCTCGCTCCTCGGCAGTGGGGTAGTTGTGCAAGTTCTGACGGAAGTACTTGGCAAGAGAACGGTGGCCGACGGTGCGGCCAGAGGGAAGGTGGAGTTCATACTCGGTCTGGTAGATGACCGGAGCTTTACGACGCGAGTCGAACTCGTCGTCGTCTTCGTCCACAGATGAGGCATCGGTTTCCCAGCCTTCATCAGCATCGTCGTCGGAAGTTTTAATCTTAACACCACCGCTTTCCGGTGTAGATTTCTCTTCTTCTTCATCGTCGGAGTACGAGCTCCGGAAGTCGTAGTGCTGGCCAATCTCGATCTGTTCCTCCTCGGACTCGAAGGCAATCATGCAGTGGCCCTTATCGCGCATATGGGTCCGGATACCAGCGGCGTTGTTTCGGATAGCGTGGCAATAGAGACATTCAAAGTTTTCCGTGATCTTGCGGTAGAGGTAGTGAATGAGACCTTCCAGGTCCGCCAGATACGCTCTCTCAGGGATGAACATGCCATGGGTCTTGTACATGTGCTCAACGTTGGCTTCGATGTCGGATGAATCCTCGCGGCAGAACAGACAGCGGACTGTGGAGAATTCGTCTTTTTCGTCACTTGCGTCCTCAGCCTGTTCCTCGATGGTGGCAGTCTTCAGACCGTCGGTGACCTTGGACACATCGTCCTCCTTGTTGACGGGTTCTCCAAACGAGAAGGTGGAACTCATGACAGAAGCATCGTCACCTTCCTTGTTCAGGCGGGCTTCACGTTGCTTATGCTTGGCGCTCTTGATGTGGTTCTGGTAGGAGTTCTCGCTGAAGAAAGTCTTCTGGCAGGCCTGACAGGTCTTTTCGAACGAGGCCTTGGCGGCGGCCTCGCTAGAGGTGGCCTTGGCAGCAAGGACTTTCTCGTTGAAGGTTTCCAAGGACACAGGAGGGAGGGAAGCGACACGGCGCTTCATGTTGTACAAGCTAGAAGTATGTGTCAGTCATAGTTCTGAGATAAGAAGGGTTCAAGACCACATACTGCCAGTCGTTGCGCATGTGCTCTCTCTGTCCATCGCTGCGGTGGAATGCAACAAGGCAGGTGTTGCAGGTGTATGGAAGCTGAGAAGAAGACGACATGATGGCGGTCGTTTTTCTGGTAAACGGGTGAGGGAAGGTAGGTCGCGGAGGAAAAAAAGAAGTGGGATGTGTATTTGTAACCGGCGGGGCACGCAGGCTCTGTCGAGGCGAAAATCCAGTCGGTCTGTTGTGCGTCAAACGACCGAAGCTGATGGAACGAAGAGATCTCTGATGCGCAGAATCAAGAGCTAAGCAGCCGGGAAAGGGGCTTTTTATCTTGACTGCGAACAACAAAGACAGATCGAGTAGAGGGACAAGAAGCAGGCGCACAACTTTTGCCTGTTTCGGCCGTGACTAATCCCGTGGTTGCCTTATTGACTGCCTGAGGCCGCCACAGTTCGCCCGATGATATCAGTCAGGTGTTCGGCTGTTCGCAGCTCGAGGTCTATTTCACCCCCCAAATCCCAACTCCAACACATCCTCATCTCTCTCTCTTCCGGGATCTCGCATACCCGGCCTCCCAGCGTTATACCAAGATATGCCACCTAGTCGCTGAACATGACTAGGCTCCGCGGGGCGTCGGTCGATTCCCCGGACGTGGCGCGGTCTGCTGGCAGCGAGCGCCCTCAGTTTCATCGATGCAAACTTCCGCCAAATGCGCCCGAGGTGGTCGCACAGAATACCATCGAGTTATCGGATTCCTCACGTGTGTTGCCGTGCTATCGCGATGAGCGACGGAGACGGTTCAATGTGCTGGTTCGCAAGTGAGTGACTGTCGAGTCCTCGGCCCCATAGATTATCATAAACTAACCTCCCTGGCTGGAAAGATACAAACAGCAGCTCCTTCACGGTTGTCGGGATCCAGGATGTCGCACCCCTACATGCGCCAGTTATCGCCGCCGAGTCAGCGAAGGCCCGTATCGCCGGTATACCGAACTCAGCGCGCGGACCTTAGCCTGCTACCTCGCAAGTCAAGACGATGCGGAGAGCGGACTTTGCTGCAATTCCCCTCGGTCACCAACAGAGATTGAACTGCTAAACTACCATCGCATTTCGTTACAACGGAGTCGTGCTTTTCACGCCGAGGCAGCCGCTGCCAGACATCCGTCCCCGGTGGACGGAAGTGCGGTGGATGAAAACTCCAGGGAGCACTTGATGTCCGGTGGCAGAACTGATACTCCCGGAGCAGTGAATGGCGATGTGCCACCAAACGCCGAGAACTTGCAATTACAAGACTTCGACTACACCACCGAACAACCATTGAAGGATCCAAAATCGTTTACACAAAACCTCTTCGACACCCTCTCATTGCGCATGGTGGAATGGCTTCCTCTGCGTCGAGTATCCGATACCTATCAATCAAAAACAAAACCGCCTCCTACGCCTCCTTCGCCTCCTGAAACTACGAATCACGAGCGAATACTGAACCAGGAAGCTACTGGAACTGCAACGTCTAATGACCGATCCACGTTTTATAGTGGACATTCAAGCTCGAATCCACGTACACCATCTTCACGGACCACAGGAAGTCAGGCTTCTGCGGTCGAGGTCCGATTTCCCAACCAGCAGGTCAAAAGGCTATCGGTGTCGGAAATTGAGCCCTGGCGTCAGGGTCCGCGGCCAGGCCTGGGCGACAAAAAGCGGCCAGACTACAAGAATAAAAAGGTGTCTGTGAATGCTTCCAATGACTTGGTTAGCATGCCCTCTCCGCCTGCATTGAAACATCGGTCACAAAAGCACCGTGGGCGTGTCGGAGATGTCAATACACCATCCACCAAGAAAGCCAGTAAGAATAGACGGCGTGTCTCGTGGGATGGTGAAAAAGTCTTGAATCAGGCTGCCATGGGAGCAAGCCCGGAACCTGCTCCAATGTTGCCTGCTCCTCTTCCTTCTGATTTTCAGTCTCCAAGCGATCGGAAAGCCAAACGAGTCTCTCACAGTCACCCGCATTATGAAGGCCCACTAGCCCAGACAGTCACTCATCTGTCCGCTGAGATCATTGGTGGACTTGGCCAGATGATGGTAGAGACCGAAGAAGACGCGGAGAATTGGAAAGAGGAGCTCGATCGCATACAAACCACCGGGAACTTCGATAACCCGGACTGGCAATTCGCAACATCTCGCCAACGCCAGGTCTTTCCGTTTGTTGCACAGAGCGTCTTCTATGTGTTCGGCAGCGCCAGGCAAATTGTGCGATCATTTGAAAGGGAGTTGGTTGAATCGAATGCTTCAAAGCAAAAGACGATGCCCTCTCGTCTCGATCTGTCGCGACTGCAGGTTTCACTAAGACGACTATTTGCTGTTTGTCCCTGGGACATTGCTCTGCATAGTCTATGGAGTGCGCTGGACAGACTGTTTGTCCCCCCTGAAGAGTTGACATCTTCCGGCCGACCTTCGCGCCGTTCATCTCGCAGTTCAACCATGGTTTCATCTGCCGCTCCCCCGGTTGTTGTGCGACGACCCTCCGAATCAGTGGATGAAGAATATTTATCAGATGCCGACGCCGCCCACATTGCCACCATTACCTTGTTCACTCTAGTCAGCTCTGTGCCCGAGCTTGATGCAAATACTTGGCGTGGGATACTTCGAATGCGTGCTGCTGGGAATGTGGCTTCACCTGCAGATATGCATAATCTTCCCGCTGAGCATGTCCAGCGCGCTGTCGAGGTGACCGACAAACTCGAACACGAGCTGGGTCTTCGCCTTGTCAGTCGACTGGTTCGTGCTCTTGTAGCACGCGTGACATACCATGAAATATCCAAGTCGCGACAAGTATACAATCCCGAGGTACCAAAACAACGGAAAGCGAGCGTACTCGACCGCGTGGTGGAGCATCTCACCGACCATCGCACACTTACGGACCCCGACGTACTCCAGGTGTTCGGCCCCATTTCCCTTATCATCGAATGGCTTCGTACCCTCTTCCTGCGAGAGTGGGATGGCAATCCGGAGATGCCTCGGAGCAGCGCAGCAGGCGGTGCCATACAAATCCTTGCCTCGATGTATAAAGCACGAAGCCGGCTGGGTTTGGACCCCGAAGACTTCTATACCCCCCTTCTCGCAGAGCGGCTGGACCCTCTGGAAATGCCTGTGGCATGGGCGGGCCGGTTGTCAAACAATCGAACGATGCATCTGCTTTCGTACCCTTTTCTCTTTCCGCCATCATCTCTCGTCATCTATTTTCGTGCCTTGAACTACTCCGCCATGTCAAAGTACTACGAGTCTTCTATGACTACGACAAGGCACGTCACTCAGACAGCTTTCAGTAGCACCATGCACCTCAATGATGACATGGGCATTTTGGCGCGCATGAAGACGTCGATGTCGACCTACCTAGTTCTAGTTGTTCGACGAGATAACGTCTTGGGCGATGCCTTGAACCAATTGTGGCGGCGGGAAAAGCGAGAGCTGATGCGACCACTGAAGGTGCAAATGGGAATGGACGAGGGAGAAGAGGGTTTGGATCATGGCGGTGTTCAGCAAGAGTTCTTCCGGGTGCTCATGGCGGAAGCGCTCGACCCAGATTACGGCATGTTTACACTGGACACACGACACCGCATCTCCTGGTTCCGGCCTTGCTCCTTGGAACCGCTGTATAAATTTGAACTCCTTGGCCTTCTGATGTCGATCGCAGTGTACAACGGCCTTACTCTTCCGGTCAACTTTCCGATTGCCTTCTATCGCAAACTGCTGGGGCTAAAGGTAAAGCACCTCGGCCATATCCGGGATGGATGGCCAGAGCTTGTCCAGGGACTTGAGACCATGCTGTCCTGGCAGGATGGCGATGTTGGCGACATCTTCATGAGGACGTATGAGTTCAGCTTTGAGTCTTTCGGCCGCGTCGAGGTTGTCGACATGCAGAAAGTGGACCGCGAGGCCATGTGGCCGCTGCCGAGCAAAATTCCCGAACCGAACCCTACGGGGGACTCCACTGCTTGGCCTGAGTTGCCGCATTACTTTGACCAGGCCACCGTGAGCCCGCCCTCTTCCATGGCAGCCGAGGTAGCCGATCTCACTCCCAGTCAATCTGTGTCGGGCGACACCGCGAATTCCGTCGTCGAGTCTCTATCCATTCAATCCCCTGTCTCTCCCACCGACGAGGCAGCCCTGGTGACGAACCGCAATCGGCACCAATTCGTCAAGGACTACGTCTTCTGGCTCACGGATAAATCCATCCGGCCGCAGTTCGAGGCCTTTGCTCGTGGGTTCAACACCTGTCTGGACCGATCAGCTCTTTCCATCTTCACCCCGGAGGCGCTGAAGACCGTTGTGGAAGGCATTCAGGAAATTGACATCCAGGCATTGGAGAACCATTCCCGGTACGAGGGCGGATTTGGGCCGAAGCACCGAGTCATCCGTGATTTCTGGAGCGTGGTGTCGCACTATCCGGCCGACAAGAAGGCGCAACTCCTGGAATTCGTGACTGCCAGCGATCGCGTCCCCGTCAACGGGATCTCGAGCATCATGTTCGTGATCCAGAAGAACGGCGTGGGTGATCTGGTAAGTGACTCTGTCCTTGTGGAAATTGATTCCGATGACTGACCGAACTTTCTAGCGTCTTCCAACCAGTCTGACCTGTTTCGGGCGGTTGTTGCTGCCGGAGTATTCGTCGCGAGAGGCACTGGCGGAGAAGCTGGACAAGGCATTGGAGAATGCACGGGGATTCGGGGTTGCGTGAGAGAGGGCTGGGCGTAGAGGATCTGTACATATTCCTATTTTTCTTGTGCCATAATCATCTTAGCCCCAAAAACAGGAGTTTATACATCCCGTCCTTTGATCGGCCCACCTTCCCCATGCAGCCCCAACTCGGATACATTGCCGCGTGGGGAAGACTTTTCTTTCCTCCGGCAAATCAGAGGTGGATTTGGCCTCCCACGAGCTTATTCACTGGCTGTGGCGAGACAACATACCTCTTCCCTGCATCTCTCCGTCCTTCCTTCTTTCTTTTCCACACTTTCGTTCACAGCCCCTGAACCGTCCAGTCCTGTAAGTTTTGCCTTCGTCATTCCACGTTCCCTCCCGCGGCCCCACCGATAAGAGTCATCCTCTCTCTCTTTTCTCTCTCTTTTCTCTGCTGACCACGCAGTTCGCAGTAACGATTACTCCTCTTGTCTCACCGAGATCGCTCGTTTCAAATATGCCTCCTATCATCCACTGCGTTCGCCATGCCCAGGTACGTCAGCCAGCGCATACAACTCCGCTCGTCCAAAAAAAAAAAAACACCAAGACCCAGCCAAACAGATTAGATCCTCGGACATCAACCCGCCTCCCAAAATCACCCACTACACATCTCTAAACCATACTAACAATCCTTCAAGGGGGTCCACAACCTCTCAACAGCCAACCACGTCATCCCCGACCCCCTCCTCACGGACCTCGGCCACGAACAGTGCCGCAAGCTGCGCGAGAACTTCCCGCACCACGCCACAGTTGAGCTGGTGACCGCGTCGCCCCTCCGACGCACAATTTACACCGCGCTCGAAAGCTTCCAGCCCGTGTTCGAAGCGCATCCAAACAAGAAACTGATCGCGCTGCCGGACGTCCAGGAGACCTCCGACGTGCCGTGCGATACGGGCAGTGACCGCGAGACTTTGCGGCGGGAATTTGCTTCCGCGGGGGTTCCTGTGGATTTGGATTTGGTGCATGATGGGTGGAATAATAAGGTAGGCCAGACATTTCTTTTTGGGGGCGATGTTGGACATAATCTGCGCATGATGCTGATTTATGATACAGGCTGGCCGCTACGCGCCGACAAATCAGGCTATCAAGGAGCGCGCGCGTGCTGCGCGTCGCTGGCTGAAGGCCAGGCCTGAGAAGGAGATCATTGTTGTGACGCATGGTGGATTTCTGCACTATTTCACGGAGGACTGGGAGGATAGCAGCCACTACCAGGGTATGTTCTTTCTTCACACAGAGGAAACGGGAGAGACAGAGAGAAATGATGAGAACTAATCCATGTGCAATTCAGGAACCGGCTGGTCCAACACCGAATTCCGCAGCTTCCACTTCTCAGAAGAACACCACAAGGACGATCTAGAGGGCTACGAGCTGGACGGCGACAATGCCACGCTCGTAGAAACCATCGAGTCGCGGCAGCGCCGTGGCAAGGACGGATCGGCCCCCAACCGCGACCAGCAGCGTACCCTGTACAAGATTGGCACGCAGGGCTGGGATGATCAGGGTCTCCAGCTTAGCACAGCGGACCGCGAGGCGGCCAAGGTGCCGGAGGGTAAGGTGATTGAGGGGGTTCGTGTATGAGCTGGCGCTCAAAACGAAGGGTATATTGGCATTGTCTTTCTTTTTTGTGCTATTTGTTGATATGCTGCCTACGATAGAATAGAATCGAAGGAGATAGACTTGTTGGTGCTTGAAATAGATCTATAACGAAATGAAATAAAGAACTCACCTAACCTGCCTCTAAATATTTCTTCTTCTCCTTTTTCTTTCCAGGGTTCTCGGTGCTATGTATATCTCCGACGAACCACGTTTCAAATTGGACAATAAGAACAAAGACTTGACTCCCTCAACACGAGACAAGGATTCATTCGTTCATGGGTTCTTCAAGTCCGGGTTTCTCTGTCCGCGACCCCCAATTTTCTTTGACAGACCCCCGGCTCACAATGGGTATTCATACATGCTCGGTGCCGAGACAGACTGTCACAGCTTCAACCAGGGATGTCATTGACGATGGCGGCGGTTGCCGGCAAAGGCGAGGGCGTGTTGTCTTACCCTGGGCAATATATAAATTCCTTTCCTCGGTCCTCGTAGATCAAGTCAGTCACTGAGTACAGTCTCCCAAATCAAGTCCAGTCAGGGAGGAGGACAAGGAAAGAGAGTGAAGATTCAGCAACAACTCGACTATTGGCTATAAACAGCTGGTGCAGAATTGCACTGCCTATCCCCTTCCTTTTGATCCATGATTTCAGAGTATGCTAACGGTATTTTAGGGTTCTTGCCTGTTAAAACCACATACACGGCGGTAAGTTCTCTCCCCCGGCGAGTCCTGCTAACATTGTCCAATTAGTTAGGGATGCCAATCTCGTCGACGTAGTCGACTCTATCGGATGATTTGGCAGAGTTCTTTCTAGATTTTTGATTTCCGATTCTCATGGTTTTACACTAATGATATTCCCCAGGTCTTCGTCATCTAACTACCTGATCGATATTTGAATAAGGTGTGTCCCTCACACTTATCATTGGAAGCTGACGTGCAATAGTGACGACAACTATGACTGCGCCTACCGGGTGATACAGGCAAGGCTTAACTCATGTGGAGGATGGTGGCAGGGTATTTCACCAAAGCAGGCCAGTCTTAACCGTCTTCCCCTCATGATTGTCTGCTGCTGACTATTATTCTCCGAAGGCGCAGTTCCCCCGGAAAGTGGATGCCTCAACTATCCTATTTTTAGGCGCCGATCAGGCCCATAACTCGTCGCTTTATCTAACCTTCGCTTTCTTTCTTTCTCTCCTACCCTCACTCCACGTTGTTGACGCGCACCCCTGGCTTTGTTCCAGCGCGCAAGATGATTGACGATAATCTCCCCAGTAAGTGTCTTCTTTCCTGTTCCTGTCCCTGTCCCTGTCCCGCCGACCAAACGACGTCATTTGGCGACCCCTCGGATTCCTTCCATTCCTGCGCTGAACTGACCCGACCCGACCGAAGCCTTCTTCATCAAGAACAATAACCCCCAGAAATCGCAAAACTGCACCGTCTACTACCAGCAACATGGCAATGACCCCGAGCCCGCCTATGCCCTGCGATACCTCGATCCTGCCGTCCCAACCTCCCACAATCGCTACGGCGTCGGCCTGTACGATCCATACGTGAAAGACGTCGTTTACGGTGAAGTCGCCGTGGTCCCTGAATGGAGCCAACCTAGTCTCTCAGCAGAGATGATCCGGGCGAACGGCGGCACCGCGCCACCCGCCGAACCCGTTCTCCCCACCCAGTTCACGATCCAGCTGTACAACCCGGACCAACAGATCCTGGTGCGGCACAAGGCCAAGAGCTGGAACACGCCTGCGCGATGGGAGTTCGAGATGCCACAGCGGACGTTCCGCGTCCCCTCGGCGTCGACGCTCGACCGGACACAGAGCGATCCCGCCGCCGAAGAGAATACCCCGAAGCTGCGCTTCAGCTGGCGCAAGGATGGCAAGCTGTCCAAGGACTTGACGTGTCTGCTGCATGGCAAGTCTGCAACAGTTCCGGATACGCGGACGAAGAGCCGCGAGCCTGATATCACCGTCGCGCTCTTCCAGGGCCTGCGCGAAGTTACCCTCTACGAACCGAATCTCTACCGCGTCGAGATGGAAGACTTCAAGGGGCTAGAGGTCGTGTTGCTCTTGGCTGCGATTGCCATTCGGGATATCTTCTTTGGGCCCGCGAAGGAGGCTTTCCATATCACTGCCGTCGGGGTGGGGCAGTCCAGCACAAGACCTCAGGGCGCGGCACCGTCGGTCCCAAATGGCAACAAACCGTCGCCGCCCCGTCTGAATATCCCAGCGAAGGCACCATCGCTGACCCCCCAACAGCGACGGCGGCAGGAAGAGATTGCCAGAGAAGAGGAGAGACGGACCAAGGAACTTCTCGCGAAAGAAGAGAAGGAGCGGCGCCGCAAAGAAGCTGCGATTGAACAAGAGACCAAACGTCTCCAGCAGCTATACGGCAGGGAAGAGCAGGAAGCGCGAGCCCAGTCTACAAGGCCGAGCTTACCCCCGCGACCTGGCGGCGGACCCTCCCGACCATACTCCATGTCATATTCCCAGTCCTCAACGAACATCCCTTCTTCCAATCCCTCTTACTTCTCCTCATCACGTCCCGCATATCCGCCCCGTCCACAATGGCAGCAGGGGGCCCCCGCGCCCACCTCCTACGCCAACAGCCCCTACCTCCACGTATCTCAACAACAACAGCCGGGGCGACTCTCGACGTCGCACCTCCCGCAGCCACGGCCACAGTCCTCGGTCGGCTTCTCCCCGCAACCTACCAGCAGCGGTGCGCTCCCTCCTGGAGCCAGGCCGAATGCGCAAGTGCAACCGAAGAAGAGCAGTTTTCTTGGATTCCTTAAGAATCGGGATGAGCCAGAGCGCGCGACGCTGCAGAGGAAGCGGAGTTCGATGTTTTGATGTTGGTGATGATCTGCGATACCCTGTCACATACCTATGTAGTACATAGCTCTCTGTATTTAGCATCTCCAATGCATTTGCCTGGCTTTGTTTACTCCTGTCCACTAGCTAGTTTTGGCGTGGGGCCTATTTTACCCCGAGCGGGTAGCCAGCACGCCACAATCTATATTTACATGCGTGGCGTGCACGAGCTAGAAACCTGGGGATAAATGGAAATTCCCTCTGCAGGAACACGAGGCTCAATATACCACGGGCCACTTGCCGAACCCTACACTTCCAAGGCTCTCTCTGTTCCTGTGAATTCCTAGCAATTGAAGGCAAGATCCACGCCAGACGTAGGAAGAAGCCGACGCGAAGGATCTGTGGGCTCCGCCAACACCGAAATAGCGCCTAATGCATTTTGGCCCCCATCCCATTGCAGCGGGTAGCGAGCCTCGCCCATGGCCACATCGACACGGAACAGGCTGTATGGTTTATTTAGTATTTAGCACGGTGTCCAGGGATACTATTGTTGTCTACCGGAAGTTTCTAGTGAGAAACAATATCATAATAGATCTAGGTGCTCACGAGCCTTACTCGGGCCGCATATCCCAAAACAAACCATCCGAGCGGAGCCCAAATGGTCGACTAACTAACTTCAGTAATACTTGGGGCTGTGGGCCACCAACATCTCTCCACAGCAGCCAATACTAGCCGCCAGGACATAACGATCGCCGGGGCGACCCTGCCCAGCGCGAAGAGAGGAATTGTAGCAGTAACTAGTCTCTCTCGGTCTCGCAGAATCCTCTCTTGTCAAACGCTCCAACTTGCTATCACCTCCTACGGCGTATAGAGGCTGTGAAGAGAGTGCGAGTCGCGTCGTCGGACACCGCGACTTCAGCCCTTACCGTCATCATGTCGACCATCACGGCGGCATTGCCCCTGACCACCACCTTCGTCCCGCCCAGCACATGTATCTCCGACACCTACCTCGCCAGCAGCGGGTGCACCACCGGCACATGTAATGGGTTATGGATGAATCTGGGACCCGGACCGCAGGCCACGGGGGCATGTCTTCCCTCCGGCTATTCGCCGTACAGCTATTATTCGCCCGGTGTCTGTCCGTCAGGGTATTCCATTGCCTACAGCAGCGTGGGTAGTGGGGAGAACCCGGAGACGTTCGCCACTTGCTGTCCTTCGTAAGTACCCTTTTCCTCGCAAATCCTGCGTGATAATTAGAAGGACATCGTTGCTAACTGTCAGACAGGTCTTACACAGCTCGCACTGAAATCCCCGCGTCAGAATCCGGGACGGCATGGTATACCTACGAACAATGCTACTGGCAACCCACGGCCGGCGCAACCATATATGAGTACACATATTACGACCTGGGGAGTTCATGGATCAGCGCCACTAGCACAATGGACACGAGCGGGATGGTGAATGCATACGGCGTATCGATTCGTTTCCGTGATTCACCATCCACCACGTCCGCGACCAGCACATCCAGCTCAGGCATAGCCGAGGAAACACAAGGCAAACCCAAAGCGGCAGCCAAGTCCTCCAGCACCTTCGATGGCGCATTTGCAACGGGGTTCAATGCCGCGAACGAACACCCGAATTCCTCCTCAAGCGGTCTCTCCACCGGCGCAAAGGCCGGCATTGGTGTCGGCGTTGCCGTTGCCGCTGTCGCCGTGATCGCGGGTCTGGTATGGTTCTGCTTGGTGCGCAAGCGCCGCGGTGCCGTCGCTACTGATAAGTGGCAGCCGGCGGAGTTGGAGCCGGCACAGCGTCGGCAGGCAGAACTGGCCGATAGTGAGCCTTCTGTGATGACTGAGTATCATGGTGCGGCCAGTGAGCCTTCTGCCGGAACCGAGTATCAAGGTGCGTTTAAGCCGCCGCAGCACAGAATGCCGGTCGAGTTGGACGCGGGTGTGTATTATGAAAAATGAGATTTCTGGCCCCCAATGGTTCAAGGGTTACCTGGCCTTGCCTGGCCTTTTCTCTCTCTCTCTCTCTCTCACACACACACACACACACACTCTCTCTCACTCTCTTTCTTCTTCTGAATGTTTTCAGGTGGATATCGATTTTTATTCCCGTGCATCGCATCTTATGCAGCTTCTGGCGTGTTTCCTTTTTCCTTTTCTTGTTTTGCATTGGCGTCCTTCGAATATACCCGTCCTGTTCATGGGTCGTTAGGGAATGTGGGTGATGTATGTGTATTCGAGAGTACTCCAGGGGTTCGCTTAGAGTAATAGAACAAATATTTTCGTCTTAGCTCTTGCCATGGTGTTGTTGATCTGAGGATCTAGGGCAGATGCGTTGGGAGAGTTCCGCAATGCCAACAACGAACTAGCCAGATCTGGGGCGCCCTTGACATGATCATTGAAAATGCAGGATGCGTGAAGTCCAGTGGGGCAGACACTTTCGACTTTCTAGACACTTTGAACCAAGCTTTATGAGAGGGTATCCTTCGTGAAGTATATACTCCTTCACAACCCCAGCCGCACATGAGCAGTACCCCGCAAATATAAAACCCCAGTCCAAAAGACGCAAGCCAATAAACAGTGACGTATTTCACCACTTACATGCATGTCGCTAGTAATCATCCCATACATCCCCCCCTCCGCAACCGCGACATGTCGACGGCAGATGACGTGCCCACATCCCGGTAACACCAGTCACCACGCGGGTGTCATCGTAACGCTCTAATTCCGTAACCTTATTGCGTGCTATGCGATTGATAATCCAATTGCAATATATACAGAGCGGGGTCCTTGCGATCGGGATATGGTTTTCGGGATATGCTTATTTTTGTGCACTGTCTCGGGATCGGTCCGGGATGGGGTATATATACTTCGTAATCGATTCTCTTCCCCGCCCATCCTATCTATTTATCTGTCAGTGAATGACTACTGGAGTTGCACAGCAAAACACAAGCTTTTTCTTGCCAACGAATATGCCTGCTAAGATTATTGATCGATATGACCATGTCCCCGAAACGAAGGAGGATCGTGAGTATCTTTCGAAAGTATACCCTGCTTGTTTCACTTCACTAATTGGTACCTATCAGTCGACTGGGCTGAACTGATCACCCTTGATCTCGGCTTGTATGAGCAACCCGGTGGCAAGCAAGAGCTGGTGAAGCAGCTGGAGCACGCAGTCCGCTACGTGGGTGAGTACAGCATACCTATCATTCTTTGTTTGAATACTGTGCGCGTTACTGATCGTCTATATACAAGGCTTCTTCTACGTCAAGAACTTTAACATTAGCCAAGAAGAGATCGACCGCCAGTTCGCACTGGGCCGCGAGTTCTACGCCCTGCCCCTCGAGGAGAAACTCAAGTACCACAGCTCAAGTGATCTGGACCGTGGCCAGTATAACGGGTACCGGCCTGCGGGACACCGCATGTGGGTTGACACTTCTGAAAATATACATTCGCTGACTTGTGCGAAGGCTTGGAAATGGAATCAAGGATAATGTGCAAGTATACAATATCCCCAAGTTCGACGGGCAGCATGTTCGTCAGCAGCCTGCCGTGGTGCAGGATCATATCGAGGAGGTTGAAGCTTTCAGCAGAGTAAATCCCTCATCCCTCTCTCCTTCCCACCTCTACTTACTAGTAGCATGTCGAACTTTTTACTGATATAAAATAGAAATGCCACACAGAAGTCGTCGAAAAACTCCTCCGCCTCTTCGCCATCCTCCTCGAACTGCCCGACGAAGACCAGCTCGTCCGCGACCACCAGTATGATGTCCCCGGCGAAGACCACCTGCGATACATGCACTACAAAGCGCGAAGTGCAGAGGACAACTCCAAAGTAGGAGGCCTGTATAACCCGGGCCACACGGACCTGGGAACAGTCACCCTGCTCTTCCGCCAGCCCGTCGCGGCGCTGCAGATTCTCAACTCGGCCGGCGACTGGAAGTGGGTGCGTCCGCAGAACGGCACTATTACCATCAACACGTGTGATGCGCTCACGGCTCTTACGGGGGGGTTGATTAAGTCGAGCATTCATCGCGTCCATGCGCCGCCGAAGGATCAGGCGCATTTGGATAGACTGGGTGTGTTATATTTTGCGCGGTGGGTAGCTATCATTTCTTTCCCTCTCTCCCTGACAAGACCTTCCTTACGAACGGGCAATTTCAATCTCTAATACATCAATGCCGGTGTAGACCCAACAACCACGTTGTCCTCGACCCAATCCCCAACAGCCCGCTTCTGCAGCGCCTGGGTCTAACGCAGAACGCATTCACTGAGCTGGGCCAGCACCTTACTACGGAGGAGTGGGTGAAGGTGCGCCAGACGCAGCAGCAGCGACGCAAGATTATGACTACTGTCTCCAAGGAGGGGAAGTACTCGTATGCACCGAAGGATTTGGAGATTCTTCCGGGGTTGCAGGCTAAGATCTATAACTAGGGCTGTTTTTAGCGAGGTACAGTATTGGCATGTTAGCTATTCGGTCCTTACAGTGCGTGATTCAGGTCACCCCTTAAATATGAAGATTCTTGAGTTCTGCCTTTTGATATGATTGATGTCGATGCCTCGTTCATAGTTATATCTCGGCCGGCATATGCTTTGGTAGCTAGCCCTAAAGCTTACAGTTCATAACTACATGACGATTTTGTGTGCTCATAATTTATCATGTTTTAGCATAAGAGAAAGAGGTGAACACTGCCAGGTTGAAGGACAGAGTTAATGATATAAAGACGTTGAAGACACGCTGTTAGGGCATGAAGACTTAGTGACCCACATCACAGACTGACGGCACGGGCACTCAGCACTCCTCCCTCTTTCACCAAGTCCGTGGCAACGTGTTGGCCAACCACACGGTCAATTCCCAGAATCATCAGGGCTTCCGTCGACACAGGACCATCTTTCACCACCGCTGCCTCAGCTGTGCCACTGTCCTTGCTGGGTTTGGGCTCAACCGCCTCGCCGCTCGCTAGTTTGGGCGACACAGCGGCGACGGTCATGAAGTTGATGTTGACGCCCTCTCGGCCTAGAATGCTGCCCACGACGCCGATCTTACCGGGAGAGTCATAGTTTTCGCAGATGAGGAGCGTTCCCTCTGGTGCGAAGGTTGCCTCGAATCGACCAAGGCGAGTGATCAAAGGCTCACCCCCGGAGCATGTTCCCGAGATGATCCGCTGAGGCTGCGGTGGGGTCGCTTCTGCCTTCTCGCCGCGTGCATGCGATGATGCTCGGGACGGGGGACGCGCAACGAGAGTCACTAGGGACGAGTACGACGACGACTGATCCGCTGGGTCGCGAGAATGCTGCTCGGAGACAAAGACGCCGCGCTCCTTGGCTACCAATTCTGCGTTGACGATATTGATGTTGATTCCTTCCGAACTGCTGATGGGTGCCAGGAGGCCCTTGATTAGTGCTGCGAAGAGAGGCTTCGTGTTACTGATACTGGCTACTTCGCCCTGGTAGATCAAGTCAAAGGTGTTGCGGGTCATGGAGCCACCTGGCGCGGAGGCATAGTAATGGGTGTACAGACTGCCGAGTTTTTCAACTAGGCGCACGAAGGGTTGAAGCTTCTGGTACTCCTCTGGCAAAATGAGAGGTGCATTGACGGCGCTGCGAGGTAGTGATCCCTTCAAGATCTCGAGGACCTGCTCACAGACATCGACCGACACATTCTCCTGGGCTTCTACCGTTGACGCGCCCAGATGCGGAGTGACCACAGCACGCGGATGCGCAATGAGTTTGGCCGCAGTTGAATCTGCAGCCGGTGGCTCTGTAGTAAAGACATCGACAGCTGCGCCAGCTAGATGACCTGACTCCAGAGCTGCTAGCAATGCAGCTTCATCGATTGTTCCTCCTCGTGCAACATTGAGAATCCGCGCGCCGGGTTTCATTTGGGCCAACTCGGCCTCTGCAATCATGCCACGGGTCGAGGCTATCAGCGGCGTGTGGATAGTCAGAAAATCGGCCGAAGCAAGCAATTCCGGCAGTGACGAAACCAATGTGACCGATGCCGAGGCAGCAACTGCCGGGGATGCATATGGGTCCATCGCATTAACCGTCATCCCCAGGCCCTTGGCCAGACGGGCCACCGTCAAACCAACTAGCAACGCATGTCAGATTCCCCACAAAAAGGAATGCAAGCGGGGGAGAACTAAATGCGGAACCCACCTTTACCTAGCCCAATAATCGACAACGTCTTGCCCTTGACCTCGACTCCGACGAACTTACTCCGCTCCCATTTGCCATCCTTCAGGGTGGCACAGCCCTCGGGGATTTTGCGGGCCATTGCCATCAGCAGTGCAATGGTGTGTTCCGCCGCAGCACCAATATTGCCCGAGGGGGAATTGACCACCACGATTCCCAGCTTTGTTGCCGCTTCGACATCTAGAGTCAGGCCAGTGAGTAGTCAAGTCCTAGAGATTCGCGGGGGACTGTCCTTACCGACATTGTCCACCCCGACTCCGGCGCGTGCGACAACTTTTAGACGACGGGCAGCTTGTAAGACGGTGGCTGTCACCTTGGTCTCGGATCGGACGAGGAGGGCTTCGTAGTCGGGGATGATCTGGAGCAGGTCGTCGGCACTGAGACCGCGACGCTCGTCGACGTCAAGCGAGGTGCGCAGCAGAGCCAGGCCATCCGGGGACAGCTTCTCTGGCACAAGGACCTTGGGACGGGCAGTGTCGCGGAGTAGAGGCATGGTTGAATGGAATGAATTGTAGGAAATAGTGAGAAGCAGAAAGGGCAAAAGGAAAGAGAGGCGGTTATATACTACAAACCCAGGACAACTCTAAATGGGCGGCAGGCGCGCATTGATCCAGTTCTACCCATCTCGGGAGAATACCTACCTGTTCCTACTTAGGGACTGTGTATACCAATCACGGCATCACCAATATCTCACCAAGGGCGGGGTCGGGCCCTTGATTGGACTTCTCCTGTTTCGCTAACCGGGATGATGCAAAGCCCTACAAGCGTACCGGATCGTCCTCCGTCCTGCTCGCTGTCGGCCTTGCTGGCCATCCTGGGCAACGAGTCATCCAGCCCTAACTCACCTCGTCACTGACAAAAGCCTTGTTTCCTTCAGCTCATCCCTCCCCGAAACAGCAAAAAGTGGGACGATACGATCACCGATCGCGGATCTCCCGTATTTGAAGGGGCTCGCCTCTGGGGCCGAAAACCACCAGTCCGGTGGCTTGTTTTCCAGGGTCTCGCTCCTCTTCGCAACACGTTCGTTTCCGTATCTTGTCTGCACTCGTTCTTGGCTCTGTTCAGCCCCAGCGAGGCCAAATGTCGAATACTTAAAGGCTGTGCTGCTGCGGATGGATGCTTCTCTCCGGCCATGATCTTCCTCTAAGCCCCGAGCCGCTGCCATGGTGGGGGTTCCACACAGCAAGGGCTGCGCTCTCTGTCGCGAACGACACATTAAGGTAAGAGAGAACTTATTCAATGACCTTCTAGTATTAACGGCGACAGTGCGACGAAGTGCTGCCCCAATGCACCCAGTGCTTGCGTTACGGCCGCCCCTGTCCCGGATACCGCCGCACGTTCCGGTTTCAAGATGAGGGTCCGTCCCTGGACAAGATATACCGTCCCTATCCCCAGCGGAGAGACCGACGCGCAGCGGCCAGAGCTGCTGCAGCGACCTCCTCGACGACTCAAGCCGAGTCTTCTTCTGTCCAGTCTGCAGCACACGTCCCCACGCCCGACGGCGGAGCGGGGGTAATAGCGGCGGCGGTCCGTGAGAATGCCATCAATCTGATGCGCCGACACTCGGCCAGTATACCCATCGACGAGAGCGTGTCGCCGTCGCTAGTACGCCAGTCTTTCAAGGCGGCGCAGCCCCAGCTCTTCCTTGACTTTATCAGCGCGGCCTTCCCCACGCTCTACTTCCATAACAAATTCCGCGCGGGCAGTGATCCCGGCTTCCCGACATACATCATCCTCGCTTTTGGGCAGGACTCATATCTCGACTCGGCGATATGCTGCCTGAGCTCGGTGTATCTGGCCCATCTCACGCAGGACAGGGCCCTGCTCCGGGTCAGTCGGCGCATGTACGCCGTGTCGCTGGGCGAGGTCATCCGCGCATTAGCCAAGCCCGAGCACGCCATGTCCGACAATATGCTCTGCACAGCGATGATGCTCAGCGTCTACGAGATGTACGCGCAGACCTCCCCAGGTGCATGGGTTGTGCACGCCGACGCAGTCAAGCGGCTGATGCAGTCCCGGGGCACGGCCGCGCACGAAGTTGGCTTCGGACGGTCCTGCTGGATCGCCTTTCGCGGGTTCCATATCGCCACCGCAGTCTACGAGGGGAAACCCTGCTTCCTGGACGAAGAGGACTGGCAGCGTTTCGCAGCCGTCATCATGGCCGAGGACGCCCAGAAACCGGGCGAGTGGTCCGCCTACGCAGACCTGTGCGATCTCGCCTTCATGGAGATCGCCAAGTGCCCACGCTACCTTTCCGAAGCGCGCAATATTATTTCTGGTATCACGGACCCAGATCCCACCGTCATCTCCTCCCTCATCAGTCGCATCCGACGCACCTCGCACCGTCTGCAAGCGCTCAGCGCCCAACTCCGCTCTTGTATCAGCGGCCATGGGCAGCGCCAGCAGGGCATCATCAAACGCCCTGGCTCATTCATCGGACCCGTCCCGGAAATCTTCCCAGAAACAGGTCCCTCCCTACTCCTCCGCGGCGCGGAGAATCTAATATCGACCCTTGGCCAACTGTGGACCCGACTCGACGACATGGTGCGCGTTCGACCTGCTGAGGATCTTTCCCCAGAGTCTCCATACTCCTCCGTTGCTACTCCATCCGGGAACAGCAGCATCACGTCTCCGTCACTGCACTGCTCGACCCCGTCTGTTACCTCCAAGCCTTTCACGGCTACACTGCCAATTCGTATACACTCCGAGCTTGGGCAGGGTCCGTCGAGGACCTCTGACCGGAATGATCCGCGCGCTGTGATATGGTTGGACCGTGTGGCTTCGTCGATGGGGATGCTAGGGACAAGAGTCGTTGTTGCTGGTGAAGGGGAGCAGGAACATGTTGCAGGTCATACCGATGACCTGTAGGTGTCAACTGGGAAAATTACCTTTCAGAGATGAGATTCTAACTCTGGCACTTTTTGGCCTAGCGGTACATTTTACACACATTTTGGTCCACAGTGGGCTTAGTTATTCATTAGCGAGCGCTTGTTTTTTTTCCCCTTTCTCTGTCTAGTGCAAAAAGATACTCTATGCGACCTTAGCTGGCTCTAGGGATTTTCTTGTTTATAACATATACGATCTGATGATTTGAGCCAAGTGCATGAATTGATATCCATTGTGGTTTCTCACAATTTCGTCATGTCGAAACAGAAAGCATAATATATACATATGAACACTTCGGGTAAAAAAACTTTCGCGCCCCCAGCTTGGGCACGATTATGACCCGTACCTAGTAATCCATCGACTCCTCAAGCAACTTCCTCAACTCTCCCTTTTCAGCCTCCAGCTCCTTGCTCAGCGTCGGCGCAAGCATAAGCACGCGCTGCTGCGGAATTGTTCCCTCCACCAGGCCCTCGACATCGGAGTTCTTGAACCCCAGATCCTTCAGCCCGCGCGGCTGATCGCCCAGCTTTATCAGGAACTCGGCCAGCGCAGCGCCGAGAACCTCGCCCGCACTCTCGCGCTTCACGTTCGAGATATCAACGCCAAACGCTTCAGCGGCGGCCAAGTGGCGGTCTGGGTTCGAGGCCGCCGTGAAGCGGAAGACGGCTGGCGCGGTGACCGCGACGGAGACGCCGTGCGGGATGATCGGGTAATCGACTTCGTAGCCATTGTGCTTGTAGCCGGGGTTCTGGCTGGAGATCGGGTAGCTCATGCCGTGGCACAGGTGTACGCCTGCATTGCCGAATCCGACGCCTGCGAGCGTGGCAGCGAGGAGCATGTTCGACTGCGCCTCGTGGTCGTCCGGGTCCCGGACTGCGCGGGGGAGGTACTTGACCGTGCTACGGAGGGCCTCTAGGGAGAAGATGTCGGAGATGGGGTTTGCGCCTTGGTAGGCCGGGCGGTTGATGGGGTTTGTAGGGCGTGGGGTGCGCTCGTTGTACGGGATTGCGGTCCACGATTCAAGCGAGTGGCAGAGCACATCGAGGCCGGATGAGGCGTGCACTGCCGAGGGCATAGTGCGCGTGTTGAGCGGGTCGCAGATTCCGAGCGTGGGTTTGAGGTTGCGGTGCGCGATGCCCGTCTTCGCCTTCTTGGAGACTAGGTCGAAGATTGCTGTGCCTGTTGTCTCGGATCCGGTGCCGGCGGTCGTTGGCACGGCTACGAGCGGGCGCAGAGGCTTGGTCACAGGGAGACCTTTGCCCAAGGGCGCATTGACAAAGTCGAGGAAGTCGGCCTCGGGGAACACGGTATAGAGATTCATCAGCTTGGCCGTGTCGATGACGGATCCACCGCCTAGAATGTGTTAAGTTTCTTGCAGCTAGGAGGTGATCAAAGTACATACCGACAGCGAGGAAAGCATCCGGGTTGTACGGCTTAGCAAACGCAATAGCCTCTTTCACCCTGCATGGCGGTGGTGGTTAGATTATGGCAGACAAAAACCAGGGTTCCCACGTACGAGCTGTCCTTGGGTTCGACGCGGACCTTGTCGAACACGGTAAACTCAATGCCCTCACGGGAGAGACCCTCAACAGCCTGCTTCATAGCATCCAGCTTGGTGACGTTGGAATCGGTGACGATGCACACGCGCTTGGCGCCCATGTTTTTGAAATCCATGCCGACCTCTTTGGTCGAGCCGGGCCCGAACCGGATGCTGGACGCGGCCATCTCAAAGGCATACTCCTTCTCCCGGGCCGGGTCGATCGGCGTGGCCATGTTACGGCGCACATGGCTCAGTAGGGACGGGGTCTGATGGTGATGGTGGTGGTTTGGATTGGAGTGGCACGGGCAGGTGGGCGGGTGGGTGTACTGCACAGTGCGCAGCAGGTTGAGGGCACGGTTGGCGGCCGAGGGGGCCACCCGAATTGCGGGCGAGATCATAATTACAATGGAAGAATTAAGGGAGCGTGGAAAGGAAGGGGGGGAGAGGGAGGGGAGAGGAAGAGGTGAAGTGAAGAGGTTAGCCGAAGGAGACGTGACGGAAAGCCAAACCTCCAAGTTGGAGAAATTGCGGGGAGAGATCGGTGTTGTGGCCGACAGATGGTTTATACCCTGAGTATGGTCATTATGATTGTTCTATGATAATTGACATGAAGAAAACGCATATTCTCATCACGATTCATATACTAACTGAATCCCTACTCTGCGATCGATCCCTTTTCTCCGTGTTCAAGTAGTGTTCAACAACCTCGGCAATCCACCATCTCCATCCATGACATCAGCCACACCCCCCACAATCTCAACAGAGCGTCAACACCAAATCCGTCGACGCATCCATCACCCGTACCTGGCTACCAGCCGGCGGAATGCCCTGCTGCCAGTAGATCTCCGGCTCCGCAGGGTGCAAGCGCACAGGGTATCCCGCAAAGGGATCGCCAAACACATCGGAGAGGTCGTACCACACCTGGTGGTCGGACAAGTTATACGCAAACACCGTCGTGGGCGCACTAACATACAGTCCATCTTCCTCAGTGCTGATCTTGATAGCGATGCCGCCGGCGACGGGGTCCTCCCGGAAAGTCTCAGTGTATTGTGTTTGGGGGAGGAGGGTCACCTCCGGCCGGACGGTGGAGCCGACGGACCAGATGTACACTGGGTTTCTGCAATGATTGACCACCACAGCGCGCCCGAGGCGTGTGCCGCCGGGTTTGCCTGAGGGTGTTGGTGTTGGGTAGACCGAGAAAGAAGAAGAGGAGGGTGTGTAGGGCGTGATGCTTTCTGGTCCGTTTTGTTGGTTATCGCTTGGGAGGGAAGTTCCCAGCGAGGCGAGGGAGAGCAGTGGAAGTAGATTGAGCAAATGCATTGTGAGGATCTGTGGGAGAACTGGATTGGTAGTTAGTGAGTCTGGTGGGGGTCGGGCTGGTTTATATTCTCTGCTCGTCGGCCATCCCGGCCGCTGGGAGATATGTATGAGTCGGGGTGTTGTAGAGAGCACAGAGCCGAACATCCGTGGGAAACACCTGAGGAATGTTACACGCTGCAGTGATTGGGCGGATCCTACAGCAAGAATGTGAGCATTAGGGTCCTTAAATTAGGTCTTCAGGGAGTATGTATCAGGAGGACATGTATACTCATGCTGACACGGACACAGAATGTGATTCAAGCCCTAGATGTGACTGCAATCGGGTTTGGGTGGTATACTGTGTTTCCAGTATGTGAACTGATGGACGTACGGCTAGCATGCCCCTGGCGATGAGCAAACACGCCCGGAACATCCCCTAGGCATGGCTAGATCTGTCCACGCGCATTGCCCAATCGGAGGCTCTGGAAACCCGGCACAGGGACCATTCACAGTTGGGAAGCCCTGAGGAATGTGGAGACCAAACTGCCTAATGCTCAAACCTTGTGCAGCTACCAAAAGCATTTGGAGTCTAATATTACTTGACAATGCTTGTGGCGCATTCATGTGAAGACAAAGCTATGTATGTCCCTGTAGCACAAATAGCCGGTCGGGGATATCCCGGTAAGGGGATCTAATTTGCTACATGCGATTTTGGCAGAGTCCAACGTCGAAGAATGTCCTATTTTAGATTTAACGAGTGCAGACTCTTTGGATGAGTATGTGACTAGGCATTCATTGGTGGTACATGGGACAATATGTTCTCTTTCATGTTCTATATTGCAAGATATATACAGAAGAAACATTTATCCAAGAATACCAATATACAGAACCCACTGTATCAAACAATCCGGAAATCCCCAATAACCCCAATAAAATACAAGAATGAGAAAAAAAGCGCAGGCAATCCTCGGGTCGCTTAGAAAGAGACAATGTCCGAGGTACCCAGAGTGGCGTTGCCCTTGCGGGCCACGACCTGGATGTAGCCAGTAGGCAGGTTACCCAGGGAAACGGCAGTCTCAAAACCAGTGCGGACATTGTTGGACGAGAGCTCGGTGTTGTTGACCGAGGTGTTGGAGGTAGCAGCCAGGATAGCCCAGTTATCGTACTCGGTAGCGCCGTTCCAGCTCATGTAGATATCAGCACTGTTATCCGAGGTGCGGGTGATGGCCAGCGAGGGCTTCCAGAAGGGAGTAGCCTTCCACTGGCAGCGGTAGCCACGGTACGAAGCAACGGCGTTGTCCTCGCCGAAGGCAGCGCTGAAGACCACGCTGCCGTTGGCGCTGAACTCCTTGACCTTGGAGATGGAGCCGTAGTCCATGAAAGCGTGCTGGTTCTTGTAGCTCAGGAGCTGGGTGCTGCCCTGGCTGACGGAGTGGATGGTGTCCTTGGGGTCGATCAGCGAGCGCAGGCCAGTCACAGTGTGCTTTTGCAGGTTGATGCCCAGGAAGAGGCCGGAGGTCTGGCCCTCGGAGTTGGTCTGGGTGTTGTGGTTGTTGAACAGGCTGAGGACCATTCCCTTGTCTGTCTCGTTGTGCACGCGGATATCGTGCTGCCATGAAAAGCTGGTGTCACCGATCTGCTTGAAGTCGCCGCCGTTCTCGCCGTCGATCTGCCACATCACGGTGCCGTTGTGGTGCAGGTAGAAACCGGACCACATGTGGCGCAGGGACACGAGGTAGCCATGGCGGGTTGTGGTGATGGCGTTGATGTGGTAGGCATCCCAGGGGTTTGCCTGAGTGCCGGCATCGGAGGCAAGTTTCTGGTGGCTGGTGTTCAGAGGAATGGCATCCTGGTGATCGAGGGCACTCCACGAGTTGATGATCGTGTTGGTTGGAATATCAATCTCGTAGAAGTGGCTGTCGAGCATCCAGTCCGAGGTCGTGCCGTTGACAGAGGTCAGATCATGCTGGGTGACGTTGTATGCGGTGACCAGCAGGGTGTTGTTGGGAGTGATATGGCTCTCGTGCAGGTCGATGTAGGAGTCCTTGGTGGAGTTGTCCGGCGTCACGAACGGACCAGTCAAGGTGACGGTATAGATCTCATTGTAGGTGTCATCCAGAATGTGGACAGTACCGTAGCCGTAGCCAACGTCCAACATGTCACCGGCCCAGAAAGTGATGACATCCTTGCCAAACAGCTTTTGCACCATGAAATTGGCAGTGACCTCATCAGGACCCTCGTAGACCAGATTCCCAGAGTTGTCGTAAATGAGGGCAGCCTGGCCGGCAGACTGAACAGCTCCACGAGGCCCAAGGAAGAGATAGCCCGGGCTGACAGGTCCGGTCTGGTTGATCTGCAACTGTGGCGGCTGAATGTCGGTAGACATGTAGGAGAGGTAGGGCCAATCAGCCGCCGCACCGAGGGCCAGCAGCAAGGCGCTACCAGCAGTATACCACCATCGAGCCATTGTATAAGATGTATAAGAAAAGACCGTAACAAAAGAGTGTGAAGTCAGCGTAAAAGAATGGCGATAGTGAGAAATTTTAGAAACCTATCCAGCATCCAGCAGGACCGCGGGAACTGCCTTCAACTTAAGGGTCCACGACAAGCCTTCGGCCGGGGCGGCAACTCGGAACAAAGCCATGAAGATCCTTACCGTTGAGGTGGGAGGCAAGACGGGGTGGGTAGAAAAGGCTTCACGATCCAACCAGGATGTCGGAAGAGTCTGTCGGAGCTTGGCAATATACGCAATGGCATTGCCTCGGGTTCGGAAACGTGGGATATTGCCCTTTGCCACCAGGTACCTGGTCCCTGAAATTTAGGGTTATCAACCGGCAAAGAACCATCCATTGGAGGCTCAGGAACATCATATTCGGCCCAGACTTCACTATAATTGTCTTTTCTCTCTCTATTTCTTCATCGTATGTCTCTGAGTGCCTTCGAAATGAACAATCCCATAGCCACTGACGTATAGAATGGGTCCGCCGTTAGATTGAGGCTCTTCTCCCCGTCTTTCAAAAGCCGATTCCACTTGGCAAATTTTGTCCGCGTGCGCCAAACCATACTTGGACCAATTGCGGTACAACGTGGTTGGATATTTTCTCCCAGAAGACTGTGACTCGGCCGCTTGACCCTGTGGTGGAGACCCAAAAAGCATTGCGAGTGGCTGAACCAGTGGTCAGAAAGAGTGGCGGCGAATGAGGCAAAGCCATTCAGAGTATGGTACCGAACGTGGCAACGCGTCATCTTTCTATTTCCGGACATTTGACAGCCAGCCGAGAGGACCGACCTACGCAGTTCAGGCCCAGGGTGTGGGGTGTACTTGGTTTGGTATAGGAGTTCACACGACGACAGCAATTAGACTTCTCGGGCTAGGCCATTTCTCGGAGGTTACAAACACAGACAACGGGCAGTGGTATGACATACGATAGAGCACTATAAAGAGACAGTCAATAGGGTATCAATTATTCACGCTATTAAAACCCTTCGAGAACGCAAATTCCAATGCCATAGCATATACTCTGGGCGAACACGGGAGCAAGCCACAATGAGTATCGGTTTCCAGAGCAGAACTAGAAGAGAGCTATTCCTACAATTTGCAAGTGCCAGAATTTTTGAGCGATGCTATAGTAGTTTTCAAAATCAGTTATCCCTTCATACTCTTGCTGTTTCTTTCACAGGAAATAAGGTAATGCGCTAATCTACTTTAAGACAGAGAATATGTTGCGACGAGCTCTTCAGGGGCAAAGCGGGTGCTACGCAATCATCATAAAGCTAGACTCTACTCCAGAGAATACATGAATAAGGCCTGTAGGCGTGTCCTTCGTTTGGAATATCTTGGATAAACTTGAATGGTGGGTGAGGAATTCTGGTTGCTGCCGCGTATAGGGATGGAGGGAGTATTTGACTATAACCATCAAAGGTGGAAGTCGACCTGTCCGCCGCACCGAGTGCAGAATGCAGACCGCATTTCTGACTGCTCCACGGTCTCTCTTTCCAGCAAAGTACCTACACAGCTCAGCATTCGAACACTCTAAACGGCTTGAGAAATAATATATCCGAGTCATCACTCTTCATGAGTCTCCGGATGCGGCAATCCAAGGTTTTGCGGGGATTGCCGTCTCCCTAGACTCATTGACCGCTTTTGGCGTTCGCCCCAGCTAGGTTCAAGCGCGGTTGATTCCTATGTGGAGGATCCGGCAGGGATGATGGTCTCTGCGAGCTTTGATTCGTTTGTATATCTCTCCTCCGCTGAGATGGGTCCGGGGGGATTTGGCCCCCTCCCCCTTGCACCGCTGCATCGCTCTTAGTTGCGGGAGAGGCTTGCCGTGTCTCCACGCCAGTTTCGGAGCTCCAATAATAACAGCCATGGTCAGTGTCTCCTCCCGTGTGGCTTGGTGTATCCCCGTTTAGACCAAGGATCTGAGGTGACACTGGTGTTGCATGCTACGCGACCGGGGGCCAGTTGACTGATCATCGATCTTGCCTTTTAAGTATTCTCGCTCGTCCGCTGTCTGGCCCTTCTAGTTGTTTCACAAGTACATACTGGTCCATCCAAGATCCAGATCCCTCTCTGGGGTTGAGTGTGTGACGGGTATATATCTGTACGACATTATGGGCAAGAGACTCGGGCTCTTGCGGGCCGTGTACCTGGTTTGCGCCAGCTGCATGGGCTCGTTTGCGTTTGCCTTCGATACCGGCGTGATCAGTGGGTCCATCCAGAGTAAACTTGAGTTCTAATCACTGACTTCATCCTCCTCAGGCGGTGTTCTCGCCTTAGAATCCTTTGAGGATGATTTCGGATACGCCCACGACACGGAAGCGCAGAAGACCAACATCAATTCCAATGCCGTCTCCATCCTTCAAGGCGGTGCCTTTTTCGGTTGCTTTCTCATCTCACCCATCGCGGCGAAGCTTGGTCGGCGCACTGGGCTGATCATCGCCTCTCTGGTTTTCACTGTCGGCACGATTCTCCAGGTCATTAACTCGCACACCCTCGGAACCTTCTACGCAGGACGCGTAGTGGCAGGACTGGGCATCGGAGCTGCGACGGTCTTGATCCCCATGTACGCCGCAGAGATGTCCCCAAAGGAAATCCGAGGTCGACTGGGTGCTTGTTTCCAGCTCTTCTTTGCACTGGGCGTCATGGTCGCCTACTGGGTTACTTATGCAGTTAGCAAGGACCAGACAGTGGGCAAATCTCAGTGGCAGACTGCTCTGGGGCTGCAGCTCCTTCCGTCAAGTCTGCTACTTATAGGCATGTTGACGGTCAAGGAAAGCGCGCGATGGCTAGCCAGCAAGGGCAAGATCGACAAGGCGCGCGAATCGCTCAAGTGGGTGCGCGGCGGCGAGGAAACGCCCGAGCTGCAGGCGGAATTTGACGAGATTTTGGCCGGCCTGGAGGAAGAAGCGCGCATCAAGGAGAACTTTACGCTCCGGGAAATTTTCCTTCCTGCCAACCGATACCGATTCTTTATCGCAATTACGATCCAGCTCTGCGCGCAATTGACTGGTAACACGTCTCTCGCTTACTATGCCACCCAGATATTCGGCGCCGTCGGAGCAGGCACCGCCAGCAAGCTTGTGACGGGTTTCTTTGGCCTGGTCAAGGTCGTCGGTGTCAGCATTTTCCAGCTATTTGTCCTGGATCGGGTCGGCCGTCGCGTGCCTTTCATGGTCGGCGCTTTTGCCATGGGTTCCTTTATGCTCATCGTTGCCTGTATCTTGGCCACGCACCCCACTAACGCCAACACCACACCGTCTGGCCCGACAAGCTCGGGAATTGCCTGTATCATCATGGTCTACGCCGAGGCTTTCAGCTACAATATGTCGTGGGGCCCGCTGCCATGGCTGTACAATGGCGAGATCTTCTCCAGCCGCACCCGTGAAGTCGGGCTGGCTATCGGTGCCGCGTCGCAGTGGCTGTTCAACTTTATGATGTCCCAGGTCACGCCGCATGCTATTAACAACATCCACTGGCGCATGTTTCTGATGTTCGCCATCTTTAATTATGCCATTATTGTGTACTCGTGGTTTCTCCTGAAAGAGGTATGTTTCGACCTTGGTGGTTTTTCCGTGTGCTGTACTAACCCACATCTGTACAGACGTCACAACACTCTCTCGAAGAGATGCAGGGTCTGTTTGGCGGCACGACCAGAATCGAGAAAACAGATGTGGAGCAGGACCGGGAGGATTCCAAGGAGACCCGTGAGCAGCACAATGAATATACTGAGCCGAAGGTGGAGACAACTTAACTCTTCTGTATGAAGCTTCATGACAACAAGAAGCCTGTTAGGATGGTTGACAGATTATGGATAATGCAGATATAAACTAAAATGCGTATCATTGATCAACATACATTATTCCTCTATACCGTGATCCCTTCAGATGTATTAGCGGAAAGCCTTTTCCAGCCTTGCTTGAAATCCATCATCACCCTGGTCTTCCTCTGGTAGGACTAATCCATGACCCACACGTACCCCGGACACCATACAGGGTGAAGTCTGAATAAGCTCAAGCATAAGAACTATAAATAGGTAAAGCAGAGGTCTTCTTATATGCCATAATTGTAGGGCTGTGGCCCTTGTGGTCCTAGATGAATTATTGTCGGAAAATTCCATGCTCCTGCCCTTGAACATCTGCGGGTGTGCGATTCTGTGTCCTGCGTGCCTGGGAGCTCTCAACCCGACAGACCGGTACATTTCCTTTTTACTCCCTTCTTTCTACTTACCATCCACACTCACGCACCCACCCGGTGGCCGCTTATCCTTCAACCCATGCTCTAATCCGCCTCTTTACCATGTCTACTTCTAAAGTTACCCGTCCCACCAACCCCGACGGCCTCGTCCTCGAAGCCTGGGGCCAGGGCTTGATGGTCGGCAGCCTGCTTGTCATGGCCGCGGTCACGGTGTGCAACATGAAAAAGCACATCCTGCTGCACAAGCTGATCCTTGCTGAAGTCTGTCTTCCGTCGTAGCCTTTGTCTGTTGCTACATCCACTAACTTTTATACCAATCCCAAGCTCATCCTGGCAATGCCCCACAACACTTTCATCTTCACGCACGAACCTGTTTATGGCTGGTACCTTTCAGTCACAGCCATCGGCCTCAATGTCTCCTGGGCCCTGCACAACGTGATTGCGTGGATGAAGAACCGCCCGTTCCTCTCCCGCCGCCTCTCGCTCATCTACATCATCACTGTTGTTCTTTCCTGGCCTTACTGGGTGGCGGAGATCTACGCCAATTTCACTTACTTCAACAACATCAACACCGTCTTCCTGATCACTCGACCGTGGGAGCCTCTGTTTCGGTATGGCCTTTCCATTATTCGTTATCTCCCACTCTCTTTGTATGTATGCATTCACTGATGATCTCCTATAGTGACCCGTGGTGGGTTGCCACTACTGTCTCGCTCTTCTGGACTATCAAGTGCGAGTACAACTTCGGGATCTGGGAGCTGGTCAGGGTCTCACCTCGCTTTGGAATTATGCTGCTGTCAATGTGCCTGTCTATTGCCTTTATCGTCGTCGACACCTGTAGTGTGGTGAACGTGTTCAGCAATGCACTCCCGACCGGCATTGAGCCTTTCTGGAAGGTCTGTCTTGCCATGTCTTGTTTCCTTCACCTTTTCAATATTTTCTTTCTTTCTTCCTTTTCTGTCTGCATATTCTACTTCGCTCTTTCTTCATGCTAACCACTCTCTATCTAGCTGGCTTTCCTTTTCAAGTGCCTCTGCGACACCGTCATCCTGGACGACTTCAAGACAGCGCTAGATCATATCCGCAAGTACTGGCTCCGCAAGCAGCAGTCTGCGTCCGAGGTCTTCCTCACCAGTCCCATCAGCCCATTCTCTGATCGCGTGCCTATCCCCCCACAGTTGCACACTCCACCTCGCGGAAGACGTGCACCTGCTGCCCGGGAGCATCACGACGATATCGAAGTGGACATACTCTCCCTACGCTCTCGACCGATGGAAGTCGGCATGCTCTCCCCGCACTCCCAACTGATGGAAGCTGACATATTCTCCCCGCGCCCTCGAGCGGAGAAACTCCACTCATCGCTACGGGTTACCCTGACGGAGGAGGTCTGATTCTGTCTATTCTTCTTTGGGCTGGAGGGATATTTTCCCAACTAGTACATATCCCTGGCGTTTGATCAAGGATGTTCGAATTTGTTCGGACTCGGAGGCATGGAATGGGTTGCATATGGTGTGTTTAAAAAGTGATGTTTCTAAGAAAGAGAGGAATGAATGAACCTTAATGATCTCCCAGGCCGATCCCGCCTTTCCTTTTCCCGTTTAGTACCCGTCCAGTGTTCACCCGTCGCGTGTTTTTCTCCTTTCTGGGTGAGTCTCAGCCCTTTTGACTTTCTTCCTTCGTTGCCACTCTCACCAGATTGCCTAGAAGTCACTGCCACCCGAGCAGCCTGGTCCATTTACTGGCTGGGTCTGAGCAAACTCACCTGAAAATCGTCAGCTGGTTAGCTAGCCTAGCGCCCGTACTATTCTTTCTCCTCTCAACGCTCCCATATCCGATCGATCCTTATGAATTTGAAACTGCCAACGCTATCCTGTAACTGCCGTTGGCAAGTAAATACGCTTTATTTTGCCTAGCCTAGATCTCGATACACGTGCGAGTTACCAAGTCCCGAGATCTGGGGATTAGGGGGCCACAGGTTTGGCACTCGATCTAGTAAATAGTGGACCAGGGTCGCAGATCACCTGGAAGGGGGAAAAGCGAAGCGAGGTTGGATTATGATGCTTTATGGTGCCTTCGATAATCGGAAAACCAAGGCGGTTAGGATGGCCGATAAGGCCCTCGTTCTAGCGTATGCACCTCCCGCCCGAACTAGTACTAAATGGTGGAGCTCCGCTTTCTTTGTTGTAACTCGACCAGGCAGGCTTCGTCCCTTCGGTTTTCCAGGGATGGCTAATACTCTAATTCAAACAGGGCTAATGATTGAGAGCTTCCACGGTCTTCCTGGTACATACAACCTCGGGATGAATGCGATCGCCACGGAGATCAGCGTCTGTGTTACGGAGCGCCCCAATAATTAATACATATGAGATATGCAGCGCTCAGAGTCGCGTCGGCTAGCTAATTATTTCAAGGAGCTAGCTAGGTATGTAGTAAGATGGCGAGCCCCTGAACCAATCAAGGGTGACCCTTCGCTTGGTCATTGAGGAGAGAACAAAGAAAGTTGTCTACATGAATGCATTTCCGGCGTCCACCACTTCGAACACAGCGCAGGAAGGAAGTTTCCAGAACACGTTCATCGCCAGAACATGCTGGCGTGGATGATGATGGATCGTTCTTTCTTTCTGTATTGAGCTAGCTTCATGTGAAAGCCCTTGATTGGGCCTGGCATGCTCGAAGCTCCCTCGGTGCGATCCGTGCACTGTTGATCGCGGGAGGTATGGGGTTGTATTCCACGGCTCATTTCATGAATTTGCCTTAAATACCGCCAGTCGGCGCAAACATTCATCACCTGCACCTCACTTTAATCATACAGTGGGTGACCTGCTCCAGCATGGCTTCTCTCTCCCTGTACCAGCTGCTGCTGGTTCTCTGCGCGGCTCTCACACATGCCATCAATCTCTGTCCCCTCCTGGGACCCAGCTGGCCTGCTGCCACGGGTCTCGCAAATGATCCCACCGTCAAAGCTGCGTTGCAGAGCATCACGACTACCATCCAGAATGCCATCACGGCCGGGAACTTTTCTGGAGATTCTCTGTCCCTACAGATCTTTGACACCAGTAGTTCTGAACCGTTGCTCTCGCTCTCATACACGGCAACTGATATCAACACAACCATTGGCGTGAACAAGGTGGACGAGAATACCGTCTTCCGCATTGGCAGCACTTCCAAGCTGTTCACCATGCTCATGCTCCTGATTGAAGACGGGTTCGGTTCTCTGAATGATCCCGTTTCGAAGTACATTCCTGAAATTAAGGCCGCTGTTATTGACATGAAGCGGAATTCCACGAAAGAAAATGACGGGATCGACTTTGTCAAGTGGAATGAGGTGACGGTAGGAGAGTTGGCGAGTCATTTGGCGGGTATCCCGAGAGACTGTAAGCTTTGCCTTTTCCCCTTTTCATGAAGGGATAACTAACAATTCTCAGATGGCCTCCTTGATCTCACCGAACAGGCTTCTACGCTCGAGGCCCTAGGGTTTCCCGTTCTGCCCTCGGCACAGGTTCCGCCCTGCGGCATACCGAATGTCTGCAGCAGAAAGCGTATGTTATATGAGTTACTTCCTTTCGACTCTCATTGACCGTGACAATAGAGTTCTTCAATGGGTTGCTCCAGGGTCATCCCATCTTCCCCACATCCACGACACCAATCTACTCCAATGCTGCCTTCCAGGTCATAGGATATGTCGTGGAGGCGCTTTCCGGTGAAATGTTCCAGACGGTCTTGATGGAAGATATTATCAAGCCACTGAAGTTGACTAACACCTTCTACTCCACGCCCAGCACCAAGCTTGGTGTTATCCCTAATACACAGGGCGATTATTATTGGAATTTCGCCATGGGCGACGAAACACCGTGAGTGACTCTCCCATCGGTTCCTCAACCGATTCGATCCCGTGATTGAAGATTAACACCTGTTTCCAGTGCCGGCGGCATTTACTCGTCCGCAAAGGACATGGCCACCTTTGGCCGTGCCCTTCTCAGCAGTAGTCTGCTGCCCGCGGCAACCACCAGACGATGGATGAGGCCTCTCACCCACACCTCATCACTTGACTACGCCGTCGGAGCGCCCTGGGAGATCCTATCATTTGGCAACGAGCGCCCGATTGACCTGTACACTAAATCCGGCGATATTGGGACCTACTCCTCTGTGCTAGCTCTAGACCCAGACCACGGTGTCGGCTTCACAGTTCTTGGCGCAGGCGCCAACACGCACGAGTCTCTCGCGCTAGCCGCAGATCTCATTTCCGCTAGCCTGCTCCCAGCCCTAGACGTAGCCGCCAAGAACCAGGCCAACTCTCACTTTGCTGGAACATACGCCCTGTCTACCCTCAACTCCTCTATCACGATCACCACAGATGATGGACCGGGCCTCGTCGTCTCGAGCTGGGTCAACAATGGAACGAACATGCTCAACAGCTACATGGCCCTGAACGGGATCACAGATCCCTCGCAGCTCAGCATCCGCCTGTATCCAACTAGTCTCGAGAGTCCGGGTCAGCTTTCTTTCCGAGCTGTTATTCCGCCGCAGCTGGGGGCTGGCATTGGGCCATTTACCTCCTCTTGCATTACCTGGGTGACCGTTGACGGCGCGGTGTACGGTAATGTGGGCCTCGATGAGTTCCTCTTCAAGGTGGATAAGAATGGCAATGCGGTTAGCATTTCGCCGAGGGCGTTGCGGACTTCTTATCCAAAGACTAGTTGACTAGCTAGCAGTTTGTACCCGCAGATGGTACAGGGCCTTTTATCATGAACTACACGATGCAATTTCTTAGTCCTTGACCGTCTCCCTTTGGCATTTTTATTATTGCCAGGACATCGCCATTGGCAGAAAAAAAAATATAAAAAAATATAAAAAAAAGTTGACAATGCGGTGCTGCAAATGGTATATATGATATGCTGCGAACAAAGAATTACGGATGAGCTATTTCAATTGTCTTCGTACTATCTTAACATAGCCTTACCGGTTTCCGTCGAAGTAAATCAGAATTGCTTAAATAAAACCTGAGTACCGCCCAGGCGAACAGGACTACAGAGGCAATGCAGCGAAACTAGCCCGAAGGTATCAACTAGGACTACAGCTGCCGTGAAAATGATTAAGAGAGATAGTCATCTGGAAAAGACCATCTAACAATCTCAAATTGGCTTTATTAACAATAATAAAAAAACCCACTTAGATCTGTTCTAGCTTCACCTCCTAGTTATTTGACTGCTGATGCTGCTGCTGCTGCTGCTGCTCCTCGGTCTTCTGCTTGTTCAACATGTACAGCAATGGCCCCTGTACATCTTCCCTCTCCATGAGCACCTCCACAATCCGAACACCCTGCCCACTACGCACCCGATCATTCTTCAGAACCTCCTGCAGCTCCGCACACGTCTTTACAGTAAAGGTGTTATTCGAGACTAGGTCGTTATCGGCACCGAAGTAGTTTAGTGCTTGCGTATGCCGCCAGAAAGGCACATCGTTGTAGGGCTGCTTCCGTCCGTGGATCACACGCTCGATGGTGTACCCCTCATTATTAATGATGAAGATCAGGATGTTAAGCTTTTCCTTGATCATGACGCTGATCTCCTGCGCCGTCATCTGCAAACTGCCATCTCCGATGATGAGCACGGTCTGATTGTTTCTGCCACTGGCCTGGTTTTCTTCTCTCTTTGCCAGGGCAGCGCCCAATGTAGCGGGAAGCATGAAGCCGATAGAGAGCCAGGTGACTGCGCCAAAAAGGCGGGCTTTCGGAGGGAGCTTGAATGAGCGGCCGCCATAGGCAGCCGTCCCTGTCTCAGTGAGGATGATGTCGCCCTCGCGAAAGATCGGGTTTACAAGGCGGTAGAAGTTCTTTTGAGCAATTATGTCGGTACCCTTGATATCAGAGGTAGTGACCTCTGGCTTGGCTGGTCCAGTTGCTTTGACTAGGCGGTTGGTGTCGAGAGACTGAAGTAGCTGTGTCAGGACGCTACTGGGAGACATATCACGGTAGACATCGTCCTTGATCTGGATGGTGCTATGCTTGAATGTAATTGCCGCCACGGCTTTAGGGATAGTAGCACCGGAATAGCTGTTTGTATCGCTGTAGTGTGGTCCAAATGTAAGAATCAAGTCCGCAGACTCGAAGTATTCCTTGGACAGCTGGTCCCCGAATCCTGCAGCGTACAATCCGTATACGTTTGGGTGGGACTCGTTGACGAGACCTTTGCCGTAAACAGATGTCCAAGTTGGCCATTTTGTAGATGTGATGAGGGTATCCAGCTGTTCCAAGATCCTGAGAGCTCTGCTTTCGCCATCTACAAAGATGGCTGGCCTTTTTGCACTGTACATTCGCTCCAAGATGCGGGTTAAAACATTAGATTCAAGGACTGGGCCGGGGCCTGTCGGTACCCGGATAGGAGACTGAAGATTTGCTGCCAGTACAAGCACATCGGGCATATCATCAGGCAGCTCAATGTAGACTGGACGGGTATGAATGAGTGCTTGCTGCAGGATCCAATCGATCTTGTCCGGCGCGGACAGCGAATCTGATAGGGATACCTGGGCGGCAGTGATGTGCTTTGCCATAGCAGAGAAGCGGCCATACTCGGCGTCACAGAAAGTATGGTGTATTAATGCGCGCGAGCTCTGCAGCGGCCGCGGCGGGGTCCCGACGACGTGAACAAGGGCCGACCTCTCGGCATAAGCTCCGGCAATGCCGTTGGCTGCGGACAGCTCACCGACACCGAATGTCGTGATCAGCGCAGACAGGCCATTGACACGGGAGTATCCATCAGACGCATAGGCGGCGTTGAGCTCGTTGCAATTGCCCACCCAGTGCAGCCCCCCAGGCACGACAAAGTCCAGCAAACGGAGGTTATAGTCTCCCGGAACGCCAAAGACAGTGTTGACACCCAGCTGGCGTAGGCGGGTGAACAGGTAATCAGCCAACTTGATGTTTTCCGGGGCCATTGTGAGATATCAATGTCAATGGTGATGCTCGATTTGAAGTTGTTGGAGAAGGCGGATCCAGGCTCGCGCAGCTTTATAGGAACACCTTCCCGGCTTTCGGGTTTCGGCGTTTAGCAATTATACACAAGAGAAAATCTGTAACCGATCACTTGACATCGACTATCGGGATGCAAGCAGGGTTCTCATCGCGGAAGAGTTTAAATTATCGAAGGTGTAACTTACACAATTTATTCGATATTAGGGCTTTCTAGGAAGGAAAGTTCCGCGCCCCCTTCTCTAGAACCTATTGTCAGTGATTCCTTATCCTACGAGACAATATTAAGTAGGCCAAATATGGTTAATTAACCTGATTACGATAACTAAAGATATCCGGAGTGGTCCATTATTAAATTTATGAAGTTGGTCGTAAGAACCAATGCACTTCGGTCTGCATTATGACGATGCATAATGGAGTAGAGCGAGGCGGGTGATCGTTTAAAAAATTCTGCACTTTCCGTAGCGGCGTTCTCTGTTGTTTGGTGGCCAAACAATGTCGTATTTACTAGTGCCCTCGCATTACTCCACCTTTAGACATGTTCGTATGTAGCCTTGGAGGAAGTCCAGCCCCTGCTTGAGAACCAAGACTGGCGTCGATGACATTTTCTCTCGGCTAAAACGGGGGTAAAGTTTTGAACCGTGGGTTCGCTATCGTATGGTCAGAATGAATGTGTACGTTCGCGAGCATGGACCGTTCCATGGTTTGAAAGAACGTCACTAACATCGTCAATCTGCTAGAGGTCAAGTTGTCTTCGAAAGAGCTGTCTGGCCCCTCATCCTATGGATACCTGGTCACCGGCTAATCGTCCGTAAAGTAAATAGGTTAAAAATTATCCTGCACAAAAAGGGCTGTGGCGGCACAACAAATGCGGCTGGATGTGATGCCATTATTGCCGGGAAATTCCAGGAATTAGAATATCTACTTCAGGTTGGCAGAGATACAATTAGTGCTTCCACGACCGTCTATGTTTGACAATTTGGAACTTAGCCATGCGGCTTTATCGTCTATTGTTTTGTTCATGGACATGCCCCAACTAATTCAACGATAGGCCCTCCCTAACTTTCTTGTCCTCCTCAAATTCCTTCCTAATCCTCCCCGCAACGTCATCATCGGACAAGACGTTCCATCCTGCGATGGCCATCCCCTTGGCAGTAATGATGGCTAGCTCGTGTGCTTTACTTGTTGCAGCTGCGCCAGTGAAACTCGGGGTATGGTTAAATGCGCCTGGATCTGCCGGGATAGCGAAGCCGCCGTGGAAACCGGGGCAAATGTAGGTTACATTACCTGCAGAATAATATTCAGTTAGCATTGGTAGCTGCTCTCCAATATCGCAGAATGTGGTATGTATGAGATGGGCCAGAAATGTATGATCTCCAAATCTTTCAGCCACGCCAACCGTATTAACTTACCCATATCAGTCGAGCCAGAATTTATGACCCCAGTGTCGTAAATAACGGGAGAGCCGAGTGCATCCATAGCAGATGCGTAATTCGAGCAGAGAGTCTTGTTTGGTCTCAGATCCGCATACTTGTTGATACTGCAGTAGATCGACGAAAGTTAGCTTTCTCTGGTTCGGTACCGATGATCAACTTCGCAAAGCCGAAGGGCTTGTGGTTTCAACTAACATTTCATATTCGACCGAACAACCCGTTGCTGTTGCGGCCCCGTCAAAGCATTTTACAACTCTATCCTTCAGAGCCTCCGCTTCGTTCAAAGTTGTACTTCGACAATAGTAGTCCACTGATGCACTGGCCGGGATGATATTCGGTTTCAAACCACCCTCGGTGATCACACCATGGACCCTCTCATACGTCTGCATCTGCTGTCTCAGCATTGACACGCCGTTATACGCTAAGCAGACCGCATCGAGGGCGTTGACGCCTTGCCACGGCGCCGTTGCCGCGTGAGCTGGCTTTCCAATAAAGTGGGCTCTAAATTTGACATTTGCAGTGGACCTGCAATATGCAACGCCTGTTACCCCATCTGGAAATCTTTTGTGTGCTGCAGGATGGACCATTAGACACGCATCGACATCTTCATATGCTCCAGCTTCGATGATGTGGAGTTTTCCACCACCCTCTTCCTCTGCCGGGGTACCAATGATCCTAACTCGACCAGGCAGCTTTAATTCCTTCAAGACAGCAGCCAGTCCAATGAAGGCGCCAATTGATGATGTGGCAATGAGATTGTGACCGCATGCATGGCCAATTTGCGGGAGGGCATCATATTCGGCGTTGAAGGCCACAACGCGGCCGCCACTTCCATATTCTGCGACAAAGGAAGTCTTGAGGCCATAAGCATGTTTTGTTACGGTGAACCCAATATCCTGGAGCATAGCAGTGATGTTGTCATGTGCCATAAACTCATTGAAGGCCAGTTCTGGGTTGCTGTGTATCTGCCCATGAAAATCAGTGACAACCGCCACGGCCACAAGAGACTACACTGGAAAGAGATACAATACCTTTGCATTTATCTCCTGCAAATCCTTGTTGTGCGCATCAATAGCCTGCACGATGATATTCAGCGAGGCTGATGTCCACGGAGCCGAGTTTGGATGATGAAAAGTCACATCCCTTTTAACTTGAGTCATCTTGGTGCAGATATATCGATGTTGGTTATCAGTCAGGACGAGGTTATGTATTTCGCTGAGATAATGGAAAACTCCCGATGATAATAGCGGCTATAAAATGATTTCTCAGAGACGCAAAAACAATTCAAGCTGAATATTCGCTTAAATAGACTAACTGCCTGCGATAGGTTTAGTAGCAGTCAACCTAGATGTACAATTGAGTGTTACTACATCAAAAAGCCTATTGCCAATTCCCGATTGAACTCACGGATCGAGGATCAGCAGACATGTTAGGGCCGACCGAGATTAGCGGAGGCCTTGCATCTGATTTCGGTTTTCGGCGTTTAGCAATTACGCCCACCCGCCAGGCTTTGTGAAACTGATCGCCTAACACCGATTTCCGCGTCCACCGCGAGGTGATACTGGAACTTGATGGGGACGAGACTTTAATTTATCTGAAAAGTGCGTCATTCTTTACGCAATTCTTAGCTCACTGATACCATTCTAGGAAGTGATAAAACTCGTCCGCCTCTTCTACGCCATTATTATTGGCTAGCGAGTCATGAGATATGTATTTTTTCGAGTTGTTGTCTCAGGGATAGTTGCTATGGTCTCTACCAACGGTCCCGGATTCCTCGTTTGCACTTGCCTGTTCTTAGGTTCACGACCTAGTCATGAGAAGTTCTCCGAAAATGACGACTGTGAATATACACGCCACCGATACCAGCATCGGCTTATGTAGATCTTTTGTTTTGTAGAACCCAGGGGCGAGATTTTGGCACCCAATCCCCCCTTGGAAGTCATATAAAATTAATGGATACCTATTGATCATGAATCTTCTGTCTCGCAACTATACCTTTATTCTCTAGGCATCATCGGATCAAAGAGTTTAATTTCCAATTATGGCAGAGACCAAAGCAGTTGATTCACAGGATGATTTTGTAGAAGGCCCTGTAGTGTGCCCTTCTCATGACGACGCTCGAAGTGAACATGTTCGGCTGTGGTATTCGGTGCGGAGATGGCACAAACTCGTTGGATATTGCGTCGCCCTCAGTTCTGCTATACTGCTTTATGGTTACGACTTCGTTATCATCGGAACAGTGTCTGCAATGCCGGCGTTCAAGTAAGTATTTCTTTTTGTAATGTTTTGCTTGTTCAGAGAGAAGCAAAAGCTTACCAGTTAGACACAACTTTGGCCGCGAGCTCAACCACTCCTATATCATTCCCACGGCCTGGCTTTCGCTCTGGAGTGCTGTTGGCCCTATAGGTATGATGGCTGGATCTATCACTGTTGGACATCTCCAGGATCGCCGCGGCCGTCGTGCATCGCTTGCTTTGGGCAGCATGCTCTCGGCAGTCGCCATCGCTCTGTGCTATGTATCCGATCTTCCCGAGTCGATAGATTCGAGGAGGGGTGTGTTCTTGACTGGCAAATTATTTCAAGGCTTTGCGACAGGGATGATGCTCTGTGTCACGCAGACATACATGTCCGAGGTGTTACCTACAATTTTGCGTGGTCCCATCATCGCTTGCTTCCCCATCTTTACTCTCCTGGGCCAGCTCCTCGGCGCTGTTGTCGTCCATGTCTGTCTTAAATCCAAATCAGCGGAGTCATACCGGATCTGCTTTGCCTCTCAGTGGGTTCTTTCCGCTTTGCCGTTAGTGGTCGCGGCGTTTTTGCCGGAAAGTCCTGCCTGGCTAAAGCGCAGGAACAAAAACGATAAAGCGCTCAATTCTGAACAGCGGCTCGGGATCGCTGAATTTGATACACGCGTCATAGTAGAGGACCTGCGAGCCTTCAGTGTCTTCAGAGAGCAGACACGCAATTCCAATAGTCCTAGTTACGTGGACTGTTTCAAAGGGACTCATCGACGACGAACATTCATCATAGCGTTCGCCAGTATCCTGCCACAGCTATTTGGGCTTACCCTGCTCGCGAATGCTAGCTACTTTCTTGAGATAGTGGGTATGGATGCAAACAATAGCACTGTTTTCTTGATTCTAGGCATTGCCCTAGGACTTATCTCAAATACAGTCAGCCTGTGGACTCTAAATTCCGTTGGCAGAAGGATACTAACGCTGACGACACTGGGTATCGCCGCAATATTATGGCTGTCTATGGGCATTGCAGGATGCTTCTCTGGGGTCGTGATAACCTGGTACGTTTTCACAGCAAGAAGAAATGAAAAATAACGCGGAAAAAAATATTGACATAATCCTAGGTATACCGCAGTCTCAATGATGGCGATCATTGTGGTCTGTGGTGTTGGCGTTTGGCCAGCGTCTCATGTTATCGCAGCGGAGACTTCATCGCTACATCTGCGCGCCAAAGCTCAAGGTATTGGCTGGTTTTCTTTCGCCTTGACCTCGGTGATCTTCTCGCTCGTTCTACCGTACATCTACAATGCGGATCAGGGCAATCTTAGTGCCAAAACAGGCTTTGTGATGGCCGGGTTCACTGTCATGGGTTTCATCGGCGCATATATCACAATACCTGAAACCAAAGGGCGAACTCCAATGCAGATTGATCGCATGTTTGATCTTGAATTGCCCGCCGGAGAATTTAAATACTGGCAGAGCGGTATAGCTTCGGACCCGCATATGAACGAGCGAATGACGGCACTACATCACTAATTATCTTCAGCGATCTGGGGTAATCGAAGCGTTTATCATACTGCTACTGGTGACCATGAAGGATTTGGTGCTCGCAGTGGGAACCGAGCCGTTGGTGTTGGAGAGGTTCCCTACTTTGATCCTGAGAGGGAGTCCCGACGGGAAGATCTGGGTATTGTGGATGATCTTGCGCCTTGCCATCTGTAGTAGACCTCCTAACTGTCTGGTCTTGTTCTTTAAATTAGCTCGATTTGTATCAGAGTGTATCCATGATCTGTTAGTGCAAATTACCAGGTTGAGATTTTTATTTATTTCATATTAATCGTGGCCTTTACACACTCCCAGCATTCCCAGGTCTGCCACAGAAACCATTTCGACCCGCTCACTGAGCAAAGGCGTGAGCAAACCTGAGCACAGAGAATATCCACTACGTATGTTGGTTCCAAAGCATCATGTTCAAATTTTACTACACCTGCATACATACTGGAAGGTAAGAAATGTATGGTTCATGACAATTTACACAGTTCGGTCAATATTGCTGCTCAAATCCGTCTAACATGGGTAAATCATCGCCAACCCATAAATTATCGGCGAAAATACCATCAAAGGGATGCCTAATATCCGCATTGCCCCAAGGCAGACTGTTCTGTAAATTGATTGGAAGATCTTGAAGATCCTGAAAGAGATCGGGAACGGGAAAGTCGAAAGACTCAGGACCTACGCCGCAGGCGTTATTGGGCTGCTGGAGAGGTTGCATATGAGACTCGAGACTCTGTGTGGCTTCTGGTGGAGTGGCCACCTGCAATGGCTGCCCGAGTCCAATAGGGTTCTGTGTAATACTGCCGCCTAGGTTTAATTGCTGCGCTTCAGATGCTCTTTGAACAAAATCTACCGCTCGGTTAATGATTGTTTCGAGCCCGTCGCGGTAACGCTTTAATCTTTGGTTCCGCTCAGCCATTGAAAACAATGCCGAGGAACAGGCACGGAGATCATTTGACACATTTGGAGTCCAAAGGCCGGGAGATCGAAATACGCAAAAGCTGCTTTCGAGTTTAATCAGTGTATCTAATGACCAGAAATAGTCCACTTACCACATCGTGAGACCGGCCATGAAGACTGAATTGACGAGTAGAAACGAGTAGCCGCAAGAGTCTCTTTGTCGCATCTTCTTGAAAATCTGACACATCTGTCCCGAGGAAAAGAGGCAATCGCTCATAAGTTTGTCTTGAGGATGCAGGATACCCAAGAAGGGTTGTAGGAGTATGCGGATAGAGTTGTGCCAGTGCATATGCACAAAATCTCCCTCTTGTACGTCAAGGCATAGCAAAGTCTCTTTGTACTCCAGCAAAGAAGACAGGAGAGGAGCGATGTCCGGAAGTAAAGTGGAGATATGCTTGTCGACGCGGTAGATGCGTGTATGTATTCGAGACACTATTCGTTGCAGTTGAATCAAGGCTATGAATCTTCCAAGTCTTGCCGTCTGTGGTATTCCTCGACTGCTTGAAGGATAATTGAACATCCTATTAATCATATCATCACTGTCCATCGAATCCTCTAAATTTGACGGAGGTGCAGCATCAATTTCCTCTTCAGCAATACTAAAAGGTCTTCCCGATGATGAGGCCGTGTATCTCTCCATGAGATAAACGCTCCAAAAAAGCCGGCGTCGCAACTCCGCTTCATGAGGGCCGATTCTTCGATAACAAGCCTCTCTGTGTAATCCAAAGTCCACGCAGGTTCTCATTGCCAGTCCAATCATATACCAGACACTCGAGTTTGAGTTCGACCGAAGGTTGTATAGAGCAAGCAGAAGCGTTGCCTCTATGCTTCCAACCGAAATAGATTCCCTGAGGGTCGGATCGAACTGTAGTGCGGCGATCAGAAATGCATTAGGAGTTGTCGAGTCATACATTTCTGTCATTTGACATATTGCAGCTCCGATTGCATAGACCATGTATAATTTGAATCGAACAAACTGCGCTTCTAGGGTAGCTTCAGGGGGCTGGTGTCTTCTGGCGTGCGATTGATAAATCTCGATTTGATCCAAAAATGGGAGTCGCACGTGCATGTTTTTGAAATACGCATCGAGAATTTGAGATCCTACTGTGTCATCGGGAGGATCAGCTTTGGTTTCGTTGGTGTTTGGTAATATCGCTTCGGGCTGCTGATTGCACCCATTGATGGGCAACAATTTCATTCCGACCGTGTCGTGAACTATTCGACTGATATTCTCCGCCACTGAGAGACCGGAGGATGGCCCGAGGTAAGTTGGTTCTTGGCTATCTTCATGGCACAAGGTCAAAAAGCGGACTCCGTCGCCTAAATGACGCTTCTTCATGCCTGGAGGACGCAGCGAGGTATTTCCGGACACCCCTGCGGTCTCTTGAGGGCCTTCTACGGCATCGGGTGCATTTCCCTCTATCGCTGCAGCCAGCCGAGCTTCCAAGTCTTCAATTCGATGTGCTAGCGCCCCTTTAGACATGGCATGGTGCCATGAAGGGACGCTCACGGACCGCGAGCAATGTTGCTTAGAGGATTCGCAGTTGGAGCAAATGGGGAACCCAACGCATTTTTGTTTGCGGCGGTAACAGCGGCCGCAGGATTTTGGAATGCGCTTCCTAATTCTTGACTCTGGTTCCATCAGGTCGATGCGGAAAAGCCTGAGATGATGTTGAGATGGCAGAAAACCTTCATTATGCCTCCCGCGAGAGCACAGGTTTTGAACGGGAAGTGTGGTAAACAGCGGGAGATAAACGTTGGAGGATTAAAAAAGTGGGTGGGCGGTGAGGGTAAAGGTGTGTCAAGTTGAATTCGGAAAGTTCCGATTTACACTAGCAAAGCCCTTCACAAATCGTGCAGAAGATTGTTCGCAAAATGGCTTCCTACTAAGGTAACCAGGCAACTGATGGCGGGGCAAAAATGGCGGGGAAAAAGGGGAAACCGACGTAAACCCTCGACCACCACATAGTCCTCGGTATTTTTAGTTGTTAGGGCCCGATAGGTAAATCCTCAATAGCTGGTGACAGTGATTACCTGGGAAGAATTTATCTGTCCTCTGACCATCTATCCCGAGTTTACTTCCTTAATTGTCGTTGGATCGACCACCCCGTACATCAAGAGACACCAGATTCTTCAGGACATTATCTCAATCACGGAAATACTCGCAGATATGGAACCAACATCAACAAAATCATTGCTCTACAATACGTCAGCAGACGGGAAAGTTGCCTATATCACTCTAAATCGGCCAAAGCAACACAACGCCATTGACCAGCACATGCCCCTCGAGATACGCGCAGCAGTCCGAAACGCCAACGCGAATCCCAATGTTCACTGCATTGTACTCAAGGGTAACGGTCGTGGCTTCTGCGGGGGCTATGACCTCGACATTTACGCCGCTAGCGCTCAGCGTGGGGAGACAGCGGGCAGCCAGGACCTCAGCAAAGGCTATGAACCGTTCCAAGATTATATAGCGATGAAAGAGTGCACGGATTGCTATTCTGAATTGTTTCACAGCTACAAACCGACAATTGCGCAAGTCCATGGAGCAGCAGTCGCGGGAGGAAGTGACATTGCCTTGTGCTGCGATCTTGTTGTCATGGCGGAAGACGCGAGGATCGGCTACCCTCCAAGCAGAGTGTGGGGGTGCCCAACGACTGCAATGTGGGCTTATCGTATTGGAGCGGAAAAGGCCAAAAGGATGCTCTTCACGGGTGATCTCATTAGTGGCTCCGAGGCTGCGGCCATGGGTCTTGTTCTCAAAGCCGTGCCACACGCACAACTAGAGGAGACGGTCAATCTTCTCACAGAGAGGATCAAGAGCGTCCCCGTCAATCAGCTGTGGATGCAAAAGCAAGTTATCAACAGCACAATTGAGGGTGCTGTTGGCTCGAGTCAAAGGCTAGCGACTATCTTTGACGGCATCACGAGAAACTCGCCCGAGGGTGTCAATTTTCAGCAGCTTGCCCAGCGCGAGGGGTTTAAAGCGGCAGTATCAGCCAGGGACAAAGGGGGAAGAACTGAGGAATACAGAAAGAAGTGGAAGAGTGTACTATAGCCTAGCAGAGAACGAGGGAGAAAGATGTCCGTTATAACACATGCCATGACCGCTCTTCTTGCACGGATATTCCATCAGGCAAGACCACCAGTAAATACCTAGTAGCACACGACCTACCGATCGGCCTGACCACGAAAGGAGGTAAAAGGCAGTCAAGCCTCGACCTGCAGCTGTTGGAGATTTGGGTGGCCTAACAATGTATCGCTGCTTATGCTCAGCCACCATGAGCGCGAAAACACGCCTTATGTTCATCATGCTCTCCGGGAGACCGGTTGTCCACAAGTAGCGAATGCCTTTTTGAAACGGCGACTACCAGGTTTAGCATTGCAAACCATCGTTACCCGGGTCCCACAATCGGTTTCGACTAGAATGACCGTACTGGCATAAAAATATCATGTGATAGTTATCGCCGGCAAGCCCGACTTGAGGGTGGATAAACTGTAAACATTCGTGGGGCTGAAATTTGTCATAATACTTATGTTTTAATTGTCAAAAACAAGCGGGGCTGAGTTATTTGAGCACGACAACCAATTATGGGCTAGAATGGACAGAGCCATGTGCTCATCCTCGGATTCTAGCTCATTAATGGCCACTCAATCCTTTAGCCCGCCCATTTCCCCTCTCAAGATCATTTAACGACTGCAGTTTATTCACGAAACGGTCGTTACGCTCCAGTAGTCTGCCACCACCCTCAAATACTTGGCCTTGATCAACGTCAGACTCCAACTCGAAGCCCTAAACAAACCGGTGCACCATGCCAACGACTAAGAAAATATCCGCTCAAGAATTCAAAACATGGCTCGATGGCGCGTTTATCGGTAGCCCCGCTGACGCACGCTCTCACTGCGAGCAAACAATGAGCCCGAACTACCTTCGTTTCCAAGCTGGCGGCGACAGAACGGACTTCGAGCGCGCTGTGGAGAAAGTCGCATTTTTTCGGGCGAACAGCAGAAAGTGGGAGAGTAGAGTGCATTTCTTCTCGCAGGATGATAATAAGATTGCTGCGCGGCTGATTTGCAATATTGCCATTGGGGATCAGCCAGAACAGTGTATCGAGTTGATGTTTATGGCAGAACTCGATGATGAGGGTCGGTTCGAGTTGGTTTGGGAACAGTCTGCTGAGTATTCAGGAGCGAATAAGGAGAGAGATAGGACCTAAGTCTGTAGGACAATGCCCGCTTGAAATCTAAATTGCTCTTCCATTCAAAGGGCTACTTTAACTCCCTAATCTCCAGCAATACATTTTGCTGTACAAGCTTAATATACTACGTAATGGAGCTCTAGTGGAGTGCATGATCTGCGCCCACTTACCCCACACGGAGAAATAGCTCGGAGAATCTGGCAACAGTCCAATCGTGGTTTGTAGACATTGATCACCAGATACACATCCCACGCGCCCCTCACGATCTGACTGCAATCTAGACTGGCTGGTCAGTAAACCTTGGAATATAAATAATCCCTCTTTAACCACCCCTACCCTGCTAGACATCATCTCAAACAGGAAACAATTCAATCTTTGATATCACAACTACAAATACAAAAATGGGTACCACCGGCATTCCCAAAACGCAAACCGTCGCTCTTGTTCGCGACCTAGGCGGGACGGTTGAGTTTAAGTCTGACTATCCCGTTCCCACGCCGGGAACAAATGAAGTCCTAGCCAAAGTACTATACACCGGAGTTTGCCAGAGCGGTTCGTTCCTCCGTCCACCCTCTCCATCCAAGCCAACGACCAGATCAATGCCTCACACGCACACACACAATATATACTAACATATATAAATAAAAATAAAAAGATCTCCACACCAAAGCCGGCACAGCCGCCGGACCCGACGGCAAGCCAATAACAAAAATCAAGCTCCCGCACGTCGGCGGCCACGAAGGAATAGGACAAATCGTCGCGCTAGGCCCAGATATCACACATAGCCACGGGCTGAAAGTCGGAGGACTAGTGGGGATCCGGTTTTCTAGTCGCATCTGTCGGCGGTGCGAGTTTTGTCTTGCTGGTACGGAGCAGTACTGCATTAAGAGTACCAACCATCTCCACCATGAGGATGGTAGCTTTCAGCAGTATATTGCGCTCGATGCGGATTATTTGACGGTTCTTCCGGATGATGTGGATCCGAAGGTTATGGGGCCGGTGCTTTGTGCAGGGTTGACGGCGTATAAAGTATGTTTTTCTTATCGTCTGACCTTGAGGAGAAGGTGAAAGGAAGCTTATGATGGAATATAGGCGGTTTTGAATACCAATGTTCGTCCGGGAAACTGGTTGGTTGTTGTGGGTGCCGGAGGTGGTCTTGGTCATTTGGCAGGTATGTGTTTCCTATTTCTCTGATGGCACAAAGTGTATGATTCATGCGACTGACATATACACAGTTCAATATGCAAAGGCACAGGGCGCATTGGTCATCGGCGTGGACACCGGTCCCGGAAAACGAGACTTCGTCCTTGGCATGGGCGCCCAGGAATTTATCGACTTTGCAACCGAGGATCCGATCCAAAAGGTACATGCCATCACAGGACTAGGCGCACACGCCGTGGTTGTGACGGCGGGTAATGCAAAGGCCTTTGCACATGCATGTGAGATGCTGCGGGTCGGAGGTACATTGAGCTGCGTGGGTATTCCCCCCGGAAGCCCGTGCCTCGAGACGCCTATCTGCACAATCGTCATCAAGGGCCTGAGGATCACTGGGAATCTTGTGGGTTCCTTGAAGGAATGCATGGAGGCAGTCGACTTGGTGCGTCGGGGTGTGGTCAAGCCGGTTATCAAAGTCAGACCATTCAAAGATTTACCACAGGTTTATGAGGAGATGGAGAAGGGTGATATTGCTGGTAGGATTGTGCTCCAGGTTGCCGAGTGATGTGAGGTGTCATAGGATAGGTTGTAACTGCCAGCTCGAGTCATTTTCTGTCAATACACATTGTTCGGCAAGATCACCACATGGTGAATTCTGAGCTTCTCCGTTATTCTGTACGCTGTGAGACTCGGCTGCGTGCGGTATACACCACCTCAGATTGATCACTGTATCGCAGAGCCCAACAGATAATAAACGAGCCGGGGCCATGACAAGAGCTTCGGCGGTCTTGTTACGGAGAATAGAGTTTAGCACAGAGTCCTGCTCCAGAAAAGGTAGAAGTTTCTGGTACAATGCATGCAAGAAATCCTGTGGTCCCAACTCGAATCCACTATAAAGCCCACTGGTGGAAGTGCACAGAACAGTATCTGCAAGGGAATTTGCAACTTCGAAGCATTTAAGTAACTACATGGGGAGTGTTAGCCGAGAGCACAAGGGCAAAGTAGGCAAGAAACCTTACCTGGTCTCTTCCTAGAGGGAGCAAATCTGCTTCAGAGAACCATCGCAATGACTGAAGCAGATCTCGACCAATCTGGGAAGGAAAGCCGAACGTCATGACAGCCTTATCTGCAGACGAGGACAGTAGACCCAGAGACAAGGCCTCTTGCCAGAGGATTGTTCGCATCCATTCACGGGTAATGTGGTAATCTGCTGTTCGTGTTGAGACGTGGTCTGGTACGTTCATACGTAGTGAGGACAGTTTCGTTTCGGTATTTGTCAAGTCTGATGGCGCCGTTATTCCAACGCAGGATTTACGCGTGACTGAGATGCAGTCGAATGCGAGAAAAAGCTTGGCCAACTCTAACAAGCCTCGGGCATGAACGTTTGGTGATGTACCAAGCTCAAGGGGTAGCAATGGCAATGGATCTTTGTATGACGGAGCAAGGCCGATATGAAGTGCATACCCCCTTCCAATAAGTTTTTGGTGACAGTATATACGCATTTCAGAGAAGCTTACCTCTCGGATACCCAGAGCAGCGGGAAGACCAGCTCACAATTCGCGATCAGTGGCCCATCCAGCCCCGATACATTCGTCTGCCTCTCATCCAAGCCCAGAATCTGAGCTCGAGCGATAGCCTCTTGAATAAACATCATCGCCCTGGTTGGCTGGTTGACCTTTGCATAATAGACGTGCAGGAAGAAGGAGACTAAAATGCTGCTAATGTCAGGGTAATGTTCGATTTGCGAGTTTTCGTGTTCGCGCATCCAGAGGCAAGCCTGTGCCAGTTCAGCGCCATCCACGGCTCGGTCCCCAACGTCAAATGGGGGGAGCTGCAGTTGAGCCATTGTGGCTGCGCAGAGTGCTGTTGCAAGCCGTGATGTATTTCCAGTCGTTTTATCCGGTTCGATGTCGACTAGCTTTTGAAGCAAGGCATCGGCATTGACGACGGGCCATACACTGTACGAGTGGTGCTGGTACAGACGCACTACCGAGGAGAGGACATCCTTCGAAATGCGAGCGAAAGTACCTTGCTGTCCTATATAGCAGATATTCTCCTGGACACCTTGTACATCATCTTGGAGGCCTGCAGCAGCAGTCTTGATTTCTTGCTGATGACTGCCAGCCGGGCGGCGCCCTTTAGGCCCTCGTTTGCGCGCCGGTCTAAAATATGTACATGGTACACGTTTTATAGCGCTGCGGCAGGAGTCACAGGGCCAGGAGCCACTGCATTTGATTTTGCGGGCGATGCAGATGTCGCAGGCTCGTTTGGGGGCCATATGTGGTAGGACGGTGGGATGCGGAGGGGAAGTCGGCAGCTTTGCCGATCTATAAGATGGAGAGTATTATCCGGGAAGTGGGTCAGCGTGTTAGGGCTAAGTTCAGGTGTATCCAACGAAGCTATCCGAACTTTTAATTTTGACGGAACAAAGATCATGCATTCTTAGCTATAGAATATCATTAACGGATGTAGTACTGCCCTTATCACTCTACTCCCAGGAAGACTGACACCGTCTATTCCTATAGTTGCGAGATCGTGGTCTCAAAGTCTTCTGGCTCTCGGCCTAGCAGTTCGCGCAGTAATGGGGACGCGACACTGGCCTCGCCTTGACGGAATGCTTCGAATGCAGTTGCCCAGGGCTTGGAGAGGTCTACTCCACGATAAGTGAAATTTGGCGGCACCTGAGACTGCCGCGCAAACTCCTCATCCGAGACCTGACGGATCCTCACCGGCTTCTTTGCGATTTTGGCCAGAATTTCCACGGTTTCTTTAAGAGTCAAGGCCCGGGAGCCTGAAAGAAGAACAGTGGAGTTACGGTATTGGAATTTCTTTGGCTCTTTGGCAAAGATTCTCAGAAGCTCCGCTGTTCCCTCGCCGAGTTCTTCACGCTTAACCCAGGCAATTCCCGGCCCAGAGCCGTCGTGTGCAATCTTGATCTCGTCGACTGGATTGCGGGGATTGAAAAAGGCCGTGTAGAGGGGGTACGACTCAGAGTAAAGGCCCTCGCGTACAATTGTGTAGGCGAATCCGGGATGCTGGTGCCTGCATTCTTCAAGATGCTTCTCGGTATCCAAATGAGCGCGCATTACATGCGCCACAGTTTCTGTGTTGGCTTCGCTGCCAGTGAACCCGGCGAAGCCCAGGGACCCGTAGAAAATGTATCGCACTCCACTGCGAAGAGCAAAGTTGATTGCCGCCCTGTGACGCTGCAAGTTCTCGAGGTTAGTTGCCATCTCTCCGATGGAGGGAGCCCTCCCGGAACACCGAAGTCTCACCTCAGCTCGGTGCTCAAATTCGACCGAGGGATACGATATCAAGAATAAAGTTTCGACGCCATCAAAAGCATGCTCGAGCGACTTGTCATCGTCATAATCAGCCTGCCGGACAGTCGCTCCGGCAGCAGAGGCCAAGTCCAACTTGGCGGGATCCCGAGCGACAAACACGAGGTCTTTGGCAGGAAAACGAGGAAGAAGATGCTTGACAGTGCTGCCTCCGATGCCCCCCGAGGCGGGAAAGACGCCGATTGTGTGGCTGGCCATTAGAAAACACGAGATGGATTATAGGTTTAACAAATCTACTTTGCCGAGACAAGGTAGATTGTTTTAAAGCATAGATTCGGGTCCCCTTCCTCTCTCGGTTTTAAATGCCCTGCTGATCGGAGAGTTTTCATGACGAGATGAATTGGAAATTAAGCATCCAAAGTGGGACTCGGGAAAATCACCGCAGACGTGATATCCACATCACGGACCGACTATTAAGACCACGGGTCTAAATGTCTCCGAAGCGGCTGCTTTGATTACTGAGCTATGCCCTGTAACTATCTTTGCTGAAATGTAACTCGTTGATGTACACCAAAGCCGATGGAAATGTCAGAGTTCCGGAGCAATAGTCAATAACCGGCGCTGCGAACAGTCTCCGAGATCTCTGATACACAGTCCACATAGGGCACTCCGGAAAGGCCGGCTAACTCGACCAAATTTTTGGGAATCAAGAGCTGTTAATGTGACTGCCTGTGATTTGTCTCCGAGTGAGTACTGCTCCGACTCTTAACCAGTAATTTTCTCTTACAATCTACGACTTGTAACTATTTCAACTGCGACCTCTGTCAAACTACCTACTTTTTCTCGTAACCATTACAAATTAATTTCTATGGGTAGGGTGAATGTGAAGTATGGGCCTAATTAGAATGGCATCTCACGTCACCTCCGATCATCTGCTCTGAGCAGTCCTGAGCGCTCGGTGACGAGTGTATGGCTGACGTATAGACTTACCACGGAAAATGGCGTCCAAGGTAGCCATTTTTAGCGGCAGACTTACCCTCACGTAGCGTTGTGGTGTATCAAGGATTCTTTGTTGTGGCGACGCGCGCGTGGTGACATGAGCGTCTGATGGAGGGGCTACTATCGTAAAAACTTCCAGCTATGCATCCCGGCGCGTTAGGGCCTATTATAGCACATCGGCTTCGAAGCTTCATTCCGATTCTGGCTTGAAATTGGAGCTACAATTAGGAATGTCCTTTTGAGCAAGATATGGAGAATAATTTTCATATCATGTAAATATGAAGCTCCACAAAAAGTTTCCATTTTTCACTTATTGTTCGGGCCGAGTGGGTTGCGGCCAGTTGCCGGGAAGGTCCAAGCCGTAGATAGATGCTCGACGTCACCGGTGAGCACTTGGGCCCCGCATTTCTGTCCCGCCCTCTAATTTCACTACTCTCCACATTATTATACCCTTCATACTTAAATCATCCTTCATCTTCTTTCCTTCCACTGTGCTCCTATAACACGCACCAGCCTATCCTCGCACCCACACACAATGGCCGAAAAAGCTCTCGCCGCGCCCAGCACGGACGTATGGACCCTACCCACCTCGCACGGAAAACCTACAATATACTAACAACCCCCAAAAAGGCCCAAGTCCTAATCTCCCAAGAAACCAGCCCCGAGCAAACCTTCACCACCTTCACAACATCCACAGCCTGGACACTCGGCACAGCCCTCCGCAACCGAATCCTCTCCCTCCCACAAAGTCAACGCAAACCAGCCCTAATCTCCATCGCATTGGCAACAGCAACACCAAGCTCCGGACCACTGCATGTGATATTCCAATGCGCAACAGAGAGCGGCACGATCCCAGACAATGAGAACTGGGTGCGGCGGAAGCGGAACACCGTGCTGCGGTGGGGCGTGTCGAGCTGGGCGATGCGGATGAAAACGGTTGGCGGGTTAGGCGCGGGTGCGAGTGCGGCGGAGATCGAGGGGGCATTTGTGAACAAGTATGCACTGGCTAGTGCTAATGGCGGTGCTGTTGCTGATGAGTATGCTATTCATGGGGGCGGGTATCCGGTTAGAGTGCGTGGGGTTGAGGGTGTTGTTGCTGTCGTGGTTGTTTCTGGGTTGAAGCAGGAGGATGATCATCAGGTTGTGGCGGAGACGGTTAGGGAGATTGTTGCGCAGGGGGTTTAGGGATGGGTTGTCTGGTCTGTCTATGGGAATAGTGTACAGTCGTGACCGTTATTGCCTTCCACGTCGGAAACAAAGACGCTTTTTCAAACCCTAATCACATGAGACACTGAACTTATTGGGAATCGTGCGTAAATAGCCAGTTTTGTACGTACTCAGTAATAATACCAGATATTATATGATACCAGTATGAAAGATACAAGATACTAGAAGCGTGGAGACTATGCAAACACAGCAAACCACTGACAATTCTCTCTGCATCTCGCAGTTACTTCACTGCAGAGGGCCTGGCGCTTTCCTGGGGGGTCAAGTTGGTGGATAAGACGATGTAAGTACAAATCTTAAGACCCCTTATACATCTATGCGATGGGAGCGTAGAAGCTGAACTTGCCCTGAGGGTCGTACTTGTGCTTCAGAGCCCGCAGACGCCGTAGACGCCACTCCTCACTGCCATAAATCTGCTGCGACGTCTCGTCTCCGTAAGCATAGTTGATATAGGCGCGGATGTCCTTGCGCCCTGTGCCCTCAAAGAGGATATTGCGAAGCTGGTTACCCAGATCAGCTGCCTTGCGCTCAAGGGCCGGGCCGGCAGGCATGTAGTTGATGAGCGGGGCGGCAAGCAGGTTCTCGCTACGGAAGGCGAAAGCACTTGACGCGCTATCGATCGCGTGCACGCCTTCAACAGAGTAGCCCTCGAACATGAAGATCGAGTTGTTGAATGCGGAGGATCCGCGGATGGCGGGCGCGTAGATATCCCACGCCTTCTTCTGGGCAGGGACGTTGTATGCTTGGAGGTAGATAGGGAAACGGGGGTTGGCAAACCCTGCCTTCTGGCATGGGGGAGACGAAAGGGCGATGCCGGTCCATTCAGCTAGGTCCTTGTAAGTACCTGCTTGAGGAGTGACGGACAGAGGTCCGATGTCATGGAAGGGCTGGGTGTAAACCGAATCGACAGCCTTCACGCCCTCCTGGATGATATAGAATACAATGACGGGATTGTTAGGGTCGACATCGGCGTTATTCATCCAGTACGACCAGTTCATCACGCCCACAGGCTGGGTACCGTTCTTCACAAGGTAGTCGTTGGCGGCCTGGTAGACGGCCTCGACCTTATCACCGCTGAAAATGAGGGTCTCGATCGCCCAGTCGCTATGTTCGATATCGTAGACCTTGGTTGTGAGAGAGGTCACGATGCCGAAGTTGTGACCAGCACCTTTCATCGCCCACCAAAGGTCGGAGTTTGCGTCGATCTCGGTCAAGGTACCGTCGGCAAGGACAACATTCATGGAAACGAACTGATCCGAGACAAGCCCGTGGTGACCCTGAAGCCATCCGTGTCCACCCCCAAGCGCGGGTCCCAGAAGACTAACACATTCACAGGTTCCAGTGACGGTCTGCTTTCCTGCAGCCCAAAGCTCGTCGGTGACCTTCTTGGACATAGTTCCGCCACCAATTTTGGCCGTCTTTCCATCTTCAGCGACTTCGACGCTGCTGAGCTGGTTCAGGGAGATGCCGACACCGTGGTCCATCTTGCCGAGCGAAACGAGGGCACCGTGCACACCGTTGTACGTGAGAAAAGGAAGGCCCTTCTTATTAGCATATTTTACCTGTACGATGGCCGCAATTAGCATCCTCCTTTCCAAATTGTTCCAATTGCCACCCGATGGATACAGATAACAAAGAAAAAGACTTACAGTCTCAACAACATCATTCTCGGTACCGGGAACGACAACGACGTTCACCTTAGGTTCTGCCAGGACAGACCACCGCGTGGTGGCATTCTTGAAACCGCTCGATCGGGGAAAATACACCTTGGCCGTACTCGAAAGATTATACCCGAGGGCCGTCAGGTCACTATCGCCTCGTGGGCAGTGGCCCTCAAGGTAACTGCAGGCGCCAGGCAAGCTATGACAAGCCGAGGCGAAAGCCCACGCCGCAACTGCAGTGAGCACCTCCAACTTGAGCCGAAACATTGCTCAAACAGGGATGTCCAGAATCGATGAAGGGCAACAAAAAACAAACAAAACTCAATATTGCTCAGGTGGGACCCTTCGCGTGCAATCGTCAGAAGACGTCAGAAGAGAGCGCAAATAGGCGGAGGGGCTTTGCAAGGATCCCTGCCAGTTCGGTTTCCTGGCGCGAAAGTTCTCAGGATCCAATATTGCATGTAAGGTACGTGAAATGCAAATGTGCCGTAGAGTGTGCTGGATTAAGGGGCCTTTTCCTACGCTGACCCGGTATTAATCCGAAAAAAGGTCTCAGTTGCATAATTAGGGGCATGGCGAAAGTCTCTATGATCTCCACCCCTTGCACGGCCTTTTTTTTTTTTTTTTTTTTTTTTTTTTTTTTTTGCACGGCGCTTTGAGCACATACATTCCACTGTGGCTGACGGAAATATCTCTCCACCGATGCTCGTAATTAGTTTCTTGAACTCTACTCTGCAACAGATAATTCTAAATGGAAATGTGGCCGACAGATTCCTCGTGTGTACGCTAATGCAGGACCAATACGAGTGGCGAGGCTGAGGTTATGTTACATCCGGTATCAGTCCGCACCGACTCCCTTAATAAGCGCCACCCGCCGATCTGATCTGGATCATTAGCTTCTCCGCTCAGGCAGTCCATGGGTGGAACGTGCTTGGCTGCATCGTGGTGGGGAATGAGATCGAGGACCACGAGTTTGGCCCGGTTAGCCCCGAAACCTGTGGGGCAAACGCATCGAGCAGCCGATATCTCGTATGGCCATCTCGTAAGGGCTCCACCATCTCGCTATTGGATTCGCGATGTCTTGGGTCTTAGGTGTTAGTCCACTGATATAATATTGAAATGGCGGTATAAGTTGAGCGAAATATGTTTTCATTAGTGATATTGGCAACATACAGGTAAGTTCTATCTCCCTTCCGAGATATCCGGTATATCCGGTACCCCAGGGTGCATTCTTGGCAATGTTGCCGGCTATCACTAGTTAGACCCAGGGACATGGTAACAACTATGCATGCTTAGCAAACAGAGATGTGGAAGATGCCGAATAGGCATTTGTCCTTAGGGCCAGCCTCCGGTTACAAATAGAATTAGCCC